ACGGCGCGTTCAAGTACAATACAAATGCGGCGCCTGATTGAGGAGCAGCACTGAACACCTGTGGAAGAACTGCAGTTGTTCCGCCAACTACGAGAGCAGTGCCTGAGGGGGAGAGAGAGACGACCGCTCCAGGCGCGAGGGTAATTGGAGGACCTGCATTGCGTAAAGTCTGCGTACCATTTACAACCACAGAAGAAGGGCCGACGATTACAGAGACCGCCCCAAAGATGCCAACTGTATGTTGTCATCCAGGTCGTACGTTCTGAGGTAGTAGAAACGATGTTTTTCCCACTACAATTGCCGAAGCCGATGGCGCCAGAGCGACGGGAGTGCCTCCAACGGTCACTGCTGACCCTCCAGGCCTCGGGACTTTTGTGCCAATAACGACGATAGACGACGGTCCTACTATAACAGGGGCTATACCAATGGTGCCAACAGTCTGGACTTACGGCGCCTTTCGTGAGGCACTGGCAGATGTAGGGCCTCATCGTTCGCGTGAGACCCCGCCCTTCTGTGGGTTCAGGCTCTGACGGCTCAGTCGTTGTACCTGATTCATCCCAGTCTGACAAGATATGCAATTGCTGTGGTCATTAAAGTAAGGCCCCAAAGAGGAAGATCGTAGAAACAGATCTCATTCGCATTCTTCACCGCTGGAGTAGAAATCGGTAGGACAGCGGCTCTGTAAACCACGGCTGCGCTGGCCGCTGTGGGTCTTACAGTTTCTGGAATGCAACCGTAATATATGTAGTCCCATTCTGTATCTGTGGCCCATCCAGAGATGCAAACATACTGGGTTTCGATGGCGCTTGCCACGTCGAATGGTGTCGTGTGTCATGGAAGCCGGTCCGAGAAGTTACCCCATTTATTCGTTATCGTTAATGGGTGAACATATGTTGTCGAGAACCACTATTCGAAGCCGGCGTTCGGAACCTGGATCGTACACGATGTATTTCGCGTTCCGGTGATGTTCTGATGATCCGAATCGGGCTCGGCGTCGATAGGCATGGGTTTCACGGGGCTGGTCGATAAGGCTATACCAGAGGTATGTTCACTGTAATAGGATAGTGATATCGGTAACAGTGTTTATGAAGCGGTCGCGGGTGTAGATATCGAAGACTCAGCCTTTGAAGTGCTGATATAGTATGATGCGGCTTAGTGGCTTTGTTGGCCGATACGAGGACGGGTCCATGAGCTTGATATCACGGGTGTGGCTCACGCTACTGCGGCCGTGGAATGTGATGGCAGTCGAAAGCTGCGCTAAACAGAACGCATCGAGTGATTGTCGCAAGACCACGTCTTCACGATGGACAGCTTACCCAGGCATGCTGTGCAAAAGAGCGACCGTCGTAGCGACAAGGCTGACTCGAACGAAGGGTGGTGATATCTGGTTCAGAGCGAATGCACCAACGTGGTTCAGGCTCGACTGGTCGTCTCTTGGTGAAGGTCGTGGACGGACATGGGTTTTTCACTAGCTTCCAGCCACCAGCTATGTATGCTGACCAGCATCGCCCATGAATCCAGCACCCCCGGAAATACCTTGTCATTCAGCAAGACTCGGCATGTGGGACACACCCATCGCACTCTCAGTAGGTACTTCTAAAGAGCCAGAAACCCTGCTGTTCTTGGTAAGATCGAGCAAGCGCGCAAACCACTTGGTGCTCGTTGACGTACAAGCCACTAACGAACCGGCTGTGCCGTTCTCAGCACGGTTGAACGCTTGTATTTGTGCGCCCCGGCCAGTCACTCGCCCTGGAAATTGCACGACCAGTCAACACTCGCTTGCTGATTGATGATGCTGGGCAGTGCAGGTGAAATTGCGGGTTCATGCTTTTGTAGAGGCACAGCTGTCAGCTATGCCATGCAGCGGCTCTGAGATGCGTCTGCAAGGCATGAAAGCCGGCAAGATGGTTCGAATCTTGCAGATTTTCCCCTGTCGGGCGCGCCGATCAGACAGAGACTTTGGTGTAGTGTTGGCGAGTCCGAGTCTGCCGCGCTGAACACCTCCAAGAACAGCCAAGAGAGGGATAGCAGAGTGCGTTTATCACGTCTTGAGCGCTATGATTGCAGGCTGCGGAGGTGAGCGACTGATGAGTCGCCATCTCTAATTCTCTATGCACACAGCTCAAAGAGCGACGATGTCCATTGAGGTTTGCTTCTTGTTCATCAGCGTGTACTGGAATCGGGGTCGCCAGGAGTACAGATTGCTCACACAACGCCGGCTGTTGCATCTCATAATATCACGCTTCTAGCTACCAGTATCTAGCAAGAATGGTTGGACCATCATGCAAAGCCGCGGGAGGAAGGTAGTTATCGCAGCAGGGCTGATGCCGGGGCCGTAGCGAATCGCATGGTGCCGTGTTTTGGAGAGCTCAGCGCCCGTGGAAGGGTGCCTAACGTCGTTAGAACAGCGTGCCCGGCCGCGAAGGATCCCTTGGGCCTTGACTGCCGGCTGAGGTCTTAGAGTCAGTCCAGCCCTCATATGGTCTGCGCGTAGCCTCCGCATTTCTCATTCGTTTTCCTCGCTGCGCTCCTGATAACTATTCGAGGATGTTGGAGTGATGATATCGTTACTGCTGTCTGCTGTCTGCTGTCTAGGTTGCAGATGTTTGGTAGATTGCGCCTGCCTCCACTCGCTCGCTACGGTAGCGCTATGATGCGTCCCCGCAGCGGCCGCCGTTGCACGTTCCTGGCTACGCTCCTGTTGTGGACATCCCTCTCGCTTTGTTCGGCCATTTATGTGCAGAAGAACACCACCAACGTTCCGGGTTACACTTTACTGCAGGGAATATCAAGCGTACCAGCGCCTTTAACGGTTGCGCCAGATCAGGGTTGGGCTGGAATTGATGGGTCGTGGAACACCTTCAGCTTAAGAGCAGGCTCACAGCAAGCGATTATTCAAGTCATACCATCAACGTCTAGTCAGCAAATATGGGTCGTGGACCCAGCAGGGTGTACTGGCGTGTTTGAAGATACACTCACCAATACGACCGTTGAGCAACTCGACAGCAGCTGCAAGAGCAGCCGTGGTCAATTGTTCAATATCATAGGCTCAAACACATGGTATGAGCAGGGCTTCTGGGCTCTCTGGGTTGGCCGCGATAACTTTGGCCTATCTGGAAATGGACATTACGGTTATGATACGATTGGACTCGGTTTACCTGGCGAAGAGGGTCCATCGGTCGACAACACCACGATTGGTACCCTCAAGAACCCCAACTTCTGGCTGGGCCACTTAGGCCTGCACCCAAAACCGACTAACTGGTCAACGGATGTATCGACAATACCACCTGTCCCAAGCTATATGACTATGCTATTCGAGCAAGGCAACATCCCCAGTCGTTCTTATGGCTTCACAGCAGGCTCTCAGTATCGTACGTCACGAAACTTTCGACGAGTGTGTGTCTATGCTAACCCACTCAGACGGTGTAGCATTCCTCAGCAGCTTGACTCTCGGTGGTCACGACGCCTCACGATACATTCCTAATGACGCCTTATTCGTGTTTGCACCTGACAATGAACGTGAGCTGGTAGTGGAACTCGCGGGGCTGACCGCAAACACCAGGACTCAGTCCAACATCAACCTCCTTCCATCTTCAACCGGCAACGTAACGCTCTCAATCGACACGACTGTCGCAGAGCTCTGGCTACCCCAGACGATCTGTGATGCTTTTGAGGAGGCATTCGGCCTGACGTATGACAACAAGACTGGGCTTTACCTCGTGGACGACCTACTCCATGAAACATTGAAGGCGCAGAATCCCAGCATTACATTCAGCTTACGACAGTCATATTCCTCGGATCAGATAATCCACATCACACTGCCTTATGGTGCATTCGATCTGCAAGCCCAGCGACCGTACAGGGGCTTGAATGACACAACAAAGTACTTTCCTCTGAGACCCGGCAAAGACGAAAGCCAGTGGGCTCTGGGGAGAATGTTCCTGCAGGAAGCATACATTACAGTTGACCACGAACGCGCTCGATTTGGCATATATCAGTGCGACTGGAGCTACGGAAAGCCGTCGGAAGTTCTGCCCATTGTCTCTCCAGACTATGCGAAATTGGCACCTACTGTCTCCAAGACGAATCGGACTGGAGAGTCACATACAGGGGTAATAGTCGGAGTTGCAGTAGGCTGCGTGTTCCTCGTGGTCTTCATAGGTACTGCAATCGCCGGACACTTCTGGCGGCGACGTTGCAACGCAATAGTAGCGCAGCGTGCGAAGGAAGCAGCCGATGCAGAAGCCGCAAGGAAGGCGTCACCCACTGACACAGACGAGTCTCCTTCTTCACCCACAAGTGAGAACGGACCAAACGTGTTCCCCAAGGCCGAGCTGCCCGGACAAACAAACGTCTACCGGCATGAGATGAGTACAGACGGGAAGGAGACAGGCTCTATTGAGGTGTTGGAGGTGGGCAATACAGAGCGACCAGTTTATGAGATGATGGGAGACATTCCTAAGCCGCAGGAAGCCGCCAGTCGCCAGCTATCTGAGAAAGAGTCGATGATGGTGCGAGAGAAGAACGTCAATGGTGTCGATCCACATGCTGTAGCCGAGACTACAACGACAACTCGGACTCGACCTGCACCATTGGTCTCTCTGGATGAGATTGTCATGCTCAACAGCACATTACCAACCGCGGGTGTGTCACCCGTTACACCACGAGCACCCAGGGATGGAGCCCACCTGGAAGCAGGTGATACGTTCTACCAGCTACCAGCATACCGCGCACAACAAGATGGCCACTTGTTGGAAGATTCGCGCTGTCCTGTTTCTCCTCTTGATGCGCCCGATAACTCAAGGCGGCGCTTTTCCTACGAGTCGTGATTATGAGGGTGTGGACTCGGGTTGCTGACTATAATTGGCCTTTTCGGTGGTGTTGGCGCCATCGGTAATTCAATCTCGATCGCATTGAGCGGCACACGGAGCGACCGGGGCGGCGGGTATGGCGTCCACGGTCTTAGACATGTCTGCAGGACTGGGGTTCAGATATCACGGCGTTTGTCATTTCTATTCGAATACCCCTTCATGTGTGTACTTACAGGCTTTCTCATTGTCAGACATATTCTGTCGTTATCGAACCATGTTCCCAAGACCCGCTTCGTGACCTGGTACATGGTCTGAGATGATGCAGGCTCAACCTTCTCGTTCAAGCAACGGAAACGTCAATCTGTGGATGCCCTCGGCGCTTGCACGGGGCAGCCGAACGTTGCGAGCGATCATCAACGGTGAAGCGGCTCGAACTTGCATCAGCCCTGTGGTAGTACGTCAGTCTTCCACGTTGCGCACAAGGTGAGTGGTGGGCGGCTTGGCCGCAGCGGTGTGCTAGGCCGCTTCGAGGCCGCCATCAGCTGCACAACCCCGTCAACGACCCCTCCAAGCTTACGGGCAACGCGACAGGCACCGCTTTTTCTAGTGCGCGCTGCAGTTGAGCGGTTCCCCGTATCTTCTCGTGTTCGCTGTGCATTGCGGTGAAGACTCTTGCAATTCTTCGTCTGCTGAATCCCTCGAATCCCTCGAATTCCTCCAGGACTCCGTTTCGAGTTGTAGCCCCGCCTTGTCATCACGCATCACTCTCCGTCCAGCGCCTAGAGCTGTCCTTCAAACCGCAGCCTTTGCCGTGTAGCACCCAGCTGCCGCCTGCAGAGCCCGCAAATCCCCGTTGATCCTGCCCGTCTTGCGACCTGACCCGCGACCCTCGCTAGCAAGATTGTCCGCTGCGTCACCCAACACGCGCTCTAAGTTACGACCCCGCCTGCCTCGCCCGCGCACCACCGAGCCTTGAGCACCAGCAGCCGCTGCCACGCCCGCCGCCATGTCGGACCTCGCGAACCGCAAGGTCTTCAAGGTCTTCAACCAGGAGTTTGTCGTTGACGAGCGGTACAATGTGACCAAGGAACTGGGCCAGGGCGCCTACGGCATCGTCTGCGCCGCAACAAACAACCAGACGGGCGAGGGCGTCGCCATCAAGAAGGTCACCAACGTCTTCAGCAAGAAGATCCTCGCCAAGCGTGCCCTGCGCGAGATCAAGCTGCTGCAGCACTTCAGGGGACACCGCAACGTACATACTCAGCACATGCGGTTCGGGAGGAACATGCTAACACAGCACAGATCACATGTCTCTACGATATGGACATCCCCCGCCCAGACAACTTTAACGAGTGCTACCTCTACGAAGGTACAGGTCCTCTCCATGTTCGCGAGCACGCACAACGCTAACAACATCCCAGAGCTCATGGAGTGCGATCTGGCAGCTATCATTCGCTCCGGCCAGCCCCTCACCGACGCCCATTTCCAGTCCTTCATCTACCAGATCCTGTGCGGTCTGAAGTACATCCACTCCGCGAACGTCCTCCACCGCGACTTGAAGCCTGGTAACCTGCTTGTGAACGCCGACTGCGAGCTCAAGATCTGCGATTTCGGTCTGGCCAGAGGCTTCTCAATGGACCCGGAGGAGAACGCCGGATACATGACCGAGTACGTTGCCACTCGTTGGTACAGAGCGCCCGAGATCATGTTGAGTTTCCAGAGCTACACAAAAGCCAGTACGTACACCACAGCTCCAATTTCACCGGCATCGAACCGCCGACGATGCTCAGGGTCCAGCGCCGCTTTAGCCGGCCACCCCACATTTAACTCCGGACATGCAAGCTAACAACCTCGCAGTCGACGTATGGTCGGTAGGCTGCATCCTCGCCGAACTGCTCGGCGGCAAGCCCTTCTTCAAGGGCCGCGACTACGTCGACCAGCTGAATCAGATCCTGCACTACCTCGGGACGCCCAACGAAGAAACCTTGTCCCGCATCGGCTCGCCCCGCGCCCAAGAGTACGTCCGCAACCTCCCGCGCATGCAGAAGATGACCTTCCAATCCCTCTTCCCCAACGCCAACCCCGACGCGCTAGACCTGCTGGACCGCCTCCTCGCCTTCGACCCTAGCAGCCGCATCAGCGTCGAAGAAGCGCTTGAGCACCCCTATCTGCAGATCTGGCACGACCCGTCCGACGAGCCGAGTTGCCCGACGACGTTCGACTTCCAGTTCGAAGTCGTCGACGAGATCCCAGATATGAAGCGCATGATCCTCGATGAGGTAAACCGCTTCCGCCAGATGGTCCGCGTGCAGCCCAGTGCCGGCGCAGGGCAGCCGCAGCCGGGCCAGCAGGTCCCGATCCCAAACAACTACGACCGCGCGGGCTATGAGGATCCCCGGCCGCAAGAGGCGTTCCAGCAGCAGGGGCAGTGGAACGATCTCGAGAGAGACTTGCAGGGCCTCGATGGAAGGATGAGATAGGACTCGTTTCTCGTGACGGCTTGTGAGGAGGGCAGCGGGGGTTGGGCGGTTGGATCCAACAGGGTCTAGGTTGCGTTTTGTAGCGGCTTGTGGAGAATGCATCATGTGAAATGATTGAAGTAGTATCTATCTGGCTTGTTGTGGGAGCCGAGTACAAAGGCGCCCGTCTCTTGTCCACACCTCCCCATCAAGATCCCGTATTCCCCTGCTGCAAATGCGCCGGTTGCTCTAGCTAATTGCGAGAATCTTTGTCGTTCGAGAGTCCTATTTGTTGGCTACAATACTGCTAGACCTCCAGAGCGTGTCCTGGGCGTCTGGCTTTCTTTCGCCTTGTTGCTCCCAGAGACACAAGCTCCTTCGTGGGTTCGAATGAGGCGTGGTGCGCGATGTGTTGCAGATCCTCGCTCACTGGTAGTACAAATCACCCAGACGTACTTGGGGATGGGACTGCGTATGCGGAAATCGGGGCAGAGTCTGTGGTTCGCTTCTAGGAAGGCTGCTGATGGAGGTCAAGTACTTAGCTCTCCTGATCAGGCCCGAGGCGTAGATTACGTGTGATAAGATGGTTGGTTTTCCGTCGTTGCCTGATTTCCATATCAGGAGCGTTGTTGAGCTATGCCTAGGGTTCCACAGTGACACCAGCTGATACCGTAGAGGACTCCGGAGGTATTTCGCAGGCTCTCCAGGCAGTAAAAGACGCAATGAAAGTCACTATGGAGCTTGGCTATCATTACTTGTGGGCTGATGATTATTGTATCGACCAAACGCAAAGATCACACAAGGCAGATCAGGTCAGCAGGATGGACGCAAGCTATCGTGGCGCGGAGCTCACTATTGTAGCAACTAGTTCTGACAAGACTAGTGGTCTATTTGGGATAAGCACAGATCGTAAGCCCAGCCACAGGATTGTTCATATGAAAAATCGAAGCTTCTTGTCTACTGGTCCAAACCCGTACAAGGCTGTAATGGAGTCTAAGTGGTGGTCAAGGGGTTGGTGAGTGCCTCCACGTCTCAAATCCGCCTACTTTGTCCGCTTACCAGCTGTTTGCATCGTCGGAACCTTCCAAGAAGGCTACCTTTTCAAGCGGCTTTTAGTTTTCAGTGAACAGCAGATCTCTTTTTAATGCGACACCGGCTCATGGACGGAGAGTTTGAGTGGCCCAGAAGCAATTACACATTGAAGTGAGGTGGGCTGGTATACGTTGAGTGCTCGTGTGTCCCTTCGCGAGCCCACGGGAAGATGGTAAAGACAAAATGATGTCGCTTACAAGACGTTCGATATGTTCGTCTACCTTCTATAGCAGTACACTAACCGGGATCTGCGCTTCGACCTCCATAACCCACAAGCAAATCCCTCTAAATGCATAGCGCACCCAAGCTACCAGAATATCTCCATCTCCATCCGATGCTCATCCTCTACCCCAGTATCGCCTCTCTCACCATCGATTGAATTCCACCCCCGCACCCGCCACAATCTTGGTCGTTTTGAACGGATACGCGATATAAAGCCCGAGATGGTTAGCTGCATGGTGTACCAACCTCTGATCCTTACCATCCATATACACCGCCAACAGCACGCGCTTCACGGTCTTGGTCTGTGTGTCGTCTGTTAGAAGTATCAGTAGGCCGTTTCCACTCCGAAAAGTGTGCAGAGAGGGGGATGTACTAGATCTTTCTTCGTCGTCCTTACAGACTGTGATTCTCTCAAGGCCCAGGTACCGGGCAGCTCGGAGGAGCGCTTCTGGGTCTTTGTCCAGTTTGGACGATCTGAGCATGGGCGTGTTTGACCACGCGCGTACTGAAGTCCAGAACGTCGATTCCTGTGCGCCTAGAGCTTGGAGTAGATACGATTTGTCGCGGAAGATGTAGTTTAGCTTGGTCTCGATGTCGTGTACAACGGTTTTTGAGATTATGGGTAGGTTTGGAGGGAGAAGAGGGGTGGTTGATGAGATGGACATTGCTGGTTGATGTAGTTGTGTGCGTGAGTTTACGAACGCTTTCCTTAGAGGGTCAGATTGGTGTGCGTGGCTTTGTGAACTCGTGGTGCGATGCGCGAGTGAAGTGCGGAATATAAGCGATCACATTTATGAAATCTGTTGAGTAGGAGTGAAAGGAATCATGGATGAATAGTTTGAGTATGGCAGCGGCTGCCAACAATCTGTGAATACCTCCTGGTCGGACTGTGATGTACTAGGTTCAGATGAAAAGTGTGGAGCTCTGGCTGATATGGCGATTAGCAGCGACTGGAGCAACTTCTACGTCAATCTCGAGCATCTCAATGACGAGGGAAAGGTAAAGATTTTTTCTTTTCCGCGGCTGACCATTGATGGCCCCAGACATCGAGAATCCATCGACTTCATACCTCGTGTAGTCAAGATAGGCGAGGGGACGGACTGACTTTCGTATAGCTACGCAAGTTTCCACTGCTCGGATCTTAAGTGCAGAGAAGAAAGACAGACTTTGGACAGATCTGATACAGTATTTTCGTTTCCAGGCGATGATAATGCAGAAAGGCCCTCAGGTGACTTACATGATGATTGACACAGCTATTGCATTCGAAGAGGCAGAAATTATTCTTAATCGCGTCATCATCCGTGAATGTGAAGCATTGGACTAGCTTGATCATGGGCGAACTGTTGGAGGCGGGAACTCTCTAGCCCAGTCTCCGTGGGGCACAGAGACTGAGATGCAGGCACTGGAGGAGGTCGTATCCAGTCGGTGAGAAGTTAGCGAAGTCGATCTTGGTATGGATGCTCACTTCGAGACGCTGGATATTTATCGGTGGGCGGCTGTACACGAAAGCACCGAGGTACAGATCGACCTTGGAGATGGGCAGGAGGACATAGTTTTTGCTGCGCTTTCTTATATATAGAGGTCGAGTCTCCCTTCGAGTCGTGCGGCAGACTTGTGCGATATTGTTCCAGGGCACGGTGAGCTGAGTGTGGTAGGCGATGTGTTCTAGCCAGAATACGCCGCTAAAGCGTGGAATTGCATAGTGATATATTCGATTCAGGGTCACTGAAGTAGGTAAGTCTGTGAACACGATTGACATGGTGGGACATACCAGGGGCCAAGTCGAGTAGCCGAAAATGCGGCGTTGCTGGAGAAATCAATTCTGGGTTAAGCGTGTTGCGACGGCGCCATCAGCGAGATGGAGTGGGCGTCTTTGAACGTTGTACACTGATGCAACCCGAAGCTAGCGCCCTGTGCGCAGGTTGACAGTGAGGTTCTCCCAGATCAAATGTCACATGCCTTTGTGAAAGGCCTATGAAAACAGTGTATCGTTATGCTTGGCAAGTGTAAGAGATATTGAAACAACGACCGCGCGAGGATGTAAGCATTGAATTTCTAGGCATCCAGTGTGAGCCATAGCCATGTCAAGTTCAAGCTGCTGCAGCACTAATATCGCACCATCGAACCCGATCATTCGCCGTCGAAAACTTTCGATACAAATGATATGGACGCGACTGCATGTGCAAGACGAAGGGCATTGTAAGGCTAGGGGACGTGGTGCATCGACAAGAAGCTGCAACAGCGATACAAGAGGCTCTTCGAAGGTCAAACAAGCAGATCCCTTCGTCTGATGCCAGATTTGACTCCCGTCCAGCGATTTCACCTTCGTTGCAGTCGACGCTGCAGATTTGGGCATTTCGGCTCTGTTGTGACGAGCGATACAATTTGCCACGACGAGTCGGATGGAGATCCGGGGCAAAAAACGGAGCGGGATGTAATGATCGAAGCCGGTCTGTCCGCGAGGAGTTACGCTGGCTTTCCCATAGTCGTTGTTGTTGATCGGTACGCTTAGCTGTACCGCTGGATCGTGCGACGGCGGCCGAACGCAAGCGCAGGTCTGAAATTTCGGGGATCGTACTAAATCTTAGCCTCGTACCTCGCCCTTGGTCTCGTCCAGAGTAACTTTATCGACTTCAAGTCCATGTCTGCCAATCAGGTTTCGTCCAGCTAGCGCTCCGTGGAGGATGTAAGTTTGGACGTTGTCCGTCATCATGTCTCTCTTCCGGGATGGTGGTAGGCAAGGGCCAGCTAGGCCACTCTGGGTGTGTTAATGCCCGTGGTGATCTGGATTCGCGATGAAATGAGATGAACGACCTCATTGAGCGTGGTGATCTGGCCGCCTGTGGCATGGCCGGCAACGCCTCCGCATCTGGATCTTCCAAGACGCCATGCGAATGGTGGCTTGAGACGTGCGAGTTTCTGTCTGTGGTGAAGCGACCCAACTCAATATCATCGTAGTACTGGGCGCAGATCATGTCCGTTGTGTCTGCAGACTCTCGCAGGCCGCGACCAGTCGGCTGTGCACCGACGGCGGGTGGTGGTGACATTGTGACGCACACCTGTCTTTGAACCTGTACTCCACCATGATTGTCAACCGAGACGTCTGTATGAGGCTCGGACAGATAGCCGTCGCGGCTGTGTGCACTACTGCTTTTCGAGGAGAAGAAGTGGGACACTTTCTCCCTGAGCATGCTCGCAGAGGACTTGGTGGATTGAGTACCAGAGAGCTGACCCTTCTGCCCAGATGCCTCCGATCGTTTGGCATTCGAGGTAAGCTTCTCGTGGAAGAAGTACTTGAAAAAGACCTTGAGACAGGGTGCATTCGCACAAAAGCAACCGACGTGCAGCTCCAGCATGGTGGTAATGAAGAGATTCCAGGTGACCCAGGTGGAATCGTACGTGCCGAAGTAGATCTGCCAGCTGTAGTAGGCACGCAGAGCACCGAGTGCGGCCACGCCATATCCGATGGCGAAGATGCCAAAGAGTGCGATTTTCTGCCGTACTGGAATGCGTAGATTCCAATAGAGGAAGGTAGGCAATACCGCAGTGATCAGATCCTGGAATGTGGAGATGACGCATGCGGAGAAAACATCGGCGCCTTCGTTGAAGCAGCGGTACTTGTAGCCTTTAAGCACCAGGACGACGTTTGCTTGATCCCAAAACGCAGAGATGGGATCACATCCAAATATTGGCACAATTGTGAAAGCGACGGTGGATGAGGCGATGAAGGCGATTGTGATCCAGACGGCCCAGCGAAAGCGGTTCGAGACGACGCGAGAAGACAGGCGGCGATAGAATAGCAGGATCGATATCTTGATCAGACCGGAGGCAACGCAGAAGATGCACAAAAGTGCAAGGACGTATTTGCGTGTAGTGACACCGCGCTCGGGCTCTTTGAGGAAATCGATATCCCAAATATGACGATTGAAGCCGATGTTGGTTGCTACTGGGTGTTAGCCAAGCCGGAATAGTAGGTAGTAGACTTGACCTATTGGAAGCATGCAAGTAGCGGCAATTGTAGGAATCTGGTGATTGTCAGCGCAGTTCCTGTGGGAGTTGTCATCGAGCTTACAGTGCCGGCAACAACAAGCCAGTCATCCCAGCCGGGATTACGCTGATGGAAGATGCGAACCCAAAGACGTGCCATCAACATGGCGAAAGTAACCGGACCACATACGCAGGCGATGACGAAGATGGTGTTAGGTCTAGTTGTTGGGTTGACATAATTGGGCGCGGGCCACTTGAGGATCACCTCAATGGGAGGATGGAGTCCTCCTGGCATCTCGGTGATTGTAGGTGAGGTTGTTGCGCAGCGTGTAAATGCACAAGGAAATAAAAGACGACGAGTCCGGCGTTACGAATACCAAGCTGGGGGATGCCTGCCATAAGTACGCTGTGGCTGATGGAGACAGAACCGTTATGTGGACGTGGCTCCGGTGGGGATGAACGGTATCAAAGCTGCAGCAGTACGGAGGCCAGCAGCCCTTTCTTCTGCCAAAAGAAAGCGATGGTTTCAGCCAATACGCTTCAATATTTTCCGTAAAGCGGAAAAAGTGTACTGTTGCATCGGCACGATCGATGGGTCCAATGCATACTCGATTATGCGGTGCCACACAGGTATTCGATTGTGACAGCGGAAGTCTACATCCGGGGCTGCAGGTCGTTCGAACGCATGCTGCTGCATCCTCACGGGGTTCCATATAGGAGCCGGCACTTGAGTATGCAGGGTAGCCACTTAGCTATAGAGTTCACGCCGTTGCGAACCAGGAAGCCTAGCGTCCCGATTGGGAACATCACATTTGGTTCAAGGACAGCGGCCGCCCCAGGAACTGCGTGTCATCTCGCAAGTTCTTTGAACATTCTTTCCTTCAAACTGTCAGATTTGCTGGGTTCCTTCAACACCTGAGCGATTACTTACGTGGCGGTTGCAGTGATGATAAGCATCTGATACTTGCGGTATGGACTTTAAGGCAAGGCCGGGTAGTGTAGATTTGCCGGCCATGCGTGGGCGCAATACCGATAAGCGTGGCGACAACGCCCATGGCTACATAATTTCTTTTGTGTCAACGTCTCGAATCGAGCGGTTGCCGATGCAGGATTTCACTTTTTGGGAACCTCGAAGTGATTGCCACAAGGATTGCAGCGGACGCCATGCCACATGAGGTTTCGCTTGAAACGACTTCGGGATCTTCTGTCATGCACAGAAGGAACAATCGCCTTGCACAGGCCGCTAGCGACAATACTTACGGGCCGATGAGCGACAGCCGAACCAAATCCTTGGTGGCTGTACCTGATTGTGCGACTCTTGTAGCGGACAGATATCGTGTAGTCGTCAGTATAGTCGCTGAGAACCTAGCAGATGTCTATCCTCGTCTCGAATCCAGGTGAGTGTATTTGCGGGATGAGGGATAGAGAGCCCTGTCACCGTTAACGGCGTTGGGAGCGTTTCCCGTTGTGACCCCACCTGGAAGAAAAGCAATTGCTTACCGTGGGTTTTGCGGCGTTGTACATGATGATGCTACTTTGAAGAGCATGCTCGCACCCGGCTGCTTTTGTAAATGTAGATCCCGTAGAGCAGTTGTTGCGCAGGGTCAGGTAATCTTTCGAGTACTGCCAGATGAATGTTCCTGTTCAGTGACGTTGAAATGATCGAGCCATATGGTATGATGGCAAAGATGGGACGAGCAGAGTATTGGCCGCTTCCCTTTGCAGCCTTGTGCATGCAAGATTATACAGATCACACATATCGATTGGGTCACCGTGGGCCCTATTGCTATCACCGTGCCGTAGAAGTGACAACGTCGACGTCTGGACGTGTGAGATGGCCTTCAACACACCGGATTCGGATGAATTGACAAGGTTTCCTGGGCCCAGAGATTCCCGTAATTGTGCCAAGTCGATGAATCGAGATGACCTGTAGCACAAATACTCCAGAGGAGCCCACGCGGGCCACAGTAGCGTTATGTGGAGATATGGGTTGTGCAGTCTTCTTCAGGCGCTTCGAAAGTATGCAGAACACCTAATAAGCGTAAGCGCAGGCAGGCTCACGAATATATCAGCCCATAGTCTTGTTGCTGTGACCGGAGATTAAGCCCATGTCGGAGCTCTCAAATGGCTGTGCGTGCAACTCTTGCAAGTTGTACACGGCGTTTTGTGGGATCAATCTCGGATTGACGTCTGATGTTACCGCGTAGCAACGACCCGTTGTTGGTCAAAGAGTGACGATGGTGGTGTTTTGCGTAGATGCGGGATTTGGAGGTGTAGTCTTGCCCCTCGATTTTGCCTCGACGCTAATGGTGCCCATCCACACCCCTGCCTCCGTCAGCCTCGCTCGTTGTGCTGGAGAAGTCCCGCCTCAGCGTCTAACCTTATTTTGTACAAGCCATGTAGGTAGCCTGTCACGGTGGCTCCTCTAGTGATGGGGTCGACCATCATCCTAACATCATTTCATTCCGCTCCTCAAGAAGTGCAGCTGGTGGTAAACGTGTCTTCAGCAAGCTTCGGGGAAGCAATTCAGCAAGCGGTGCAGTCAGGCCGCTAATGCCTTCTACCAGGTACGGCTCTAGCTGCAGCCTTGACTCAGGAAGGTAAGTAGGAGAAGAATAGTGCACCGTCCTGTGACGTTAACTGATTCCAGGCTACGGATGTTGTAGATTACCTGGCCTACTATGTCACCCTCAGAATTGCCACGTCACCAACAGTGTCGACCAAAACCATCATGTGGTTTTTCTTCATGCGTCAAGCTCGCAATAACTGTCACAGCGCTACAATGCGTCCAGCGTGGCCTTGTTTCGCTCGATTCAAGCGCTGGTATCGAGCGTCTCTTGCGTAAGTGGGCGAGTCTGGAGGTCCTCTTCTTCAGCCACGACGGCAGCCCTATATTGACCCCGTTCAAAGAGCGGCTTGCTATTCGCTATCTCCTGACTCATACAAGTGGTCTTCCTACAACTTCCTCTTCACACTACTGCAATGGCGGCAACCACCGGGTGGGGAGTGACAGTTGATGCGCAGTTCAGTCGAAAAGTGTTTCGTACACTCACTCGTCTTCGAGCCCGGCTCAGTGTTTCCATACGGCCCTAGTCTCGACGTTGCTGGACTGATGGTTGCTCGTGCCAATGAATGCACCCTGGCGTCGTACATGCGGCAGAATATCTTCGACGGTCTCGGCGTGCACGATATCTTCTTTGTTGCGGCAGACGTAGCCGCTGTATAGTCGATGGAAAACTGCGCTGAGTTGCTTGCTAGCTAGGAGGCGACCATATATACATGTCCTGAGACGTGCTAGTCCAAGGTAGTCAACAGAGGTGACGATCAAGGCTATAGGACCGACTTGCACCGCAACATTCTTCAATATATCTCACAACAAAATGCAGGGGCGAACCCCTGCCCATGTTGATTCGACCCTCACCTGATGACCTCTTGTTAACAGTGATCCTGCCAGCGCTATTTTTAAGCAGCCAGTGGACGCAAAGGATGAATATGGCAGCGCAGGGCTGTCCGGCACGGCTGAGGACTATCTCATACTGTTGAAATCCATCCTTCTTGATGATGGCAAGCTGTTGACAATTCAGGGCGTAGACCTCATGTTCATATCCTCTCGTCAGATCAGTCCAGGGAATCTCTGCACAATCACTGCACTATGACAGACCTCGCAAAGATGTCCATGCGTGAAGAGTCTGTCGTGGGTGCCCCAGGGACCGGTGTCTGGGATCACGCACTTCGAGGCTTCTTCAGCTTTCGAATTCTACTTACCATAGTTGCAGTGGGTAGGAAGACCGAGCCCCAAGTGGTGGATCGGCAGGCAGGGCGGCACATGCGAGATCTACGCCACGCAAGTGTTTTCCCTCGACGAGGCAAAGTCGGTCCATCTTCAGGATATGTTTCAGAAGACGATGATGGAGAACTACAAGGTGCAAGTCCGCATACCTTGCACACCTCTGAGCATTAATAGGAGACAACAACTTCGTTCCCATGGCGTCAATACTTGGGCCGGCTCCAGGCTGCACAAAATGGCCTCGACTCCATATTTGTATTGCCATAAATGCAATCTCCAGTTACGAGTGCTCCATTACAACCAAACCGTACTGTCCAGGGATATAATGAAACCTGAACGCCCCTGCGACAGGAGGAGCTTCCTTCAGAATATCTCACATTTGAAGTAGAAACCATACGCATCTTATACTTCACGTGGCTCCATCAGCTCGCTCTTCTGCAATCCGCAACACCCCGAGATCTTCGTACGAAGGCGGTGATGATAATTCTCAGGGCTTCCTTACCCAGCGCGTTATCGGCATGACGTCACCACCCTTATTACGCCCGCCTCGAACCCTTTCCCTTGTCCAGCCTATCCAGCCTGTCCAGCAATTGCAAGCCCGCGACTGCTTACCGATATCGACGGCTAACAAGTGCCTACATACGGGACTTCTGGCAGGATGACGACGGTGGACCTGCAGGTATGCAACAACGATCGAGTTGTCGGGTGCACGTTCGGCGCAAACAAACAAAATTTGCGGAGCCGACACAAAGCGCGGCCGACAACGTCCAACTTATAGACAGCGATGAGCGCACAATTCAATAGGAAAGCTGTCCTAGGCCCTAAAGTCAATTGCAATAAGTAACCACAGCGAGGGTATCACAAACTACCGTATCCGGATACCGACAAGCAACACACTACGGCATATTGGTGCGCGTTAGTCTCAGCGCATCCACCGATCAGCGACGTCAGCGCCCGCAGAATCGGCCGCGGTACCACGGCGCTGTTTATCTCCTCGAAATTTCCGTATTTTTCCTGCAATTGCAACAGTACTTCGTAGACTGGAGGACTCCACGCACGCACAATGCAGGACTCTGATCTTGAAGTGCTACGCAACGAGGCGAACGCATCGCCAGACCGCTTCACGCAATGGGACCCCAATCGTCAATTTCGCCGCGAGTATAACGAACGCCACGGCCGCGACCCAACATATGAGGAGATCGTGCGAAATGCAGAAGCGAATGGACATTCTGTGCATCAGGATCCTGTAGCAAGCGCAACGGAGCCTCATGAAGAGCCACTCACATCGACCACGAGCAGGAAAATCGAGGAGGAGGAAGCACCACTGTCTCGCCAAACGACGTCATCTTCTACCAGCTCTGCCAGCTCGCGGAGTACTGCCCAGGGCGCACGCCTCGAAGAGATCCGCACCGCACGATCGTCGAATACACGCCCTCGAGGTTATACCGATTCGACGCAACAATCCAGCGGCACAATACTGCAAAGACACCCTACCGAGCGAAACCCAGTTGCTCTTACACGTATCGAAACACACCGCAGTCAACATGCTGGTACTGTGGGTGCCTCCCAGGTACCCTCGCGCCTTTCACGAACCATCACTCGCCGCAAGACCGAGAAGCCACTGCCGAGCCTAGGCGCCGGCAAGCCCTTTCCTCCACCTCTACCCGACCGTGAAGAATACGTTGTGGAATTTAATGGTCATGATGATCCACTGCACGCGCAGAACTGGACCACAAATAAGAAACTCGCCATGGGTGTTATGCTTGCTTTCGATGCGCTGAGTGCATCTATGGGCTCTTCCATCTTCTCTAGCGCAACTCTTCCTGTTGCTGCTGAGTTTGGCGTTGGCAGAGAAGTCGGTACACTGGGCACGAGTTTGTTCGTGTTTGGATACGCCTTCGGACCGCGTAAGTCTTCACACTCCCACTACTCGCTTTACGCGCACCCCCTGACTCTCAGATTTAGTCATGTGGGCTCCTATCTCCGAATTGTATGGCCGTCGTCCACCACTTGTCATTGCCGCGTTTGGTTTCTCCATCTTCACCATCGCAGTCGCAGTTGCCAAAGATATTCAGACCGTGATGATCTGCCGCTTCTTCGCAGGACTGTGTGGGTCTTCACCACTCGCTATCGTGGCAGCTGTGTTCGCAGATATGTTCAACAACGAAGTCCGCGGTCTAGCAGTTGCCGTCTTCTCCGCCACAGTTTTTGTTGGTCCATTAGTCGCGCCGTGCATCGGCGGCTTCATCACAGAGTCGTACCTTGGTTGGCGCTGGACCATGTACATCAGCTCGCTCATGGGATTTCTGACTTTTGGGCTTCTGCTCTTTTTCCTTGAGGAAACATATCCACCGGTTGTGTTGATTAACAAGGCTGCTGAACTGAGAAGAAGAACGAAAAACTGGGGCATCCACGCCAAGCAGGAGGAAATTGAGGTTGACTTCAAAGAGTTGATCATCAAGAACGTCAGCAGACCTATGCGCATCCTCTTCACCGAGCCAATCGTTCTGCTTATCACGATTTACATGTCCTTCGTCTATGGCCTCCTGTACCTCTGTAAATTAAGCTCCTCTCTTATCGGCAAAAGCTCCTGCTGACCCCCAACAGTCCTCACAGCATACGCCCTCGTCTTCCAAGGCGTCTACGGCTGGTCCTCAGGCTTCTCCGGCCTCGCCTACTTCGGCATGATAACCGGCGAAATGATTGCCTTCGTCGTCATCGTCCTGACCAATCCGCGCTACGTCAAGAAACTCAAAGCCAACAACAACGTTCCGGTGCCCGAATGGCGTCTACCCATCAGCATGGTTGGTGGCGTCTTGTTCTCCGGTGGCCTCTTCTGGTTCGGCTGGACCGGCTACAGCGGTAACGTGCACTGGATCGTGCCCGTTCTCAGCGGCCTCTTCACCGGCTTCGGCATCTTCAGCATCTTCCTCTCGCTGCTTAATTACATTGTGGACGCCTACCTCATGTTTGCTGCCTCCGCGATCGCGGCAAATACCTTCATGCGATCTATCTTCGGCGGTATTTTCCCGCTGTTCGCGACGCAGATGTTCCAAGGCATGGGCATACAGTGGGCATCGACGCTCATTGGGTGTGTGGCGGTCGTTCTGGCACCCATGCCCATCTTCTTTTATCTGTATGGTAAGAAGATCCGCGCGAAGAGCAAGTTTGCGCCTGCGCCGGATATTCAGCAGGAGAAGAGGAGGGACGAGGAGAGTGCAGGGAGTGATGAGAGTAGTGCCAATGGGAATGGAGATATATTTAGGGAGGAAGAGCAGGAGAAGGAGAGGAACAAGAAAGACTGAGGTGGAAGAATGCATTCAATCGACCATCTCACACATTCTGTTAATCCCAACATCAGACCAGTTCCCTTCCAAGCCTTGAAAGCCTCATCCCAACACTGACATGGTAAAGAGTAAAGTCCACCTGCGCTGCGCCACACCCGTACGCATCTTTCATTTAAAAGTCGCATTAACGACACTCTCCAAAAGTGGGTCAGTGGGCAATTCACACTTACAGGTTTGTCACTCACTCGCAAGGCTGCATGTGGCCGGGCGGCGCTTTGGTCAACGCCAGAGTCCCAGCCTCGCAGACAATGTGAGAGTCCAAAGATTCCAGCTACCGGTATTGTTATACCAGGGACAAACCTGCATAGAGGCGCTCATTCATGGCGCGATCCGATTCGAGCGGGAACCGACCTTGCGTGCTGAGGTACGTCCCTGACGTGGTGACATATGCAGTAGACGTAGACTTTTTTCATCAATAGACAAGAGTGCCTGGTGCAGTTGCCGCAATAGATGACGCGTGGTTGGACCTACCACAAAGGCTTTTGCTCACACGTTGGTCTGATCCATGTGATGTGCAAAGGCTCCATGAACGGGACAAAAGGAACTTTCGGGTCGCCATTGTCTTCATGAAGAGAGCCGTGGGAAATCTGGCTGATATTGATTCTGTCAGATCTGCGGCCGTTTGCTCCTTTTAACGCCAGAACGACACGCCTTGGCTGATGGTCTTGCTTCGTTGTTATAGTGCTGCGCTCAGCTTTTGTGGGAGATATGTAGGTCCAGTACCGGTAGATGATGCGTTTTGATCTTTGAATGAAAACATGAACAACAACTGTGATGACTAGTAACGAGATCGAGAGTGACTGACTGTAGAGGAGGAAGGGAAGAAGCTGCGACGAAGTGATGCATCAACGGCTCCAGATGCTCTGTAGTGGCCCTTTTCGAATGGACAGAATGTAGCCAACATCCGACCCTCTTCAGCATTCTGGACGGAGTGCCGTCTCTTGGAGAGGATGGTAATGGAGAGGAAAGTAAGCCGAGCGACTGCCAACTCCACATCACCCCACCTCAACCCTCGAAGCGGCGCGTGCCCCGCCATCGTCGGGCGACAACCGTCCGCAACACCAGGCAAATACCGTGTCGGTGACGTTGCCAACCAGCGGGGCTGGCTGCTCTCGTGAGAGCCTCATGTCTAAGATCTCCACAATACACGCTCGCTACACTTTCCCTGCTTTTTCCAGCATCCCGAGTACTTAATAGCCACCAGCTGACATTCTGAGTTCATCATCATCAGTAACTGTTCAACAATACCGCAAATATGTCCATGTCAATCGAAGAATGCCAGACCCCGCGCCCGGGCTTCCCCAAGCCGGTGCCAGAGGGGCCATCTAACGTCTTGGACCAGTTCAGCATGAAGGGCAAGGTCGTTGTCGTTACAGGTGCTGCGGAAGGCATTGGCGGCGCAGTCGCTGACGCTATTGCTGAGGCTGGTGGAGACGTAGCGTTGTGGTACAACTCGTGAGTGCCATATTCTTTATTTCATCCATGTTTAACATGAACTGATTAGTCTAGCAACCCTGAGGCGGAGAAGCGCGCAGAGCGCCTCGCAAAGGAGCACTCGGTCAAGACAAAAGCCTACAGCGTCAACATCACAGATCCAGAGGCCGTCAAGTCGAGCCTCGACAAGGTCGTCGCTGAGTTCGGCAGAGTCGATGTCTTCGTCGCCAACGCAGGGACTGGCGACTCGCAGCCCCTTCTCGAGCAGACCCTGGACGCGTACCGCAACCTGATGGCCGTCAACGTCGACGGTCCCGTCTACTGCGCCAAGTACGCGGGCCAGATCTTCAAGAAGCAGGGATTCGGTAACTTGATCCTTACCGGCTCCATCTCAAGTCACATCGTCAACGTGCCTGTTGACCAGCCCATCTACAACGGCAGCAAGGCTTTCATCACACACATGGGCAAGAGCTTGGCACGGGAGTGGAGAGACTTTGCTCGCGTCAACATTGTCAGCCCTGGCTTCTTCGACACAAAGATGGGTGCTGGACCACAGGTCATCACAGAAGGATTGAGGATGATCACCCTCGGGAGACAGGGTAACACCAGGGAAATCAAGGGTGTGTACTTGTTCCTGGCGAGCGACGCGTCAAGCTATGTCACCGGAAGTGACTATCTGATTGACGGAGGTTATGTCCTACCTTAGAAGCAGTGAGAGAAAGAAGAAAGAAGGAAAGAAAGTGAAAAGTTCACCGCCAGCCCGCGCGATTCCAACCTTCTGTGGTAACCTGGTTGCACATTTTTGTTGTAAGCCTACTGATCCGCCCTACTTTTCGCCCTTCACTGCGACCAACATGCCGTACAGAACGTTGCACCTGTGACTACCTTTCCTTATCTCGCACTCATCTCTACATCTGCTCCTCTGCTGCGGCCAAAAGATCTCAGAACCATGAAGTAAGCTCTCATAGCACTGGCAAAGATCACAAGCTGACCACGATGTAGGTATGACAGTATTGCTGTGTGTTCAGAGTTTACTAATCTAGATGAGATATTAGAAACCTTCCTCTCCCAACCATCTCGCCTCGGAAGAAGTCTGTCAAACGCATGCGTGAGAGTGCGAATGTACGTCACCTCTAAGCATGTTGCAGATCGATTGCCCATCGGCGTCGCACAGCTGTGCGTCAACGCTCCGAGAAGCGACATTAGCATGTGTCCTCAGCCGTGCTACCAAGGACAGTATCGCGCAACGATCTGACGACCGACATTTTGCCCGTGGTACAGGGAGGCTGAATGCGGAGTGCTCTGTAGCGTCGATGACGTCATCCCAAAGTGTCGTTCACACACTCGTTCGATAATTCACCAGTATAGCCCCAATCGTGTTTGCCGCGTCCATTATCGCGCAAGAAAGTCATGCGTCGTCCTGCTGAGGCCTCGCGTGTCGAACTCCTGTCTTGATCCCGATGTGGCGCATTGACTATCGGGGGCTGATTACTATACAAACGATCACCTCGGAAGGCGTTATTTTGTCAACAACAAGCGCCCGCGTGCTCACTAAACACTCGTTCTGATGAGTGATGAAACCGAGCGGCCACCCTATTGATGCAAGCTCCCATGCTGAGCGTTGCATGCGAAGCAGCGCTAGTTGTTACGGGCGAAGGTGCCATCTGCGAGGGTAGGCGGGGAAGTTGGGTCAAGAGTTCAAGCGTCGGGGGTTGGTAAGCGACTCGTTATAGAGTTTGAAGAGTATTTATACCACGATGCTGGACGGGGAGGGATGGGTAGTGTGGATTAAGTCTAGAGCAAGGCTCCAGACATCCAGAAAACATGTCCAAGATGGAATCCGAAGTAGAGAAGCAGACGAAAGAGCAGGAGACGAAAAGTAACGAGTCCCTCTCAACGACCATGACAGACACCGAGAAGCACGCTTCAGCTCTCACACCGCAAGCAGCGACCGCAATGGACTGGGACGGGCCAGACGATCCCGACAACCCCCACAACTGGCCGCTCTGGCTACGCATCTACCACGCCACAACACCCGGCTTCTTCGGTTTCGCCGTGTATGTCTCGCGTCCCGTGCACAAGTTCCGCGACTGACCAACTCCAGCACCTTTGGCACATCGGTCTACACCCCCGCCCTGTCAGACATCACGGCCGAATTCAGCGTGTCCCGCACCGCGGCGCTGCTGGGCATCACAGTGTACACGCTGGGGCTGGCGTTCGGGCCCATTCTCAGCGCGCCGCTGAGCGAGATGCACGGCAGGAAGATTGTGTACCTGCTCTCGTCGCCGGTGTTTATGCTGTTCACAGTCGGCGCGGGGTTCAGCAGGAGCTTCGCCAGCTTGATCGTATGTCGTTTCTTTGCGGGGCTGACGGGGAGTCCGGCGCTCGCTGTGGGCGCGGGGAGCAGTGCGGACTTGTTCCCGCCGCATCGGCGCGCGAAGATCACGGCGGTGTTTTTGATGGCGCCGTTTGCCGGACCGTCGCTGGGGTGAGTAGGCGGTGGCGGTATCAAACTATGCATCTTGTGCTGATGGAGCGTAGACCAGTCGTGGGCGGCTTTGCGGCGCAGTACAAGGGCTGGCGCTGGTCGCAGTGGAGTATCATCTTCGTCACGCTCGCCGTGTATGCCGCCTCCCTCCCGATGAAGGAAACCTACAAGCCCGTCATCCTCGCTCGGCGCGCGAAAGAACGCGGTCTGGAGTCCAAATCGCCCAGCAGCCCAGGCAGCGCGGCAGTGAAACGCGCAGTCATCGTCGGCCTGTTCCGCCCACTGCACATGCTCGCCACAGAGGTACCTTGCAACCGCCCCTCACTGACCGTTGAACGACCATCGAAACTGACGTCCGCAGCCAGTAGTCTTTTTCCTCTCGCTCTACACCGCGTTCGCCTTTGGCGTGCTGTTCCTCTTATTCGCCGCCTTTCCGTTCATCTTCGCGCGCCCGCCGTACCGCTTCTCCACCTCCCAATCCGGGCTAACGTTCCTCGCAATCGGGCTCGGTGTCCTCCTCGGCGGGCTCACGGGCGTGCTAATCGACCACTTCGTCTATCAGGCGCAGCATCGCGCGGCCTTGAAACGAGGGGCGGCGCACGCAGCGCCCGAGCACCGCCTGTACAACGCCATGGTGGGGAGTTGGGGGATCTTGGTGGGACTGTTCTGGGTCGGGTGGGCAGCGGCGCGGGGCGCGCATTGGGCCGTGGTGCTGGTGGGCAGTGTGCCGTTTGCATGGGGTAATCTGTGTTTGTTTGTAAGTTGCGCGTCGAGGCTCGCCGGGGGTAGCCAGCGGACTGACGCCATCTAGACCAGTGCGGCGCTGTACATGACGGATGTGTATGGCCCGTTGAACGGCGCGAGCGCGATCGCGGCGAATGGCATTTTCAGATATACCCTGGGCGCGGTGTTTCCGCTGTTCACGGTGCAGAGTAAGCTCCCCTGCGGCCGTGGAAGGTCTCGACGCTTTTAATTGTGAGGCTGACTGATGCTGATAGTGTACGAGGCGCTCGGCATAGGGTGGGCTACTTCGCTGCTGGGATTCTTGTCTGTGCTTATGCTGCCAATTCCGTGGGTTTTCTACAAATGGGGCCCGAAGATTCGTGCCAGAAGTCGCTATCCGGTGGTGATGTAGTCGTGTCGTGGACCGTAGTATCTGCCTCGACCGGAAGCGTTGCTGTCAAAATCTGCGATTGTATCGAGCATACTCGGCCGCGTGTATGGGTCTCCTAGACTTTGCCATGACCAATTATAGAACACGTTTACTTTGATTTACAAAAATAAAAAATGCACAAGGCAATGCGCATTCGACTTCGAGGTCGTCAGACGCGAGACGTGATTGGCTACTGCCGCGGGACCCCCATCAGGCAAGCGCGTCGGCGATTGAGGGTCAATCTCGCCGTCTCCACAACTTTTTTCTAGCGCGCCTGGTCTCGAAAAGTTCGCGACGGCTGCTGTGGCTCCGCACACACGACCAGCACATTCACCATGGGCGCGCAGGAAATCGAGGCCAAGAAGCGCAAGCGCAAGCACAGCAGCAAGAAGACGGAGGATGCAGCTGCACCGAAAAGACACGGCAACGGCGTAGAGAAGGCTGGCAAGCCCCGCAAGAAGGCCAAGAAGGAGCACACGCCCGAGCCCGAGGAGGACGATGCTGTCGCCGAGGGTTCGGAGGAGGAGCACGAGGAGGAGCACGAGGACGAGCACGAGGACGAGCACGAGGACGAGCACGAGGAGCAGGAAGAGGGAGGCGAGGACGAGCAGGTCGAGGCGCAGCTCAACGCCGAGCTGAAGCAGATTGCGAAACGGGCGAAGAAGAGCAAGCAGGCGGATTCCGACGCGGAGGCTGGCGAGGAGCAGAAACAGAGCGCGAACCCGAACGACCTGCCGCTGGGCACCTCGATGCCGACTGTCGAGGACCCCAAGCTGTTTTCGGAGCTCAACCTGTCGGACCGCACAATGGAGGCCATCACGGCCATGGGCTTCGAGAGCATGACCGAGATCCAGCAAAAGACCATCCCGCCGCTGCTGAGGTAAGAAGACGCAGACTGGTCGCCGGGCTTGTACTGACAGCGAACAGCGGCAAGGACGTCCTCGGAGCCGCGAAGACGGGCAGCGGAAAGACGCTCGCCTTCCTCATCCCCGCCATCGAGATGCTCTCGGCGATGCGGTTCAAGCCGCGCAACGGCACCGGTGTCATTGTGGTGTCGCCGACGCGCGAGCTCGCGCTGCAGATCTTCGGCGTGGCGCGCGAGCTCATGGAGAAGCACTCGCAGACGTTTGGCATCGTCATCGGCGGCGCCAACAGGCGGGCAGAGGCGGAGAAGCTCGTCAAGGGCGTCAACCTGCTCATCGCAACGCCCGGACGGCTGCTCGACCACCTGCACAACACACCCGGGTTTGTCTTCAAGAACCTCAAGAGCTTGATCATCGACGAGGCCGACCGCATCCTCGAGGTCGGATTCGAGGACGAGATGCGCAGCATCATCAAGATCCTGCCCTCGGACCGCCAGACAATGCTCTTCTCGGCGACGCAGACAACAAAGGTCGAGGACCTCGCGCGCATCTCGCTGAAGCCCGGCCCGCTCTACATCAACGTCGACTACCGCAAGGAGCACTCGACGGTCGAGGGGCTGGAGCAGGGGTACGTCATCTGCGACTCGGACACGCGGTTCCGACTGCTCTTCAGCTTCCTCAAGAAGCACCAGAAGAAGAAGGTCATTGTCTTCTTCAGCTCGTGCAACAGCGTCAAGTTCTACGCGGAGCTGCTCAACTACATCGACCTGCCCGTGCTGGAGCTGCACGGCAAGCTCAAGCAGCAGGCGCGCACGAACCGGTTCTTCGAGTTCTGCAACGCGTCGTCGGGCACGCTCATCTGCACGGACGTGGCGGCGCGCGGGCTCGACATCCCGGAGGTCGACTGGGTGATCCAGTTCGACCCGCCCGACGATCCCAGGGACTACATCCACCGGGTGGGCCGAACGGCGCGCGGCAGCCAGGGCAAAGGGCGCAGTCTGATGTTCCTGCTGCCGAGCGAGGTTGGGTTCCTGAAGCTGCTCAAGGAGGCGCGGGTGCCGCTGGTCGAGTTTGAGCTGCCGGCGAACAAGATACTGAGTGAGTCACGGATCACGTTGGTGCAGGGAGATGACAAGGCTAACAGCACATGACAGACATCCAGTCGCAGCTCGAAGCCCTGATGGCGAAGAACTACTACCTCAACAAGTCCGCAAAGGACGGGTACAGGAGCTACCTCCAAGCCTACGCGTCGCACTCGCTGCGCAGCGTGTTTGACGTGCACAAGCTGGATCTCGTCAAGGTGGCAAGGAGCTTCGGGTTCGCGACGCCGCCGCGCATCGACATTAGTCTCGGGGCGGGAATGGGGCGCGATAAGAAGGTCGAGGGCCGCAGGGCGTACGGGAGTCAGCCGCAGCAGGGGAGGAGGCCGATGAAGCCTGGGCGCAGGTTTTAGGTGGAGCGGGGGGATGCATTCAGGGCGTTGAGGTGTTGGGGGTCGATAGCCTGGGTGTGTATTTTGCAGGTTAATGTTGAAAAGAGTGACAGCCTGGATGTGTCTTGCACGTTGATGTTGAAAAGAGTGACAGCCTGGTGTGTCTTGCATGTTAACGTTGAATAGAGCGACAGCCTAGGTGTGTCTTGCAAGTTAATGTTGAAAAGAGCGACAGCCTGGGTGTGTCTTGCATGTTAATGTTGAAAAGAGCGACAGCCTGGGTGTGTCTTGCATGTTAATGTTGAAAAGAGTAACAGCCTGGGTGTCTTGCATGCTAATGTTAAAAAGAGTAACAGCCTGGGTGTGTGTCTTGCATGTTAACGTTGAAAGAGCGACAGCCTGGGTGTGTGTCTTGCAGGTTAATGTTGAAAAGAGTAACAGCCTGGGTGTCTTGCATGCTAATGTTAAAAAGAGTAACAGCCTGGGTGTGTGTCTTGCATGTTAACGTTGAAAGAGTGACAGCCTAGGTGTGTCTTGCAAGTTAATGTTAGAAAGAGTGACAGCCTGGGTGTGTGTCTTGCATGTTAACGTTGAAAGAGCGACAGCCTAGGTGTGTCTTGCACGTTAATGTTGAAAAGAGCGACAGCCTGGGTGTGTTTTGCAGGTTAATGTGTTGAAAAGAGCGACAGCCTGGGTGTCTTGCAAGTTAATGTTGAAAAGAGTGACAGCCTGGTGTGTCTTGCATGTTAATGTGTTACAAGGTCCAACAGCCTGGGTGTGTGTTTTGCATGCTGATTAAAGTGTTTGAAATGATCAACAGCCTAGTCACGTTGCTCTGCACATTTGATTAATCAAGGCGTCAAAGCCTAGTTGCGTCTTTTGCACAGGAATTGCGTCGGTAGGGCTGCGGCTCGCTCGCTCGCATGCAGACGCATCGCCGACGTATCGCAGTGGTGCGCAGACGTATCGAGGCTCGGGGCGCGCGCAGACGTGTCGCACACTCGCACACTCGCAGACGAGTGGTGGTGCGTTGTCAAGCGCTCACAGAGCAGAGTGCCAGGATTGCGGGCGGCGAATCAGCGCCAGTCGGCTCCTCCCGCCCTGGTTCCGCACCACTCACCCCGGGCAACGCGGACACTGGGCGTCATGGTCGGAGAGCCGATCATTCGCCAGCGCGCGCCCAAAAGCAACACCTCATGGCAGCTCTCCACGGCAGCGCCAGCGTGCGGCGGTGGGTTGGCCACGGCGAAGGAGAGAATGGAGGGTGGAGAGTGGAGAGTGGAGAGTGTTGGACGGTGCTGGACGGTGCTGGAGAGTGCTGAACGGCGCTGGACGGCGCTGGTTTGGCGAGCAAATGCTGCCAGCCACACTCCCGCTCGCACTCCCGATTGCTGGGCTGGGCGCCAACAAAGAGACAGTTTGTCAGTGTGTGCTTGTGCAAGGGTCGCGCGACGGGACCACGGTGGAGGGGCTGGGAGGACCGCACATTTCCTGCTGCTAGCGCAGAGCCGCCCCAGCGCTCCAACCCGCCCAGTCCCCAGTCCCCAGTGTCCACACCCTGCGACCAACAGCACCAACGGCGCCCTCACCACACGGCCCGACGGCGAGCGAGGTGCTCGCTCGTTTTGCGCCGACGCTGCATTCTTACTGTCGCAAAGTAGCGACCCGTCCACGCCATCCACCGCAGACCACCATGGCCGCGCCCGGCACCCCGTCCGCCTGCTAGAATCCTCCCGGGTTCGACAATGGGTTTTGAATCTCGTCCACCTCTCCCGGCCCCGACAGAACCTTCGACTCTCAGCTCCGCAGACCGCGACGACAGCCCCCTCCGCGACGACGTCGACACCAACGTCTCGGCGCGCACCGACCGCACCTCGTACAGCATCCCCGAGGACGGCACTCCAATCACCATCAACACGACCCACCCGACCGCCACCAAGGCGTCGCTGCACAGAAAGTACCCGAGCCAGACGAGCCTGCTGATCGAGTACTTTGACGCCGGCAAGGAGAACAGCGGCCAGTCCCGCTCGCGCCCCGCCGTCCGCGTCCGCGTCACCCCCAGCTCGCGCAGCAAGAACCGCCCGGGCATCGACCAGGTGCACGTCGCCCAGGCCCCCCGCCACGCCACCAAGCCGGCCTACACCCGCCGCATCTCGCTGCAGCCCGCGGCCCGCGACCACGGCGCCCCGCCCCGGCCTCGCGACCTCTCGGACGCCTCGACCGTCTCGTCGCTCCCGCCCGTCGACATCGAGGTGCTGCACCACGCCAGCGACCTGTCGAGCGACCGCCACTTCATGCCCATGGCCATGACATCCGACGTGTCCTCGATGCCCGCCGACAGCATGCTCGACGGCACGCCGCAGATGCTGCCGCCCGCACCCCGCCGCAGCCGGAGCCTGGAACGGAGCACCGTGCTGACCGACTCCAACGCGGCCGAGTCGCCCGAGCTGCTCAAAGCGCCCGAGCACGAACGGACCAGGAGCACGAGCAAGGACCGCATCACGCAGCGCGTCATGGAGAAGCTGCAGCAGCAGCAGCTGCAGCAGCACCAGCAGCACCAGCAGCACCAGCACCAGCACCAGCAGCACCAGCACCAGCACCAGGCCGAGACATCCTCCAGCAGGACACGAAAGTCCGGCAGGGATGAGCTGGCTTCGCCCCGCAAGTCGTCTCGGCGACACAGCAACCATGGCCGCGGAGAGGAGACCAGCACCATCAGCGAGACAGAATCGAGCTTGCTTTCGTCCAGCGCCGACCGCAGATCGGCCGTCCCGTCTGTGCGCTCAGGCGTCTCCACCACATCCTCCATCAACAACCCCAAGCTGCTCGCCACCGTCGAGGATGCCATCCGCCGGCTCATCCTGCCGGAGCTGAACGCCCTGAAAGAAGAGAACCGCACTTCGAAGAACAGGGACAAGTTCGAGCGCATGTCGCGTGACACGGGCGCCACGTACGAGACGGTCGAGGCGCCAGGCTCGCGCGATCCGTCCGCGTCACGCCGGCGCGTCTCCAAGTCTTCGAGCACACCAAACATCACCGGTGGCAAGCCCAAGCTTGCCGTGGAGCGCCTTGAGAAGCCCTTTGAGATGGCCTCGGACAAGTCGAGTCGCAGGGAACGCAGATCGAGCCGGGGCTCGACTTCTGACCGCACGGAGCGCAGCCTGGCCGACTCGACGTCCAAGACGGCGACGCGCGAAAACTCGCACAAGAGGCGGAGCGGCCGCGCTGCGCGGGAGGCCGAAATTGCTGCGCTCGCCGGGTCTGGACTCACTGCTGCGGCTCTGAAGAAGCACACGTCGCGCGAAGAAGCCGCAGAGGACCGCAGGCACAAGAAGAAGCACTCCTCGCGGAGCAGTCCGAGTCGCTCTGCAAGCGTGGCGGAGAGCATTGAGCACGACGAGTACGCCAAGGATGTACCGCCTCTGCCGTTCATCCAGAGCGAACTCCACGGCTCTGAGCTGACGCGCGATTCCATCCTGTCGGCCGAGACGGAGACCAAAGGCCGCTCGCGGTCGACTTCCAAGTCGTCGACCACCACGGGTGCAGAGACGCCGCTGCGACAAGTCCCGCGCGGGTTTGCTGCCTCGGGGCCGCACACGCCGACCAGGGCCGCGCCGACCGGGCTGCAGCGTACCACTGGCACATTGCATGGCCACCAGTCCATGGAGGATCTCCGTCTGAAGTCTCCCATGAGCGACAGGAGCCACGGCTCCAGATCGCGGGGTGTGGGCTCCGCCAGCCTCGAAGCTGCAGCAGCAGCCAAGGCTCGCGCCATTGAGCGCTCCGAGACGCAGGCGTCGCACTACGAGATCATCGGCACAACGCCCACTCGCAATCTCAGCCCGGTCCAGAGCGAAGCCAGCTACCGCGAGCATGTGCACGCGGCTGGCTCGCCCAGACATGTGCGGACCTCCCGAAGCGCTGCATCCGTCTCCTCGCTGGGGAGGCAGGTGGAGCGGCAACCGTCCAACCTGTCCATTGGAACGTTGGAGTCGACGGCGAGCACCAAAGCTGCCCGCACCCGCAAGCGGCCCCAAGGCGTTAACCTCGAGAGCGTGCGATCCGCCATGGGATCCCCTCAGACGCCAAAGACGCCGCGTGACGCGGAGCTCTTCTTCGAACAGAACCACGAGCAGAACGAAATGTATCGGAGGGAGTTGGAGGAAAGCTCCCAGCTGTCGGAGAACTACCCCGTCAACTACAACCGCCTGACCAACTACACCGACGACAGCGAGGGCGTGCAGTACCTCGATCAGGATCAGATCATGGACCTCACCCATGGAGGCATTCGCAAGGTCGGCGCCAGCCCAGAGTACGTTCACACGCCGCTTGCAGTCGAGTCTGCTGTGGCCTCGCTGCACGAGCCATCCTCCATCAGCGTTCGCTCTTCGGCCGTCTCGAGCCCGCTGAGAGAGCCCGTCTCGAGTCCGCTGAGAGAGCCCGTCTCGAGTCCGCTGAGAGAGCCCGTCTCGAGCCCGCTGAAGAAGAGCCGTCTGTCGCAAGTCAGCCCCGCGCCGAGCCAGGACCAGATCTTGCACATTGAGGAGCACGAGATCCCCAGCGGAGAGCGATGGGGCGCGCTTCGCGACAAGGCTGAGGCGCTGGCGCACCAGCCACATGTCCAGGACAACTCGCCCAGGCAGAGCATTGCTCAGTCAATCGATGATCAGCCTGAGATGCACCATAGCGCTTTCCCTGTTCAAGACCACTTGATGCCTGAGATTGGATATGGCATGGATGACGAGTCTGACATTTCTACGAATCCTTCCATCATCCAGGGGCCTCTCAACGGCGGCGATGGATACTACGACCGCACCGACGGCTACGACCGCACCGACGGCTACAACCGCACCGACGGCTACGACCGCACCGACGACTACGACCAGCGCGATCGCTCATCCACCCGCCAGTCCAGCGGGCACGCGTTCAACAAGGGCGCCGCGCTCGGCGCCGGTGCTGGCGCCGCAGCTGTTGCTGCGGCAGCAGCTCATCATCTGCACAACCGCAGTCCGTCGATCGACCAACAGCACCAGGCCACTGTCGAGGATGACTACGAGTCTTACACTGGCGATTCGTTCGTTGGTCACGAGGGGCAGCCCGACTACGCCCAAAGCAACCGCACGCCCGTGTCCGGTACGACTGGATGGAGAGACGAAGGCTACCAATCAGCTAACCAACGTGAAGGCTACACGCCTCAGAGCCGCAACCACTCCAAGGTCTTTGACGACGAGTTTGCTGACGACTACGACGAGGCTCCGCTCGGTGGCGGGGACGTGTTTGCCTCCAACGCCAAGCATGGCCGCCACTTCAGCGCCAACTCTCACGGCACGGCGTCTCCCCTCTACGACGCTGCAACTGGCAAGGGCATCGATCGCATCCAGTCCAAGGACATTGTCGCGCTCATGGATCATCTTACCGTGCGAGATGCGCAGCGCAATGCGAGGGACACGGAGATCCTGGTCACGCTTGTTCGCTCCGCGGCGGAGATGCGCAACCAGCTCGATGAACTCAAGGGCTTCATCAAGGTGCAGGACAACATGATCATGAACACCACCGAGAAGCGGGTCGACGTTGCTGAGCAGCGCATCCTGGGCGGCCCACGACCACTGCCTCAAGCGTTTGGTTCGTCGCGCGGTGCTCGATCGGCGTCCGACGACCTGGACGCTGAGGCGAAGAAGAAGAACGTGTTCAAGCGCGCGCTAAAGGGCCTGAGCATGAAGGGCGACAGCGACATCAAGAACATTGAAGCCATGCTCATGCAGCTTCTCGGCGACGTGGAAGGCCTCAAGCAAGTCCAGCAGCTGCAGCTGGACCAGGGCAACCGCACAAACAGCCTCACGTCGTATGAGAACTTGAGGGCTAGCGGGGATCCTGGCTACGAACCAGAGGGTCGTGCCAATACGGACAACTCGCCGAACCAGTCTGGATACCTTTCGAACCCGGCCTCCTCGTCGCGTCGCATCAACGATCTGCACTCTGGCTACGACGTTGTGCAGACGAACCGCATAAGCACGGTACACGAAGACGACGAGGAGTATCTCGAGCGCGAGCCGCGATACGAGAATACCGAGCGCATGACGACTCCCACGCAAGAAGCGTACCACGGCAGGAGTCTGTCGCAGGAAATGGTGTCGCCCCCGGCGGCGAGGACCAGCCAGAGTCAGAGCCAGAGTCAGAGCCAGAGCCAGAGCCAGAGCCAGAGCCAGAGCCAGAGCCAAGAAGACACACCGAAGAAGAACAAGCACAAGTCCGCCTCGTCGTCAATCTTTGGCATCCCCAAAATCTCGCGCTGGTCAAAGACCACCTCCTCAACCGAGCCGCGCAACAGCGTCGAGAAGCGCCCGTACTCTTTGCACTCGCGCTCCTCGTCCCAGAAGAGCTACGACGAGTACGACGACGAGTACTCGCAGAACGGCGACCACGACCGCCGCCCTCGCACCGCCGACGACCGCTCCCTCCGCTCCCGAGAGTCGAGAGACGACCGCTCGTTCCGCTCCTCGGTGCGGTCCCCCTCCCCCCTGATCCCAGAGGACGCAGAGTACGAACTCGAAGACCCCAAGTACCACGCCCACCGCAACAGCCTCAACCTGCAGCACCCGCAGCCGCGCGCAGGCCCCACGGGACGGCACCAGAACCACCTCGAGACCGAGGCGCAGATGTACATCCCGGACAACGTGAGCGGCGTCAGCGGCTCGGGCATCGCCAGTCCAGACTACGATCAGTGGGGCAGCATGCCGAGTCTGGCACGCAACCGCATAAGCGGCGCCAACACCAGCCACAACCCGGGCAACCTGTCGCCCATCTCCAGCGATGGCGGGTACTCGGGCCACAGCGCGTCGGAGCAGACGGCGCGTGCGCAGCAGAAGCTCGTCGACGACGGCCCGCTCATCCCGCCCAACGCCGGCGTCCTCGCCGGCTACGGCCAGGCACGCAGCATGTACTCGAGCCCCAACGAGTTCGGCTCCCAGGGCGTGCTGACGCCGCTCGCACCCATCGCGGAGGTCAGGTACAGCCTCGAGACAGACAGGGGGCACTTGAGAGTGAGTCGAGCCGCCACATAACCAGCAACAACAATAACAACAACAACAACAACGACGACGACGACGACGCTAACTCCCCCAGGGCTCACCCACCCCCTCTCCCCGCCCCAGCAGCGCACACCTCCGCGCCTCGGCCCAGCAGAGTCCCCAGCGCAAGATCACAGGTCCCCGACCCATGGGGCCCCGCAGCCCGGCGCCTGGCGCTAGTCCCCTCCGACAGAGCCAGCAGCCCGAGCAGTATGGTCAGAGCCAGCAGCTCAGCCGCGACGACACGGTTATCCGCCGTCGACCGGCGAGTCGTGCGGATACAGAGTCGTTGCTTACTTATACGACGAGTAGGGATGGGAGTGATGATGGGCAGAGCGAGACTTTCTAGGGGCGTGGCATGGATGGATGGGGGGTGCGATGCTAGACTCGTCAGAGAACATGGAGACTTTGGATCTTGGTCGTGGCGCGGACCTGTGTCCAGACAGCGCGCAGGCGAGGCGAGGCGGGGGGGATATATGTGTGCTCGCGACACGGTGCGTTCATGGTTGCAGAAGCACTGCATAGGTTCGCTGGGAATGGCGTTTAGGTCCGTCCATCATATCGTTCTCCCGTCCTAGCGAGGAAGGGGATAGGGATTGAATAGCGATAGGGGTAGGGGTAGGGATTTGATAGGGATGGGGATAGGGGTAGGGATTGATAGGGACGGGGATAGGGGTAGGGATTGATAGGGATGGGGATATATACCACACGTGTGTAATGCATTCCTCCCCGGCCCGGTCTGTGATGGAGCGGAGTGATGGAGCGCATTGAACGAGTGAACGAGTGAGTGATCCAGCGGAGAAGAGCGGAGAGGAGGGGAGGAGATATAAAGATGAGTTGTAAAGTTGAGTTACACAACCCCCGCACGTGGGAACCACGCCACAGCTGCGCTTGTAAAGAATGAGAACGGAGTGCTGTTGAGACTTGTTCGGTCTGGTCTGATTCTCGCGCAAACTCGTTGATATTATACTGCGATGCGACTATATCTCTGCCCAGCAACCTGTTTAGACAGTGTCATGATGGGTCCGTGGTAGGGCTTGCGACGACCTCCCTGAGGTCTGAAAGCGTCTACAAGCCCACCACAGGGTCTGACGTTGTAACAAAGAAGGTTCCATCGAGGCCGGCTGGCCGTGCAGTGATCCACAGAGGCCGGGAGGCATACTGACACTGTACTTCGGCTTTGCAACCCAAGTCGCAAGGTATAATAAGCATGCATCCGGCCCAGAGCACGCCAGCACTCCCCAACCGACGCCCGAAGCGAAGGAACTCGCAGTACGAGATGCCCTCACCAGTGCGGCGCACCCTCGCCAAAAGTAACCTACTTGGCCAATAATCTGGTTTCTTCTGGACGCGGTGGTCAGGATACAACAATACCCCAGCTGCAGCGACCTGCTGCGAAGAGACGTCGCGCCCTTCGACGTGAGCGGGGAGGCGAGTCGTGTCTGGTGGAGGTGGTTTGTTCCATCGTGACGGGATGATGGAGCTTATTCATACACCGCTTAGTGCTGTCATCAAGACGTCCGCGAGGAGTGCGGTGCATGCTTTCTGCTTGGCTTGGAGGGGGGTGGCGGGAGCGGGTGGCGAGGGTCCGGGCCGGTGGGGATTGCTCGGTGGAGGGGCTGCGGTCGTGTGGTGTGGGAGGTCTCGGTGCCGGTTGTCGAGAGTCTGATCTGTGAGCAGGGTCGATCAGGGGGTGGTGGTGAGGGGTGTGCGGTGTATGGGATACCTCGACGTAGCATCGACTTGGTTCATTACATCACAAGGCACATGAGCATGTCTAGCAGCGCATTTCGGAATCCATTCATGGTTGTATATTTACAAAAAAGAGTAATGCTACTCAGTAGCCGTCAGAGAAGAAGAGGCGGGGCTTGATCTCTCCGAGATCTCGCTATACCCTCTCCAAAAGGGAAACCGATCAAGATGCTGACGTGACGCCTGGCTATGCAGATGACAAGTCATAGAAGTAGTCTTACACTATCCACATCCGGGAGGCGAGGAACCGCTTAACCGAAGAAAGAGCGGGCGTGGCGGCGGACCTTGGAGGCACCGCTGGCGCCAGTGGTCTCCTTGAGCCAGGCAATGAACTCGGCGAGGGTGAACTCCTCGGGGAGAGTGGAGGAGCCGGAGCCGGAGCCGGAGGTAGGGGCGGGAGCAGCAGCGCTGGTGGCAGCGGGAGCAGAGGAGGCAGCCTCAGTGGGGGTGGCCTCAGCGACGGCGGAGGTAGGGACTGCGGAAGAAGTAGGCGTAGCGCTGGTGGCAGCCGCAGATGTGGCGGCGGCCGACGAGGCGGGGGCAGCCGACGAGGGAGCGGGGCTTGAGCCGGACGAGGCGCCGTCCCAGACAGCGGGGCCGGGGATGGTGTAGGATGTCGCTCCCGAGTAGATGTCGAACAACACACCAGGGTCTGTGGCGGAGTATGCCTTGGTCATGTCGACACCGGCTGTGGGGAGAGAGGCCGAGCCGGAGCCAGTGACCTTGATCTGACCACAGCCGTTGTAGAACTGGGCACCACCCTCGCGGTTGCCCTCGTGGAGAGCAAGGATCTCAGGACGGATCAGGTACTCACCAGCGGCGAGGTCGGGGAGGGTGATGGTGATCTTACCCTCGTTGGCGATGAAGGTCTCAACGGCCCACTTGCCGTTGGTAAGACCATCCTCGAAGAGCTTGGTCCAGACGGCACCCTCACCGTTAGAGGCAGCAGGGGCAATGTAGACCATCACCGGGCCCTTGTGGGAAGCAGCGATGGGCTCGTCGGCGTCACCCTCAGTGGAGGCGCCGTCGTTGTGATGCCACTGGAAGGTGACATCAGAGCCAGCCGCGACCTCGAGGGTGTCAGCGGCAGCTGTGCCGCCGTTGCAGGTCATGGCGGATGAGGTGACATCGAGAATGGGGTTGTTGCCGTTGGAAGGAGTGCGGACAGCGAAGTGCTGGCCCTGGTCCTTGCCGTCAATGACAAAGGACTGGAAGGTAGTGTGGGCAGTAGCCAGCTGGGCAGCGGCGAGAGCGACAGCGTACGAGTACTTCATTTTGAGGTTGGTCGGTTGGTTGTTTTGTTGGAGAAACTGGTATAGTCGAAGAATGGAAGTCTGAAGAATGTTCGAATGGATAGTCGTCGAAAGTGAGCGTATGCTAAAGAGCGTGTGAAAGAGTGTGAGCGTCAAGCCTGCCCTTCTCTAGGTGCGAGCCGTAAGTTTCTTATACACATCCCGCGTAGTCGGCACAGCACTGGCTCCACGGTCGTAGCGCCGTCCTGGAATCGCCAAACCGGGGCTGCCGTCTTTGCCAAGCTCATGTCATCTACCTTCAACGTGCACTAGCGCCAGATCTGGCAATGTGGCGCCATCTAGTCGCCGCAGGACATTGGATTGAGGCTGGCGGGATCCTGCGGCCCAGAAAAGCCCATGTTGGTGTTCTCGTGGGAGATTGCCTGGGTGTCGCTTCGATGCATGTTCCTGGACGCTTCCTGTCCCCGATCCTGATCCGCAAATGGCGTTTGAAATGACGAGAAACGTGAAACCTCACAAAAGGCTTGGGCGGTAGAGCTCCACCCTGTCCAAGGCGTCAAAGGACGCATCGTGCGCTGCTCATGCCATCGTCGTCATGCCGTTACAATATTTCGATGGCTTCTTGCTGTTTGTTCTACTGCCTCGTCGTGAGGAAATTGCACAGGCATCCTTCACGTAGTCGCGAAATTGGCTAGCGAGGTGGCTGCAAGACGTGCCAACACGTATCAAGGAGTGCTGCCCGCCTTGTTAGCTCTGTTCGCCCTTTGTCTGTGGACCTCAGTCATGTCTTCGAAATCTAGACGCTTTCGAGTAAACAGGAGGAAATGGCAATATCCATGACCAGCGGGAACGGAGCAGATTCTCCGTTTGGCAGCGGTGGGTCCACTTCTTAGCTCCTGTCATTTGATGTTTCAAACATGTTCATCAAACAATCAATAAACTACTTCGCGTCCACGCTGTAGATCTTGAAGGCGGTCGTTTACTTGCCGGCTCTTTGGTGATGTTGAGCGCAGAGCACGCCTCGTTGTCGCAGTACGTCCAGTGCTTTCGCCAGTCTCTGGCATGTTGTCCAGACTCTTCGCTATTGACGGGTCGTTCGTTCCACTCATCTCTTGTCGCTGACGCGTGTTGAGCGGCACGAAATTGATTCTCGTGCAGGAGCGCGGCGTAACGCTGGACGAATGCGTGCTCATGGCCGTTTCGTCCTCCGCTCGCTGACGTTCGGCTAAAGTGGTAGAACAAGGCTTACCGGTACCGTAGTCATGGCCCATGCGCTCGCGTAGCTGAGCCGATGGTGGTCGGTCATTCTTTCTTCTCTGACCCACCGTCGATGTCGATGAGAGTAAAAGTCGCGAGATTCCAATCGCTGAAGAGACCTTCTGGTTGTTTCTGAAGGTATGGAAGCGTTTCCAGATCAGCGTGCCTAAGATGCCGGCGAATTGAAGGGAACAAAATCTATCGATCGAGACCTATGAAAGCATAGCCAGCGAGAGGGCAGCAACGAGAATCAACGCCATGCGAGTCTGTAACAGTAGACAGACAAGCAGAAGTCTATGGGCAGGAGCGTCCGCTGCGGTTCTTTAAGGAATCCCAGGTACGGAACATCTTCCGTAATCATAATCTAGATCCTCATTATGAGCACGTTTGAGCGGGATCGTACATGTATATTTCCAGATTACAGCGCATCATGTCGCTCAAAGAATAAATTATAAATGATGGTTCGACTTTATTCGTTCATTCGATCGTCAGACTTCCGCCATTGCTGTATTATGCTTGTCATGATCATAAATATGTATCATTCCACCCTCAAGGCTAACCAGTCTGGCCCTGTCCCTGCCTAACGGGTGCATTTGCATCGGGCTCACCACCATCATGTACATGATGACATGTGTTCCCATCCTTGTGAAGGCGGACATCGTGATGATCGAAGGAGATTGTGCATTGAAATCGAGTAAACGAAACAAACGCTGAATTGAAGGCAAAACCAACTCTGACTTGCATCTTTGTATTACAACTAGCTAAGGGGTGAAATGCAAACCTGGATATCTCTGCTTCGCTGTTGTTCGTGGGATCAATAGCTCTTCATCATCGTGCACCTGCATCGTAATTGAGAAAACAACCAAAAGAAATGGAAAGATGTGGTATGTGACTTGAGGTTCAGAGAAACATAGTTAGCCTCGAGGGGTATCGTCAGACTCCGACTCCGACTCCGTCTTGTAGGTGTGAGAAGCGGGTAGAAAGGGGTTCATCGTTGAGCGCCTACCGCTAGTATAGGATACGCTCATCGAAGACAGGGGCCTCTCTGGCGCGTCCATCCTCGACACCCTTCCAGTAAACCTTGCCCTTCTCATCGAAGATAGCCTGCTCATCTGTGATTTGCAGCTCAGAGCAAGCCTTGTTTGTGTCCCTGATTTCACGCTGGCTGATACCCATCTCGTCGTGGACGATCCAAATGACTGGTGTGGGTGATGTGACGGCAGGATTGAAGAAAGCGCGTTTCTGGATCTCGATAGGCAGTGGCTCCTGAGGCTGGTGATAGTACTGGTCCAACGTAGTGTAGAGCGTGCTGAGCGAGTTACGTTCGGGATTGACGATCTTCCTGAGAAAGCCGGGAATGCGAGACGCCTTGGGGGCGTAGTTGGTGCTGGCACCGCTGTTCAAGGGTGCAGAGTCAGACTTCTCACGGCTCTCATCGCGGTGACCATCCTCAACTTGACCATTGTTGGGTGTGGGGTCAGTGTAAGCCAGGCGGGCCTCCTCGTGCTTGATGGCTGTGCCGAGCGAGACGGTGAAAATGAGAGTGATCGCTAGCATAACGCACATGATAGCCAGAGGACCGGCAGCGTATGTGTTGTTAGCCGTTGAGAGGGCGAAAAGGCCGATCAAGCAAATTTCGGAGAGGAAGACACCGGTGAGCAGCTGCTTCAACGCCTTCTGGTAAGCTTCACCCTTGGTATCGATGTTAGTCTCGTACACGTAGAGGAAGTTGTAGCGGTAGGCGATGTAAACGAGAGTGAAGCCGACCGTGGCGAAGCCCAGGATCAGAGGGGCGATACCAGCATAGGTAATGGCAATGACACCCAAGTTGCACCACTTGGGGAACTCGGAACCCCAAGCAGGAGCCGAGAGTTTGGTAAGCTGGTCGAAGATCTTGCGAGGTGTCTTTCCAGGGAGGATGCGACCGAGGAGAATAACCACGACAAACCCGCCAATGTTGAGAAGTGTACCGGCAGCCGATGAGAGACCCAGCAAGACAAAGTAACTGATATAAAAGTTGGAGGCCTTGGGAAGGTTTTCCGCCAAGAGTGACAGAACTGAGCCGGGGTTATCAAGAACCTGGTTGATCACCGAAGTGATGGCGCTGGAGAGTGTAGCAACGAGGAAGACCTGTACGACCTGGAAAACAAAGTACCAGCTCTGGGTCTTCAATTCAATCTGGCTCCAGGTGACGTAACCGGCAAGCTTGGCCATGAGACGGCAGAAGATAGGTACCAATGCCATTAAGACAGCGAGCATGACTGTGGGCAGAAGACCGGTGACAACACCAAGAATGACCTTGGGAATGTCAAGGATCCAAGACAACCACGTGAATCGCTCCGCCAAGTAGTTGATGTTGGAGATCAAACCAACGAAAGCGACGGGAACAGCGAAAAAGATGATCATGACGGCGATGATGGCGGTAGCAATAGCCCATCGAATAAGGTGTTGGGATGTACCAATCTTCAGATTCTGCCAGACAACTTCTTGCGGCATGACACCGAGCTGACGAGCAGCCATCTTGGAGTTCGGCTTGGTCTTGCGGCTCTGCATCATCTGCCATGCGTCCTGAGCGCGCCTCTGAGTGTCAAACTCAATGAAGACGGCGCCGACGAGCTCGCCCTGACCATTCCAGTGCTTATCCTGCTCAGCAGTGATCTTGGGAATAAGCTCAGCCAAGTGCTGGCGGCCGTATTCGATGGTGTCGACCTTCTTGCCGATGAGAAACTTGAGCTTGTGGGTAGGGCGGTCCTTGGGGTTGAGCCACTTAGTGCCGTCCTGCGCGTTTTCGTCGACAAAGTGCTTCTTGCCCTTCTCAGCCTTCATCCTCTCCTTGTTCGCGTTCGTCAAAAGCTTGACTTCGCCAGCTTCGAACTTGAGAGCGGTCTTGTCGCGGTCCTCGACGAGGTCTTCAAGCTCCTTGGTGTCAGACGCAACCCAAGCATGCTTAACACCAGGGAACATCTCGAACAGGGCGCTCTGGGAGAGTGTCTTTGGTACGTTGGTGAAGAGAATTGTGCGCGCTGAGAGGCGGCTGGCGCCCCATGGCGATCGGCGGTATGCTTGACGAAGATTGACGGTGTAAAAGGACTCGCGCGCAATAATGACCATGACGAGACCTATTTGCACGTTAGCCTTGCTCACTCTCCAGGTTTGGCCTCAATCGACTTACTCAGGAAGATGGCAGCTATGATGGCGTGCGCATAGTAGCGATTGATATTAGTGCCATCCGTCGAGACATTACTGAACGAAAGCATGTCAAACTGTTTCTGTCCAGCACCGCCAGTTGCGTTGACTGGGAACAGAACAGGCCAAGTGATGCACGCGCCCAAGAAGCTCAACACAATCATCATCTTGAAAAAGCGCACGAAGAGATAGCCGTCGATCGACTGATGATCCAGAATGTACTCATCCTTGAGGTTTTTGAAGTCTTTGATCCATCCGAACAGGCCCCCACTCGGTGCTGGCGTTTGTCGCTGCTCTCCCAGATGGTTGAGGTACGTCCTCGGCGCATACACTCGTCGGAAGGACTTGCGGAAAACGATGAAAGCGGTAACGAAGACACCAGCAAGAATTGCTGTGGGTACTAGGGTCGACAGGAAAGACGACAAACTGTTCGACGCATCCCTGGCCTCGCCAGTTTGTCCACCCTGTGATGATGTATTAGTGCGTGTTCACGTGTTTGTTTGTTTTCACTTGCAACAACTTACGGTGGACGACATAGTGGAAGTAGAGACGGTTGTCTACCCCTCGGGATGGTTGAAGGGTATTATTAACGCGACAGGGGACTGTGCGATGCAAAAAATGAGCAGGTCGTCGCCGCGCAAGACAATTAAACAGGATGCGGGAGCTACAAGTAGTGACGTGGGGCCCCTGTCCTAATCGGCCCAGTGGCTCAGACAAGGGAAAGTGCAATCGCCAGCCACCGCATGATTGGCGAATGCCCGCTGGTGCCGCTTTCAACTTTCCTTCAGTTCTCCATTATCCAGACTCTCACCGAGCTTGTCTCCGTTGCACCAGCCTCGATTGCGGCGCAATCTTACTGGCATGTGAACTATGGCATCTCGGAATGCCCGTTGATGGGGCTGTACCCTTGCGCAAACACCAGACGAACTCGACTCGAAGTCGTCGCGATCTCAAATCCTGTCACTCACCGTTCGGACGCACATCATGATTGCTAGGGTAGGTAGCTGAACTGGGCATGCCAAAAGCAAGGCATTGATTCGTGCATTCAGGGGTCACGGCACTCTCCCGCGTTACGAGCAGCCAAGTGCCTCGCAAAGTCTGGTGCACGCGCACAACTCGCATTGATCCTTGATGCGAGTTGATCACCTACAAAGAGCGGATACATGACGTTATCAAACAGAGAGGGGCACTGCGACGGCTCCCTTCCCCCATCTTGGTCTTGGATTCTCCTGACTGACAACAAGGCTTCATTGCTGCCAAGTGTCGCACACGCGCAACGCTGTGCGATGACTTCATCGTACCATCAATCTCAATCGGTGCCATCAGTAACAACACCTGAGCAGCGACAGCCGTTACGTGTACAACAGCACACCGCTGCACGCTAGACACCAGCTGCGACAACAATCAACTTTTTCCGACACAGCCCTCGCTATCAAGCAGCGCGTTGAATATCATCACACGCCCCTGCTCGCGGCGATCTAGATCTGGCGCTACCGGGTGATCTCACTCAAACCCTTCCCAGTAGCCTCTGCTTGCAGCAAATTTCCGAACCGCCCAACCTGCAACATGACACGCGCTACCCTTTCGGCGCAGATATTCAGCTCGTGGCCCATGTCAGCGGCTGCAGAGCCTCGTGTTGTCAGGCTATCGAGTGTGATTTGAGATTGTGGGCGGCTGGATGATTTGTTGTTTGTTGTTGCACAGCCACAGGTTAATCAGCTTCGTCGGCTCCGGCGGAGAGGGGCTGTGGCGGCCTATAGGATGTGGCATCGGCATGAGCATGAGGGTGGCATCAAACGACGACGTCGGCGACTCCGACAAAGGTCGAATTTTACGCTGCTGCGAATCCTACATCGTCGAGAAAGAAGAGTCGACCATTGTGACGTCGGGCTGCATCCCGCATTAGCTCATCACCAAGCTTTCTTCACGGGCAGCACAACAAGGCAAGCCTCGATCTTGTTCGTATCGTCAAATCCATCAAGATGGTAGATCTCACATGGACATCGAGGGTTTTTGTTAGCTTGCTGGTCTGCATTCGTAGTCAATCAGTCTAGCATGTCATCGATGCCGCCTTTGACACCATGCAAGATCAATGAGGACTGCTGTAAAGCCTTGCCTGGTTTCACATTGAGCTCTCAGTATCTGCAATGTAGCTGTCGTGTCATGAAGCAGACATCTCTGCGTCGAGCGAGCTGCGTCTGCAGTGCCACGGCCGCCTGATCGTACCGGTATGCATGCAACCCATGATACACACCACCACCCGAGGTATTGGAGCCAGTTATGCGCTCCCCTTTCGACTGATTTAATGGTAGGTTCCTCGTCGACTATCGGTGTTCGTTGCGAGGTTATACCAGTTTTGTGTTCGCAGAGCAACCACACGCAAGTCTGAAGAAAATCGACACTAAACCACCTTCTATCCAAGCAGGCCGGGAATACGGATCATGCGGTACACGGCGGGGTACGCCAGGTCTGGACTACTTATGCTGAGGCCATAGATGCCGGCCTTGCCTTGTGGATTCTCACAACCCAGCACATGTGTTGCGTTGGTGTGGGGAAATGGACATGTCGACCACAGCATGATGACAAGGTAAGCTCTGGAAAGCTGGACGCCAGTCTGGATACGTGTCGCTTCTCGAGAGCGGCTTGCGCGCCTCGCACACACTGAGATGGAGATATCATCATGCAAGTAGATATCAGCCGGTTGAGCACTGAAGCTACTGGTACATTCAGCCACGACCGGTTCAATACAAAGAACGTGTATAAATCATTGAAGAGACCAGTATCGCTTCTGATTTGATCGTAGACTGGTGCTTCAAGACGCCATGTCGCCATTTGCCGTCACATTAGCTCGTCCCACCCCCCAATGCCATACACAAAGAAACACGCTCGAATCAATACGCTCTGCCAGAGTTCCTAGGCGCAAATAGCCTACCGTTCGCACTTCTATTGCTCAACTTCCTCTCAACAGTCCTCTCCACGCTCCCGTCCCTCGAACCCTGCACGATGCCGTCGGGGAAATACGTGTCCCATCCACTCACCGTCCTGTGGGGACCTGTCCTGACGTCGCCATCTAGATTGCCAGAATGGTTCACGGAGCGGAACGACTCGGTCTCGACGTGCTCGCCGACTGTGACAGCGTGATGCTCTAAGCCGTCGTCGACGAGGATGCTGCGCTGCGTGTCGGCAGTGGTGGGACAGGGGCGCTGCTGGCGGCCGCGAGACGTGGCTCTTAGATCGCGCACTTCGTAGTAGCCTGGGAATGGTAGAGAAGCCGAGTTGCTGCGGGAGCGTGTGCGGTGTACGATGGGTGGAACTGCCGAAGCGGTGTCGGCAGGGTTTCCGGTTGATGCCTCTGAGCCGAGAGTTTCTTTGCTCTCGTACCAAGTATTTCTCTCTCTCCTGTTGCGATAACTTGACTGTTGGTTGGCGCTGTCTTGTGAGTCGTGGTGGACGAGCGTGGGCTCGCTGCTGATGGAGTCCTGGTGCCGCGTTCGACTATGCTTCTTGCGAGCGTTCCCACTTTCCATGGTGGAGATTGGGGGGCTATCGTCCGAGTTGGGAAGTGATAGTCGAGGGTCGATGGGCGATTCCGGGCTTATCGGTCGGTCGCCGTTGTTCTGGCCAGCGTAGCAGTTGGAGGTGACAGTACCCATGCCAGCTTCAGTCGGAGGTTGGAGAGAGCGGTTGAAGTCTTCAATCGCCTGATCCTTCTCGTTCATGGCCTTGTTGCTATCGCTTCCTGTCCCGTTTCTACTCCTGCCACTGCCACTGCCACTGCTACCACTGCCACTACTACCCACAATCCTCTTATGCCAAGAGCTGTTTTGGTACTGAAAGTCTAGACGCTTCTCGCCGCGCTTGCCAAACCAGAGTGGCTCGTTCTTGCTGATATCTACAACACTGAACCATGGGTTGCCAGGATCATCGTCAGCAAGGGCGAAAATGACGTCCACCTCCTCGAGCGAACGGAATGCAGTTTCGGGGTAGAAGAAGTAGACCGTGGGAATGATGGCGAGGTTCGTTGCAGCAAAGATGATCCAGGTGCGGTAACCGATGTTGTTGAATGCGATGGGTGTGATGAACACAACACTATGAGGTGATCAGTAGGGAATGCTGCACACGGTAGCACCAGAACTTACATAAAGTTGAACAACCAGTTGGCACTCGTACTGATTGCATTTGCCGGGCCGCGGATCCTCAGAGGAACGATCTCGACTTGGTAGAGCCATGCCATTCCTTGCCAGCCGATGGCAAAGAACATCGAGAATGCGAACAGGAAAACTGTACTGGCAATCCGTGCTCCAGCAACATTGCGCTCAGTCCAGAGATACTGCATGATGGTGATGAGGATCATGCACCCACTCATACCAGAAGCGCCGAACATCATCAAGGACCTACGGCCCCAGAAGCGATCAATACCGACGACAGCAATAAAACTGGCGAGGAAGTACGTCGTAGCAGAGCACCCGGCAAGGAGACGAGCCAACCACCCGGTGTAGTTCATGCGGGTGAAGAAGATCCAACTCAAGTATTGCAGAGCGAGGTTGATTCCCGTTCCTTGCTGGAAGACCTGAACGAAGTAGGCAAGGACAACACGGTGGAAGCCACGGCGCTCTTTGTTGGAGAACACGCTTGCTGTTGATCCTTGAGCCATGATCAGAATGGCATCCTTGATCTGAAGGAACTCGTCCTTGATCTCGAAGTCGTCGATATCGGCATCGTTCAGGGCGGCCAGCACATTCAGCGCTTCCCGCTCTCGGCCTGTAAGGATGAGCCATCTCGGGCTTTCAGGCAGGAAGATCAGCAAGGCGATTGCGGGCAAGGAGAAGACGATCTGGAAGGCGACAGGGACTCGCCACGCCGCCGAAGAGCCAACATAGGCAAACGCGAACGTGAGCCAGTACGATAAGGCGTACCCAGCTGCAGCGAAGGCGCCTGCGCTGATCATGAGGATGGTTCCTTTGCGATGTGACTTGACACATTCGGCCTGATACGCAGGTGCTGTGGCTGTAGTGAAGCCATTGCCTGTACGAATGCGTTAGTGTCTCGAAACCTCCTTGACTCAGAATAGAGGATACACATACCGAAGCCGGCAATGCCTCGTCCCACGATGAACTGTGCGAAGCTGTACGACGAGGTCTGAATGATCTCGCCAATCGTCCATATGGTGATGCCGAGAAGGAGAGTGCGTCTGCGACCAAGAGAGTCGCTGACCAGGATGCAAAGGATGGCAGACACGAGGCATCCCAGGTTCCATGCTCCTACGACAAGACCTGATCGTGTCAGTGAAGGACATCTTCAATACACTCTGGACGTACCTGTCACCCATGCATTGTGGAATGATGTCGTCGCAGGGTCCAATGTATCAAGTTGAGGGAACCGCTCCAGGAATTGAGGAACGGTCAAGAGGCCGCCCATCACGCCCTGGGCATAGCCGAAACATCTGTCAAGCTGTCAGTCACTAGCCCAACGTTCTAAATATTACGACTTACAGGAAGCATAGCCCACAAACAGCACTGATCACAGTCGCGAGACTTCCGCCTCTCAATCCAAGATAGCTCGCCATAGTGCTCTTTAAACGGCCAGCACAACAGATTGCAACGCAGCTAGAAGGAGGCTCGACGGTTGACGAAAGGACCGGACCGCGACGAGCGGCTCAACGCTTATCATAGCAGCTGTCTAAATCATGCTTTCGGACGCCCAGATACCGTATAAGACTTGTGGGTTTGGCGAAATCTTCAGATTTTCGTCATGACTGACTCCAACATGGATTCAACATGGATCCAACATGGATGCCCTTCGGACGTTGCGTCCGCGGCAACGGCCTGAGGAGAGCGGACTTGCCCGATCAGGGCAAATCCGACATCTCGACATCGTCGAGGCGTGTCGATATGTCAGGTGCCGGGGTGCGGAGATGAGACCGATAGGCGTTGATGTCATCAGTGCTAGTGGATGACTAGTGTCGATATGTGATTATAGCGTTTGTCGATCAGATCACGGAGAGTTTGACAGGATGGACGGTTCTCATCAGCATCGTCTTCAGGTGTTCGCAACAGCATGCTGACTTGTGCGGCACCAGACGGGGTCGTGATCTTCAAAAGGCAAATAAGTTCTGGGGTTGTACGATCTTGACTTCATCTCGTTTGCAGGGATTCGCATCCTGCGAGATGAACACTGGTTCATCGATCGTTAAGTTTATCCACCTCGGCGAAACTATTCGCACAATGGTGACCTCGCCCAGGCTGCCCGTTGGATTGAACGTTGCACCCCCTCTTGCTGAAGGCGCTCCCATCCAATCGGTTGAAGTTCACCAGATGGAGCGACCGACACCAAACTTCCGGGGATCCTGCTCTTCGCGACCGCTTCGGAAGTTAATGCACGCTCGATGTCCGGCGTGCTGGCGGTTCCTTGTTTGTAAAACTGGTAAATACCCAGTGGCGGGAGTGAAGCTGACGGTGAACGCGCAGCATCTGCTGTATCACCAAGTGTAGAGCTCACGTTGATGTTCTATCGCGCATACCCGATGCAGCAGATACGCGCGCATCCTTGTCCATTGGCAATCAAAGCGGGGGCGTTCGTTAATCGTGCAGTTAAACCTGCGAGATGAGGAGCGACACCCAGCGGCCTCCGGACCATTCAGCGAGCGAGCGTGACCCGCAGGCCGTCCGACGCGGACTGCATCCGAAGTCACTGGCGGAGGGCAAACCCGTATGCGAGCGAGAGAGATGTGTGCAAGAGTCTGTCCCGATTGACATGTGAGAGTTCTGGGATGCTCCAGAGCTGTGAGGGATGTTGAGTATGGCCGGCCTACGCATCACTTCTGCTGCATCAGCCGCAAAAGATGCACTGCCACCCTCTTCTCTTCCGTGACAACAAACAATGTCAGAGCAACGGGAGCGGCCTGGGAGGAGGGAGGGCTGGGTATGTTGTTTGCAGGCTGGGGAAGTGCAGCGGCAGGGCGTGCTGGCGGGGGAGGTAGTTTGGGATGTGTGCGCAACGGTTGGACGCGGTGCTCTGACATGCACTGATAGGCATTACGCACGTGGCAATATCGTACATAGTATACAATCTAGCTGGCATCTACAAACAAACGTGTGCATCTCGGCTACTTGGCCAAGAACTTCTGGAACGCCTCCTGCTCGACGACGACATTGCCGACGGCGCGCAGTTTCTTGCGGCCCTCCTTCTGCTTCTCGAGCAGCTTCCTGCGGCGCGACAGATCGCTCGCGTGCAGCTTGGCCAGGACGTCTTTGCGAAAGGGCTTGATGGTGGCGCGGGCGACGATGCGGCGGCCGGCGGCGGCCTGGATGATGACCTCGAACATCTGGCGGTCGACGTGCTCCTTGAACTTGTCGACCCACAGGCGGCCGACGCGGTCGACCTGGGAGGTGTGCAGGACGCGGGAGACGGCGTCGACGGGCTGGCCGTTGACGAGCAGGTTGAGTTTCGTGATGGAGGACTTGTGGAAGCCGGCGTCTTCGTAGTCGAGCGAGGCGTAGCCCTTTGTGCTGCCCTTGAGCTTGCCGAAGAAGTCGTCGACGAGGTGCGAGAGCGGCAGGTCGTATTTGAGGATGACCTGCGAGGCGGTGAAGAAGGTGAGTTCGCGCTGGATGCCGCGGTTGGCTTCGCACAGCTTGATGACTTCGCCGAGGTATTCCTGCGGGAGGGTGACGGTCGCCAGGACGTAGGGCTCGTGGACCTCCTGCACGCGCATGTGGACCTCGTCGGCGTCGGGGAACTCGTTGGGGTTCGTGATGATGCTCTCTGTGCCGTCGCGCCAGAGGACCTTGAATGGGACCGAGGGCGGGGTGATGATGATGTTGGCGCCGTGCTCCTGGCGCAGACGGTCCTCGAAGACGGAGCAGTGCAGGGTGCCGAGGAAGCCGAGACGCCAGCCGGCGCCGAGGGCGTCGGACGACTCCTTCTGCAGGGTGACGGAGCGGTCGTTGAGGATGATCTGGTTGATGCTGTCCTCGAGGTGCTCAAAGTTGTCCTGGTCGGTGGGGAAGGCGGCGACGAAGACCATGGACTTGGGCTCCTCAAAGCCGGGGTAGGGCTCGACAAGCTTCTCGCTGCCGACGGTCGTGTACGTGTCGCCGACCTTGGCCTCCTGCGAGCGCTTCATGCCGGGGTTGAAGTGGATGTAGCCGACCTGGCCGGCCTTGAGCACCGTCTGCGGCGTCTGGTCCGGGTACATGATGCCGACCTCGCCGACAATGTACTTGAGGCCCGTGGCGAAGGAGCGCACCGTGTCGCCGGGGCGCACCTGGCCGTCGAAGACACGCACCAGCAGGATGACGCCCTTGTAGACGTCGTACCACGAGTCGACCAGCAGCAGGCGCAGCGGCTTGGCCAGGTCGCCGACGGGGGCCGGGATCTTGTCGATGACGGCGGGCAGCAGGGCCGCGACGTTCAGGCCCGTCTTGGCCGAGACCAGCACGGCGTCGTCGGGGTGCAGCTCGAAGGTGTCGCGCATCTGCTCGAGGACGCGCGGCGGGTCGGCGTGGGGCAGGTCGACCTTGTTCAGGACGGGCAGCAGCGCCAGGCCCTGCGAGAAGGCGAGGTAGAAGTTGGCCACCGTCTGGGCCTGGACGCCCTGGCTGGCGTCGACGAGCAGCAGGGCGCCGCCACACGAGGCGTAGCTGCGCGAGACCTCGGCGCGGAAGTCGACGTGGCCGGGCGTGTCGACGAGGTGCAGCAGGTAGTCGGCCCCGGCGTGGCGGTAGATCATGGTGCACGTCTGCGCCTTGACCGTGATGCCGCGCTCGCGCTCGACGTCCAGGCGGTCGAGGATCTGCTTGTTGCCGCCGGGCGCGATGGTGCCCGTGAGCTCCAGCAGGCGGTCCGACAGCGTGCTCTTGCCGTGGTCGACGTGCGCGACGATGCAGAAGTTGCGGTAGCGCTCGATGGGGATGGCCGCGATGCGCTTCTCGAGGTCCGTCTGCGCGCGGAACGCCTGGGCATAGCTGCGGGCGAGCGGTGGTGACGGCGACGGCAGTGGCAGCCGCTCAAGGGCGCGGTATGCGTGCGCGGGCGCGATGCGTGTGGGAGAAAAGCCGTGCGGGCGACGCGACTGCGCCCGCCAGCCCTGCAGAAGGCTGCTCGCGGTCCGGGGCATGCATGATCGCATGAGTGGGCATGGGACGGACGGTGCTTGGCTGCGGGCTGCGGGCTGCGGTGCTGTTGTGCTGGCCGCGGCCGCACTGGCGTCCCTGGAAAATGTTCGACCGCAAGGCTGTCTCCTTAGTTATCTAATCAGCGGCTCTCCTTAGTTATCTAATCAGCGGCTCTCCTTAGTTATCTAATCAGCGGCTCTCCTCCGCCGCCGCGTCTCTCACTGTTCCTCCCCACACACACTACGCCGCATCCGTCACCCAGCATTGGCCTCACGTGCTCTGCACATCGCTGCGGTGCTTCGTCCACCCAAACACTCGCCGCCAGCCATTGACTCGACCACATCGCCTGCGCCATGGCTGAGCCCAGGCCCACACGGACGTCAAAGACCGCCTCGGCATCAAAGTCAGCATCGAAGCCAGCATCAGCCTCGAAGTCCTCGTCCTCCTCCGCCAAGTCAAAGTCAAAGACGTCCAAGAGCGACGAGTCCAAGGTCCACAAGCTCGCGCTGAAGGGCTCCTCGAAGATCGTCAACGAATTCGTAAGTGTCCCGGTTTATGCTCGCGACAAAGAAGAGACGAACCGCCGCTGACCATGGCTACCGCAGTTCGAGTACTCGATCAACACCATCCTGTAAGACCGGCCAAAACCAGGGTCCACTCGCCTTTGTCACTAACCCGTGCAGGTTCCAGCGAGGCGTCTACCCTGCCGAAGACTTCACCGCGTGAGTGTCGCACATGTTTTACGCCTGTGGCACTGCTGACAGCGCACAGGGTCAAGAAGTATGGACTAACCATGATGGGTGCGTGCCACCAACCAGTGCCGCTGAGAGCACGACTGACGCACACAGTGACCGCCGATGACCAAGTCAAGGCGTACATCAAGAAGATCATGTCGCAGCTCAAGGAGTGGATGTACGGCGGCAAGATCACCAAGCTTGTCGTGGTCGTCACCAGCAAAGAGACCGGCGAGCATGTTGAGCGATGGCAGTTTGACGTGAGTCGGGCGCAAGGCTGATCACAGTCGCCGGCCAGTGCTGACGTTCACCAGGTCCAGATCTTCGGTAAGAACGCGAGAACCAAATCGTCCAAGGCTACGACAGATCAAGAAAACTCTGTTCCCGAGTAGGTAATTCCGACGACAAAGGGATTCACCGTGCGCTAACACTTAGCGCCAAGGAATAGCGAGGTTCCGGAAGAGAAGACTGAGGCGGAGATCCAAGCGGAGATCCAGTCGGTCTTCCGCCAGATCACTGCCTCGGTCACGTTCCTGCCGATGCTCGATGGCAATTGCACGTTCAACGTGCTCGTGTACGCCGATGCAGACTCAGACGTGCCGCTTGAGTGGGGCGACAGCGACGCCAAAGAGATCAAGAACGGCGAAAAGGTGCAATTGAGAAGCTTTAGCTCGAGCAACCACCGAGTAGATACGCTAGTGAGCTACAGGTACGTTGAGCCCAATACTGTCCTACATGTGTTGGGGCTGACAGTTCTAGGCTTGGCGATTAGCCCGCAATCTACTCCCATCTACATGCATCCGCTGGCAAAACACTATCTTTGCACAATCCTCTTTCCACCCTGTCCATCCTAACCGCATCTTGACCACGTCTGCAGGCGCATGCAGCAACGGGAGCGACGGGCCCAGCTCCGCCCGTGCTTCGACACTCCAAGTCAGAATCTCGGATTTCGCACACTGCAACACGGCCAGTCCGTCACTCGGTCAACACGAGGGCATCAACAACATGTATCAGCGGAATGTGCATTTCAAGGGCATAGTCCCTCTTGTCACATACATCCAGCTCTCTCAGCAAGGCGAGGCGCGTGTGGCGTCACTACAAAGAGTCGTGCCTAGCCAAAGGCCGGGCCCCAGGGCCAATATATACCCCAAATAGTCTTTCCGTATGCAGTAACCCACCAGGGCTTTTCGTCATGACGGCCATGGCACGATAGTTAACACTAGCACGTCGTTGGCAGCGTTGGGACGTTGGGGTGAACCTAAACCGGCGCCCTTGCAGCACTGACCCTATCAGCCTCAGCAGCATCCCTTATCGCACCAAATCCGGCAAGAAGCGGGTTCTCGAACAACTGCAGACGCCCTATCTGCAGTCAATACTTCGCCTGCAGGTTATCCCAATGCAGGGATAAACGAGGCTGCACGAGGCTGCACGCTCATCACGGGCTTCAGAAGGTCGTCAAGTTCTGTACTCACCACGGGTGCATCGTGTAGCTTGTCGCCAGCGTTGCGCGACCTGTCACCTTTGAAACGAAACTGAGGCTAGCTTGTCAGTCGGTAACACTATCGATTTGAGTTTTCTTGCGTACCTTGCGCAAGTCGCATAAATCTGCTATTAATACGCGAGCGAGAGTTTCTGGCGGGAGAGCGACCCCTAGTCGAGTCCTAGTCAGGGGTGCTAGCCCTGTCATGGCGCTGGTGGCTTGCTACTGCCGAACGCTGGTTTGACCAGTGGCAGCCACTCGGGACACAACACCGCGCCACTGCAACCTTGTCGACCATATCTGTACCAATTTGTTCAGGAAGACCAGCCGCTCTAGCTGCGCCCCTAAATTGCCCATTGCAATCATTTGCAGGCCGACAGTTGCAGCCGCACTACCACGCTGTAAACCCGTCGCTGCGAGTGCCCTACTTGGTTAGTAGAACAGAGAGTCTGGTTCGTTGATACCGGATCACGATCGACACTGGAAGGATCTGTTCAACAATACGATTGTCCAGCTCAGTCCAGCTCAGTCTCGCGAGGGTCTACTCGTTGATCTGTCTGGGCCTTCAGCTCTCGCTCACAATAATGCCCAGAGCGCCCATGCCGATGAATCATTGACCCACAATTCTGATAAGCTTCTGGCGAACCCTCTCATGGCCTAGTGCCCGCTTCATGCCTGTCTTGGTTACGATCCGGGCTCGCAAACGAGTTCAGTGTGTCGCTACTGTAGTCTGCGATATGGTCACCTTGGCTGACCTACATATGGCTGAACGCATGCCCGTCGTTGCGGGTCTCTGATTTTCAGCGCCTCCATCAGGGTTCCCTGATCACAACAACGACCCTCTTTCCATACAATATTGATACCCTCAATCGCTCGCTACCAGTCGCACATACCCACAATCGTTTCTCACTTTTCAAGCAAGTGTGCTGTTTAGCACACAACTAATCTCGGCAGGATGGGCTTCTTCAAGCTGGGGAAGAAGAAGGGTGGAGAGGTAGAAATGATAGAGAAGAAGGCAGACACTGCCGCGCCTTTATCCACAGGGATAGCCGACGCCCCCACATGGCCCGGTAGTCTGGCATCAAGACGCGGCTCAACTACGGACCTCTCAAGCTCACTCGGCGGTCTAAACGGGGCAACGTATCTCGATGTAAAGTGCGAGGTCATGGCCCAATGGCTTCACTCGAAGCAAGAAGAAAAGATCTGGACGAGCGGAGCGCCTGGCGAAGGCGTACTGGTCAAGAAGCAGAAGGGGTCGTATGCGTACTCTCCGGTCGACCTAATCGAGGATGGCAGTGGCCTTTACGAGGCCGTCAACCAGCTGAACGCCAGGGTACGTCGCGGTCCTCTCTTCCCCATCAACTACACTATGGACACTCGCTGACCGCATTGCTAGTGTGCAATGACTGTCAACACACGAGTCCTGCAACTCTTCATGGCCGCGAGACCCGATCAGCACTTCATCCAGATCCACCGAACCCTCCGACTCCAGGTCATTCCCTCTCTGATCCATCTCGCGCACGCGCAAAGACATCAGTCTGCTGCATTCGTCGCCGATACTGCTACACTTCTCGTCTGGGAAGATGAGCCCACAAGACTGCTGGAGCGTGCAGAATACATACAAGACGCTCTTATGACGATGTCTTGGAAGCCTGAGCCTGCAGAGGAGGGAGCTGAGAAGGACACCAAGAAGCCATTTATCAAGATCGAGGAGTACGAGGAACAGACAGGGGAGGAGGCCACAGAGGAGGCACCTCGCAAGATTGTCATGTGGCAATGTATCTACGAGGGTGCTACACTTGCACTCATGTTCGGCTGTCTTGGTGCTGGTTGGCGATGGATTGCTATCGAGCATCTTACCGACCCCAATTGGATGCGTCTGCTATTCATCCTTGTCCTGCCTGCTCAGGCATGGCTCGGTCTCGTAAGTTGTAGCTAAGCCTTTCTGCATTCCAACCACTGACGATTCCAGTTCTTCTTCCAAGCCATCATTGGAGATCTCGCTCAGCTGTTCGGTCCTGTCGGGTACATGGAAAGAAATTCTAAGTACTACTCCGGCAAGGCTCCTCGCCGTCTGCAACGCGACACATTCGGTCCTTTGCCCCACGTCACCATTCAGATGCCTGTTTATAAGGAGGGTCTACGCGCTGTCATCGAGCCCACAGTTCGATCCATTAAGCAGGCCATCTCAACCTACGAGCTTCAGGGAGGTACAGCCAACATCTTTGTTAACGACGACGGAATGCAATTGATTTCCCCAGAGGAGGCTAAGGCCAGGCAAGACTATTACGACGAGAATCAGATCGGCTGGGTCGCGCGTCCCAAGCACAATCCCAAGCCTGCGGAAGGCGAGACAGAGTTCTTGCGTCGCGGAAAGTTCAAGAAGGCTTCCAACATGAACTACGCTATGCGTCTCTCTGTTCAGGTAGAAGAAGCGCTCGCTGGCATGGCTCGCCACAGCCAGTGGAACAACAACGACGAGAGTGCAGCCTACAACAACGCCCTGAAGCAAGTTCTCGAGAACCGCGAGGGTGAGGCTTGGGCCGATGGCAACATCCGCATGGGCGATTACATCCTAATCATTGACTCCGATACCCGTGTGCCCAACGACTGCTTCCTCGAGGCCGTCTCCGAAATGGAGCAATCACCCCAGGTTGCTATTCTCCAGTATGCTTCCGGTGTAATGAACGTCACAAACTCCTTCTTCGAGAACGGTATCACATTCTTCACCAACCTTGTTTACACCATGATCCGATTTGCCGTTGCCAACGGTGATGTCGCCCCCTTCGTCGGTCACAACGCCATCCTCCGCTGGTCCGCCCTTCAGAACATTGGCTACGAGTGCGAGCAGGACGGCTGGGAGAAGTGGTGGTCCGAGTCCACTGTGTCCGAAGACTTCGACATGGCCCTGCGCCTGCAAGCGGAAGGCTACATCGTACGCCTCGGCGCATACAAGGACGGCGGCTACCAAGAAGGCGTCTCCCTCACCGTGTACGATGAGCTTGCCCGTTGGGAGAAGTACGCTTATGGTTGCAACGAATTGATCTTCCACCCCTTCAAGGACTGGATATTCAAGGGACCCTTCACCAAGCTCTTCCGCACCTTTGTCATGTCAAACATGCCCCTGCACTCCAAGCTCACCATCATGGCCTACATCGGTACATACTATGCGCTTGGCAGCTCCTGGATTCTCACACTCATGAACTACGTTATCATCGGTCTTTACAACGGACATCTCGACCACTACTACCTGGACTCGTTTAAGATTTACTTCTCTATTGTTATTGTCTTTACCGCCGTTGGCAACGTCGCCCTCGCAGTCCTCCGCTACCGCATTGGCGAGTGTGGCCTTCTCCGCGCTCTCTTCACCAACCTGAAGTGGATCCCCCTCCTGACCATCTTCCTCGGCGGCGTGTCACTGCACGTATCGCAAGCGCTGCTCTGCCACTTCTTCAGCATCGACATGCAATGGGGCGCCACCTCGAAAGAAGTCGAGGACATCTCCTTCTGGACCGCCGGTCTCGACGTGCTCAAGAAGTTCAAGTACATGCTCACCTTCTGCGTCGCCATCGCCGCAGGCATGATCTGCATGGCTTTTGTCGTCCCCGAGACATGGCAGATCCGCTCCCTCATCGCGTGCTTCCCTATGGGCCTCGTCATCACCAACCACGTTCTCCTTCCCACCGTGCTGAACCCCCAGCTCATGACTTTCACCTGGTAGAGAGAGCGGCTGGCTCGGGATTTCTCTTATATCCTCGCTTGTGCTGCGCTCGTTGTATACTGCGACGCCGGTCAGGGATTTTAATCGTAATGGGCGTTTGGGTGTTTGGGGCTAGAATAACGATAATTTGCCATTTCGGGAGATGGAGGAAAATACATCAATGATGCATATTTCATGCTAGCAATCGCGCTTCATCACGTCTTCCAGTGAGTTACATTGAGCTCGTTGAGCCAACAAGGGTTTATCGAGGCACCTTGGCGCTGCATTTCGACAGGCACAGTCTAACTCACTCACTGCGTACAAAGGTATCTCGCCCCGTCTCGGTCGGACCCTGATATACAGACCCACGCAACCCCAACCTTGCGCTTCCAGCTCCATCAACAACGGCGGGGGAATTGGTGGCGGCCTGGCTGGGTATACAAACTACTTCACCCCACCCTGCCGTGGACGCTTGTCTCGCCCCGCCGCGTGTGCAGGGCTGGTGCAGTGTGTAAGTCTTCTTCGCTGTATCGGCTTGTGCATCTGTTGTCCTGCGTGCGGAGGGTTGAGCACACAATGCACGACGCCGGCGTGCGTTGGGGGATGCAAGTGCCCGCTTGTGCGGAGGAGTTGCATTCTGGCGGGGTGGGAGGCTGTATGGTGAGAGAGGTGCACGTGGTAGGTGATGCGAGGTGAGTAGAGTGTGTTAGTAGATGGATGTGATGGGAGATGGGGTCGGTTGGGGGCGGAGTGGACGGCGAGGATAAGGGATAGAGGGAAGGGGTGGGCGAGATGGAGTCTGATGGCATAAAAGGTTTAGATAAGATTGAGGAGTGGGAATGCGCACGCTTGCGGATCTACAAGTCGCATGTGAGCAGCATGCATTCCGACGTGCAGCACACGCAAGTCCGTGACCGCGTGCTCGCAGCCATACATCTCCATCGTGAATTCCACCCTGCAAAGAACCAAGCGCCGAAGCACCAAAGCAGACCCGGACTACCTGTCGCTAGGCGTGCATCTCCTTCGCGCCCTCGTCCGCCCCCCGCCGCGCCATCTTCTCCGCTGCGCGACGCTTTTTGCTGTCCAGCTTGTCGCGGTCTTCGCGCATCTGCCGGATTAGAGCGCTCTTCTCGCGGATCTTGTGCCCGTAGCGGTAGAAGACAAGGGGGATGGGGATCAGCGCGAATTCGATCAGGGAGAGCATTGTTGCCGACCAGTGCGGGCCGAGGGTGGCGTACCTGGGGGTGTTAGTGCGTGTGGATAGGAGGGATGTGGGCGAGGGAGAAGGTGAAGCGCTGGACACGAGGCTCCAGGGAATTTCGTGCGGACGGGGTGATGACGACTTACATCTTTGGCCCTGCGAGGGGTAGCGCGCCGCCCATGATGCTCCTCAGCACTGCATTGCCGGCCAGCGCCGAGGCGGCATAGATGCCATACGAGTGGACGAGATAGTTCGACGCGTAGATGAACACGCCGCAGTTGCCAGCACCGAACGGAATTCCGGCCAGGAGAGGGGCTATCCAATGTACGTTCGGTGTACATGTCCAGGCGAAGATCATTTCCCCGACCGGCACCGAGACAGCAGCGAGACACACCACACTGACCATCGCCTCTGGGTACGGCTTGCCTGTCTCGGGGTCCTTGGGATGCGCATTGATCATCTTGCGCAGTAAAGGTTCGCTGAGAATCGTGCACATACCGCCGACACCGATTCCGAGGTACGACAGCCCCGTCATACCAGGCGACCAGCCACGCAGCTCAGAGAAAACGATGGGATACGAGACGAAGCACAGGTACAGGACGCCGTAGACGAGCGCTATGTAGACGTTCCAGAAGATGCAGATGGGCTCGTTAACCGCCATAGAGAGGGGCCGGTACAGGTTCTCGCGCAGCATGGGCAGGAAGGACTTCTTGTCGTCGTAGCGCGAGTGCCATCTTAAATCGTCGTCTTCTTTGCGCTTCTTGGCGGATTTCGCGCGAAGGATGGCTGGGGCGTAGGTCTCTGGGATCAAGAACACCATGAACCATGACGTGCCCGAGCCGATCATGACGACCCAGTTCGTCCACCGCCAGCCGAGGGCTTGGAAGACGAAGCCACCGACGAGGGGCCCCACGACCGCTGGAGAAGACTGTCAGTCGTTGTGCGATGGAAATGAGTTGAAAACTTACGGCCGTTCATGGGGCCAATGGACCATATAGAGAAGGCGAGGGCGCGGTAGTCGTCGCTAACAATGTCGGACACAGTTCCTGGGGCATTCGAGATCATGGCTGCGCCGGCGATTGCGCCAAAGAAGCGCATTACGAGGATTTGGGCGAGGCTGTTGGACAGCGCGCAAGGTATGATCAAGACCGTGAACATGGCCACAGCGATGAGGTAGACTGGTCTGCGGCCGTACATCTCACTCAGAGGCGCCAGAAGGAGCGATCCAACAGCCAGTCCGGCCAGGTACGTGGTGATGCCCAGAACCACGAGGGTCTTCGACTTGATGCCAAAGGTGGCCATCATGCCGGGGATACCGCTGGTGTAGCTTGTCGAATACATGACTACGACGAGCGTTGAGTAGCTCATGAAGAAAATGACGAGTGCTTTTCTCCACATGGGCCAGTCTTGAGGGTTCTCGCCATTTTCGTCAAAGTCAAGCTCGAACCTTGGATCTGTGGTCATGTTCGTTGTTGTAACCGTAATGTGCGCCATGGATTTGTCACCAGGCTCTTCAAGGCCAGCATTGCGACTGAGAGACTGATGTATTGATTGGACATCGTCTGTGTCACCGATGGACTCTGTTGATGCTGAAGATATCGACGAACGGTTGGCAGTGGATGGAGCCATGACGGCCTCTTTGTCGGTGAGGCTCATGGTGCTCGGGACGTCTTCGACCCCACTCTACCGTACGGCACAGTATCCGGCTAATGGTTGATGTGATCCAGCAGCGCCTCTCCTCAACAGGTCTTCATCGACGATAAATGTTTGCAGGGGGAAGACAGATTGCTCAGGCGCGACGTAGGAAAATGTTTCTTACCCGCGTCGCGCCAGTGCGACATGAGCCAGTAGCAGAATCCTTCGGCGCAGCAAACGACGGCTGGGGCTGGGCCGCGGCACGCCTCCGCGTCCAATGCCGCATCGACTTCGCCACGGGAATAATGGGCCATTGCAGTGTTATCGCAGCGAGATGGCAAGCTGCAGTCAATTGTGGACGTGTTGTGCCGTTTGTGGTCACACTGTGTCACCTTCCCCACATAGGAAGACAGAGGAAGCAGCGATCAACATGACTCAGTGTTAATCTGCGCCGAAGATAGGAGTTCGCGAATCTCGTTGCTTTCGTAGTTGATACAGTAATCTCGCTAACGCAGTGCATGAAGTGGTGGTCTGCTTTTGGAAGAGAGTGGGAAGGTATAACGATCATGTTCACAGAGGTGAGATGGTGGTTGTTCGGTCAATGGGGAAGAGAACATGGGGGACGTGCGTCACGTGGGAAGTCGCAGTTCCCGCAAAGATCGGGGAGATCCTTGGCGTCACTTTGAAGTTTTGCGCAGCGTGCACAGCCTCTACAGATACTAAACACTTAATTTTTCTTATAGAAATATAATCTAGTAGGAATCTGGGTAATTGTCACCCCTTTTAAAAGTGTAAAACGGTAAAGGGAGGTCTGCGTAGCAGCGCAAGACCTACGCAGCAGCGTGGTCTACACATGCTCTTGCAGCTTTCCACGTAGATATAATATTTAAATTGTCGCAGCAGATATGGATCAGGGTGGTTAGCGGATCACTCCGGATCAAAACTTGGAGTGAGCTTGTGCAGTTCCAGGTTGATTAGCAGTATATAAGCCGGCCGTCTTTGAGGACAGCTCGGCAGAGGAATCTGATCACTTCTTACCGGTACTCAATACATTCTGCCTATCAAGATCAACCAGCTTCAATATAAATATATATATAGCAAGAGTCTCCATAGCTACCTCATATGGAAAACGCATTCGTCATTACATTATATAGTATGAACAGGGCAGGAGACTGGGTTTTTGCAGCAAAACTACAGTGTACGCGTGACTTTCGCGAAGTGCTGCCAAGATTTCCCGAATTATTGGATACTGGTACCGCTACGCTACCTATGACAAAGCGCGGAATAAACTCACGCGTAGCGTCTTGAACCTCAGACTTCATCTCATCACAGCATGAGTGACATTCCAGCACCACCAACGCCGATTGCTGAGGCATTGATCATGATAACTGACAGATTTCAACAGATCCTGATCTTGCAGACTGACACAAGTGAGAAGCGCCTCCATTCACATACAGCAGGAAGCAGGTGCACCTGACTGCACGTGCTGCAGAATCTCTCACAACGGACTCGAAAGTGTCTGATATGATGCAAGAGGGTTTTAACGGTGAAGGCCAGCTGTACATTACCGTCGCCGTGCTGGGCGGCTCCCGGGTCAACTTAGCGCCGCGCACTTTCAGCCTTTATGTCTACTGCAAAGTGCCTCACCACCGCTTAAGCGCCTGGCAGCTTCACAGCCATCCCTGCAACTACATTTTTCACAACGTCGCCTCGCACCCCCAAGCTCTTTCAGAGCCTCCGTCTCAGCCATGGCGGCCTCTGGTCGTCCGCCGGCTGTCCACGTACACTTCAATGAACAGCTTTATAATCATATTGCGTTGCCACGTGACGTACCAGGCCGGGAGGACAGGAACCTTTCCAGCATCGAAGCTGCAATCCTCACACGCTTGACTAATGCAACACGTCTTCTAAGCTCTTACGCGCCGCCCTCGGATCAGCAGCATATTTACAAGCTAGTCGATTCACTTACAGCGTGCCAATCGCTGCATGTAGACAGAGCAATCACGAAGCCAGCTCTGCTTCGAGAGCTCCGTGCACTGCAGCCTGGTAAGATCCTTATTCTGCATATCGCGGCTCAGAATTGTGGTCTGCTTGTATACAAAGACGCAAGGTAAGTAACCGCCACCCTCAGACTTTATGGGCACTGCACTGACGATAGCGGCAGCCAAGATGACTGTCGAGTGATATTTGAGGCTTTCGAAGTCACGCCCACCTGCGAGCAAGTCCTCGCCACGAAGAATGCTTTGCTACGAGACTTCCCGGGCTGCGCTGTGTCCGTCCCAAACGCCACCGTCCTCGAGCCGTCCTTCTTGGACAGCTTCTGCACGTTTTTGCAACAAGCCTCGACAGAATACGTCAACAAGTTCTCCACCATCACTCACAAAGCAGCTGCACCGTTGCCGGAAATTCGCAACACCAGCGACCCTGCGGTTGTGATAGGGTTACTCATGTCAATCCTGGAGGCCAACGGTGCTACCGCGGACGTGTCGGTCCTGCGAAAGCGTTTTCGTGATACAGTAATGTTTGACAAGGCCCATAAGCCCTGGAGGCGGTCACCCTTCTACCTCACCGTCCGCGTTGCATTACAACGCTGTCTGTATAAGCAGTTTGGAGTCGACATTGGCAGACTGTACTACAAAACTTTAATGTGCTTGATGCTGCGCCATTTACTGGAAGATGTCCTGAGGAAGATTCCGTTCGAGTCGGTATTGTTCTTGCGTCAGAAGCTGGGCCGTCGTCTTGCAAAACTTGCGGGCGATCGCACTGCAGCTGCCAGAAGGTTCAGTAACTCGACCATCTCCGCGCTGTCGTCTCTCGATCCAATGTTCGAAGCTACACTCCAGACTACGGGCGGCTGGTTGAAGACAACATGGCGCAACTATAAGCGCACACACGAGCGGTACGTGCCTCTACTGAACGCTCACGTTCCAGCTGGGGCACTGAACTTCTGCCTTCCAAACGCCTACCCGATGCTTAGTCACATCCTCGCAAACCAGGCTTTTCATGTCGATAGCGTTAGGCGCACACCTGAACAACTTCTGAGGCAGTACGACGAGTCTGCAGCTTCTGTAAAGCCATACATGTGTGCGGCCCGCTCGCAAATACAGATTTCGCAACATCACGCCACGGTGATTGAGCCTGCGAAAGAGGCTCAAGCTTTTGGCCATGCTCGCATCATTGAGCTGAATGACATCATCCGAAACTACGTACACCAAATCCAGACTTCGCCAGAAGGATACCCAGATGAGAGGAGCCAGATGCTGCTCAATCTGATGGAGCTATGGGTTCTGATGGACATGGAAGCTATAGCCTGCTACCCTCTACTGGAGGACTATGATTCAGCATTCCCCGAAGACCTCCTGGATCCCATCCAACTGCTCTCACTCAACGACATGATACGAGCAAAGCAGGTGCGTGCTCATTTGAGCAGACGATTCCGCCCACGAAACGGTCTGAAGTGCCGGACTATATTTGATGATCCTTCCAGTGATTGTTTCGCAGCCAGGTACTTTGACGAATACGATGAGGCAGGCCACGACCTTCGTAGCGAGATCGAAGACGACGCCGACGCGCAGCGTACACAGAAGGAGGCTGAGTGGGAAGAGAAGAGCGAACTTCACGCGGAAATCGTCAAGAAGCGAGATGAGACAGCCTGTTTTTACGACGAGGTACCGCATGGGTGGATACCTGGTGTCACTGAGACCAAGCACCGCCACCCTTGCGAGTGGCACGAGCTTCGGGATACTGCCAGAAAAATCAAGATCCGCATCTTCGAGCATCCTCTGCCAAGCTACAAGCCTGCTGCGAAAGCAGCCATGTTTGAGTTGAGGTGTCCAAAATCATTCGCCGCGTATAGGAACGCCACTTGGTCCATTTTATCGATCATTTGCTCCCCCGAGCCAGCTATCAAGCCTGAGAGAGTTTCTATTCTCCAAGAGTATTCTCAGCTCCAGTCACACGTCGAAGAATTGACCCAAGGAGTCACTCTGGCTTCTGAGAGGAAGGCGTTTCTTGAGACTCATTATGCATATTGGGGGTTCCCAGTGGATCTGAATGACATTATTCGCAATTGCGGGCTGAGACTGAAGTACTACGACCAGTCTAGCGAGTCGTGGACCGGTGAACATAGCAAAGCATCTCTATGGCATCACTTTCCCGTGATGCTTGCCGTCGACTCTCCGTTTTGGGTTCTCCAACCGTCGTACGCCAGTTGGCCGTCGTCAAATGAAATTCAAGCGAGTCAAGCGGACTGCCCTGCAGATATCGGCGCTCACGAGTTCATGGCCTGGCAGGGCCTCTTGGTGGGAACGCACTCAAGGTGGCTGGACCTCATTCGCGAATTGGGCTCCGCCAATCTCAACTTCTCCGCTGATGCCACTTGGGTGCTCGTCATACGCATGGTTCTTCAGTATGGTTCAGCTGTGACAACTCCAGACCCTCGCGGAGATGTTCATTCAGCGCTGCTTGATCAAACTCTGTGCTCCAGGTTGCTACAGCAGGTTCAGCAGCGTCTCGACGCAATCCGCCTCAACTGGCGCGAGCCAATCCAGATGGACATCTTGATAACGATCCTGCTCAAAGTCAACTCACTATCTACATCAGATGGCACGCGCCTACAAGCCTTGGCGCTTCTGCTGCAAGCTCGGGAATCGACTGACCTTTGGCGCGTTGAACTACAATCATATGTCACCAATGACGCTAGAGTCCGGCCTTTTGCGGTCTGGGCTGCGCTTTTATGCAAGCGTACTTTGCACGCAGATTCACAGATCCTACTGGAGTCTGGAGGCCTTCAGCACTATATCGGGGCCTCCATCTCGCTGAGTTACAACCTCGTCGATGAGTTCAAATTCCTGCCCTGGAAGTACCGGGCTGCAATCATCCGGGATGTTATGTATTCTTACGAGCATCGAGACTTGCTGAAGCGATCGATACTGTCCAATCCTCAAGCATTCCTGGAGGCAGTCAATAGACTTTGGCAGGTGCCTGAGGGCTACGAGTCCAATATTTCGGTCTCAACCACCGGCACTTGGTGGATCCTGCTGGAGCTACAGTCCACGAGCAGCAGTCATGATCACTCTTACTTTGTGCATTACAACTATGTCTATGGCAGTATGCTCATAGACGGACAAGAGATGTGCACACTTCCACTTACATACCGACGAAATCCACTCTATCGTCAGATCTTCGGAGATCGAAACCCCGTCGTGTTCCCATCGCCACTTCAGGGAATGTCATGGGCAGTCTCTGAGCCAATGAAAGATGGTCAGCGCGTACATCTTGGCTTCCGTCAGCGCACCCTGGTCGTTCGCGCGGTTCAGCATGACCAGCTCTATGAGTACATCCCGGGTGAGGTGTTTGGAGTGGAATCACGCGATCTCCCGGCTCCCCTCATCGACGGCTGTCACCATTGGCTAAACATTCGCAAAGGCGAGCTTGAGATTCGTCAGCAAGATATGTGGATATCGAAACCCAGAAACTGGTGGATATACGGCATCTTATATGGACAATGCCAAGTCATCAGGCGGAGTCAACATCACTCGGCCACCACATTGCTGAACTCATCGAATGAAACTGTACAGCATATCAGTACTATATTCAGGTCCTTCGTGGAGCTGAATCAAATTCTCGTGTTTGTCTCCCGAGATCACAGAATAATCGTTGAGCTCAAGCCTTTGGAACTTAGCTTCTTCATCAACGAGGGAGGGTTATTACAGTCCAAAAGACTTGGCGCTATCATCACACAACAACAGGACATCGGCACACTCTACGGTTTAAGGAGCAAAATCGTTGTCCAGTCCGTTGCCAACCGTCGCCATAAGAGTGTCCTCATGCCATACAACAGCGACATTCAGATGGTGCGAGATGATATTCACGTGTCCGTCATGATCGGTACCGACACAGACAAGTATCTGAAGTACGACATAAACGAAATATTGGGTCGTCTAGACTGCCCCCCGGAGCCGAGTCTTCTCTATACGAAAGCCCTCCTTCATGCGCTCACATCACACGTGATGCCCGATCCACTTACCTCACGAACCGGCACTGAAGAGTCACTCCGCCTTCTCCAAACCGGATTATACCAACCTTGGAACCCGTTGGGACCGAGTCACGTAGCACTCTTGTGTCGCCTAGCGGAGCTGTCCCCAATGCGCGGTTACTACCCTGTGGGGTCACAGTTCATGGAGACCCTAGAATGGCGTGTTGATCTGACGCGACATATTCAGGATGATCGGTTCAGGCCATTTGCCGAGAAGATCCTTCGACGGCACTTTGCTTTAAGTGAGTTCGCCCCAGGCACCCTGAAATCAGAGGGGATGGCGAAAGTGTCGGTCAAGCCAAATTCACATTTGGCGACTCGAGCGGTGTCACGTACACTCGTGCAGCAGTCCCGGGAAGCCGATCTCATGTACATTGGAAGAGACAAGCGTACTCCTAGTATGGCTCGAGCCAACGCCTTCAGCATCACGAGACAACTTCTTCTGCAGCAGCCCTCGCCAGCCGACTCTCCGAGCCTTCTCGTCCTTCTACACGACGCATCCCTCATTGGTGGCTATGACAAATGCTTCCAAAAAGCTCTGATATCGGACTTGCTTGCTGTTGATGTCAAGTCAGAATGGGGTGCACTGACACAGCGGGCTATGAAGTGCGATACACAAGATCGGTACAGGCTCATGTTCTTACTTGGACCGATGGCATTCTCAGACGATGCCAACCTAGACCTAATTCGCAAGCTCATTTGTTTTGTTGTGTCTCCAGACATCAAGGGCACACAGCCGCCGCTGCACGCTGCGTACTTTCACTTTCGTGCCGATGGAGCGCCGCCCTCTTCTTATCTCGTCTCTTTCATGGAGAAAGCGCGAATGCCATTTATTGCGGTAGGCTTCAAGAAGCGTTCTCAGATTGTCGTTGCGGAAAACAATCATGGCAGCTTCGTCGAGAAGAGCTGCGAAGCCCTGGCCTGCTCCATCCAGGCCCAGTGGCCACGATCAGTGATCGATGTGACGAAGCTGATAGATGTCGATCCCGCACACGTGGATGTTGAGAGAGCACTTGAGGATCTGAAACCAGAATGGCAACGTCTAACACGCAATCACGAGCTTGCAGTGTACCTTGAGAGTGTCCAGGTTTTACTAGATCGATCAAGCGCAGGCCAAGGAGAGACACGAAAGCCAGTCGCAAGCCCCAATCCTCTTCATCCGGCCACTTACATTCAACCGATATCTCCATCGCGATACCCCTCACGGGTCCGAGATGGAGACGACCTCAGTCTGCCCAGGCTACTGGAGCAGTCAATTTGCCGCACTTACCACCAGCGTGGAGGCCTTCCGGTGGCGTTTGGCACGCTCCATCCGAAGTCCGCCAACACTCCTTCGCGCGCGAACAATGTACGTGGTACAACATCACTGCCTGCATCCGGGAAGCCTCTACTAGTGCCAGGGGGTACTCATGTCTCCGAAGTCCAGAAGCTTCGAGCTATCGTGAGCGATTTCCGAGCGAAGACTTCACATGTGCACTCTCGGTACGCCGACGAAATGGAAGCCAGTGTTGACGCTCTACAACTGCACTTGAAGTGCCAACAAAAGGCAGTCCACATAACAACCCGTTGGATTGGGTCTGACGAGCTTCAACTAGCGAAAGATGCTGTCAGGCTGATCATCGAAGAGATCAAAGCTGAACTGGCGGGTCACGACCCGCAAGCAAAGTGGCTTCGAATGGTGGATCTTTGGCCAAAGATGACGATCACAGGGTTGTTGACCGAGTTACGAACAACGTCAGGAAATTATTTCGGGGCTGGCACCAAGGATGCTCTCGTGTCATTGGGCATAGCTGTGACCAAATTTCAGCAACTTCTGCGCATACAGGATTCTCGAAAGAGGAACAAGGATCAACAGCAACGGGAAGAATTGTCTAATGTTGGCCACACCAATTGGGACCCGTTGAAATACCCTGACTGGCTTCTTCTCGAGATTGACGGCGATGTAATGCTCCGCGAGGAACAAGTACAAGTTGCTCTGGCGACGATAGCACCGGCTTCAGGCCAAAATTCTGTCCTTCAGCTACTAATGGGCAAAGGCAAGACATCATGTATTCTCCGTAAGTGGTAAATTCATGCTTGAGGGTCATCACTAATAGAGCACAGCTATGGTGGCCGCCGTCTTGGCAAATAAGGACGATCTGGTGCGTGTCGTCGTTCCACGACCACTACTTCTGCAGTCCGCTCAGGTGCTGCACGCCAAACTCGGGACTCTGGTGAACCGTCAGATCATGCACATCCCGTTCTCGCGCAAAACTCCTGCGAATCTACCTCTGATGCAATTCTACCTACAACTGCAGGCGTGCATGCGTGATCTTGCCGGTGTCATGATCTCGCTTCCTGAGCACCTTCTCTCCTTCAAACTGAGCGGGTTACAGCAACTTGCCGATGGTAACATCGAGGTCTCTACGGCTATGTTGCAAACTCAAGACTGGCTTGATAGCCACGCTCGCGACGTCTTGGACGAATGCGATGTTTCCCTCGCAACTCGCATGCAGCTCATCTACCCTTCAGGCTCACAGGCATCGGTAGACGGTCATCCTATCCGCTGGCAAATGATTGAGCTTCTCCTCCACCGCACACAGGACTTCATAACTGCTGTTCAATCGCGATTCCGCAACAGCGTTGAGGTTGTCAGTCGACCCGACGGCGGCTTTCCCCTCATCTACTTCTTACGCAAAGATGCCGAAGATCACTTGATCGAGCTGCTCGTCCGCGACATCTACAAGGGTAATTTTCCCTACCTGCCTTGTGCGGACTTCCCACCTGAAGTGCAAGATGATATCTCGATCTACATATCCAACGCTTCGGTACGCAGCGAGATGGTTCAGAGGGTTGCTGCTTTCTTCAAGGAGAAGCAACAGCTTATGAAGGCCACAAACCTTTTGCGTGGCTTGTTCGTGCACCGCATTCTGATATCGAGCCTCAAGAAGCGTTGGAACGTACAATATGGGCTACACGCCACGCGAGCTCCGATCGCTGTACCTTACCTTGCGAAGGGCGTACCTTCTGTATCTGCTGAGTGGGGTCATCCTGATGTCGCTATCATTCTAACTTGCCTATCGTTCTACTATCAAGGCCTTAATACGAGTCAGTTCAAACAAGCGTTTGAACAGCTTGTAAAGATGGACGATCCGAATGTGGAGTACGCCAAATGGGTCTTCCCTCGCGCGCCACTAGGACTCGAGGAATTCAGCGCTGTCAATGCCGAAGATGACTGGCAACTAAACAACTTGTTTCAGCTCATTCGGTAAGTCGTGGCGCACCCGGAACCTGATCTCATGTACTGATCTGATCGTGTCTAGTCTGAATGCCTCCCTGGTGAACTTCTACCTCAACAATTTCGTGTTTCCGCAATACGCAAAGACATTCAGTGTCAAACTACAGGCTTCTGGATGGAACTTGTTTCCATCCCGAACTGACACTATGGAGTGTCGCGTCACAGGATTCTCGGGAACGAACGATACGCACAATCTGATGCCTATGCTCATCAGGCAGGCGGATCTACCTGAGCTGGCTCACACAAACGCAGAGGTCCCCTACTATCTCATGGCCTCTCGCAATCGAGGATATGTTCGCATGAACTATGAAGCGGGACGGCGATGGACCGAGCTTGACCTCATCAAGCATCTGGTCAATCCTCAGGGTGTATCCAAAGCCTATGTGCGACACGAAAACAGTATCAGAATTCTTATCGACGCGGGAGCCCAGGTCCTGGAGCATTCAAGCCGAGACTTTGCGAAAGCTTGGCTTGATGAAGATACCAATGCGGCTGCTGCGGTCTACTTCGATGATGACCATCGAGCATGGGCGCTGTATCGTACTGGAAATCGCACGCCGCTACTGGCATCGCCATTCGCCGATAGTCTCGATCGATGTGTCGTCTACTTGGACGAAAGTCACTGTCGAGGCACAGACCTCAAACTGCCAGTATACGGCAAAGCTGCGTTGACTCTCGGACAGCACCTCACCAAAGATGCATTGGTACAAGCAGCTATGCGGTTGCGCCTGCTTGGACAGTCACAGTCTGTGGTATTTTACTCACCAGCAGAAGTTCACCAAAGTATCTTGGACCGGCTGAACAAGAGCGCGGCCTTCCGTCCCGATTCAGCGGCGGTTCTGTTCTGGGTTTTTGGACAGACTTGCGACATACTGGAGCATCAAGAGCCCTCGTATTTTGCGCAAGCGTTACAGTACATGCAACAAAAGCAGGCCAAGATAAGCTATCCATTCTTCCTCAACAACGAACACTCCAGGTCCGAGTTTTTGTCTGCGGTGCTCCAAAAGGAGGCTCTAACCATCAAGGACATGTACCAGCCAGGCAGCAGCCGCCGCACCGGGCTCAATAAGCCCTCCGCATGGGATGCATCTCTCCAAGCCGATGTCAAGCTACTTCAAGATCGCCAGAAGCAGTTCCAGGACAACGGATCAGCTGTGCATGCATCAGTGCTAGAAGAAGTCGAGATAGAGCAGGAACGCGAGCTTGAGATTGAGGTAGAACATGAGGTCGAGAATGTTCGTGAAGCTCAACAGCCACCGAGGTTCCGCGCCCTTCCAGTCTCCAAGCTTCATCCAGATGTCGAGCACTTCGTTGAATTTGGCAGACTTGTCGCAGGAAGCTGCGCCTATCACCCGGTGTTTTCTGCTTTGAGTCGCACTGATACAGGCCTCAAACGTAGCGTCTCGTCTTCCATGCCATCTAACCTCTGGGTGACGGAACAGTTCAGCCGAACGGTCGACGTCTACTACCCTAACGACATATACGTACGCTCAAGTCAGTGGGTACTATGGAGCTCAGTTAGCAGGAAAGCTATCCTCGTTAGCCCGGAGGAGGCCAATTCCCTCATTCCCCTCCTGAGGTCCAGGTGTGAGCCCGAAGGTGTCCACCTTATCGTATATGCCGCGCCAGTTACCCGCCGTATGCTGCACTTCAACGATCTCAACTACCATGCCACGCCGCCGCTCACGAGTGGGTTTCCGCTTCCAACGTGGCTTACCGTGGAGTTGGGCATCTTCTCTGGCCGTCTGCACTTTGACTGGCGCGAATATACTGAGCTACTCGGCTACTTAGGCTTGAAGCAAGATCTTTCGAAGGACCCAGACGCGCACTCATTCGCAGCCAAGCCTCTTACTTTCCTACACGAATGGATCGCCGTTCGTCGCAAGGGCCAAGATTTCGAGCACACGCCCATGGGCTTCATAACAACTGGCAAGCCGCTTACTGAGAATCACGCTTTCTTCCAGACTTCAGGCAACGAGACTCATGCAGAGATTCGACCCCGCATCGCGCGCGTTGGTTCGGGCGAGGACGAGGAGGAGGACAAGGTTGGGGACAGTGACCACGATGATGACGATGAATTCTTGCCCAACGTTGAGCACGTCGACGACTCGGATACAGAGGGTGACAACTCAGATGAGCACGAGCACTTTGGGGACGCGCAGGAATCTCAAGAATAACGAGGAGTAGCTAGTGCTTCCGGGACGCCTGGCGCTGGCCGGTGGAAGTAGACAATACATCCTGACTATCTCGTATAACGCCTTGGCGCGCGAAGCACTACCGTCCTGCGGTTGCTCTATCGAGGGCTCCAGGAACGCAATACCAAAGCAGAGACGTGTTGTCGTGTGAGACTGAGCAGGGAAGTCGCATCGCGCCTGCACCAAACCGAGCGCTTGCCCGTCCAAAACAACTTTGCCTTGTCGCTCCACTAGCAAACTTCAGCTGCGCATCACCCGGGCCACTAAACGCATGTTCAACTAAGCAGCGGCTAAAGGAAGGCTATGCCGTTAAGACTATCCTCTCAGCGGGCCCTGTGCAGAGCATCTGGCGCCTGTACTTCGGCCCATTCATTACTCAGTCGCTGAGTGGTTCACTACCACTTCGACGCGGAAACCTGGGCACTGCGTAATCCAAACCTCACCAGCATTATTCTTCAGGTAACTTGCCCAATTCCTCTGCAGAGTTGTGGCAGGCTGAGCTGAGACAGTGCGAACGAGGAGCTCAGCCTTCGCTGTATCAAGGTCTTTCAGCCAGTGGCGGCGGAACACGTCTGCGTGCGATGTCTAGAGCACTGACCATTGGCCACGGCATGCAACATGGACGTGGACATGCGAACTGTTTGCTAGTATGAGTAAGAGAGGGCAGAAGTTGACTTCATCCCACCATTCTCTGTTCATTGGCGGGTATCTCACCGGCTCAGTCAAGTCGAGTGTGATGGCATTGGCTAGAGATTGATGTGAGACGAGAAACGCCGTGGTATAGGATCTCACCCCATGAGGCATGTGAGAGGCAGCATCGAAAGTACAGAGGGAGGTACTCGTTGCGCATCTGCTGATTCACATGAGCGAGGTAAAGGTACTGATTAGCACGATGATAGCCCCAACATCTTGCCTTCGCCCACTCGCATCCAAGTTCCGCTAATTTAGCATCACACACGATGCTGTAGATAGCACTGCGCAACACTGTTGCGGAAGTCAGCAAACAAGGCTTTCCACAGCATCCATGCACTGAACGTCTGGCAAGGTAAGGATACATGACATGTGTTCGAACTGTGAAAATGGCGATACTCACTCGAAGTGTTTTGAATTTTGTAAGATTGTCTCTAAATGAGTGATCGGACGCCGGTATACTATCCGTTGAGGTCATGTTAGCTTGGAGAAACGATTCTGGCGTCACGAGTCCAATAACGTTTGCGCACATGTTGAGGCGGCCTGCGAAGAAATCGAAGTCTGGTAGCTGTATGAACTCATTGATATTTTCCGGTCGATCCTGTCGACCGCTAAAGATTTATATGCTGCAATAGGAGTCGTAGAAAGGAATTCCTGCATGTCGGGTTGCAACGCCAATGCCATCATGGGCTGCCGGCCTTCCACCGACATCGCCATGCTTCGAAGTGTTGTACAAGCATCGCTAATATCAAAGAAGGGCACATAATTCTCCCAGACGCTGGGCGCCAAACTTCGGCTGCCGGCATTACGCCAAGCGCTTTCCAAGGCTCAAAAGGAGGTGACAGTTCTTGGAACCCGGTGGCGCAGCTCTTCTCATGTTCTGGTTGCAGCTGTGCGGCTTAGACAGTCTCGGCGGTGCTGACGGGTTGATACGAGGACAGTCGGGAAGAGGAGGTTCTCCACGTCATGATTCGGCGTACAAGAAAGCTGAAAAGTATGAGTTTAAAAGTCGCTGTACAAGTAACTATGTCGACGTCGAATGTCTTCAGTGATCTTGGTGGATCTGCTGGCTTCGCCTGGATTTTGGAGAGCACTCACAATAGCGCAACGACCATAGCGAAACCAATGACGAAGTTGCCGATGGGGTGCTTGATGCCGGCCTTCAGCCTGTCGCCCGCGCTTGGCTGATCGCCATCACCCTGGTTCTCGTCGTTGCTTGAGCTCCTGTTAGCAGCCTTCTTCGCAAGATCTGCGACCCAAGCCGATGCATCGTCGCTGTACTTGTCGAAGTAGCTCAGGTGAAATGACATGTCTGTGTTCTCGGTATGAGGCGCGCAGATGGGATCGCGGGGCTGGCAGTACTCGCGCAGAATGCCAGCGTCAGCGTAAGGCTTCAGGCCTGCGTTCTGTTCGGCCGTTCGAGGAGCGCCGCCGTCGCTGATTTCACCTCCACCAAATGTCCAGGTCTGGTTCGCCGAGCGGCGCGTTGGACCGTACATCAGGACTGCTGCAACTGCATAGTGTTAGTCGCGAATTGCCATACAGATACAGATATGCCTACTCTTCGAGCCAGGCGTAGTGGAGATGTCCATGGCTGGATTGCTCTCCTGCATACAGCCCCAAAGCTCACCACCTCCACCACCCACAATGTCGAGACCGACACTGCCGCCCTGGCTAAAGCCCATCAAGATAAGATGGCTGTCAGGACAACGCGCTGTGTAGTTGCGCATCTGCGCGGCGCCGTTCAGGGCACCCTCGTGTGCGCTCTTGCACCACCTTTCCCCACCATTCATAGCCGCATATTCGACATCTTCATATCCGCAGGCGTTCGGTGTGCTCTCGGTGTTGAACTGGTCGCAGACCTTCGCCACCGTCGAGATGACGTGGCCTGGGTATGGCGAGGTCGAGCCGCGGAGGAGGAAGTGATGGTACTGCTGGCAGTCGTTGGTCTTGAGCGTCTCGTACTGCGGGCAGTCCTCGAGCTTGGTGCAGACGGCGAGCGCTGTCGAGGCGTAGAGCCCGGCGAGGGCGAACGTCCGGGTGATCATGGTGTTGTTTGTGTGGATTGACGCGGGAAAGGGCGACTTGAAAGAAGGAAGCCGCGGAAGACTCAGAAAGGAAGACACCTGTAAATGCAAGATGCAATGCTCGCTGAAGTTGACGCGCTGTGCAATGCAGCTGGTACGAGCACGAAAGTGAAAGTGCAAGACGAGTGATATCCGGGTGTCAGAGTGGTACCCGCCTACTCTGGGTTGATGTGGGGACGACTTGCCTCAGGGCGAGGCAACGTTTCGAGGCGAAGTTTCACATCTCATGAATTACGGACGCTTTTGTTCCCGCCAAGCACGTCTGCCGCGTGCTTGTCCTTCGTGAGTGGTCGCTGTTTGGTGATGATTGTCGTAGGCCAAGCCACGTATTCGGTTAAGCGGCGCCTAGCGTGGGGGCTGGCGGAAGACAGCCACCCGCCGTGTCACTTTTTTAAGTCTCATTGCCGCACATCGCAAAGCACCCCGATGCTGCGCAAGCCTCAGCCCGGCTGCTCTTTGTCGCTAGGAAGACTGCCAGGGTCTTCAAACGAGCTTTGGATGACACTGTATCCGCCGTCAACAGCACAGAAGGAACCAGACAGGGTCTTATCTGATAAGCCGCGCGTCACGGCACTCTGTTCGACAAACTGATTTGATACATAGCCAATTCCCGCCTGATAGGTTGGTAGTCCTTCGACTTGCCATGTCGATTTCCGTTAAAAAAAACAAGTTATAGTTAGCGTTTCTCAAAAAAAAAAACCCCCCTTCCACCAACGAATGCACTGCATCTATCACCTTCAGTTGAGTTCCAAGTTTCCAAAGTGACCTTGTAAGATCGGCTAGAACGACTGTGTGACGAAGACCTTGGAAAGCTGATGCCGCCGCCATCTAACATCGCAAAGCCTACGTGCTGAGTCGAGGCTTCATTTCAGGGAAATGGGCTGAAGGTCCTGATCATCATGGTGCATGCGTCCAAAACTGCTACCGAAGGTAAGTGTGTCAACATCTACTCTCTGATACTACGGGCAGATGCTACGGCTCAACTAAAAGTTCGATTCTGTCTGAATGGTGATGGATATGAGTCAGACGATGAACATGTTCTTAAGGCATTTCTCAATGGCCTTGTTTAGACTGAAAATCTGCCTGAGCAGCTGCAAAATCTCTACCACGTCTCTCTACCACGTCGTCAAGTCTGTACTTGGATACTGCAACTGTGGAGAAAGCTTAGATCTGGGATGCAAGATGTGGTTTGGTATCAAGTCCGAGTCCAAAGAGTCGTGGAGAGAAGTATGGTCAAAGGGTGTGATTGAGCTCTGAAATCAAAGTTTGATGTTCGGGTAACTAACAAGAACGGGACTTATATTAGTGATGCAACATACTTCATGCGGTTTCTCAAGTAGTGGAGGAGCAATATTGGAGAAGAACATCAGCGAGACAAACAAGATGCCCGGGGAATTGGCATTAGGAGCAAAGTGAGGGAGCTGATATAGGAAAGCCTGCTAAATGAAATCCGAGACTACCAGCATGCAGCTTATGAACACTCTTGAGACATTTTTCCTAGCATGCTGGTTGCATTCATTGCATCATCGAATTCTTGGTTGTGACGCGACTCACCTTCACTTCGCGTCTACCTGAGGCGCTAGCAAGGACATAGCGTCCATCGCTGCCTCCAAGCACTGATCCGCAACAACTCTAGCTACTCCCTTCTACCACACCACAGCAATGACAGAGCAAACCCAAGAAAGCGCGTTCCTGCGCCTTCCTGGAGGCACGCACCAGGCACTTCACTCTGCTACGCTACTCTTGATTGCAACAGTTAGCTAGCACCTCTCGCGCAGAGCCCTGAAACCGCATACACCATTTCGTCGTCGAACAAAATTCCGTCTCCCTGTACTGCCGTCACGACAGAACTGCCGCCACCGGCCCGCTCGACTCGAAATACACCGTCAAGTGCCGACAGTACTTCGCCCTCACCCAAGTGTCGCGCGAGGTGCGGGCCGAATTCCTGCCGCACTATCAGGCGAGAAGCGAGTTTTGCATTTCGCACACAGAAACTGCGCGCTATGAAGAGACCTTTACATTCCAGTGTGGCGAGAGACGCTGAACTTCGGCTTGGTATCGACATCAACGCAGAACCTGGGGAACGCACCGCCAAGCTTATGCCGTTTCTTTACTGGATTCGAGAAACACGAAGACTTCGCGCCAGATTGGTCTCATCAACGGCAGCATTCAACAGTGAGCGGGCAGAATTTTACTGGCCGGGCGCACTGTCAGCTCATCTCAACGAGAGCGCCTTTCGAGCATGTGTTATAGAGGTTGTAAGCGCGATGAGTCTCCACTACAGAAGCGGCGACTTCCTAGAGATATAGTTCAGTATTAAAGCAGAACATGCCGAACCTTGGATGGACAGATGGACAGGACATTTTACCTTCCCGTTGGACGCTAAACCACTTTTAGAAGAAGGGGAGTGGAAACTTAGAGCGGGTTTGAGTGCAGACTTCATGTGGAACTGTGTCTGGCTGGTGGTCGGGGAAGGAGGTAGAACAGAGGCATGAATGAGGATGGTCGTTAACACGCGATGCATGCACTGTTCTGGTCAATCTTTTTAATATTACATAGCACTGAACAAAGTTTGTAGTGAGCATTACTACAGTATACATTACCTGAACTGAGATTGCACTTGCTTTATTGCAGTATCTTTGACACGCGCTTGCTTTCATCTCGTCGTCCGATGGATGTGATCATGTTGCCCACTGCTACCCCGCGGCAATAAGCCGTTGTCTCGATCTCGCTAACCTCGCATGGCACGTCTCTTTCCCCCATAACAACTATGCCCATCCACACGCCCTCTTTACGGTAAGGGAGCTATTTTGCACCTGTGCTGAGGGCACACGAACCCGAGTCAGAACCCATCTTGTCCTGATTGTGTCGATATCCAGTCACTTGTAAAATTCGCGAGGGCAATGCCGGGGCTTCGAGATCAAATATGCACTTGGTGGCATAATCAAACAGACGGAGACGACCAGAACCTTTGGTTTCGTTCTTAACCCAAAAGCTCATCCAACTATCAGGCGCTACATCGAACATAAAGTGGGCCGAGATTGAGATTGTGCTGTGATGAGAAGAGCTGCGATATCTTCCTGGGCACCAAGGCTGAGTTTTGGGAGGAGCGAACGGCGCCATGGTCTCCGAGTTTGTACACAAGCACTTCCCAGTATACAGACCAGGAACCTTTGGCTTCTCGTGCGGCGATAGATGAGTGACTCAATGATTTCGGCTTGAGTAGATGTGGTGCTTGCAGGACTTTCGCGGTCCGTCGTGTGGAGTGCGTGTCCAAAGCTGAGGGGGTGCGGGACGTGACGTTCGGGCTAAGACAGCATGAATCTGGTCCAGTTTTCGTGATATATAGAATGCCACAGAATTATTGCAGAGAAGGCGAGAAGGAAAAAGGCGTCAGCCTTCTGGGGAGTGAGCAGGACTGCAACGATAGATTGATGCATCATTTGCTCAAGAGAATGGATCAAACGTATCCTGTTGGCATGTGTGAGCGCACATAAATAAGAGGAAGGAAAGAGCTTTTGCCAAAGCTAGAGCGTTGTGCAGCTGAAATGGCTTGTTGAGCTGAAGAAGGGATGACGGCCAATCACGACCTGGAGAGGCGTCACACGTCTGCTGTGCTCTTCGAAGGATCCGATCAGCAGCGCGTGGTATGCTTTCGGCGCGAAAAGCTACAGTGAGACGTCGAAGGTGCGAGCTGTCATTTCAAGAGAAGACTGATCATGGCTTGACTCGGTGTCGCGCGTGTGAAGGACTTGTGAAGGACTTGTGAGGCGCCTTTGTAGCGCCATCTAGATGTCGCTGATGCATGTGCACATGGGTAAGCACATCAGCACCATGATGTTCGATCAGATAAAGAAAATACAACGTCAGCGACACAAGAAGGGTGGACGGTGCTACCGAGTCTCTTGGGTTGTGGAAAAGACCGGTCACAACCTTTGAAGATTGGGCATCTTTAGCAGTGAATTGCGTGAAATTTATAGGTTAATAGAGCTTCTTGAGACTAGGGATCAGGTGTTTTGTTACATCCAGCTTTGTTCGTGACATGAGAGCGAGTCTATAGTCCAGACGACGCGTGTGGTGCGAAGCGGGGCAACCGCTCGGCTCTTTGCCAGCCTTCTTTTGCGGAACGTCGTTTTGCGTCTTGCACTCCCAGCTCATCAACGTTTGATCAAGATTGACCACCAAGTCCACCTCACCAGCACTGTAAACAGGTGTGACTGACACTGGAAAATCCACGAGTATGGGTGACGGGCCGACGACACAGGCCATGTCCCTGCAATTTCACGCTCACAAACCGCGCCTGTTGACATCGAGACAGGTCAGTCCCATCTTCAAAGGAATAGATATGCACGAAGTTCCTGCCGGTCCGTCTCGAGGCCACATTCCAGCCTTTATCTCCAAACCTTCTCGGGATCGCACCTTTTCTAATCGCAGGACTTCGTTTCATGCATTCAATAGAACAAAGACACAAACGCCTCGTTCCCAACGTGCCTGAGGCTTTCTTTCAAGACGATGCGGCCTTGGTTTTTCCTTCGATAAAAATCCAATACCACCCTTGCCGAAGGTGCTTGCAGGATTCTTGGGTTTCGTAGTGCATAGTACGTGCCTAAGGGTGACTGGTGGACGCTCAAGACCTGTCTTCCATTGCGCAGAGGATGAAGCCGAGAAGCAGCTTGCGCTGCTCTTTTGCATCTGGGATATTTTTCATCACACTCTGGCGGTCGGTACTGAAGCGGAGCAGTATGGCACTCACATATTCCGTGAGGACAACATACTGGCATTTGGTAATGCTTGAGTACTTTTTCGCTTATTTGAGCTGCTTGGTGCAGCTGTACTCTCGCCTCAGCACCTTGGATGGATCGTCGCGGAAAGGTTGTAAGTCTTTGTCGAGCTCGAACCTTGCATATATGACGGCCCTGAATTTTGAAAGATCGAGATACCCGGCCTGCTTACACTCGACCAGCGCAACGATACTGTGTTCTTCTGGATACCACGGCCATATTCACTCTCAGATCGCTGAGCCCAACTTCAGCTCTGATCACGGGTTCTCCGGGATGCTTGAGCTGAACGGCACGACTGACCGGGTTGACCAGATTTGTTCTCCCATGCGCGACTGCGTCCGCTTCGTTGTGAATTTCAATCGTTGGCTCTGGCTCGGTGGACGACAGGGCGTCCAGCTGAGTGCCATGTTGCTTTATATAGCGGTTCGCTGCAGATGTACAGCGCAATGCGTTGTAGTGCCAAAGCAAATTTGGAGGGCGTGCGTCTTCGACCCTCTTGGAAGAAGCCTTTTTCTGGTCTGACGAACCAGAAGTCACGACGACTGCGGGCGGTGGCGCAGTGCTCAGACTTGAGAGCAAGCTATGTAAAGTGGCCATATCTGCTGGACATGCGATTGGGGTGACGGGGTTGAGGAGAAGTTGCGCAGAAATTTTCTTGCAAAGTGAACGTGAAGTCTCGCCCCAATCGCCTGCTTCGTCTTCGCCAATCGACTTTGGGAAGTGGGAGCTGGACGGCTGCCACATCCAGCGTAGCATTGTAACAGACAATGTGCTCACGTAAGTACATACAGGGGACTGCGAATGCTATATTTTATAATCTAAACTTCCTCTCCATCTTATTGCTGTTGTATCAAGCGAACCTACTCTGTTGGGTACCTAGGCAGACCAAGCTCACTCCCTGGGTCCCTCTCGACTTTCACGTACTTTCCACCATCTCCTCCGTTGCCACATGTCTCCCACATCCATTCAGTGGCTTCCTGTCACTGCGGCAGCCACCCGCGCAAACTCCAGCCATCTGTTCCAGCCCAATAATAGCGAGGATTGGGGTGCTTCAGCTCAGGCGGGCTTCAGCCTGCAAGCTTATACACACAGGATTCACCGTAGTCGATGATGCAGATTCGCAGCGGCCTGTCGCTAGACCAAGACTTCGGAGAGGGCGAGCTGATGATGATGTTCCTTCGCGCGAAATCGTCGTGCTCCACTCCGGCTACCCTGATGTCGGTGTCGACTTCTACGATTCTGCGCATGAGCCCATATTTTCTCTACAGTGTCGAAGTCCTGCGATCGCAGATCTGACGTTTGTAGACCCACCACGTTTTCAAGTAGTATAAGGTGAATTTCTCGGTCTACACGTTGGTTATTGATGATGAGCGAGATCTCAGCAGTCCAGGCATCGCGATACTTGGGCGCAACATTACCATCTAACTTTGCCTCTTGCAGTGCGGTTTATGCTGCAACCTAATTCAGATAGTCATCCTCAGCCTCAGTCGCAACGTCAATCTTTGTTTCCGGCGAGAAGAGATAGTGAAAGCGGTAGAGCAGGGGGTCGAAAAATTTTGCGATCTGATGGTCGATAGTAAGGATCACTTGTGCGCCACATTGATGCCCTGTTCTGATGGACTCTTTGATTGTGATTTGACGGAGGGTTTGCATGTGCACGATGCCGGGCTCTGGAGGGTTCTGCATACACCACTGCAACTGAGATGCATTGCTTGGAACATGTCTCTCTGCGACTTCCACTTTGCCGTCATCAGAATCGTAGTTTAATCTGTGAGTGGGACGCGGCGCTCTATGACTCTTCAGAAGGAAGGATTGGCCCGACGCGTATAATTTCGCTGCATCACGAGGGGGGAGTTTGGTGTAGTAAATTGCATGTTAGCTACAGGTGACGTGGTGGTTGATGTGGGTGATTGATGGCGTGCTGAAGTCGGGGAGTTTGTGTGCAACTTCGTACCTACGAAACCGTGCATACGATGCCAAGCCAAGTCAAAAGCGGGACTTTTTAAAAAATCCGTCAATCGCGCACCCCGAACTTCACGCTAAAGTGCCCAACAATCGGTGCTCGCAAACGCAAAGTTGTGTATCGAGGACCCTGCACTCACCTTTCCGGTAGCCTCCGCTACCACAAACCGCTCCAGGGTGAGGTTCCGCCGCTTGGCGCCTGCCGCCCATCGCCCGCGGCGTCTCTCCTCCCTTTCCAACTATACTGTTGGCTCGGGCAGGAACTCGGCAGTGCGCATATCATGATGAGAACTTAGGACGACTGTCTGGTCTGGAAGTGGAGTGGCTTGTCATGACGCGAAGCACAAATGACGTAGGTGGTGGGAAACGATTTACCAGCCACTTTTGTCGCGCTTCGCTCCGCTTTGGGAAATTGTGGCCTTTGTGGGGTAATAGCTTACTCTGGGCAAAGTGCGGTGGGATCTTGGTCGATCTACGTAGACGGTAAGCCAGGGTGTATAACTACACAGGTCTATCTTCAATTTGAGCCGCATAACATCATAAGCAATATCCGAATCAGACTCACCCCTCACCCATCCTTCACCAATACCACCATGCGCGTCCAGACTACCATCGCAGCCTTGACTTCAGTCGCCTCAGGCCTTCTGACGCCCCGTCAATCCAACGACACCGCCACCGCAGCACCAAATGTTGCAGCCGCGCAATACGATGGGTGAGTAAAGCACCAAATCTCGTGTTTACTATTCGTCTCAATCTGAAATGTCAAAGGTCGTGCTTCTACCCTGTTCCAGATCCCAAGTTCAACCTCGTAGCCTACCTTGGAACCTGGTATCAAGTCGCTGGTACACCCTTTGGCCCAACAGCAGGGGCCAGCTGCGTGACTGCAAACTACCAGCTCAACGTGCGTGAACCTCGGTCCGGCTACCTAAGCACCATGAACGACAGCTAACGTTCCCATAGGACAATGGCACTGTGCGTGTTCTCAACACAGCAACAGTAGGTCCTCAGTCTGTCAACATCGTTGGCACGGCTACTCCAGTTGATGCTGCGTACGGCGCTGGTGGCGCGTTCGTGGTCAGCTTTCCCGGTACACCTGGTGCCGAGTGCCCGGGACCGAACTACATTGTGCAGGGTACGTCCGCTCCTTTAGAAGTCACAAACGGCATAGCAAGCTAAAGGATTGATCAGACTATGCCATCGAATGGGCCATCGTGCAGACACAGAATTGGACCACATTGTACATCCTGAGCAGAGAGCGCCAGCCTACTACTGCAAGTATTGACGTAAGTAGATGAGGTTACGATGCGTGGGGGTTTGTGTACTGACTTTGATGTGTAGGCGTGGATCGAGCGTGCGGTGGCTTTCGGCGCTGATGCATCGGCGATATCGAAATTTAACCAGACTGGCTGTGACGCGTAGAGGTGTACCATGACGGCTTCAGCTAATATCTTCTTGGTGATTTTCGCGGCGGGGAGTAATGAAGAGCCAGATGTCAGCATGTATGAAAAGTCTACTATTTTCTTCTCCTGATAGCCTCGCGCTGACTGGCATCCGTGCACCATGGGAAGACATTCCGCAGCGAATGGACAGATAACTAGACGATATCATACCGTCAATAATTCAATCAGGCAACGCAAAACCATCAGATGAATGCAGGAAATTCTTTACAAGCTCAGGAGGTGAATCTAAGCATACTCTGGGTGGTCTGGAACGCTATCTTTAAAAAAAAGATCCTGGGGTGCTTGACTTTCGTCAAACGAATGCTGATGAGGACGGGACTCGAACCCGCGCCACTTTCGTGACCAGGAAGCTGATTGCTCAGCAGTGCTAAGGAGAGGACCTTAACCTGGCGCCATAACCAACTCGGCCACCTCACCGTTTCTTTTGATGTGAAGTCTCTAGCAAAGATATTACTTATAGACTAGTGAAAACTTACTCGCTCTCATTCGCTCATGCGGCTCACCCTTGATGGCATATTTTCCCATACTAGAAGATACTTGGCTTTCATGCATCATTTCCTGGTCTGGTAATCCAAGACGTTCTTCAGTATGCGAGACCAAAAACACCTACGCATATCATCAGGCCAGCATACTGCATGCATTCGCCATGTAGATGCTCGATAAGGATAAGATGTACGGCTCGTGTCTGTACCTCTTGTTGTCCATTTGCGCCGATGCGTGCCGTGATATCGGCTGTCCAGGACCCATAGAAGGCTGGCGTGACCTCTTTGGCGGCTGTCGACGTCTCGAGCTGTTGGTAGGCTGCAGTCTTACGACTGTAATCGCCTCGTGCGGGCTGTGTAACACTATAGTCAACGCCAGTATTGTTGTCGCGATAATAGAGAGGGTTGTATATCTTGGCCACAGTCTCACCATTCACGGCCACGATCTGCGCGTCGCGCTTACTCTCAATCCTGATGATTGACTTGATCTTCAACTCCTTTCTGATGCTAGCGGGGATGCGACTATCGTTCTGCGTATCGGAGATAGTGTTCGACTCACGACATAGACTGCCAACGGTCCAAGCTAACTGTCAGATATATAGACGTCTCTTGGCCATATTTGCCGTTCTAGACCGAGGAACTGGTGTGCCTGGGACAAGCAGCGCATGCTCTTGCATACGTGTAAAGCCTCGCGTCTGTGTATCAGCGTGACTTATTACACAACGCTCATCATACGGCTACTCTGATAAAAGCTCGATGCATATGTATCCTGCAGGCATTTTCGTTACTTGCAAACCCTGTTCTGCTACGCCGAGCCGGATAATCGTGGCGGCTCGTTGTCCAGACTGTGATGCTCGTAAAACGAACTACAATCAATGATTGACAGGACGCTGTGAAATGAACTTGCATTGTCAGCCGCGCCGAACGAAGCTTGGATACGTCGAGAAACGCGGCCGTGCCGAGGTACCGGTACGTTCCTGGATGGTGCCGGATCAAGAATTCGGACGGTCCCTGGGACCACTGCATGCACTTGTGACAGATTATTGCGAATGGACTTGGCAGCTGGTATCGTAAGTTGAGGAGGACCGTTACTCATCTAAAGACTGGTCGTTCATCAGTCGTGACACCCATCTTCTGCACCTGAACGGCCATTGAAGGTGCTGGAGGCGGTCCCCCCTGCTGCACAGGCTGCACAGGCTGCACATGATGGTAAGGCTGCGGTGCCCACTGCGATGGACCTTGGGCATATGGCCCTGGAGCATAGGATCCAAGAGGCCCACCCTGCTGAAGCTCGTATGCATTATTGAAACCGGCATAACGGCCCTTGCCACCACAAAGCCACTTGACACCACCTCGTTGGCATATAATGATCCAGAGGCTGCCGAGGAAAAGGAGCGCGAAAATGGCCATGGGTATGAGCAGGAACCTGGTAGCCTTCTACAAACTTGTCAGCACCGTCGCTGCAGCAGACAATCAGCACCACGGGGACATACTGCTGTCCCACACGCAGTTCCTGCCCACCCTTCATTGGGGTAGAAGCGCTCAATCTGACAAGACCAGGTCTCGCGAGTGTATTCTTGACCCTGCTTCTGCACATCTTCGTAGCTTCGCCAGCCCTCGTTGCCTTGCAATGAACTCGCCCATCCAAATACACCAAGACTCAGCCCAACCAAGACGATATTGCCGATCGCTGCAGCCCACGCCCAACCCCTCTGACGTCCATGCGTGCCCTCCACCTTCCTCAGTTCCCAAATGCCAAACGCATCGAATACGGACACAATGTATGCCGCAACACAGACACCTATTATAGCCCACGATGGCGCCCGATTGATGCGCACAGTCACAGCTGTATTCGCAGTCGAAGACGGGTCGGTCACATTGGGGCCGTTGAGGTAAATCAAGTATGCGCCATTTCGCCAGTCGCGGCCGGTTTGCTCAAGGAGGAGAGACTTGGATATCCGTTCGAGAACGAATACCAGAACCGAGACTGGGAATAACAGGAGCACTGTTGGCGCAAGGAGGAGAATTGTGCGCATTGCGATCGTCCTTGCAGCGGTGCTGCGCGTCGAGGTCGAAGTTCGAGGTCAAGCTGTCAAAATGTCGCGGAACTACGATCAATGTGAGCGCAACATGCTGGCAATATCGTGCCGCTTTAGAGGGGCCTAAGGGTGGTGTGAACGGCCTATTATTATTAGGTTGTACAGTGTGGACGAGATGCGCGGGAGGCCTTGAAGGCGCGCATTCAGTAGTCAGAATTGGCGCATCTACGTAAGCCTTGGCATTCATGGCACGAATAGATGCCCAACACTATTATTAGGTATTGATTGGTAAGAGACGCCGTGTAGGTATTGGGGTTATCGAGACAGTCTGTGTTCAGGACGATGATGACGGCAACTTTGGCCTCGGGTCGCGAAGACGCGTGAACGCGCTCGCACGTGCACAACGACGTACCTAGGGGCTAGTTCACAAAGAAAAAGGCTCGGTCTTGTGCACTCACGAGCGTCTCGGCGATGCTGAGATTCATTATGGAAATATTCATTCTAAGATGATAGACTCAAACTCGATCAGATCCCATATCTGGCCGTGCATTAATCCCTGAATGAAGCATTCGCACACGAGCTTACCGGTATACTGGCCGTAGGTCCTTGGATGATGGTCTCAAGATAAACGGCACCAGCGCGCCAGTGAAGATGTAATACACATCGTCAATCTGAACCAGGGACCAAGATGCTTTGCCTATTTTCCCACCGTGAGTCAAAAAGAGCGCCTTCTCCTGTGCAAACATGTCTGTCGCACGCTGCCGGCACGCTCGGCCTCATGAGACTCAAGCCTCCCCTGAGCCACGAGCTCCTATTGATTGGATCACGTGATCGTTTCCTTTCTTCTTTACATAGACATGTATCATCTCATCAATCGCAAAGACAGTGGTCACACAGAATCAATCACCGGAATAGTTGCCCTCTAGCTCGTCACAACTTCCAGATCATCCATCATGTTGTGAGCCCCCGCAACATACGCATCAGAGAGCCCTGGTAGATGCCGGCTGCGCACATAAAATTCGGGAACTCTGAGCGTACAATCATACAGTAGCCTTTGAAGACGTCCTGTAGCCAGACTACCCACCGGTTACTTTCTATCTGCATCCAGCAGCATCACCATGAAGAAGGTGCGGCTGATTGTAGACGGAAGTTGTGGTCTCTCTGCTGCGATAGCGGCCTCTCTTCAGAACTCATGAGTCGCGGGTTCGTTCGTCGATCTGCCACATGCCTGGATCGCGCTGCACGTTGAATTGGAAATTGTTCTCCCATAGAGGGCAGTTGATGGAAGAGCCAGAAATCTCAAAAGACCTGTCACTGGGTTGTGTCGCTAAAAGACTAGTCCAATTCGTTAGTATCGCCCCAGACTACGAGATGACTGCATAGTTGTTCCTGAAGCGCTTATGGAACTTGACTCTCAGCTCACAATAGATGTCATCGCACGCTCTTCAGGGATGTAGGATCGATATTCTGTGGAATCCGCCCCTTGAAATCGCGTCTTAGACGAATGACCTGGGCCGTGTATCAATGAGCCCCTTTTTCAAGCACTGTAATCCCTTGTGGATGTGGTTTGATGATGTGGGCGTGCAGTTGGTCGGGTTGCGGAGAGGTACTGGCGAGCTGTGACTTCGCTCCCGCTGACAGGTGTGCGACTTCTGCGACTTCTTTCGTTAACGATCTTGCATGTAATGTGTTTGAATTTGAAGGAGGCCACATAGCCTGCCGAATCGTTCCCTTCCGAAGGTAGTCCTGTATCGAAGTCGCTATCGAGATACTAGGTTTCCTCACACCTTTAGTTCTCGAAGGGTTGTCGCATCTTCAGTCCCCCCAGGAGCTATATCCTGTCCAATTCTACTCAATCATGATAGTGCTAGGCTCAAACTTGTCTAGTAGCTCACTACCCATCACACCATGGATGTAGCACACCATGGATGTAGCACCCTTCAACTAGTCTATATCGACCACCGTTGCCTGGGGTCAAAAGGAACGTGACTGATGCTTCCATGATGATAAGGCCGACGTGTCCAACTCTTGTCAGAAAAAGACATTTATGAAAGGTACCATCGTTGAGGAAATCTGCGACCCGAGTTGCATGTCGAAGATGCCGTTCGGTCACAATGTCTTCGGAAAAAACATCTTTTTTGTTAAGCAACGCGAGCATAACACGACGATATGCTTGAATGTAGGAATGATGGCAGTTATCCGTGATAAAAAACAAAGAAAAATGGTTGCATGCTAAAGAAAGCGTGAAGTCTTGCCTCGGCTTCTCTCTGACTTCGAAAATGTCCAAGTGCGTCTGCAAGGTTTCTCGTGATGAGTACCACCGGATCATCGCATCGTATGTTGACGGCATCCTCAGGATTGCCCCAGCCGTACGAGATCTTCGAGCATCGCCTGGGTGATTCATAAGACGGACTTCCAAACGGCAAACGACGTCGTCCTTGTCGTCTCCGGGCTGCAAAACGAGAACTCTGATGTAGCCAGTCTGTGGGAGTGGTTCGTATATGGCGCGTAGATTCTCTTGCTCCGTCTTCTTCTTCTGCGGGTTGATGGCTTTTCGAGATTTGCATTTGTGCATGATCACACAACGAACTGTTGTCGAGGTAAGATGCGTTGATGAGGTTTGCGTAAAGTAGAGACAAGAAGGAATTGGAAGGCATCAGGCTGAACGTTAGCAATTATATGCACGTCAGCCGCACCTACTAACCTCACTGACAGGGATCTAAACCACCCCCGGCAACCTCGTAATAGCTTTCAACTCACCCAGACGTCCACACGTAGGCTCAGACACAATACTCGATGCATTTCACAGCTCAAGACAGCCACCGATATAACCAAGGGAAAAAGGAAAACAACAAACCCTGCCCTATCGCCAGCGGCGCCCCCCACTCAAACCCTGCCTTTCTCCCCTCCTTCAGTACCACACTGACATGTTTCCCTTCCCACTCACCTCCAGAATCCGCAACCTCGATCATCCCCGCCGCCAGATCCAGAAAACTGATGAATGTCTGCTGCTTCGTCTCGCTCAACTCATGTCCCTGCTGCACGTCGTGTGTCAACCCGCCGGGCATGACGAAGGTCAGGTCGAGCCAATCCTCATGCTGCCGAAGATAGCGCTCGGCAGCAGCCAGGTCGTCGTAGATGTGCGCGTTGGCGGTGTACATGATGCTGTGCACGAACGAGGGGGCGCCGCGCCAGAATTTGTCGTCGAGGGAGGCGGAGCTGAGGATTACGAGGCGCGGAGCTTTGAAGGCTGTGTCTTGGGTCTTCAGGGACTGTAAGGCGGAGACGACGGCTTTTGCCGTGTCCATGGAGACGCTGACGCCGGGTATGTTTACGCTGACAGCTACAGTGAGGAAGACGGCGCGCGTGTCTTTGAGGCATGACGCGAGGTTGGAGGTATCGGTGATGGAGCCTTCGAAGACGCTGATGTTGGAATTTGAGGCGAGAGGCGGGTAGGCCTTCTCTAGCTTTGAGCGCGAGCGGACCAGGACGTTGATCTTATTCTTTGGGTTCTCGCCGAGTAGCTGGAGGATGCTGCCACCGGTCTGACCGGTGGCTCCAAGGATTGCGTATGCTGACATTGGAACTCTGCAGTGTTGATTTCAAGAGCCGTGTGAAGTAATTACCCAGCGATATGAGTAGGATGAACCCAGACTAAGTACTTCGAAGCACGACAAGCGCATACAGTAAGGTACGATTCAAGCGGTCAATCATGGCCGAGAAATTCTCTGCAAAGAATGCCCATACATCACAATAACACACATGCCCCATCATCTAGACCATGCATTCGGCCCGCAAGTGCAATCTTCGATGGTTCAGGAACGGTTGCGATTCGGCGGGCGTTGTTCCTTTCACAGATCCACTACGTCATGCATGTCGGCAATCTGGCAGCAAAACCCCGGCCACGGGCATCACGGAACCCGAGTCAACACCACGGTCATAGCTCGGTCTGCGAAACAATGATCGAAGCCCAGTGCGGTCGATCGCAGACCGGATAGACCGCGTCACACAGTAAGCTAATGCAGCCTGCCATCACACAGAGGCCCCGAACAAAGCTATATATGCTGCCTTTGTACAGAATCCTTAACCAAGATTGAAGATAAACGCTACCCTATAGTAATACCTTGTTACACCGACTCGTCATCGGGCCCTCGGCGACATGGCAGCCGACACATTCACGACGTCAGTTCAAGCGCTGCAAATCACCATAGCGACAAGTCTAATATTCATCGGTGGTATGTACTGCGTACACACTCTGTGCAGATCAGGGCACGCACCCAAGTCCCTATGCACACTTTTGCAATCTTGAACATCGGACGATCGCAGATCTGGGTAGGATCTGACGGTGCAGAAGTCCACCCCACTCTCCCATATCCAAAAGCATTCATTCCACACCACCACACCCCAGCGATCCATCAACTAACCCCCACCTCAGGCCTATCCTCCTGCCTCTCCCTCTGGATAATGCCACTAACAGCGCGCCTCGCACCGCGCCCAGCCTGCGCGCAATTCACGCAAACCGTAACCTGGGGGTTCCGGTATTTGCAACCCTCATCGCAGCTGCTCGCCATCTCGCTCCTCGCAACCACGCTACTGACCTCGCAGCTGCCCGACCCGGCGCATGCACACGCGTGGAAGACCTGGGCTGCCGCGCTGGCCGCTCTCGTCCCAGTCGCGCCGTACGAGGTTTACGCTATCTTCCCGCTGAATGCGCGGGTGCGGCAGATCGGGGAGGATCTGGAGGGCGAGAAGGAGAGGGAGGGTAAGGATGTTGAGGAGGAGCTCAAGGGGCTGTTTGGGAGCTGGAAGGTGTGGAATTGGGGGAGGGTTGTTATGCCAGTCGCGGCGGGAATGATTGGATGGTGGGGCGTTGTGAGATGAGGGCTCGGATGGATTGGGAGGATGTGGTGCAGGAGTGAGGATTTGTGGTTGGGTGTCTCTTGCGGGTGTGCATTGTGCCCATATTGGCTTGGCAGCATAAACAGTGGGTAGCACTTTGCCTTGTGCCTTTGATCAGTGATAGTCAGTGATTGAGAGGATTATGGCCGGCACGTTGTCTGGTTTTCACGTTGCGGCAGTAGCTAACTTCATTTGAGCGGGCTGGCAGCTCTCTCGACAGGACTGCTTGTCCTGCCAGTACCGACACCGGATGCAAGCAGCTCCAGCCTGGATGCCTGCACACGGTGCTTCTTCATGACGTCGACCCACTCTTCTTCTGTCTGTCGCTGCTCAGTTGTAGTGTTGTCCTGATGGCCCAGCTCGGCCTTCAGGTCTTCTTCCAGCAGCGCGATCATCATGCTGAAGTCTCCACCCAGTCTGCCGAGCGAGCCAGCGCAGTACAGAACCTGTGTAAGGAGCGAGTCTCTCGCTGAGCGGTCTGAGACGTTGGGAAGGTACTCGCGCAAGGTGTCGAACAGCATCTCGACAAGATGCAGGGGAAAGGTCGCCAGCGCCGAAGGGATGGGCTGCAGTGAATTCGACTCGGCCACGGGCTTTACGGCAGGCGCAGCGTCGTCTTGTCCAGGGGCAGGTAGCGCAGATGGGAAGATGCTCTTGTACATGGAAATGACAGCAAAGCTCTGCTCTCGGAAGACTTCCAGGTATTTCTTGAGGTACTTTTCAGTTTGTTGGCCAGCGGACCAGCCACCGTCTGTCTTGGTGTTGCCGAGTCGTCGCTCTGTCTCCTGGTCTGCAAGCTCACGGAGAGGGTCGAGGGCGCCGAGCATCGACTCGAGGCAGCCCAGCCTGCACACCAAGAACAGCGCACCCAAGCTGCCTTCGCCGCTGCCAATGCCAGTCTGCTTGATCGACCACGCCTCGTCGAGCTCGGGTGCCACGCGTCTCAGCCAGCCAATGGTCCGCATAGCACCTGCCAGCTTGATACCCTGTGCGTGGAGGGACGCAATCAGGTTTGTGGTCATGGTCTTCATCTCCTGCTCCGCCTGGCCGGCGAGTGACGAGACAAGCTGCGAGTCGGGGTAGAGGGTGTGCAGGCGTCTGATGTGGGCGTGGAGGTCCAGGGCAGAGGCATAGTTGGCGTTGGAGGTGACCGAGCTGGCGCCAGCAGCGGCGTGGGCAGCAGCAGTCGACGAGGAGATGGCCGACGACAGCAGCGTGGGCAGGTCCAGCACGTCAGCTACGCGGTCCACATTCCGGGACAGCAGCATGGCCTTCCGCCGGCGGTCCAGGATGGCCTTGTCTCCGCTCCTGCTGTACTTGTCGGCGAACCGGGTGGCGGCTGTCTCCAGGCCGGGCAGCGCGGCGTGTATGGTGCGGGCATTCTGGCCTATCTGGGGCAGGGTGTCGCGCAGGTGCAGCAGGTGGTCGGTCGCGGCGATGACTGGCCTGTGGGAGCGTTTGGAGAGAGCCTGCAGAGAGCGCAGGACCGACTGCGAGCTCTGGGACAGCGACTGCTGCTCCGACGACGTCAGGGCATCGAGCGGGAGCGTGGTGAGGCGCGCGAGGTACGCATTGGTGGCGGCGTCGGTGGGCGAGGGCCGCTGGTGGGCGTCGCGGGCGTCGAGCGCGTCATGGGCCTCCAAGTAGGGGACGAGCAGCTCGTAGAGGGGGTCGGCCATGCCGGGCGGGCTCGCGAGGAGCTGTGGCAGGCCACGTCGCGGCTCTGTGTTTGCGGGCAACGCGGACAATGCGGGCAATGCGGGCAACGCGGGCAAGACGGAGGTGACGACGGGGTCAAACGGGGTCAACGGGGGGGGGGGGGGGGGGGGGGTCCAGCCGCCAACGGCTGGAGGCGCGCCATGGACCCCTGCAGCCCTAAGCCCTGCGACTCTTCTTCACATGTCCGCCTGGTGGCTGCAGCGACGAAGCTTGCAATGGATGGCGGCAACGACGACTCCGACTCCAACCGATACACGCCCTCCGCCTGGGACCCGCACCCAGACCCCGATCACGACGAGCTCGGCCTTGTCGAGGGCTTTCTGTCGCGCCTCTTCCACGACCGCTTCCTGACCAACAGTCGCCCCGCAGCCTCCGACGCCGCCCCACCGCCGCCGCCGCCGGCAAACAATCTCGTGCCTTTCTTCGCGGCCGACAGCGTCTTTGCAGCGCAGCAGCCCTCCGCGCAGCAGCCCTCCGCCCAGCCGCCCTCAGACGCCTCCCCGCCGCCGCCAATGCAGCGCACCCCGCATGTCGTCTTCTGCGTCGATGACACGGTCGGCCTCAAAGACGACAAATACAGCGTCGGCGTCGTCGACCGCTCCTTCACCGACGTCGACACGCACGAGCCCCGCCCCCAGCGCGACTATGGCGAGGACATCGAGCGCCACCCCGACGTGCCGCTGGCCGAGCACCACAAGTTCATGAAGACGGGCATCCCGCCGCGCGGCACCGTGCTGGTCTCGTGGCAGACGCAGCTGAAGACGGAGCTGATCCCGGAACACCAGCTGCAGCTGCTCGACCGCGCCCTGTACGTCGGCGATGTCGTAAAGCGCCGCGCCGAGGACCACATGAGCGGCACCGTCATCGGCACCAAGGCTGTCTGCACCCTCTTCCCCGCCACGCAGTTCCAGAGCGGCCAGATCACCCAAGCCGCCACCGACGACCTCTCCATACGCAACGTCCCCGCCAACGAGCTGCTGAACGTCCACGAATATGTCGAGGGCGCCCTCGTCGTCTACGGCGACTGGGTGGGGCGCATCGAGACCGTCTACGATCAAGTCGCCGTCAAGCTGTCGAACAACTCGGTCGTAGTCGTAGAGGACCCGGCCGAGCTGGAGCACGACGAGATCACCGTGGAGCGCCTCAGCGTGGGCGACACTGTGCGCACCAAGAAGGGCAACCTGCGACGAGGCCTCTGGAGATACGGCGCATTCGACCCCAACATCAAGCCCGAGGGCATGGTCGTCGAGACAAGACCCATTGAGATCGACGTCCAGTGGCTGGCAAGGAGCATCCACGCCCAGGACAACCAGTTTTCACTCACAGAGCCACCGCCGACCCTTGAACGAGACGAATTCGAAAGCAACCGCTTTCACCGCTACGATGCCTCTGCCGGCGCTGCATCCACGCTGCCTGTACTGCCCAACGGAACAGAGCGCACATATCATGTCACGGATGTAGCAGTCGGTGACCGCGTGCGCTTCAAGGATCTCTCAGGCGCCGCTGTCAAGTACGACGGGACCCACACGCTACCAAACGGATATCCCCAGGGCAAAGTCAGCAAACTGCCTCGCACCGAGACACTAGGATACGACATGAACGTCTTCCTTGTCATGCAAACACACACACAAGTCACAGTGCAGTGGCAAGATCTATCCATCACCGAAGACGTCAGCTCGTCGCTCATCCCTGACCCAAACGTCGAAGACGATGACGAGGTCTGGCCCGCTGAGATTGTCTGCAGCAAGGAAGACAAGAGCAACAACACAGATCAGCAAGTCGGACAGTGGATGAAGGAACCCGCGAGGGTAGGCGTAGTCCAGGAAGTAAAGTCGCGAGACCGGATAGCGAGCGTTCGGTGGTTCAAGGACCACGACATCAAGTTCTTCGGTGCTGATCTGCTGCGGCCTGCGACAACAGGTGAGCTCTCCGAGACCGCCGAGGATGTCAGCCTCTACGACATTTACTCTTCGCCGGCCCTGACAAGGCGGCGAGGTGACTTCGTCCTCGTCCACCCAAGGAGCTTGCCGACCGATTTCTCCTCCACCGGGCCCAACTGGTTTGGCGAGGTTGTCGATCTGGGTCTTGATGGCAAGGTCACGGTCCGTCTAGGCGCAGCTAAGCCCGTCGTCGACATTCAGGTGGTATACGAGGATGTCACTTTGACTTACAGCACTGACATGGACAATGAGTTTCTCAACATGCAAGAGCTCGACGGCGACTCGGTCGATGACTATGAAGAGGACATGACTGACTTCGACTCTGCCTCCTTTAACGAGATGTGGATAGAATACGAGGGCATGGAGGGCGAGCCACCGGTCGGTGACGAGGCAGATTGGTCTACAGAAGATGAGGAAGAGGCAGAAGAGGATGACGACGATGATGATACCTCGATGCCTGACCTCGAACCATTTGACGGTGTCGACACATCGAAAACAACTCCTGATCCCGTTGCGAGCTCAGGAGCCACAGACGCAGCACACGAAGCAACAAATGGCGATGCGGGCCCCGAATTGCACGAGCATGCCAACTCACCATCAGACGCGCCCGCGTCGTTTGTCATACTCGATACACCACCACCCTCAGGTCACCACTATATCCAAAACACATCAGCCTCCTCGTCGGCATTCATGCGCCGCATCGCAAAAGAGCACAAGATCCTTCGAGGCTCCCTGCCACCGAACATCTTTGTCCGCACCTGGGAATCACGCCTCGACCTCATCCGCGTCCTGATCATCGGCCCCAGCGACACACCCTACGAATACGCACCCTTCGTCATCGATTTTCACCTTGGCTCTTCTTACCCCCAGTCACCGCCGGAAGCCTTCTTCCACAGCTGGACCAACGGCAACGGCCCTGTAAACCCAAACCTGTACGAAGACGGCAAGATCTGTCTCAGTCTGCTGGGCACATGGCACACGGACGAGCGCAACGAGAGCTGGAGCCCCGCGAAGAGCACATTGCTGCAGGTCCTCGTGAGCATCATGGGGCTGGTGCTCGTCAGAGACCCGTACTACAACGAGGCAGGCTACGATGTTCAGCGCGCGGCGCCCGAGACAAGATTGAGCTCGGCACTGTACACGGAGCGCGCGTATTTCCGCGCAAGGGCTTTCATCAACCACGCCCTCGGCAACACAATCGAACCCTTCGCCGCAGAGCTGCAGTACCTCTACCGCAGCGACGCACCAGACGCGCCCCGCCTGCTGGACAAAGCGATCGGAGCCGCCAAGGACGTTGTCGAGCGCAGCTCCAACGCCGGCGAGGAGGGCGAGCGCGACGGTCTGCGCACCATCAGCCTAGGCGCCGTGGTCATGTTGAAACGACAAGTCGAGAAGCTGGAGGCGTTGAAGCAAGGCGGTGCGCCGGCTTAGACCGCGACTCGTCTCGCAAGCATATAGAATACTTTCTGGGATTTGGTAGAATGAATTCACGCCCCTTCGACTCTGCTGTCGCAGCGCTTCACTCGCGCGGAACATATTTGCAATCTCAGTGCCCGTCGACGCTCCGTTTTCCGCTGTTATCCACCTTTCCCTCAGCCCTTTGCTCGCATAGGAACGCAGCCGAACGACACATACACGACCGACATTCCACACCCTGGTATCTCGATCCACGAAGCTACACAAGACCTCTCGCTACTCAGAAAACGCTCTTCGCACGCATCTCCACGCATCAGGCACATGGCTCCACCAGAAGGCCGCTTGGTTATCACACGCCGCCCATTCGCAACTTTCCGACCGATGCCGCGCTCTTCGTACCTAGACTCTGTATTGCCCCGAGATTGAAGACTACAGCGTAGGTGAGCAGATTGGGTACGGAGACGCATGTACCCCGTGCCGATGCGTCTGCTTGCGGCACATTGCGCGGGGCCAGATGAAGAAGAGGCTCTTTAGGATGGTCTTGATCGGGAAATGCTGAGCGCGAGTGGTTTTGGGACTGCCAGTGTCTGCGGAATGGGAAGGCGATCTGTGGAGTCGAGTACTCGTTGATACTGCAGGCAACGACTCTCACGTGCGCCATGGTATGTCAATAACTACAAACAATCTCCTTCTGTCTCTTAGCCTTCACATCCGCACTTTGTTATTTCCGTGCCTTGTGAACTATTTTAAAAGGCCTCGGGATATCACAATCATTGAGTACGCCACCAATGCATGCTCGTGGAGCGCATCACCCTAGCTTCTGATGACGTGGACGACCTGGTATTTCTGCAATGGTACGCCGTAAAGCTCCCTACTCTGTCGAGATCAATTTGGCCGTCGGATTGCATGAAGGACTCAAAAAGCGCTTGGTGAGAAGAGGTGAAGGGCGCGACAGGATTGTGTGGGATGTTTGACGGACTCAGATGCCCGCGGCTCTTCAATCGATGGGTCAAGCGGCATGGGAAAGAACACCTCGAGCGTGGTGACCGCTTGGCGATGTTGGAACTGCCATCACTAATCAACAATGACGAAGGCTTGTCTGTGCACTCATCCGTGTTTATGATTGACACGAAATCAAGGACTGGCGAATTGCTTGAAAGTGTTGAACATTGCGTATTAACATAAAAGTGCCTCAGCCCATACTACGAATGACTCTAGCTAGTCGAGCGGCAAGTGAACGGACTATGCGCGCTACCGTTCGTTGTAAGCTTGATGATATCCGCAATCGTCGCATACGATCCCGCACCCAGCGTGACAATACCGATGACAAACGCCAACAAGCACGCAGTGCTCGTAGCCAGATTCTCCTTCGCAAACGGGCTTCCAACGCGGAGCAAGCAAAACCACATGACCGCGGGGATCCAGAACGAGAACCCAGACACGAAGAGCGCGGAAGCCAGCGACAGCAGGTCGGAGAAGATGGGGATGGCTTCGGCGATGATCCATGCTATGATGGTGAAGATGACGACGAGCACGATCCACGACGCCCAGCCTGCGGCCGTATTGATGTACCTCAGCACCGAGTTCTTGAACATGCGGCCGTGGATGTAGCGCAGGGCAACGGTGGTGTTGATTGAGCCCGAGATGAAGATAACCGGCAGCGCGACACCAAATGCAACCTTCGAGAGCAGGGGACCCGCAGACAACAACGCGGGTGACTGGACGTCTTTGCCAATGAAGGCGTAGCACAACGCGCCGGTGAGCGTGTAGATGCAGATCTGGATCGTGCCAGAGGCCCAGATGGATTTCATGTATTCCTGGGGCGTGTGCATCTCGTCCATGAAACTGAACTGGCCGATGGCGAAACTGAATGCAAAGATGACATTGGACACGGCGACGAAGGCTTCAGAAAAGGAAAGATTTTCCTTAGGCCACGCAGACCAGTCGACGGCAGACATTCCGCCGATCTGATCGCCGGCTTGAATGCCAGTCGCGATGATAGTGATGCCGATCGCGATCAGGATGGATGCGAAATCGATGTAACCTAGGATCGCGACTTCCGAGAAAGAGGGCGGGATGGCAAGGATCAAGAGGATAACAGCGGAGACGGCGGAGAAGGCGATCGAGCAAACATGGCCACCGTTGATGTTGATGAGGGCGATGCTTCCAGTCAAGGCGTGGGAACCGACGACCATGACAAGTTCGAGGACGAGAGCCGCACCGAAGAGCTCATAACCGACACGGCCGAGGAGGAGACGACCAGCATCTGCGTAGGAGGCGACCTCGGGGTACTTTAGCTTGACTTGACCAACGATGTAGCTGGTGAAGATGGCGACAGCGCCGAGTCCGATCGTGAGGAGAACACCAGGGACCATGCCGAGGACTGCATATGCCTGAGGCAGAGAAAGTGCGCCGAGCGCGATGGCCTCGACGATTGTGACGACTGCGAGACGCTTCCAGCCCAGGCGGTGGAAGTGAGCATCGCCATCTTTGGCGATTTGCTTTGCACGCTTTGTCTGTTCGACTTCGCCCTCGCCGAAGACTTGATCGTCAGACATATTCGAGCTCTCGTACTTTTCGTGCTTGGGAGCTCCAGGTGTGATGTGATCGGCCATTGTGAATGTGGAGGAGTGACAGTGTGATTGGGGGAACTGCGAGCCTGAAGACTTCAGGTCTTAGTAGGGTTCTCTGTTGGCCGGTAACGGGGACTGGTCGAACTGAAGGACTGCAGAGATTTGGGACAGGGTAACGAAAGAGCGAACCTATCTCCCTCCACATATTACAGGTGCCCCACGGTACATATACAGTCGCGCAATCTTCCCCCGCAACCTACCGGAGTAATGGAATTGACATAACAGATTCCATTATCTCTGCCTGTGGAGACGAGCGCACAGGTCGGCAGTCCGGTCTTGCGTTACAGCGTCTGAGCGTTTCATGATCGGCTTCACTCCGTGCTCACGATGATTTCGGTGTTGTAACGAGAAGTCTTCGAGAAGCTTTGGGCGCGACTAGGCATGCAGACCCCTGTATTGCGATACGGCAGCCTTTCCCCAAGGGGACACTTTGACGAGCTCGCTAGGCTTGAGACGGCATAGCCAGCCTGCTCGACGGCTGCGCTACTGGCTAGGCGTGCTTGGAAGAGTTTTTCTGAAGCTTCGAAGTGGATTTTGTTTGTCGTTAGATTCTTTATTTGATGGCTTGCTTAACCTTTCGAAGCATAGACTTGGCCGTTCTTGGCCGCAGTATTGCACTACCCGCGATGGAATTACGTACCTTTCTCCGAGATGCTACCTTGGATGTGTGGCACCATGATGTGGCTAGGTGGTTTGATTGCGGCGATTGATCGTTCGACCCTGCATGATTGGATGTTGAAGTTGACCGAGGGAAATAACTTCGGTCTGGGGCGGTTTACTGCGGGTTATAGCGTGAACATGCCGCGTTCGGCACGCGTCTATCGGACAGTTTGACGTAGCCAAGGCTGGAGTGTAGATTTCCCTGATCACAGGTCGCTGACAGGGCGTACTATTGACAAGGTTGACATGTAGCATGGGCGATCCGGATATGTTTCGCTGAGAACAAGAAGTGTCCATCGGCTTGTCGTTTCGAGTGCCCAAGCTGCCAGTCCGTTCTTGAGGGTAGAACTCTTCATCAAGTATTGATCATTGTGGGAATGCTCATCTGCTTACGGAAGATGGCCCCGGCTTCGTACTCAAAGTCCCGCGGTGAGGTACTGGCCATACAGGTACCGCACGGCGGTATCGTGAATAGCAGCTGCTCGGCATGCATCCAGCACTTTTTCATCTTTGCTAAGCTACGTGCATAGCATAAGTTCTCTAAGATTGAAGTGTTGGAGAACATTTGTGTCTAATAAACAAGACTGGCAGCGTCGCGAAGGGGTTGAGTCGGTAGGTGTGGCCGTGGTCCAGAAGTCTTGGCCCGTGAAGTAAGCTGATTCCTGGAGCCATTGTACCTTGCCAATGCGACTCAGTTGACCACCACTCCTTGTCTCGCTGACGCATCGACCTTCTTGGCGACAGGTGAAAGCTCGGTCTCTGCAAGCTCGAATGGTATATCTTTTCGTAACACAATCATGCTAAAACTTGTCAGAACGCCCCAGGTAGGTGGCTCGGCTATCTCCTGCCGGACCAGTTCATATCCTCTCCTTCTCCAGTAAGGGCCGTTGATGCACTCTGCGGCCAAGATCCAGAGGGTGAGTCGGTCTGTTGAGTTGAACCTCCTTCCTATGGTTGATACACCCAGCTGCTTGGACTCGAAGATGAGATGCTGCTCAAGGAAGGCGTATAATTGCACAGCGAGGCCACGTCGCATATACCTCGTGTCACCGTCAACTGCAACAGCCTTTACCTCCCAGCCCTCCTCGACACCAGCTCCCTCTTTGTTCCAACCACCTTTCCACGGTACCGCGCTTGCAACAGCGACGACTTTGCGCTTCTCTTCGGTGATGTCGCAGATGACAGCTATGACACCCTCAGTGCCAAGCATATCAAAGTACAGGTCGTCGTTGGGGAACCTTCTTTGCTCGCCTTGTCGCCACTTGACCAGGTCTGACTTCTTGGAGCGACTAAAGGCATCGTTAACGAGCTCGGTGATCTGTGTGACCAAGCTCGGATCCGACTTGAGATCCGAGACCGTATACAATGTAGGTTCAGAAAAAGACGGTGTGGTGGCCATGGTGGGTTTTGTTGAGATGAGGAGTGTCAAGCGGGTTGGGTGTATGCAACCTGCTATAAGGCATCAGTTTTTGGGATGGAGCGAGAATATAAAAAGGCAGCAACTCGTTGACGCGATGTTGTTGTACACCACGTCATTGACTCACGCTTTCGAGGTACGAAGCTAATCACTAATACCTGCCTAATGCGGTATGGACCACACCCTCCCGCTGAAGATTGCGGCATGTTGCAACTTCTTCAGTTCACTAAGTTATCAATCAAAGATACAAGACTGTCATTGCTTCATCATTCCTAGATGCCGGAATATAGTCTGGACGGTCTTCAATACCGGTTGCTGATAGTCCTTGAGGAAAGCTCATAAGTCCTCACAATACCAACATACGTGCAGTGAACGGCCACTTCCATCGATCTCAACCAACGGGCCCACCACTATCAGAATTCTCTTCGGGGCCATGACCATAAGCGGCAGCGATTGACTTTATACCCTCCTTCCGCATGGCCTTTACCGGGCTCCACTTGAACTCCGGTACAAAGCCGTACTGGTTATCAGTGAAGGCAGTTCGGAGCTTAATACGATCCATGTAGTCGTCGAAGTTCCTCGAGAAGGTGAGCGTCCAATGACTTGCAGTAACTTGGCGTGGACCGCTGTCCTCTGCCAACAGCGCGGCCCCCTTGTCCTTAGCAATGTTTGCAAACTCAGGCGAGACGCTTTGTTCTTCTCCCGGCCCAATGTAGAACCTTAGGTTTGGACAGCAGTTGGTACCAATATGGGACGCTATGAGCTTGTGGATCCGGCTTTGAGTTATGTCCTCCACCCAACTTTCATTCTGGTGCGCGAGCAGCTTCTGCAGCGTCGTGCGATCAGCTGCCAGCAAAGTGTTCAGATCATCTCTGGTGATCTCCGGTACGTTTTGTACGCAAGCACAGCCTTTGCTCTCTTCATCTCCGGATCTTATGAACGCGCACTCGAAGTTCGTGTTGGCGAGGCGAAACTTCAAAATCGGTAGGAGATCGATCTCGACAGGTTTATTTCCCCTCAGAGAAGCATTCGTGATGATGGTCATGCGTGCGGGAGCGAGATCGGTGTGGGCTGAAGTCCCATCATGACTGGTGTAGTACTTCAGCAAGTATCGCGGAACGTCTCTCCAGTCGATTGTGACATCAGCCTTCATACAGATCGGTCGGTACTCGTGGCAAATTTGCTTGCAAGTACGGACGAGCGCCATGCATGGAGCGACTAAGCATCTCTCTCCAGATATGGGGTAAGTTGCAAAAGTATAGATTCTGTTTCGAATCTCTAGACCGTGAGTTAGCTTGCGCTTTAGCACACAAAGTCAATGATTCCTATTCTGACCTGGTGGAAAATCCAGGAACGATGGGCTAGTCTTCGGTGCTGACATCGTTGGGGCTTTTGGTTTGGCGTGGTGATCTTCGAATGTGCGAGAGGCGTAAGCTCGAATGGTGCGAAGATATCTCGTGATGGCGGTCAGGATCCAGAATAATCTCTTGAGCATGTCTAGACTGTTTTTGAATTCCCTGAATCTGAAAAGATCAGGATGGGCTCTTCGTCTTTCTCGTACACCACCACGACGCGCTATTCGAAAGCCTTTGCTAGGCGCAGGTGTATTTGGCATAGCATGAAGAAGTGTGGGGAGGCCTCCCTAATTCTTGGGTTGAAAAGAATTTGTTTTGTCTTCCACGAATGTGGCCTTTGCACTTTGGATGCATCGGTACCGCTGGTCTTGCTTTTACCCCTCACTTTCGACCACGGCCGAAAGACCACAACGGTGGGCACCAAATATGTATAAGGGTTCTGCAGTAATCCCCTCGTGGACCACTCGGAGCATTGCTGTACCCAAATCTTGAACCTAGTAAGAAGTTTATCACACGCACGGTTGATACAAATGGATGCAATGCGTGTATATAGAATAGACAAGTTAGCAGGAAATTACAGCAAGAAGGCTTTCCCGCGATCTGTTTGCAGCGGCAAGTCGTACGGGAAGGGAGCCCTGGAGGACTTACGTTGCTGTGGTAAGTGGAGATTCACTGCGCTATTTTAGCTTCGCGTGATATTATGCCAGAACCTGCATGATGATGCCCCAAGGACTAAGTGTAGCTCAATGATAGCGATTTATCGGATGGTGGATACCAAGGGTCTACGGTACGGTAGTGCCGGCCCAAAACCGCAGCGCAGCAGCCTCCAACGCATCTTCAAGTCTTGACTTGCGTTCCTCTTCCACGCCCCGATATCTACAATTGAATACCCTTATAACGAACCATGAAATTTCCATCCTTGACCCTACCTGGCGGTAAGGCAAGTTAGTAATCCAATCTCGTATTATGTACCCTGTTGACAGCTGATAGTCACCAGAGTTGCGTAACGGCGCTCAGACACACTAACAGGGACCTGCCGTTAGATCAGAAAAGAATAAATGCCCCAACAGTTGCTACCCCGATTCGCATTCGGTATCTGAATGTGTACATTATAAGTCGACAGGGACCAGCGAACCCTAGCATCTGAAGGCTCTCTTAATGCTTCTTCATAAGACTTCTCCTTTCAGCATTGTGGTCTTAATTAGCCAAGCAACGTAAGCACCGCAATCATCGAAAGTCCGCTCCGCTAGCTATGAACGAAGGTGCATGTGGAATATGAGCGCGGCAACCTTATGGTCGCCTGCAGCATCCGTTTTGGCTTTGCAGCATCTGTTTTGGCTTTGCAGCATCCGTTTTGGCTTTTCAAGACTCGATACAATGTGCTCAGAGTTCGAGGGGATCTGCCCCATGACGTTACTACCTGCATAATAAGTGTGAGTGCTGGATGGGATCCTGTGCGTTTGAGTACTAGATATTGCAAGTAAAGATACAGCTCGACCCCGATGGAGTCACCCACGCTGATTTTGACAAACTAGATGAGCAGAAAATGTACTACCTGCACTGTAACAGCTTTTGAGAGCAATGAGGAACTCGTGTGATGCGCTCGTCCTCCTTGACGTTGCAGCTGACAGGCCCGTGATTTACTGCCGACTTCATCACCATGTAGCCAGGCACTTTATCTGATCTTCTGAAGCCGCAGTATCGTCTCTGCTCCAACAGTTGTTTGCCTCTTAGAGGTTCTCACAGCAAATTTCTCTGCGGCGCACCTGCCGCTTCCAAGCTTCACCGCGACAAGACTGCCTCGCCACGCTTCTACCTCTCTCACCTCTCTCCACTGCAATTGTCAGCATGATTTTCTCACCTTTACTGGCCTGTGCCAGCTCATGGCCCCACTCCCACGAGCTGATAATCAAGGTAGCCTAGGTGACGGCGACTTCTCGCCCCACCAAGGGTCTATGTTGCGCTGACGATATGTCAGGCTAGCTACCTTCACCCTCTCCGTGAGGCTTGACCCTCGAGCATATAAGGACCAGGTCACCCCCGCTGCTCGTACTGTACTTCCTCCGCGCTCGATCATTCTTTTGGACCGCTTCAGCATTAACTCGCAACTCCTCCCGCATAGTACCGACCATCAGATCTGACCATGGAGTGAGTCCTGCCCTCTGTTTGCTTCACTGAGCACCGATGAGCCATTGTGCTAACGCAAACAGACTCAAGCGCGAAACCACCCCTCCGCCTGCGGAATATGTCGACCAACAGCTCATGGCCCCTCCACTGACCCCAGGAGCATCACTTCCGCGAACCATTATTCCTCCTTCTCCGGGAGACCCGCGTTTAGACTCTCTGTCCGCAGCCTCGAGGCGATTGGCGAAGCTTCGTGCACCTCCAATTGGAAGCAAGCGCAGGCTCACAGTTGGCGTCAAGAAGCCGGCTGCTAAACTTGCAAAGACCCGAATTGAGGTCATCAGGGCGGTTGAACAGGTCGACGTCGACAAGAAGGCCGTTAGCTTCATGGACCTCCCTGGTGGTGCATATCCGTCTCCTCTGCCTGCCAGTGACATCTCCGCTAACGCAACTCAGAGATCCGCAACCTAATCTACACGTTCACTGGCTCCGACATGCGACAAGCTCTCCTCGTCCATCGTCCTCGTCTCGCGTCGCTGCGTTCGCGCACTCAGCTCGACCGTCATCGTACGCTGCAGTCCGAACTCCTCGAACAAGAACAAGATGCCGCATTGCCCGCTGCCGGTTGTGGTCGCGCTTCTCGACGCAAGTCAAAGGCTACCACACTGGCCCGAGAGACGAATCGTCCGTTTTTCGGGCTGACTCAGGCCTGCCGACTCCTTCGCCAGGAATTCCGTCCGATCTACATGCAGAGGCAGGAGGTTGGCATGGACCTCGTCGACGTTACCAACTACCTCCAAGTCTTCTACCCGGAGGCGGCAGAACACCTCAAGAACCTGTCGATCGCCGACGACCGCAAGCTCGACATGCCCCTTACAGGTAACCTTACCATTGCGGTCGGTGACAAGATCAAGGACATTGAGAAGGTCACGGAGGGAGTGGATGTGTTCCCCCTCCTTGATTTGTGGGCTAATTCGTTCAAGATCGAGGCTGGTTTCGGCAGGTATATGCAGGCGCACTATGAGGCCACTGCAGATGGGGAGGCTAAGGACTTGTAAGTTTGCGGGCATGGCTTGTTCTGGCCTTAGAAGGGGTGCTAACAACCAGCAGGTATCGCCTTTTTGGACGCAGTGTCCAGCCAGACCGCCGATGCTCCTCAATGAACGTCCTCTGGCGCACAACCCTTCGCACCCGATCCCTCGCCTCTGTCCGGATCCATCGCCAGCCAGCAGGCTCCGCACGCACTTCTCCAGCTGCATCTGTGCCTGGCTATCTCAGTCTTGCCCGCCGCGTCGCTCCAGGCCTTCGCGCTTACATACACATTCTGTTCAAGAAGGAGGCTGCTGAGGCTTGGATGACAAAGCCTGACGCTCCAGTGCCACAAGGTTGGCTCGCGGCTCGTGGTTTTGCTTCGATGGAGCACTTTGACATCAAGGTTGGTGTTGCTCTCGCATCGACCGCCTAGATACTCCGAGCACTCTCCATCCCTTGCTTGTGACACGCGGCGCCAGCTCTTTCTACACGGTTTGCAGAGATCGTCAACTGTATAGAAGTATCTCTGCCTGCAGGCAAGGTGGTACCAACATCACATTGTTATGCGCATTGCTGACGCATGTCGGAGACCAAGTGCGGTCTTTTTTTGCGTTTATCACTCGTTTGTCGAGCTTTTTTTCCGAAGGATATCTAGGCATCGCCATTTCCTACATATCTACTATCGCTGTAACGTTCATCCAATGCGTTCATTTCTAAATTCACAAGTTTTCCCTGCTTGTTCGGGTTGCGCTGTCATGTCGTGTAAAGGGGCTCAATGGTGGAGTCATTGAGTCGAAGCATGAACCAGGGTAGAAATGATACTATGATGAGTCCAGAGCGTTGTCGACGGAGATGAATAGGTACAGACCGTTGAGATGAGGCGGGGGCAGGGTCCATTTTTAGCGCGATCTGCTTCGACGCGACAAAACTGCACCAAAGCTCCGTGCTTGTACGACATCATCCTCGATCCATCATTCCTCAGGTTGGCAGCTGATAGGGCCTCTGCGAATGTGACATCTGACAAGTCCGTCGCAGCTCCCGAACGACGCTGTGGAGGCTTGACGGCTACTTGCCTCGTTCGTTTTGTTGTTGTACAGCGTAGCCGCGGACCCCAGTTCTAGCTGCAGCACGCGTCCTGAGGTCAGGCACTGTCGTCGAATTGTTATGGCCGTCCCGTCTCTTAGCGCAAACATACGACTATCTCCACAACATGCTACACTTATATCATGACACGTATAGACGCTGCCACCGCACTGCGCTGCCACCGCTGGATCCTTCACACCGATTTTGATACAGCCCCGTCTTGACCGTCTGCCGGTTTCGAGCATGAGCAGCGCACATCTCGCCCCATCCCCACCAGCGTGAGGTCATTGACAAGGATCGCGACCAGTTGGCTCTCCGCACCCTGCAACTGCTATTTTCAGCCCAACGGCGACTACACAAAATATGTCCCAGGCAGATCCGTTTTCGAGACGCGTGTCGTTCGCTTCGACCAAGAACATATCACCAAAGTCTTCAGCTTCAGGATCAGCGTTAAGCCAATTTGCGACAGCCTCACGCACACGCTCCGAGTCCGTTATGGCCAACAGACCGAAAAGTATGAACGATTTCACTGCACTCATGGACGCTTCTATGCCGCTCTTTGAGAGCAAGACGGATGCGGGGAGGAGCACTTCTCCGGCGAGGAAGTCGCCTGAAAGAGGAGAGAGGGCAACAGGCCACTCGCGCAAGAAGCCCAGCATGTCGCTGGCACAGGGCTTGATCATCAATGGCGAGCTGCATCCACCCAAGTCGCCGTACAGGCAGACTCATAGCAGAGTTAGTCAAGATGGCGGAACTAACGGAGTGGGCAATGGCGAGGAGAGCCTGTTCTATGCGTATGCGCTGAAGGTACGTTCGATACCTATCTCAATCGAGAAGATACTAATGAGACATGACAGAGCGACTATGCAAACTCGCCCCCGTATCTCCTCACCTTTGCAACCTCGGATATCTGCGCTCAATGGTGGTCACTCGTACAGCAGGAGTACCCTCAGTCCACACGTCCCGGTGCCCAGCTCTTCGTCCTCAAGACAGACGACATGCAGGCCATACAGGACGACTCGAAGTTCATATCTCTGCGCAACAAGTGGTTTTTCACCTCGCAAGACCGCTCCAACTGCGCCACTCCAGTCATCCCACTACAAGGCGCGACCGGCCATCTCATCGCGGGTGCACCTTTGCCACAGGCGCGGCCGGCCATTGAGACACCTGCATGCACTTCAGTCGAAGATCTGGCCGAGAAGCTGGAGAGGCTCTCGTCAGTAGTGGAAAGCAGTGCAGAGCATATCCACGCGCTCTCAGTCGCGCAATCCGCCGGTCTGCAGCGCATGCAAGAGATCAATGAGAGCAACAGCACCCAGATCAAACAGCTCGCCGAGTCGCAAGCCAAGCTCCAGTCTCTCATTGACCAGAATGCATCGCACTACATCGCACTGTCGAACACGTCCTTCAAGTCCCACGAGCAAGTCAAAGACGTCCTGCAAGCCACCACTGTGCAGATCCAGAGCCTAAGCGGGAGTCAAGAGCAGCTAACACAGACATGCAAAGCGATGATGCGCAGCATTTCCAACCTTGCGTCTTCCATCCATCAACCAAGCATAGCACCTGCACCTGCACCGCCGTCAGAAGTTTCAACACTGCAGTCCACGCCTCCCAGTGCATCAAGGAATTCGGATCTCTCGAAGATGAGCCCTGCTCCACGCAAACTCAATCGGAGGATTAGAGGCGTGTGGTATGAGTACGACAACAGCGAGCCCAGAGTTCATGGAGCCCCGAGGAAGCTCGCCGATGCACCGGTGTTGAGAACAAGCAAGATGCCCGCAACGCCTCCCAGGACGCCGAGGAAGCTCACACAGACCTGAAGATTGATCATCTCCTGGTCTTCACCTGTGTGCGCTTGCGTGGGCCTGATTCGGCGGTTGCCGTCTGCTCGCTCACCGCGACTGCTTTCACTGCAGCTTTGGGGCAACTGCTCGTGTTCCACTTGTACTAAAAACGCCGGGACTCGCTACTTCCTCTTCTCTCTGCGCCAACTCAACTGCTATTGACACATCAAAAGTCAGCACGCACGTGCTCTACAATGAAGCTCTACATCAATATCACGCTTCTGCTTGCAGCCCTCCTCAACTTCGCCTACACCCTTCCGGCAGGTGGCACCGACCTCTCGGTCCCCATCGACGACACCGTCGCCCTCATCGATCCCACCGACCGCACCAGCGACACTCTAACCATCAACGGCACCACTGCCCTCTCGGCCGGCATCCTCACCCGCGACCCCGTCTCCGGCATCTGTCAGCTCAACATCGGCCTCGTCGAGCACTTCCCACGTGGTGGCACCACCGGCGGCCGTCGCGCCTCAATCTTTGTCGGTGCGCTCATGGACGGTGCTAGCAAGGACGTTTGGTGGCGGTGGGACAGCGGCGAGAGTGGGTACCCGAACGGCCGTACCACGGAGCGACGAATCGATAACTACACCATCCGCATCTACGACTTGACTCACCCTGGCGATAGTCTCGGCTTCAGGTGGGTGCATCCTGACAACAACTGCCCGGAGGACGAGTGGATGGACTTCAACTTCAACGGCGTCAAGTGGAACGATCGCGCACGAGACTGCGCCCGCGGAAACTGCTGCAAGACAGGACCTTTCTACGGAGACGGCAAGGACAGGATGATCAGGGGCATTGGTTGTGCTTTCCACTGCTGAGAAGTGAAGATTCGAAATCTAATCGTTGGAACGATGGCAAGCTGAATCGGTGGTGGGACTTGGGATTCAGGTGACTTCTCTAGATCTGTCTGGGGGGCCGAGAACAAGTGAATACACGATAACGATAAAGACAATTCACGACTATAATTCCACAATCGCACGACTAATGTTCCACTTCTTCAATCACTCGATCCACTTTGCACAACGAGGGTCTTGCTTAGGGGCACCGTATCCCAAAACTTAGCATCCTCATTCAAACCCACCTCTGTACCTCACCAACCGCACTTTGGAGACAATCTCATGAGGTCCAGCAGCCCTGCGGTTAGCGCTGAATGTGCATCACAGCACAATGCCTCACAACGAGCAGCAAATCCCATCGCAGGTCATATGCCCTTCGATACCTAGACCTGCTCAGCCTCTTCGATGTAGGCGCATAGAAGAGCCTATTAAATACCGACCCTAGCCTCTCCGCCTCACCCCACATACCCAATACTCTTCAGCAACCACGTAAATCCCCCTTCTCCAATTCCACGAACACTCCCTAGGGGTCACGGAACCCACCAGACCCGAGATCACCCCCTGAACCCTCTGGGCGCCCATAGCTACTGCTTCGTAAACGCGAGGTATAAATGTGCATCACTTCACAAAGAAACAGACCCTGCCTGCTGTGAGATGAGGCCACGAGTCGATCAAATAGAGGATAGCAAATCTTGACCCATTTCCCGTCATCCAATTCTAATTCTCAGGATGTGTAGGATTGAGGGTCGCCTTACTGGTAATCTGACCATTCTCGTCAAAGGAAATGCAGATCTTGAGCAAACCCTCGTGCTGCTAGAGATCCTGGGATGCAGTCAGACAGGAGGGAACTGATGAGTTGACTCTGTCTTTCAATAGCCAGAACATTGATTCACGTCGTATCCCTCTTTATTTTGACCCCATTTGTATCTTTCTTCGAGCACTGACTCGATTTTGGTGTCGGGTGTCAGCTTCTTTAGGCGTAGGTGAGGTAGAAGATCCGCTCGAATTGCTGCTCAACTCCACAACTGACACTCCTTCACCTCGCTTAAGTCACACTTGATATGCAGTGACTTAGACTCGTAGAGAAGTAGGGTTTCGAAACCTGTGACACGACACACGCGTGTCAGAGGGGCCCCAGGCCGGAGCACCAATGGAGAGACGGCTGAATACCTGATGCAAAGCCTACCTCTGCGGTAACGGCGATACGGCTCAATCGTGAATCTGATTGTAGATCTCTGCAATACACGTCAGAGACATGCAATCAGCGCAATTTTGAAGTAACATACTGCCAGGCACCTTCAGGAACGCTGAATGTAGTGGAAGTGATCTGGGTCGGCCTATAGCCACTGACGACTGTTATCCGCTCGTGGCTGACTTTTGTTGAGCGCCGATACAGTTCGTTGAGAAGGTTCTGATTATTATAGAGATGGTACGGATAGATGAGCATATTAGCAGCGGGGCTGAGGGGCGTATGAGTAGTCAGGGTCATTGGCGATGCCGGGGCCTTCCACCAGTGAAGGATACACAGGGGCTCCTCTTGCCTGTTTTCAATGTGCCAACAGCGTGAGAGTTTCATTTGCTGAAATTCAAATATATCTGAACCCCAGAATTCCGTGTAAGTTGACAAAGACACTGGTTAAGACTTCTCTACGCAGCGCCTCGAAACCACCCAATCAAGCTGTCGACAGAGATCTTTATCTTGAGCATCTTGAGTGTGAATATGGCGCTCTAGAGGCGGCGGTGCATGCGATCCAGATACACTACGATAGTCGAGAATCTGTTGTTGGTTTTGGCGTTACAATCTTCTTTAGGAAGGGCCAATTGTCAAACGATGATTTTTGCTTGCGCTAACAAGCGTATTTAATCATCTTTCCAATACCATACTTTGGCATGCTTTCTTGTAGGAGAGAAACACTTGCTCATTTCGAAATGCATCTGTTCACCTTTGTTGCGGTGCAAATCGGTCCTACAGGCCTTGATCGTCACCTCTGTTGACTACCTTGGACTAGCACGTCTCAGGGCATGTATATATGGTCGCCTCCTAGCTAGCAAGCAGCTCAGCGCAGTTTCCATCGACTATACAGCGGCTACGTCTGCCGCAACAACCTTAGAAGGTCATAATGTTGGTCAAAATTGTTGCCCGGCACTTGGCTTCTTCGACTTCCTCACCAGCGCTCGTTCCTAGGTACTGAAGAGCAGGATACATCAGCGTGGAGAAATTTCCCAGTTTCCGGGTCAGTTGCTTCTGATTGGTTCCAGCGCCTTGGTCAGACTATGTGTGAGGTCCCACAAAGCCATCCTCTCGCGGAAAGGACCGATGCTGCTAAGTCGCGGCGGGCTATCCAAGATTTTCACGGGATTGTCATTAACCGCGTCCAGTGACGGGCACGTAATGTCTCCATCCCCGTTCGGATCACCGGTGTGTGCAAATCGTACCCATGCCTCCATCATCTGCCGTGACAGCCGTCGATAGTCGTCTGTCCAGTTCCAGTCAAAAGCTTTCAGATTACCAAGAGCATACAAGACGTCGGCTCCATGGAATGCGCCAGCATAATCGCGCTCGATCAGCTTTGAGTCTGTTTTGCACAGGAATATCGCATACCAGACCCTCGACTTCAGATATCGCGCTTGTAGACGTGTAGCCGTCCACGTCGACCAGACAAATACCTGATCTGCAAGTAACTGCCGGCTTGCATTTTTCGCCTCAGTGTTGTCTTTGGCGGAGTACAGCCTTGACGAATCTTTGCCACAAGGAACCAAATGTACTGTTCATATAGGCGTAGTGAACATGCATTGACTCCGTGTAAGGCAGACCAGAGGCTTCATCACCTGTGTTGCTGGCCAGCATAGGTACGTTGATATAATCTGCATCACGGTTTACAATAGCGTCCAACAAAGCTCGTTTCATGATGTAGCCATCAACAACTGTTGCGGCAGACGTAGCCGCTGTATAGTCGATGGAAACTGCGCTGAGCTGCTTGCTAGCTAGGAGGCGACCATATATACATGCCCTGAGACGTGCTAGTCCAAGGTAGTCAACAGAGGTGACGATCAAGGCCTGTAGGACCGACTTGCACCGCAACAACAAGATAAGCACTGTCGAAGACATGTAGAGTGATCTTCGCATCCTTTAGTGGAGGATCACTATCACTGGCCGACTTCCAGGATGCTCATTACCGGGTGAACCTGTCTAGAAATTAAAGTAGAGACAGTCCTCGCTCGATTATCTCTCCTCATCCGCAGTGTATGGGATGCACAGCATCCTCCTCGATCCTGCGTTGTGGCGAACATCAATACGAAGGGACGTCTGATAAGAACGATCAACGGTACAGTCACGCGGCTATGATATGAAGCAGTTGTCAATCATTCTAATCTGCAAGAGAAGATGTCTTCCTGAACGCATCGTGGGCGCGATGTCCAAGCCGCGGTGCGATAACATAATTTTTGCACTCCTCCTAGTCGCTACAACGACTCACGCCAGTCTCACTCCTGGTCCACTACACTATTGCTGCAACCATGATACGAGTCTATTAAACTTGAATCGGCCTGGCTACCGGTAGTCGTGAAGGCTGCGATCGGCACTTGTACAGCAGGGCCTCGACTGGAAATCTTTTGTAACGACTGAGAGCAACGAGGCCATACCTCATGAGAATAGCTCGGGACAGTACGCATCATGAGCGGCGGAAAGCAGCACAAAGTCCCACCAATAGGCACAAGGAAATGTGAAGCTTCAGCCTCGTTGTTGTGACGACCGTTGCACGCATGCTCTCAGGCTGTGCCAGCTTCTATCCATTCGGTTGATAGCGCAGTGGCGCACCAATATGACATCGCGTTTTGGGTGTCGAAACCATGTCATAATTTTATACTGCTGAGATCCTTTGGACGAGCCGCTGAGCCTGCACCAACCGTCGCAACAGTACCTCAGTAAGTGGACATTACCACCCCAAGACCATCTTGAGTATGGATGGGTCTATCAACGATGCATCTATATCGACCGTGCTCGGTCTTCGAAGAGCGAAACAGACAAATACCTACTGAGACTGCATTTGGATAACTAACGGATGTTGCATCGGCCGCTGCAGTCGACGATCTTGCTTATGGTACCGGTACATACAGCCTCACTCGCGAGTGTGGTTGCTGACTGAGCATCAGGGTAAGTAGTTGCGACCGACATCACAACTTTGTGGTCTCGAGACTCGAAGGTCTTCTTGCTCCTGCGAACGATTCTGAACCTGGATCTGCTCCTAGCTAGTAGTCAGCTGCTACGGCTGTCCGTGACGCGGATGAGCTTGCCGCGAAAAAATTAGCTGCAGCTTCGAATCTCGCTTTCTGAGCGGATATGATGACCTCCACGAGTAGATTGCCATTTGGATAGAATTACTGGAATGTGGAGAGGAAGGGTTTCAGTTTTCGGGGCGTCTGGAAAGCAGATGGCGGGCCGGGCCGGTCCTCTTTTCAACGCAATCGTCCGCCAACCCCAACCCTTCATTTACCGCCATCCTTTTCACCTCATCACCGTCAGCTTCTATCAGTCAGGCCATCAAATTGCGCAGCGATGTCAAAACATTCATTGTTAAGCCACTTGCTCGGCTGTCGATGCTGATGGCACCTGAGTCTGGCGTTGACCCCGCGGTGTGGTTTTTTGTACCGTACGACGACCCTGTCAAAACAACCGAAGCACTGCGGAGACTGGGAATGATCCCAATGTGACGAGCAACATGGGACTACAATGTCTCAGTCTGACACCACGCGATAAACATGTCTCAGAGAGCTTTCAACCCGCTCCTACCGACTGCCACGGTGTAAGACATCGCCACCATGGCCCCGCAAACGTTCTCTTCGGCGTCGAACCTTGTCTCGCGTTATCATGTCATCCACTGGCGAGTCCGCTCTTGATATGAACGCCTTCAGGATCCGTGGCTTGGGACGGCGGTGAGAGCGATGCTCGATGATCTGGCGGCCGTTGCTGCTCCCTGTTGCGTTTCAATGTGGCCACACACCCACGACCGCATGTCTATCGCCAGACTGCGAGTCCAGGGTACTGCAGGTGCCAGCCTTTCTACCTTCAGCATCGACCTGTAGATTGATTGGCTCGCCGAACTCCGGTCCCGCTTATCACTGCTCTTGGCATAGGCATCAACCCCAAGTGCCACATGGACTCTTTGCGTCCATCCCCAGTCTGTTGCGAGAAGGAACCGAATCCCAGCGCCTGCGTCCCGGGGACGCTAGAAACTGTCGGTAGCCGCTGACAAGGGTTTTTGCGAATGAAGGTTGTACGGGTGATCTTCGCGAACATGCTTAGTGTTCGTGGACGGCGACCTCGAGGCTCCAACAAGCGGGTACCTGATTGCGGCACGTTTCTCAGCATAGACCACTCGAACATGGAGAAGCGGTGAGACGATCATTCTGCAGCCCGTGGCGAGTTTTGTTCTTCCGGGCCTCACAGCTTTCAAATACTCCTCTATGCCTTTCTATAGCGCAATTCCAGGAAGGACAAAAATTATCCACACCGGTTGATCTTCGTCGTAAGGCTCATGATCTTTGGGCCAGCTCGGCCAGATTCCGAGGTTACACATCATGCAAAGACAGGGGTATCGCATTACCCATTGCCGAGGAAGCGAATCACCGTAACAATCGCTGCTCCGCGCGCATAACTGCGTCTCGATGGGTCAAACGATTTTGTCATTATGTATGCAGATTTTGCGTGGGCCTGAAAGCTATCATTACAAAGGGTAGCAATTTCTCACAGCACCATCCCAAAGCTGCAACCACGGCCGTGCATGAAGAACCCAGTGTGCAGAATTTGTACGACCAAATCCCGAATACGTCCCTCCCGATGAATTGAGCGAGTCGCCAATGCACAGCGATGCAGGGTAACGGCAGTTCATCACAGGCATTTGCACCTGCTGTGTTGCCTTTCCGTGACCTCCAAGAGCCGGCAGGAGCGCTCGTGTTGCTAACTGGATGCCGATTACCTCTGTCGTAGGCCATCATTCGGACCTGCGTTGAAGATCCAGCCTTCACTGCACTCAAACTCAATAGCGGTCTCGAGTGGCTGATCAAACATAGCCTGTCAATTGAGGCTGAAAAACTTGTGCCTCAGGCAAATGCCCGGAGCTTGTGCGATATTGACACACCTACTAATGGCATGACGAAGACTGAGCCTCGAAGGAAGTTACACAGCAGCACTAATGCCATGAGCCTGTACGCGGGCGGAGTTCGCAACGTGCAGTAGGTTACACTCATGCTCATCAATAGCCCTTCTGCGACCCGCATCCCATGCATCGGATTCCAGTCAAATATCGTCATTTGGATCATCAAAGCCTTCCGTCACCATGCAAGTGTCGTTCTCCCGTAGCGAACCTGGGTACAACGCTGGGCGTGCACCTGCTCAGCATGTATTACACCCTGCGTTTCCACCTACTCTTTGTGGACAAAGTCTCTTTACGCGTCGAGAGAATCCGATTATCAGCTGGTCACATCTGTGATTGGCCCTGAGTCTCATAGCACAGGTTCTGCAGGTCTCATACGGACGTCCGCCGGTGAAGGGGCCGAATTCAGAGCACCTCAAGTCCGCTCCATACACATGAGCCAAAGCGGTCACCAGATCAAGTTGTTCGCTTTGCAAAACTGTGAAGGTTTGGCGATGCTAAATTAATCTGCAGCGTTAGCAGTGAAGAACGTGGGAATGCTGACCCAGCGCCTCAATGACGGTCTTACGTACTAATCCAGTCCCACATCTATGGTGAGGAGGTCCTCTGGTCTATACGAAAAGGAGCCATCCACATCTCTGCAGTAGTACAGCTTTGTATACAGGGATTGTCCAGGGTCCCCACAGGTTCTAAGCTCTTAGCCTGCATAAGCGTCTATGCGGTGCAGAAGCACCGGGGTACCTCCAGGGTTCAGCTACGACTTTCAATTTTCCAAGTCAAGAGTGGAGGTGGGTCATTACCTGCCCAGGCTATAAACCATGTTCTGTCGCTGTTGCTGAAACCGACCTGAGGTAGGAACTGGATTCGCACCTGCAACACCACTCGAGACCTCAGTCTCATCAATACCTTCATATCTCACCTGCCGGTGCTGCAACAAATTGCAGTCACCGCAGTCCTCTTGAGCACATACTCGTACTGCTATATTAACAGGCATTCACATCATGGCGCAGACGACTTCAACGATGGACTTTGCTCCAGCTCGCAGGAGTCTCGCATCTCATGCCCCGAGGCTACGACCAGAACATACCGGAAGCTCCAGCACTCCATCAGAACGGTCATCAAGACATACCTCCCTTACACTTGACTCAGCTACCAGTGTAGCCAAAGCATCGGTATTACCAGACGGTGCAGAAAAGTCTTCCGCATTGTCAATCAGCAACCATCATGTGGCTAGTACCGCTATGGCCAGCTCGCAACCTGCTCTTCCCATCTTGGTCGCATATACCGCACTTTGCACATCAATTTTTCTAGTTGCACTCGACACTGTACTGATCCCGACTGCGCTACCCACGATATCCGAGTCTTTCAATATCCCCGACTCGTTGTATGCTTGGACAGGTTCAGCATATCTCCTCGCGAACGCCTCCTCTATCCCCTTCTGGGGAACGCTGGCGGATGTCTTTGGCCGGAAGCCGATACTTCTTGTGGCGAACGCAATATTTCTAATTGGGAGTATCATATGTGCGGTGAGCGTCAATGCACCCATGCTAGTTGGTGGAAGGGCTGTCCAAGGCCTTGGAGGGGGTGGTGTGAACTGCTTGGTGTACGTCTGTGTTAGTGATCTGTTCACCATCCGGTAACTAGACCCTGCACACTCAAAATTTTCACAGTAGCTAACCGCTACGCTTAGAAATCGCTCCTTTTATCTCGGACTAGTGGGTGCTGTCTGGGCTGTAGCATCAGCTCTTGGTCCTGTCCTCGGAGGTGTTTTCGCTGAGAAACTCAACTGGCGATGGTGTTTCTACATCAATCTACCCATCGTCTCATTCTCAATCATCCTTCTTTACTTTACTCTACATCTCCACAATCCTCGCACCCCCCTCTTGGCCGGCATGCGATCGATCGACTGGCTCGGCACATTCACCATTCTCACTGCGACCATCCTGCTCCTCGTCGGTTTACAGACAGGCGGTACAAAATCGTACAGCTCACCGGTGGTCATCGTATTGTTGTTCCTCGGGTCTGTAGCCTACCTTATCTTCCCCGTTACTCAATGGTGGGAGGACAAGAATGGAGGCACACCAATAATGCCCCTCCGCATCTTCCGTGACACCAGCAACCTCAGCGCATTGGGAGTGTGCGCCTTCGACGCCCTCGTCTTCAACTCCGTCGCTTACTTCGTACCGCTGTACCTACAGATCGTCGCCGGCCAGAGCCCTTCCGCGACTGGCATACTAATGCTTGCACTCGCTATCCCGCTGACTATCGTCTCTCTTACGTCGGGCTTCGTCATCGAGAAGACAGGTCGCTTCATGGACTGGCTACAAGTCGGCTTACTGCTCACGACTGCTGGAATCGGCGCGCTGATCAGCCTTACGGAGACTTTTGATCTGGGCAAGGCAATCGGATTTCTGGTCCTGATAGGAGCGGGATTTGGTCCGACATTTCACACGCCACTGATCGCATTGCAGACGCGCATCAAAGACACAGATATGGCTGTTGGCACCGCGACATTCGGGTTTGTGCGCATGTTGTCTGGGGCTATTGGTGTTGTTATCGGTCAAGTCATCTTCCAGGCTCTAATGAGTGATAGACTCGATAGCATTGTCGACGCAGGCGTCCCTCCGGCTTTCGCAGAACAGCTTGCAGGCGGTGAAGCGGTGAGTCAGGCCAGTGCTGTGGCATTGCTTGATGCGGCACAGAAGATTGTTGTTAGGCAGGGTTTCATGGGTGCACTGAGGGGTACTTTTATTTGCTACACCGTTGTTGCAGCGCTGGGGCTGTTGATGACGTTTGGAATCAAGAGGGTGACGCTCAAACGAGAGACGGAAGAAAACGCGCAGTTCGAACCAACGCCACGAATTGCAGGGGACGTGGAAACACTATAAAAGGACCCCAAGGTGGCGATGATGAGAAGTCAACTATGGATGTAGTAGATTTATGCAGGCACAGGTATAAACTAGCTCGCCGGCACTAATCCCTACGTCTCTACTTATCGAACCATTTGTATTTAGAACAAGTCACACACTGTTATTCCAGGGAATTACCCGCCCTCATCCTGATCGCGCCAACAAGTTTGAGGGTTCTTGGGTTCTTCGGGTTCGCATCTAGGCCCATAATCTTCCCGTGGCCGAGCTCGTGAATACTGTCGGTGATCTTAACAATGCTGAAGCGGCCCTCGGTGCCATAAAAATTGCCCCAGGGTCCATGTACCGCCGGCTCGTAATCAGATCTATCATGGGTTCAGTTCTACGGTTGGAAGTTGAACATCAGCCACACTTCTCCAGCTCGGTCTGATTCTTTGGCCTTGACCGCGATTGCAAAGTGCGTTCTGATCCATGTTCCTGGCCTAGAATTGGCTTTCGTGACGTCCTCACCTGCCTTGTGCATGTAGTACTGTAGCTGAACAAGCTGGAAGACTACAAAATCGTCATCTCATTGACGGGCACGGCGCTCTGGTCGGAATAATTAGATCCATGGTGCTTGAGCCTTGTGGTTGCCCTCGGAAGTGCTAGTATGTAGGTTCACACCTATAAAGCTCTCGGGAGGTATATTATTTAGGTCGCGATGTTATTCTGATCTCTTATGCGTGATGGTCGGTGTACTTTAAAAGAAATTGTATTAAAAAAAGGAGTTTCGTACTCTTGGCTGGGAGCGAGACGCCACTCAACGTGCGCCACGGACAGGATATCAAGCCGAGATAAGAGTTAAGTCTTGAATCAATATCCCCGTCACAGCAGTGCAACTGTCCGAGTCGTGGCCGTTGACTTTCGAAATGGCGTTCCAGAGCGCATCTTGCGTGGTGAATGGAATAGCTGGAAGCAGGGACTGCGTCTATGTCGTTGGTACCGCCACATCCCACTGCCTGCTCTTCAGCTTCGTGAATCTGCTCAAAAGTAGGTATGTCATTATCGCTATGTGTGGATGATGTCGTTTTGGCAGTCAGTGTGACGGCTATGTACGCACGACGCAAACCGCAAGCTCGAGGTCGATAGCAAGTGCTACTGACCCTGTCAAGTTACTCAACGTACGTTTATGATGCGGAAACCACGATAACTGAAAGCCAAAGAAGTCCACATGTTGACCTACGTCATGATACAGACAGAGCAGAGTCCAACTCACGCCTGCCTATTACTACCCAGCACCAAAGAACCTGCTGCTATTCTTCGGGTCATTCTCCCACTCAACATCATCGGCGAACACAACTTCCACTCCCCTGTCTTCCAGCCTCCTGATCCTCCGAATCGTCTCAGCGGCCTCGCGGTCCACGTGGATACAACATACATGCCCCTCCGCATCAGTCCAGTCGCCGATCTGCTTCTCGCCGGTCAGCAGACGCCAGTCGTGACATACGTCGCCACTGAGATACATGTAACGCTGCTCTGACGTGCGGGTGAAGAGGTTAATGTACCCCGGCAGATGACCTTGGGCGTTGACGATGAGTACTGAGCCGTCACTGAAAATGTCGAGAGTATCTGGGAGATTAAAAGTCGGATGAAGACGCCATGGGACAGAGAAGCTGGGTGTTGCCGGTTCTGAGTTGGAGTCGTGGGCATAGATTTTGTCGTCCAGTGGGTCGGAAAGCTCTATGCTGCGCCCTTCGGGTAGAAGGTCATGCTCAAAGAACGAGTGACCGCCGCGGTATTTTGCGGATGTTCCGGAGAGTAGTGCAAGGGCGCTGTGGCCGACGATAAAGGTCGAGGTTCAGAAGTCGCGCGGTTCGCCGATGTGGTCCCAGTGCACCTGTCATCTCAGTTTCGGCCGAAGATTGGGCGGGAGACTCTTGACTCACATGCGAGTAGACAACATAGTCAATACCGTCCGGTCTCAATCTACCTCTGGCTAAGCGCCTCACAACATCCGGTCCTGTCGTGATTGGTCGTCTATTTTCGGTGTGCCTTTGAATCGGCGTCGGGTATCTCTTCAGATCCCTTCGGAGCCCGAGGTCAAACAGAATACGCGTTGTTCTGCCTGAGTTGTCTTTGTGCTGGATGAGGAACGCTAACGAAGGAACTGTTCTGCGCGCTTCAAGAGTCGAAGGCTTGACAAATTGATGTTCCGGAAGAGTAAAGTGACCGCAAGACACAGCATGGACGTTGACACACGACTGTTGCTGAAGAGTGATTTAAATTCATGGTCGTTATCCTTATCTCACGTCGGTATGTTCCAGGTGGAAAAGCAGCCAGGCAGAGGTCGTCCAGAACAGACAAACCCCTCACTGATCGACGGTGTATAGACTTTACAGCCATGCTGGCGGTTGGTGGTTCACACATAAATTTGGCTATATAGATGCACATTAGCCATGTTGTATTGCCGAAAGTCTTACTGTACCCCGCTCGCTAGCCTGTCGTCATTGCTTCGTAAAAAGGGCGTATGGCATCTTCGTCATTACACTGTATCTGCTTGCTTCCGTTTGTTCCACATCTACTTTACCAACAGGCTCGGTTCCAAGCTTTTGACACGAACCTAAATCCAACGGAAGCAATGACAGACGCGGCAGACTTCAATACCGTGGGTTTCATCGGCCTTGGAGCCATGGGTAAACCGATGCTGGAGCATTTGGCCAATAATCTGCCCAAGGAGTCACGCATATGGGTCTACGACGTCGTTGAGCAAGTCGTGGACGAAGTCTGCGAAGCATTTCCGGACCGAGTGTACAAAGGAATAAGCGCAGCAGATGTTGCGCAACATGCCGTATGCCGAGTCGCAATTAACACAATAACGTCGAAATATTGATGTGATCAGGACACCATTCTGACAATGGTCCCCGAAGGCTCACACGTCCGCTCGGTATACCTGGAGCCCGAAAACGGCATCTGCAGCAGCGACATCTCTAATAAGTTGCTCATCGACTGTTCGACAATCGACACAGCGACCAATCTAGAAGTCAAAGACCACATTACACAGCACTTCCCCTCGGCTTCATTCTACGACTCACCCGTCAGCGGAGGCGTAGTCGGTGCGATCAAAGGCACTATTGCAATCTTTCTCGGATGCGCAGAAACAGATCCCAACTTTGCGCGCCTGACCCGATTAATGGAGCTCATGGGCAAGCAGATTATTCCTTGTGGGGGACCATCGCTCGGCCTTGCTGCAAAGCTGTCGAATAACTACTTGTCCGGGATCATCGCGATTGCGTGCTCAGAGGCATTTGACATGGGAATGAGGTCTGGTCTTGATCCGAGAACACTGGCGAAAGTGTACGCTGCTGGTACGGCTCAGAGTACTATCTGCGATAAGTTCTGTCCCGTTCCGCACGTGTACCCCGATGCGCCTTCGTCTGGAGGCTGGAAGCAGGGCTTCAAGGTGCAGTTGATGCGGAAGGACTTCGGCCTGGCAGTTGAGATGGCAAAACGAGTCGGTTCGAAGAATGTTCTTGGGGATATCGGTCTGGAGACATATGAGGGCGCCGCGAACGACCCGCGCTGCCGAGATCTTGATTCCCGCGTGGTGTATAGATATCTGGGAGGTCAGGAGGACTGGCAGTTGAAGTCTGAGCAGTCCTAGATCTTGCAACGCTCTGCCACTGCCATCGGTACCGACATCGAGGAAGACAGCACGATAGGAGTCCTGAGCGGCATGACGTGGATGTCAGGCTGGGGATAGTGGGGCACTGGGGTAGTCCGAGGTCGGATTGCGGGGTGCACTCCGGTTATTACTCGTATACCATAAGAACAGCGTGAGCGTGGCAACCCTTAAGATAAAACCTGAATCTAAGTCCTCAATTGTCAGTCCTAACCAGTCGCTGTCTCCTCCTACCCGTAACCTCTGCACATAAAATACACACCATCATGCCGTCAAACGACCCCAAATACGACGAGATGCACCAGCAGCTATTCGAAGAGGGCCTGGAGATGCGGAGAAGCGTCGTAGGCGACTCCTACGTCAACAATGCCCTGGAGAACGGCTCGACAGAATTCTCGCGAGCCGGTCAGGAGATGGTCACAGAGTGGGCTTGGGGGTATGCATGGACACGCCCAGGTCTCGACAAGAAGCAGCGCAGCTTGATCAACATCGGCATGCTGATGGCGCTCAACCGCGCGCCTGAACTGGCCGTGCACATTCGAGGTGCGAGGAACAACGGTCTGACTGAGCTGGAGATCCGCGAGGCGATCATCCACGCGACGGTGTACTGCGGCGTCCCGGCTGGCGTGGATGCAATGAAGACCGCCGAGAAGGTACTGAACGACATGGCAGAGAAGGGGGAGATGCCACGAGAACTGGGAAACAGGAGTGAGAGAGCAGACAAGAATGGGCAATGAGGGTTGTTGTGCAGTTGGAAGTGCACAGGTGGGGCTTTTCCGAACCGTGCGAAAGCGCCTCGACGACGCGTGGAGCGTTCAGCATGAACTCGGTCATCAACTTATCTCGACCTCCAAAATGACCTTGTAAATTCAAGGCTTTATGATTATGCCTATCCCGCTGACTATAGCAGCTGATTATGATCGCAACCGACCCGCGTTTCCTCCAGATCACACGCTCTCGGCTCTGTGCTTGTTCAGGCGTCGTTGCAAACATCAACTTATACAACTACCCCCCATGTCTCCGTGAAGTCTGAATCCCAAACATTCGCAATAGCTCCACCTCTAGGCGAGATCGAGAGCAAGTGCTACGATCTGTGCGAGCAGCACGTGGATAACCTCAGCAAGATCCAGGAGCTCGAGGGCCAGATCACGCTGTGTCTTCACCCAGATGCAGGAAGACACAGTGCGCCAGCTTCGCAACGAGTTGGCGCCACCATCACCTAAGAGGCGCTCGCCGAGAACGAAAGAATGAAGAAATCAACCAGCGGCAAGACTGTTGCGAGCGCTCGTCAGGACATAGTGCAGCTCGAGATCCAGAAGCAGCACATTCTAGACATGGAAACGGAGCTGCAGAAGCTCAGAGTATAGTCCCTCATCCGGCAGATCCATCCTGGAGGACCAGACGAAGCAAGCGCGCTTTAGCGTGAGCTCAAGCTCAAGCACGCAACTCTCGGGACCCGGTGCAAGACCCCGAAAGACAACATCTCGCGACGGACAGATCTGCAACCCGTTTGCCCGAAGCACGTGGCGGACGCAGCCTCCCTCGACGAAGAGACTGTCACCGTCGATGTCGAGACCGAGCCCTTCGGCGAGGACAACGCAAAGCGTCAGCAAGCGTGGACCGACAAGCCGCAGCGCATCAGTAGTGTCAGGTAGAAAGCCAGCATGATACAAACACCACAGGCATGGCCATGTATGACGCATGCATGCATGTCACGTGGTCGCCGCGCCAGCACCGAAAAAGCTGCCCTCACGCCTCACCACCGCCAGCCTCAGGCAAGGTAGGCACAAAAGAAGATGCTTCCATCACGAAACATGGTTGCGTCCACGCGAAGCCACGTGCACATGTGGTGAACTCACGTGTCCGCGCTAAAAAAACCATACGGAGCCTCATCACGTGCTGTTCCACCCAAAAAATCCTCTACCAGGGCCTATCATGACTGCAAAACCAACTACCACGACCTCTCTCCAATGGCAAAAATGATGGATTCCGTCACGGGGAATCGAACCCCGGCCACATCGGCGCTTGCTTGAGAGCGATGTATCCTAGCCACTAGACCATAACGGATGATTTGCTTATAATGAGTCTCCAGACAAAATGTTTATATTCTCACGACTGTGGTCGGGACAGCAACTGGGTGAGTCTACGAAAGGTCAAAAGCGCAGGGTTCGGTGGGTGGGGACGTCTGAGTCACGAAGTACGAGGACAGTGTGGGATCCAGAATGACGGCGACTCGGCAGAGCGCCCGCTGGGAGGTGGGAAAGGAGAGAACGGAGTAGCGAGGAGGTTAGCTCATAGGGGCCCAGACGACGTCGCCATCATGAACTGCTTCAGACCTATCCTATCCACTGGCATCTCCGCAGGAAGGAAGGATACGTCGATTATGTTCATTCTTACGCTCTCCACCACCTCTGCTTCCCTAGTCGGTCCATGACATTCCCCAATACGCCTGTTAGCATGCGAATTGAAGTGCTAGCAGTCGGGATCAGTATTATTCGGCTCCCTTCCTATGTCCTTTCTCTCGAAGCCTGGTCGTATCTTATGCAACTAACTGAGCGTCGATGTAGAGCACCCAGAGCAGCGCGGGGGTGCAGAGAATCGACTCGCAACATCACATCGACGCAGTGTCCGAGGGGGATCTGCAGAGACGGGGAGCCGCGTCGCTGTCTCAGGGTACGGGGAGCAGGTGAGAGGTCTGCTGGCGTGAGTGCAGCAGGCAACAAAAAGCGTGGAGACGGTACTTCAACGGCAACGAAGAGCGGTGGTTTGAATGTCATTTCTCTGATTCTTAGCCATGTATGTGGCTCTGCCATGCTATTTACCCCAGTGTTGAATATCGCTATAATACCATGTCTTATCCCATCCCAAAACGCCGTATGCTAAGTTGTTGAGAACATTGTCATCTACGCCCGCCCGGCGCTATACCGCCCTCCGCCGTGCCGTCTAGAACATGCCATCAATCTCGCCCGTCTCGGTATCGACATCGATATTAAGGTACCCAGGGGCAGTGGGCAGACCAGGGATGGTCTGGATATCCGCCGCGAGAGCATACAGATATCCAGCACCGGCGGCCATGCGGACGTCGCGGATGGGGACGGTGAAGCCCTCGGGTGCGCCCTTGAGTGCGGGATCGTGCGAGAGCGAGTACTGCGTCTTGGCGACGCAGATGGGCAGGTTGCCCAGGCCTTGCTTGGTGTATGTGTCGACTTTCTTCTGCGCGAGCTCGGAGAACTCGACGGCGGACGCGCCGTACATTTGCTTCGCGATGGCCTCCATGCGCTCTTGCACGGTGTTGTCGAGACCGTACAGGAGCTTGAATTCCTTCGGCTGCGCGGAGGCCTTGATGATGCCTTCGGCGAGGTCCTTGGCGCCCTTTCCGCCCTCGGCGAAGTGGTTGGCGGGAATAGCGTCTTCGGCGCCGGCGGCGAGGGATTCCTCCTTGATGACCTGGATCTCAGCGTCGGTGTCGGTGGCGAACTTGTTGATGGCGACAACGACGGGGACGCCGTACGAACGGGCGTTGGCGATGTGCTTCTTCAGATTCACGCAGCCACGGCGCAGCATCTCGACGTCTTCGGTGCGGTAGCACTCCTGCAGCTGCGCGCCGGGCTTGATGTCGGGCCCGCCGCCGTGCACCTTGAGCGCGCGGACTGTGGCGACGATGACGACGGTGTCTGGGACGAGACCGGAGGAGCGGCACTTGATGTTGAAGAAGCGCTCGCCGCCCATGGTGAAGTCGAAGCCGGCTTCTGTGACGACGAAGCCGACCTTCTCGTCGTGGTTCTCGCCGGCCTCAGTACCGGCGAGCTTAAGCGCGAGCTTGTCGGCAAGCACGGATGAGGCGCCGATGGAGATGTTGGCAAAGGGACCGGCGTGGACGAAAACGGGGGTTCCTTCGAGCGTCTGCATCATGTTGGGCTTGATGGCGTCGCGGAGGAGGGCAGTGAGCGCACCGCCAGCGCCGATGTCGTCGCAGGTAACGGGGTCACCACTGCGGGAGCTGGCGACGACCATGCGGCCGAGGCGCTCACGCAGATCGGCGAGGTCGTTGCTGAGGGCAAGAATGGCCATGCACTCACTGGCGACGGAGATGTCAAAGCCAGTCTCGCGGGTCTGGCCCTTCTCGGTAGACGCCTGACCGATTGTGATGCCTCGCAGATGTCTGTCGTTGACATCCAGGACACGGCGCCATGTAATGGTGTCGGGGTCGATGTCGAGACGGGCGAACTTTGTGATCTCCTCCTCGGTCAGGTCGTCGGGGTTGGTCTTGTCGATGCCGAGCTTCTTCAGGCGGCGGAACATGACAGGGGCGAACTCGCGTCCGCCCTTCTTCGCAGGCACCAGTCGCTTGTACAGAGCGGCGTCCTTTTGTGTGTTCTCGTGGAAGATGCGGGTCTCGATGGCGGCAGCGAGCAGGTTGTTGGCGGCAGTGATGGCGTGGATGTCACCAGTCAGGTGCAGGTTGAACTCGTCCATGGGGATGACCTGGCTGTAGCCACCACCGGCAGCTCCTCCCTTGATACCGAAGGTTGGTCCCATGCTGGGCTGGCGGACGTTGGCGAAGCATATCTTGCCGAGATGCGCACCCAGCGCCTGCGCTACACCGATGGTGGTGGTGGACTTGCCCTCGCCGAGCGGTGTAGGGGTAATGCCGGCGATGAGGACGTAGCGGCCGTTCCGGCGGTGCTCGAGACGCTTCAGCAGTGACAGGTCGACCTTGGCCTTGGTGGCACCGTAGGGCTCCAGCTCGTGGGGCAGGATGCCAACCTCCTTGGCGACCTGTGTGATCTGCTTAGGATGCTGCGCGCGCGAGATGGCGATGTCCGAGGGGACGGGGTCCAGGGGCCGGATGGACAGCGGGGAGATGTGGCGCTTCGTCTGGCGGTCGAAGGTGGCGTCGGCCGAGTCGACGAGGTTCTGCAGCAGCATGGCGATGGTCATGGGCCCCACGCCTCCAGGCACGGGGGTGATCTGCGAGGCGACCTCGGCGGCGGACTCGTAGTCGACGTCGCCGACCAGGCGCTGACCGCTCTTCTTGCTGGCGTCGGGGATGAAGTTGGTGCCGACGTCAATGACGACGGCGCCGGGCTTCAGCCACTCGCCCTTGACGAACTGGGCCTTGCCGATGGCGGCAACGACAATGTCGGCCTGGCGCACGACGTCGGGCAGGTTCTTGGTGCGCGAGTGGCAGACGGTGACGGTCGCGTCGGCGTTCTTCAGCAGGTAGCTGGCGGGGCTGCCCACAATGTCGCTGCGGCCGAGCACCACGGCGTTCTTGCCCGCAATCTCGACGCCGGCCTCCTGCAGCAGCACCATGACGCCCTTGGGGGTGCACGGCGTGAACAGCGGCTTGCCGCCGCGCTTGGCCAGCTCGCCGATGCTCGCGGCGCCGAAGCCATCGACGTCCTTTTCGTCGGCCACGGCGCTGGTGATGTCGTACTCGGAAATGTGCTTCGGCAGCGGCAGCTGCACGAGGATGCCGTGCACGGCTGGGTCGTTGTTGTAGGCGTACACGCGGTGCAGCAGGTCGCTCTCGGTGGTGTCCTCGGGCAGCTGCACCAGCTCGCAGTCGATGTTGGCCTCCTCGGCCGCCTTCAGCTTCATGCGCACATACGTGCTGGAGTCGGAGCGGTCGCCGACTGCATCGGGTCAGCACTCAATGGCAGCATACTATACAAAAGACGCGTCGTCATAGAACATACCCTGCACAATCTTCAGGCTCGGGCGGTACCGCGGGTTGCCCGCCTGCTTCTCCTTGATGTAGCCGCCGAGCCGCTCGCGGATGCTCTTCGCAATCGCCGTGCCGTCAATCTTGGTGGCCGTCATGATGGCCCTGGTGCTGCTGAAGTGCCTGACAGCGCGCGCAATCGAGCAGGTATACAAAGGTTGGCGGCGTGCGCTCGCTGCGACCTGTGAATTTTGTGATCGCGGGGTAGCTGTATGCGGCAATCCACGGCCTCGCACCACTGCGCGTCCTGCGCCGCACATCGGATTCATCGTCCTTCCAAACCGGGCCAAGCCAACGTATCTTGACCAGACTGGGCGGAGGGCAGCAGGATGGGGTCAGATAAAAAGCAAAATATTACCTGAATGACATGACTCAGAATCTTCTCATAAAATGTCAACGCGCGCTCTTTGTGCGGCACGAGTCCAATGCGCTCCGACGCGAAAGTGCCAAACTTTTGCCGCGCCGGTCTCGCTTTGCGTACTAACCAGGATGGGACACCCTGATATGGAGACCCTGATATGGATTGCACCTCGAGGCTCGCATTCGTTGGGGCAAGGGAGGCTGAACAGCCAAAGTGCAAGGGACAGGCCTGCGGCTCGCTATCGTGATCTAGTTGGCGATGCCGCGATGCAATCAGCGCCAGAAGAAAAAATCGAGTTACGCCAGAAAAAAACTTCCGACTTACGCCAGAACAAGCTTTCGAGACACGCTAGAATAAGCTTTCCAAACACCTCACGGCTCCTGTTCCTTCGTCGGTTCCTACTCCTCCTCTTGCTGCTTGCACATGTCCATGAGGACGCCGTAGAGTACGAAGACCTCCTGTGCCGACGTCTTGATGTGCTCTTTGTGCTGAGCATGGCAGTACCTGGCGAATTTGTCCGGGTGCCACACGTTCCTCTCCTCCCTCAGCCAGTCATACGAGTACTTGCCCGAGCCCTCCAGCAGCGTCTGCAGGTCGTGGACGCAGATACCTGGTTGGGTGCCTTCTCTCAATGGCTGGCACGCCACCTTGGCGCATTCGCTCATGTAGTCGCGCAGAGGAGGGAAGTCGCGAAGCTGCCCGGGGACGAGGAGCCTCCGCATGTCCTCCTGGAACTGCTGGTATGTGCTGCGAGGGTCTCTGTGCACCCTGCTACCACAGAATGCGAGCCACGTGCCGTGCACCCAGCCTCTTACTCCTCCTCCAGCTTCGACGATATACCAGTTCTTCCCCATGTCCTCCCACACCTTGACTTTCTTGCCCTTCTCGAGCTCCAATTCCCAGGAGTCTTTCAAGTGCGGACGCCCAGTGCGCTTGCTAACAGCCCATCGAAAGAACTTGGGCTTTTCCGGCTCTCGCTCGACGTGCTGTAGACGGGTGTCTTGGGCTTCTAGTACGGGCTCAAGTGCTTCTGCTGTGTACACAGTATCTTGGTAGAAGCTGATGACGAATGGAGCCTCTTGTGCGTTGTGTTGCTTCTTGATGAGCGCAAACGTCTCTCCAACGGGGGCGTGCGGGTTGAGAGCCACGAGCTGTGTTTTGTTAGCCTGTGGTAATGGCATATCAGAGACGTTACTGACCACCAGCTCAGCCAGCTCCGTGAGACTCGGTGCTGCAGTCCCGCTTGACCAAAGCCTGGCCCAGGCCTGGTGAGCGATACTGGACTCAAAGTGCCAGAAGTACCCTTGCTGCCCTCCGATGAAGTATGATCCGTCGCCGTGCCATGTAACCTGGCTCAGTGTTCCCTTCAAAGAACCTCTAGTGACGGTGGCGGATCTCATGTGCGCTCCGCTCAAATGACACAGCTCAGCTTCTATTGCAGCAGGGACGCCGTGGCATGCCCATGACGCCTTTGCCCATGCGAAAAAAGAGTCGTTGTCGCCGAGTTGCACGCGTAGAGCGGAACAGAGGTCAGCCACCGGGCGGACTCTGTCGATGAACTGCTGCAGTGCTGGCGGGATGGTCTCGCCGACCTGGAAGGCAGATGTGCCATCTGTCATTTCGTAGGCAAAGAACCAGGAGTCAGGGCGAGATCCGTACGATGCCCACGTAATTTTCCTGACAGGCTTGCTTGAGATGTCGCCGAGCACTTCCATTGGAAGCTGTACGCTGTTGGTGGTTAACACGGGCGAAAGGATTAGGCGAAGTAACGAACGCGGCGTATCCGTTCGGAGTGGCGAAGAACTGCCTGGCATTGGGACCGAAAGCTACGATATACTGGTCAGTAGTGAGCTTCTCCAGGCGGTCGAGTGCGGTCGAAACCATTGTTGCATCTGGCGAATCAAGGTTAGACATGGTGCCGCACTGTACTATGACTGCCTGATTACTGGACTGCTGGGTTGTTGGTGTGATCTGTGTCTGCTGTTAGTGCGGTCAGTGACCAGCTGTCGGACGAAAGGTCAGGTCATCGACGCGATGGGGCGTGGAAAGGCAGATATGCGCGCCAAGGCTGGCGTTACCACGAGTGTCCTTCACTTCTAGAGCTTAAGGAATACGTGTACTCGTGCAAGTATACACGTATTCTACTTGATGGCAACCCGATTCTCTGGTTGTGCAAGCATGTCCGGCTTCTCGAGCCGTGCTGAGGCTTTTATCTTGGGAGCGATGAGGTGAGCGGGTTATGTCTTGCAGCAATGACAAGCTGTCTTGACGAAGACTTGCACGATAAGTAGATGGTCACAGAAGGTAATTCCGGTCCACGAAGATGATTCTTGTTTTGCCAGGTTGACTTTGACTGAAGGAGCCACATTATTAGTGCAACAAATCAGGGGATTAAATGCACGAGCGAATAATCGGGTCTGCAGATGTTGACTAAAGAAGAAGACGACACATTGAAGTAACTTACTAGCAGCCCCAATCGAAGAAGGAGAGCGGGTGAATGATGGATTAGGTTCGACTCAATGTGAATCACGACGCCTGAACGGCTTTTTTACGAGTAGCCCTTGCTCTTGTGATGCAGAACGAATGTGAGTCAGTAATGCCTTACGGTGTTGCTGGCGACATGGGCGTGCAGATGGACAGTGGCGGGAGGCAAGCGGCGGCGTCTGTCGAAGGCGTTGCCAGCTGGAGATTCAGTGAGGAAAGCTGCTGACGAAAGACGACTTCAAAACAAATTGCTCCTGAGCAACTCTGCGGTCAACGGTGTCTCTCAATGAAATCAACATGTGCAAGCCTTCACAGTGAGAGGTGAGACGAGGTGTGGCAGACGTCCATGAGACATGGAATTGCGGGGCACGCTAGCGGCTTCGAATTTCGTCCCACAGCGACTTCGAGACAACCAACAGGGCAGTGCGAGAGTCACCGCAACCACAAAGGCCACCCACCCCCCGAACCGCCTCCGCTCCTACACACACCGCAGTCATGAGGCCGATCCTTCTCTCCGGCCACGAGCGCGCGCTCACGCAGGTCAAATACAACCCCGATGGCGACATGATTTTCTCCGTCTCCAAGGACCATGTTGTGTGCGCATGGTGTCAGTAGCCCCGGCGCAGGTAGCGCGACTCCCGAGCGAATCCGGCCGCTGACAGGACGCAGATTCACACAACGGCGAGCGGCTGGGAACATACCACGGCCATGTCGGCGCGCTGTGGACCGTCGACGTCAACCCCACCTCGGAGCTGCTCGCGACCGGCGGCGCCGACAACACGATGCGCTTGTGGGAAGTCAAGACAGGCAAGCTGCTGAAGACGTGGGAGTTTGGCTCGTCCATCAAGCGCGTCGAGTTCTCGGCCGACGGCAGGCAGCTGCTGGGTGTCACGGAAAAGCGCGCCGGGCACCTGTCCACCATTGTCGTCTACGAGATCAACCCCGACGTCGAGGCCACCCAGAGCGACGAGCAGATTCTACGCATAGTCTGCGACGAGAGCAAGGCCACCGTCGCCGGCTTCTCGTACCTCGCCAAGTACATCATCTCCGGCCACGAGGACGGCTCCATCACACAGTGGGACGGCAAGACGGGCGAGCTCCTGAGCAGCAACTACGATGCACACGACGCCGACATGCAGAGTGCGTAGTCATCAAGTATACTTCTTGGATGAGGCTAACAGTGAGCAGTCACCGACCTCCAGTGGGCGCCCGACCGCACATACTTCATCACCGCCTCCAAGGACAAGACGGCAAAGCTCGTGGACGTCGAGACCCTCGACGTCCTCAAGTCCTACGTCGCCGACACACCCCTCAACAGCGCTGCCATCACCCCCGTAAAAGACTACGTCATCCTCGGTGGAGGACAGGCCGCCATGGACGTCACAACCACCTCTGCCCGCCAGGGTAAATTCGAAGCCCGCTTCTACCACAAGATCTTCGCCGAAGAGATCGGTCGCGTGCGTGGCCACTTCGGTCCCCTGAACTACGTCGCCGTGCACCCCCAGGGCACCTCGTACTGCTCTGGTGGCGAGGACGGTTACGTGCGTGTGCACCACTTCGACAAGCCGTACTTTGACTTCAAGTACGAGGTGGAGAGGGAGGCGGACCAGCAGCAGGCGAACTTGTGAGCAGCGCGTGAGCGAGCGACGACGTCAATGTAGACAGCGAGCTTGTAATGTACCAGAAGTTACGAGACATGTCTGGAATGGTGCATGCATGCAACGGCGTTCCGGATCCGGTTGGGTTGAAGGTTCTCAAAAGTTCTTGAGAGCGACCTGCAGATAGACGATATCAGAGCGATGTACCCGAAATGAACACCAGTATGAAAGCACACACTGAAGAGGGGAGCAGCAAGCTCTGGATGGTAGATGCACATGTCACAATGACTGACAATGTCTTGAGGGCTGTATAATAACCGAGACGTCTATGATACTCAAGACAAGTCAGGCAGGCTGTTACTGCTACGTCGCTACGATTAACCAACACCGACCGTGACTTGGTTCGATGCTGTGATTGGCTCACGTCACTAGCGTACAGCCTCACATCAACATTCATCACCACCTCACTCCATCAGTCGCACACAAGTCTACAAAACATTCCAATCTCTCCGCTGCCATCTCCGTCGATTCTCGAAGTGTGATGCTGACACCTTCCAATCCCAACAGATACAAAATCTTCGGCATAGGCATCTCCGCGTACAACACTCACGCTCTTCCACAAGTCAAGTCCACATGCTGACACCCCCCAGACCCATCTTCTTCGTCTCCACCCTCTTGATCTTCTTCATCTACACCATGTCCTCAGACAACACTCACAGTGTTCCCGTTCCAGCTGCCCCGCCACGTGACTTCCACTACAAATACACAGTACAGAAAGGCGTGTTTCTGCAATCCGAAGACTCCACCGACGACACCACATTCGACTTCGTAGGACAACCTTCTACCCACCATCAGAGACCCTCTGCCTAACACCGTCTACAGAAGAAGCAAAACTTCGGCCTGATAGACCGCTCGTACCCTACAGACTCGGACCAAGACAGTAAAGAGAAGATCTGGCCGCGCTTCGAGCACTACGCGCGCTCCCTCGCCTCCTCCGTCACAGACGGCGCGAGCTTCAAGGTCCTATTCCTCGGCCGCCACGGGCAGGGCTGGCACAACGTCGCAGAATCAAAATACGGCACCCACGCGTGGGATTGCTACTACTCGGCGCTCGACGGCCACGACGGCTTGGTATGGGCCGACGCGCACCTGACGCCCGTTGGCGAGCAGCAGGCGCAGGACGTCAACGCGCTCTGGGCTGAGAAACTCACCCAAGGCCTGCCGCCGCCGGAGACGTACTACGTCTCGCCGCTGACGCGAACGATTCAGACCGCGGACCTGTCGTTCCGGGGCTTGAATCTCCCAGCGGGAAAAGATTACACACCATACATTGTCGAACTGCTCCGCGAGGCGCTGGGCGTGCACACGTGCGACCGGCGCAGCACAAAGACAGCGCTCGAGCGCGCATTTCCCCATCTGAACTTCGAGCGCGGCTTCAGCGAGAATGATGCACTGTGGGAGGCCGACTACCGCGAGCCAAGACGCGCGAGGAAGTACAGGCTGGCTACGTTTCTGGACCGTGTGTTTGCACAGGACGAGAATGTGTTTCTGAGCCTCACCAGCCATTCGGGCGCGATTGCGAGCATCTTGGAGGCTGTGGGCCATCGGCCTTTCGCGTTGGAGACCGGGGGTGTGATTCCGGTGTTTCTGAGAGCGGAGAGGGTTGAGGGTTCGAGAGAGGTCCCGCCCAAGGAGCCCAGCGAGACGCCGCCCATGTGTGATGGGCCGTCTGCAGTGGAAGGGCATCAAGCTAGCATTTGAAGCGGAGTCACGAAGTATCAGCACGAGCCATTCTCCATCCACGAGTCTTGAATCGACAAATTGGGTCGCAAATCGTGGATTCACGGTATCTAATGCCGAACCCACTGCCTGTGTCAGAGCAAGGCTGATGTGGCAATCTGGCCCTCGCCTCAGCAATTCCAGCCTAAGCATGCCATTTTGATATTCCTCCGCCGAGATATCCATCTAACGCCCGCTAATCCAAAGACAAAAGCGCACTTCGACGCAGCCTGAACAGTCCCCCAAAGCCGGAAGAAGCCCCAAAGCCGCGCATCGGCACGACTCTGGTCTACCGCGCGCTCACTTCTTCTTGTTCGGGAACTTGGGCTGGCCGATCTTGTCGCCGCGCAGGATCACGTTGAGCACCCGCTCCATGTTGCCCAGCAGCTTCTGGTCGGGCGTCGCAGTGCCACGCTCAAAGTCCGCGATGATGGTCGGCGTGCTGTTGCACTTGGTGGCCAGGTCCTTCTGTGTCATGGTGGTGCCCTTGTCGTTCTTGGCCTCGGAGCGCGCCTTCGAGATCGCTTGGCCGATGACAGTGCCGACCGTCTTGGGCTTGATGATGTCGTCGCTGCGGTCAACCTTGGTGAGGCGCTGGCCTTCTGTGTTGCCGGACTGCAGGATTGTTAGAAAAGATCCCGAGTACCATTTACTGCTCGAGCGGCGAGTGCAGCGGGAGACTTACGGCGGTGTTGGCAGTGGTAAACTGCTTCTTGTCGGTCGAGATGACGGCGCCGCTGCGCTGGGCGGCGTTCAGAGCGCTCTTGCCCTTGACGACGGCCTCGCGGGGTCCGGCAGCGCCACCGCGAGCGCGGCTGCCAATCTTGGTGACAGAGTTCCAGTCGTCAGACATCTTGTGTTATACGTGTTGCTGAGAAGATGTGTGTCGTGTGTGAAGGCTGGGTGATGATCTAGAGGCGGGGTGAGTCTTGTGCTTGAGCGGTTGACCCGGCGCTTTGTCGGGCGGCGAGCATGAGATTGAGAGAGAAGAGGAATGTCGGCGAGTGCTGCGGTGAGCGGTGAACTTACATTTTGTGCTGCGTGTGTCGTGGTCTCGATCTCTGAGCGGCCATGATTCACAAGTCGGGCAGTGAGGTCACCGCCACACTTGTGGCCCGTGCACGATGGGCTTCGAGCATCTTCCATCGCTGTCTTCGCCCTTGCGCCCTTTTATCTCACCCATCACAAGCAGCGAAAGTGTGGCTGAGTAGTATCACAAGGCTGACACTGATTTCTAAAATGAATTTACTCTGTGGTCAGCCAGTGCGTTTGTCACGATTACAGTTTGATGACCGATAATCATTGGTACTCAAATGCCCCGTTTGCCTAGCTAGCATTCACACCAAAACCAGTGAGAGCATCTGAGGATATGCTACACCTGCGTATTGCCTTAGACGTAGAACAAACCCGTCTAGAGCATTCCATGTACTATTGGCCTAATGCTTAGGTGTCTGTCTCTCCTTGGAGTCCTTGGAGATACCATGAACAGGCGCTGGTGCTTTGAACGGAACACGTACAGCGATGTACATTTGTCTACATGTCTCCTCGAGCATCACACTGGATTGCAGGCTCATGATATCACGACTCCATGAAGTATATAAGGTAGAAATCCCGTGCAGCCCTGGCGGCGACCCCGCTGTCGAGACATCGACCAGACTTCAGCCTTGTGGTCCTCTCCCAGCTTATCTCCCCACAAGACCGATACCACCTTCGGCTGAACTTGAAATCATTGTTCGTCGACGGCCGAAGTCGGAGCTCGCGACACCAATCTATGTGCCTTTGGGCTGTGGCCAGATGCGTTTGCTTCACCAGAGTCCCGGAGTCCTCGAAAACAGCCCCTTGGTGCGTTTCCGTCCAGTGACCTGTTTGGAATCGACCTCCCTTCATCCTTCGCTGCAACGACAATGATGCGAACACTCACATTATGATCAATCTTACCAGTATTGCAAACGATCAATGGGGTCATGCCTTCCACAGCAACACCTTCGACAGGTGGGGAGTACCTCCAGGAGCGAGAGAATTTGAATCAAGCGTTTATTGCAACCATACTCAAAAGTATGGTCTGCAAGAGTATACCATCATTTAAATATCACGTTGCTCGTATCTTTAAGACTTTGTACGGCCAAGAAAGAGGGAAGAAGATGCTTCCAATATCCTTTCTGATGCCATTAGAGAGCGTTGACCCAACATTCGCGAACACATTATATGATCCCAATACATAAGACCATATAAATAGTTGCATCCTGAGGATTATCAGAGTCCCACAACATACACACCCTGTCTAGCCTTTATCTTTATAACCTGCCACTCCGCTTCCCTTCCATTCCCACCCCATCGCCGCTCCAACATCATCAACACGTCTGCTTCCCACACCAGTGCTGCAGCGACTCCATCTTCCGTCCATCATCCGCTGTCAGTTAAGTTCATCCATCCCGCGCAGTCACCAGACTCACCCCCCACCCCCCCCCCATTACTCCGACGCAGCACATCCGCCAAATCCTAAACCGCCTCAAATTTGATACAGCTGCTCCTCCACCCTAGCAATACACGGAACTAAATCACGTTCAAAACCCACAGCGCCGAACGCCCACTCAACACCGGAACAAAAAGGCCATGGCAGACGTGCAGGCTGCTCGAACCAGAACCGTGATTGCGAGATATCAGGATCAGCGGAGGAGATACGAGGCGGCGTGGCTTGGAATGGAGGCTGGAAGAGATATGCAGGATACAAAATCGGCAACACATATTCTGAAGTTGGATCCGCGAACGTCCCCTCACTCGGCGTATGGCGATTGCGGATCTGGTTCAGGCGAGAACCGGGCGCTGTGGACCGCGCCGCTCCGGAGGTCGTGTAGGCAGCTGCGACACAAACGTCAGTCTGACCTCCATTGCAAGACGTTTGGACTCACGGGTAGGAAGACATTGCGCCGGCAGCGCCATACCCGGGCCCTGGAACAGCTCATATTCCCTGTACTCCTCGTATGAATCGACTCTCTTTTCCGTTTCTGACAAACTCCCCTCCTCCTCCTCCTCCTCCTCCTCCCCCTCGCCAGGAACAATTTTATCCTGATAATGTCCAGTGCGGAACGTAACGGTCGGAGCATCGTGCTCAGACCCCGCCCAGCTTCCCCAATTTGATCGAGACTTCGGGCGACTCAGTATCTCGTAAGATATGCTGAACTTCCAGGCGGTGTAGCAGTGGCTCAGGGTCTGCTCGAGTTGCAGCCGTAGGGACTTCTAACAGGGGTGGAGATGTCGTGCCATAACACCTACGGAGACTTCCCACTACACGAGGCAAACCTACGCTCAACCTTTATTGAACCAAGAAGTCTTTAGGCTTTGCTGCCTCCACGAGCGGATTCTTTCACAATGGTTAAAGATGTTCGAACCCGTACAAGCGCCTTCGCTGAAGCCATGAATGCAAGTTTGGAAGCGGTTTGTGCATAAGCGACCTGCTGCACCGCTCGCTTTTTAGGCACCTACAATTAGCAGATCGATCGATGGCCATAATATCAAAATTGTTCGTTGATCATAGGGCTTCTAAGTTTACATCAAAGCAGCGCTATACACTGTACAAGCAAGCATGCAGTTCTGCAGTATCTCAAACGCCAACGAGCAAGCACACATTGAAAGTTAAAACGTATGAGCGCTCAAGCCAAACCAAGGTTAGACATAGCCTTCTCGTAGTCGTCCCATTTGGTGAGAGCGCCAAGCGCACGACGCTGGTGTGCGCTGAGGAGTGTCATGCCGTAGATGTAACTGGCGTTGACCCAGCCGAAACTATTCAATGTCAGCGACTAGTTTCATGATAATGTCAAGCCGTGAAGAACTTACCCTTCACGAGGCACACCCTTGAAGTCGCTGCCCTGATTACCATACTCAGCCTCGACCTTGTGGGGATCGATCTGTCTTGTGACATCGTATTTCTCGACGACGACTCCGTTGAAGTCAACGAATGCCTTTGTAACCATGTACAACCATCGGTAAGAAAGTCGCTGAGCTTCCTCGTCGAAGCCATAACGCTGCAGACCGACCCAGGCCAGGATTTGCTGTGGTGCCCAGCCGAAGGGGTAGTCCCACTGTCGATTAGGGCGATCGAGACCAACCTTGCCACGGGACTTCTCAGTACCCGAGACTAACCCGCCAAAGACCTCAAACAGCGGCAGAGCCTTGTCCACAAGAGTTTGAGCTTGGCGTGGTGTCGCAAGACCTGACCACATGGGCCAGAACGTCGTCGCGGATTCGTAGTTGGTGCGTTCCTTCTTCTTAGTGTTATAGTCGAAGTACAAGCCAGCTTCCTCATCCCAGAGGTACTTGTCAACCTTTCTGCGTCGGTCTCTGGCACGGCGCTCCCAAGCGGCAGAGTGCTCGACGTGGCCAGGCTTCATGTCAGCACATAGGAACCCTTCTGGGACCTCGAGCTTGTCATTGAAATGATTCCGAATAACACGGCCAATGTCGACCTCGTACTTGTATAGCAAGGCGTTAATATCGACACATGCTAGATCGGCAGCGACGGTCTCGAGACGGTAGGATGTGTCGTGTCCAGACTCACGCACAGCGCGGTCGTGCAGGAAGTACTCATCCAGTTCCTTGAGAGTCTCATCATCAACACCTCTGCGGTAATTATAGGCCTCGACGAACTCCTGGAAGCTCATGTTGTGCTTCTTGGCGAATGGTTCAAGAACATGCTCGAAATGCGAAGCTTCAGTTTCGGGTGGCACGCCCTTACCCGTGGGTCGGTAGCGCGTGAGACCAGTCTCCGGGTCCAGTCGAGGGGCGTTCATCCATACCGAGTGGTACTCCTTGATAGCGGCGAGAATGGCCTCCCTGAGGAAGTCTAAAGCGCCTTCTTCGTGTTTGATGCGTTCATAGACACGCAAAGCCATGTCTGTCAAGAATGGCGGTTGCGATCGACAGAGATAGTACGTTCGGTTGGCGTTGAGAATCTTGTTGTAGTGCTTGATGCAGAAGCAGAAATGGATGACCATTGACTTCACCAAATCAACACGGTCATTGACCAGAAGACCAAGCGACTCCATGTAGCTGTCCCAGCCGTACAATTCGTTGAAGCGGCCGCCAGGCACAACGAATGGAAGACCTCTCAGATCCTCCTTGCCGGTCTCGGGGTCAATCCACTTCTCCATGGCGATAGCGAGCAGACCTGGTGCCTTATTCAGGTCACGCACGTACATCTCATCGTCGACAGGCTCCTTCAGCCATTGAACATCGAGGCGCATATCTGGATGTTCCCTGGCGATGCGAGTGTAATATTCGTATTGCTCGGGAGCACCGGGAGGAATGTAGATACGAGGGCGTGGGTCGTCTGTCCAATCCTTGGGATCGACACCGACCTTGGCAATGTTGGAGCCATCAATGCGGCGGGTCAGGCCGTCCCAGAAGGAGAACTGGATAAGTCGTGAGAGGCGGTTTACGGGGTTCTCATTCAGACGCGCTTCGTCGAGGACAATGGTCTTGCGGCCGTAGTCTTTGGCGAGGGTGAGCTCCTGCAGCAGATTGGAGAGCATGTATGTGCCGCGCACATCGAACTTGTTGTGGGCATTGGATGCCAGGGTACCGAGCGACAGCACCTGTCTATGTCAGCAATGCCCGCAGACGTGTTCATGTATGCTGGCCGCACCTTTGGGCCCTTGTCGTCGATTGTGATCTGGTAGTTTCCGTCCGAGTCCTCTCGAGAAAGGAGCGTCTTCAGGGTCTCTTCGACCTGAACAAGGAAGCGGCGGGGCTGGAGAGATTGTTCGTCTGCGGCGGTCAGTGTGCGCACTCTCACACAGGCATTGGTGGCTGACCATGACTGATACGGCGGCCCTGGGACACGCCCTCGGACAACGAGGCATTGCGGGCAGAGCGGTCTACGTTCTGTAGTCCGTCAGTACTCGCACTCGCTGCTTAGTCACATGCCACTCACAGCCGAGTAGGTGCGTGCCCTGGCATGCTTGCGCGAGTGGCTCTCTCCGTAGTAAACCTGAGGTGTTGCCAAGGGATCGTGCGCGACGGTAGAGGTACGACGGGGCTTTGAGGATTGCGAGCTCATGCTACGGGGGTCTGACAGGCCGTTACTGCTCTAAGGCGTAGTGGGTGTGTGTAATGGTGGGCGCTGAAGATACTGTTGCTATGGCGTAGGCTATGACCTAGTGTGTTAGCACGCCGACACGCTGGTGGAGACGAGGGGTGGGGCGTACGCTGTGAGCGATGTTTCTAGGATCGAAAGCTGTCACACGAGGTAAACGTGCAATGCAGAGGGTAAGGAGTGTGTGGGAATGCGAATGTCGGTGAGGCCAAAAGCTGACACTAGGTAGGGGCTTCATTCACGATGCTTCGCAGAGTGCAGGTGCAGTCACTTTGCAGCTGAACGCAGCAGCGAACGCCAATCGCCAGCTGACGGCTTTGGAAAGTGGACCGTTCGACCCAGGAAGGACACAGGACCGAAGAGCCATTATTGGCAATAGCAACGATGGCGCCAGAGGCAGTCGCGATGTCTCGTCGCACCTGCCCTTTCTTTCGAATCTCAAAACCAAGCGTCACCTCTGCCATTCGAATTCTGAGGCCCACCCAGACGTCATTTCTCACCACATCTTCCCCATTACCACCTCGTTCAGGGACGCCGTTGCCCTTCAATAATTGCTCACTGTCTCCTGTTTTTGTTTTTGTGTCGCGCATTCACTTCGGCGTGACTGCTGCAGCTGCGCTGCGGTCACTGGCTCGGCTGTTTGGTTAGCTGTACAGCTGGCTTTGGAGCGTGGGCGTGCAGCAACCACCCCACGCCAGCCACGGAGCCTTCAATTCACCGAGATGCACAATAACATCAAACACGTCAAGCAATTTGTGCAGCAATGGTGCGGCAATGCTGGAGCAATCATTGCTAGGCAGTTTGCACAGATCGAGGGGAGGTTTCAAGGGAAGATGTTCTTCCAGCGACAACTACCTCAAGCTTGCCTTTCCAGGTCTGCAGGGCTGCAGGGTTATCAACAATCTCGGCTCTCCAAAGTTCCGCCAGCATCACGGATTCCCTCATTGTTGAAGTGTGAGATATTGTGGTAGTATTCGTTCTCTTCCGTTCTCGTCCATCGTGGTTCTATTCGTCGCCACTATTATACAACACGAGGTCATGCGTCGTGTCTTCCAGGATTTTCCTGGGATATGCAAACAAAGAAAACAGCAGCGCTATGTCAGTCAATAAATCGAAACCCAAAACACCAACGCTAAGTATGATCAACCGAAGTCAGCAAGCACTAATGGGCTCAAGCTCATGCCGCGTTCCTCTCGCACCGCCTCTTCTTTCCGAGGCTCCTCCAGCTCCACTTCTTCTCACTCCTCTCTCGTGTGTCGACTCGACTCAAGGTGTCCGAGTCTGGTCGCGGGCTACCGCAGCTGTCTGAGGATCTCGACCCAGTCTCGATGCTGCCGGTGTCGACGCGAGCCATTTCGACGGCGAGCCTCTGCAGGTCGATACCCTCGGCGTCAGGGCAAGACATCTTGCGGTTGTCGAGGTCTCCGTGCGTCATGGCGAGGAATCCGGATGTGAAGCAACCACCGTAGATCTTCATGGCTTCCAATGATGCGGCCTTCCTCAGAGCGATATTGTACCTCCTAGTGTCGAGGTCCTCGTCACCAGACTCGCTCAAGTCGTCCTCGAAGCGGTACAGCTCTGACGACTCTGCCCATTTTCGGTCTTGGTCACATAGACGATCTTGGGAAGCAGTGCACTACAGGTCGGTGTCAGCAATGGCCACAATCAAGATCCAACGCAAAACGTACGTTGGTGTACGTGGAGCTGTGAAGTCTGAGGTTCTTCTCCGTGAGGGAGTTCTGTCCAGACTGGACTGTCTTTTTGGTCTTCATGCTGAGGCGGCCAACCATTGTCAACTTCTGGGATGTGGCGATGGTGGTGCGGGAGATTGTCTCGGTAAGGTGCTCTGAAAAAACTACTTGAAGGCTAGTGATGGCGTTGATATTTGCTGGAGTCAGTCGAGCTGTTGATGGGTGTGAGCAACTCAGAAGGCGGTCCCTTTCCGAGTATCTTATACAAGCATACCGAAAGGCATCTCAGCCCGCGAACGAAGCGTCTTCCCGCGAACGGACACTACGGCGCCGCCTGCAGCCTTCTCTTCAAGGATTCTTACCCACCACCACAGCGCCAGTAACGTGGTACACGCCAGCGGAGCCTGCCACATCGCATTCCTGTTGTCGCTTCTTGGCCTAGATTAGCGCTTGCTCGCTTTCGGCTGCTGTCAGAGCAGGGGCCCCATGGCTGATCCCCTAGAGCCCGAGCTCAAGGACCTGTGCCCTTACCAGACCTGGAGATCAGTGGCTTGCGGACCCAAGCTTGGGAGATGACCACGGATCTGGGAGACAGCGAATCCGGCCCCCAAAACCTTCGACGCAAGCCTCAAGTGCAACACGTGGCCAGCTATTCCGACCTTTTCATACATTTGCTTTTGCGGTAGCGAATGCCGAAATGTCCTCTCAATAAGCTCCTAAACCACATAAGCATTCGCTACCAAAGCCCAAGGCGTCATGTATCCGCGTTTCAGGCATTGTGTTATGGCGGTCGCCAGCGTTACGCAGATAACACAGCTTGCAATCAAACATCTTGAAACACCGCGTCGCAGACCCTCAGGCCTTGTGCATCGCGACCCCATGTCAGCCTACACCCTGCAGCATCAGGAATTGCAGTTCGGACCTTACGGTCATCATTGGAAGATTGCTAGGCTGCAGACCCCGGTGACTGCGAGCGGGGCAATTATGGCGCGCAGAAAAAGCATCAATCTGTGCGTTGTCCACGGCAAGCGAAACACTCGGCACAAAGCCCAGGGCTGAGGGACCGAGAAGTTCACCAATCTCACGGCGATGCAAGGAAAGCGTTCCTGACAGCTTGGATGCAGGGATCTATTCTTCATATGGTTGTGACACAGGAGCTACTTTTCCGGCCCGTGCGACTACCTCCACCATTTCACATGGCTGGCAATCGTCGCAAATCATATGCAGCGCCTCCTTTTACGTGCAGCTTCTTTGTTGTTCTTTGTTTCCACGCATACCAGCGAACAATTACATGGAAAATGAGATGCTGCAGTTTGACCCATTATGACAGGGTTAGGGGTCGATTGTGTGCTCTCGGAGTCCACGATAGCTCAGCTCAGCCAAGCAAGAGAAACGATTTTCGCTAGTCATTTGTCAGCCTCGCTTCTCCCGGCACCAGTCTCCACGTCTCGCTATTGTATATCGTTTGCCGCCGAACACCAGCAGCTTTCGCATGTTACCGTGAAGACCGTGCTGGCGTAAGTGGTTCTCCAAGGCTCTCAATGCGTTCACGCGGTCGGGATTTTTCCACCGACGCCGTCGTGGTTGTGCTGAACGGTAGATGGTGCAGCACGCTACAGTATTGCTCTACTCACGCGGCTCTCGCGTCTCCAACAGCTTCGACAGCAATTTTTTAACTGTATTAATCTGTGGACTGCCGGTCTATGAGAGGGCCTTCGTGTCACCTGCGCCAGTGCACGAAGCACGTAGTGCTTTTCCCCAACCCAGTGTCAGACCCTGCGAGCCCAATAACTCTCATGGTGAGGTCACCTGCATCCTTCGTGCGCATCTGAGCGGCAATCCAACACGACGGCAAAAAGATCTGGCGCATAGCTCAGCCTTGTCCGTGTCCGCAGCCTCGTTTTCGGGTTTCTGGGGAGGAGGACCGTAAGTGTGAACAGGGGTTCGACAGGGGGTGGTTTGCGAACGCGATGCGGCACGGACAGATCGCCATTGCGATTCGGCGACGTCGCTACATCCCTACAATATTCATACAGAAACGGTCACCATTTGAGATGTATCATAGCCCCATCTCATCGCCGAAAGGGTTCGATCTCTCACAATACCGGGGACTTCGTGCGGCGCAGTAGGCAGAAAATAGATGCTGATGTGCACGAAGGATCGCGAAGTGGATCTCACGCACAAGCGCCTCGCCGACCTTCTTACGAGTGCGAGGCTGCCAGCCGTATCCATCCAGCAGCTTGGGGTCGGACACCAACGCACCCGTGCAGGCACGGACGGGCGGTAAAAGTGACGTTAGAATCAGAAACATGTCGGCGTTCTGAGTATTGGAGATACGGATCTGACTCGTGTCAGAAAGTGGAGATGATGTGAGGCATGCTTTTGGCTGTGATCTGAGCGGTCGTGCGACGCGGGTGTCCTTTGGCTGATCCGGCGGTGAGGTTGTTGGATATAGGGCTCCAAGGCTGAATCGATGGCGTGTAATGGGAGTACAAGCATCAGTGAAGCGAGTTCTGTGGCAGCAAAATGCTGTGATCCCTCATCAACCTTCCAAAACTACTTGCTGACTGTCTCGCAGCATTCCAGTACTGAGGTTCTTGATTACATGACAACTCGATCCCTCCAGACAACAGTCGCACATCTACTGAGTCTCAACTTCGAACAATTCTATCCACTGCTACTCGGTAACCCAGCGTTTTGGGTATGATCGGCGCAGCCCGTGGGGTTGGCAAAAAGATGAGTTACAGTCGGCCCTTGCGGAGGGTTGACCTCGACAACACGAAGGGGCCAATAACTTGCAATTTCCAACACTCAGCTCAAAGGGGAGCTAGTCAAAGGCGGCTTGGAGCAGACAGTCGTTCCATGTTGCACAGCCCGTACACACATCCGTGTAGATTCTAGGGGCCTTGACGACATCAATTGGCCATTTAGTTACACTATGCAACACCCGGTGGCAAGAATAGATCATATGGTCGATTGACGTCGCAGGGCCATGCAGACATATGTGCGGAGGAGTCGAGACTTTAATGATGTTCGAGGTGTAAGAGGGGTTGGACCCTGTTGCTACTCATTCTCAATACATGAGACGTGCGATAGCAAGGAAGCAGCCTGAGTGGTCTATGCAAGATCGACCACGTAATGGTCTGGCAATCTGAGCACAGCTATCAGCGTTTGGACGACTCATTTCCTCAACGGGGTCTCAACACTGCAGCATCGAGTGCTTATCGAGTCCAACGGTGGCAACATTCAGAGTTACTTCGCTTGGTTGCGGAGCCTTTGAACACTCTGCCCTTTCGCACAAAAGCCTGTCAATCTCTCTCCTGTTGGAATGCGGAAGTCGACGAGGCCAGAATACTGCGCCACACGACCTTAGGCGGTGATACTAGACGGACGATGCCTATATTCAGTGGCCGTGGAGACCGGATGGACTTTGGCTTTCCGGCACCACCAGGACGGAGCGGACAAGTAAGTTATCCTGCATCTAGTGTTCATCATGGCAGTTGCCGAACCCGCGGACTCTAGCAATGGCTTTGACTTCACGGTCCTGACACAAAAGGCAGACGGCCAAAGGAGACATCGGTTGGACACCATCAAATCACGCTCAATCGAATAATTCTCGCCTTGATTCGGTAAGTCTCTGTTCGTGGTTTGTAAAGATTGCGCTTCTCGATACACAAAAGTCACCACCACCCTAATCTGGCAACCGAGGGGCATCACTGGGCAGCGACTGACGCACAATGCCAGTACTTTACATGCAAACCTTACTCTAAAGTTCCATCCACCGATAAGCTTATTCGAAGTGCCATTAGCCAGCTTTCTGCTGAGCTGGAGAATCAGCCGGGCGTACCGGAATCTCTGAGCCCTTCGTCCACTATTAGCACTGTCCAAGATTATGGCACGCCACCCACACCAACTGCAGCAACTGGTCCATACCCTTTCGAGCTTCTAGCCTTAAAGACAACTCTTTCCCTCGTCCCAGCCCCGTCCACTCTGCGAGACGAGCAACAGCAACGCCCGCGTATACAGCAGAGAATGACCACCAATCGTAAGCTAACAATGGTACGCCAGCATCAGTATCGGGGATCGAAGTTACGCACGGAAGTGCGCTTCGACGATGATTCTTTCCAAATGCCTCACACTGTCAACGCTGCCGAATTTAGTTCTTGGGGACGAAGCCCGTCCCCTAGTCCATGGCCTAGCTCATACAATCATCTTAGTACTGCGGGCCATGGTGTGGATGTGTATTGCGAGTACGATGATCACGATTGTACCCGTCAAGAACCGCCGCCGGAGCGACCATACTACCCCAGCTTAGCGACTCAGGCGTGTATCCGCATGCCGCAACAAGCATTCAGGGAAGAGCGAGAAGCCGAATGGAACTACCGCTTCCCCACCAGCGAGGCTTTCAAGCACGAAGGCAAGGAGTGTGTGTCACCTGTATGCTCAGCGCCCGGTTCAGGATACAATTCCCATATAACCACACCTTTCGGTACTCCACCTGATTCGCCGGCTGATACACCTCCTGGATCGAAGCCAGCTTCGTTGCGGATAATAAAACGTGGTGGAGGTGCTTTCGAAGGCATGGACATTGACAAAGACTTTGATGGAGGACCTGTAGATTCTATGGATGCCCTGACTGCTCATCCTGGCGGTACAAGACAAAGTTCCTTGAACACTCACTCGCAAACCCAGCTTGCCAACAAGACGAGTGTGCCGTTTTGGAGGCAGAGATCAGCGTATGTAGAAACCACCCACATGTGTAGTAACTGAGCTGACACGATGACAGTGACAAAGCCTTTGCAAAGGGACTCCTCGAGCGAGAGAAAGTCAACGGGGTTCTGTTCCCGTCCCATCCCGAGTCGATCGATTCCGGGTCGCAGGCATCGCAAAGCGCAGCTACTGATAGTCACTGTATACGCTTAAGCAAGCTGAAGAAGATTTTCGGGAGCGAGAAAGGGAAGACGAGGAAACAAACGCCCAGAGCTCCGCCAAACGCAGAATAGTCACGCGTAAATTCTCGGAAGTCGAACGTCCGATGCCATGGATTTGCATAGACGGGAAAGACTTTATGTGGCAATCATTCGCCCAGCGGGAGTTGAGTCACGCATACGCCGGGCGGAAATTAAATCTTCGCATACATTCGCTTCTAGTCGCTGAGCACTGTATGGGAATCTTTCCTGTTTTTTCGAGACGAGACGTGCAGTAGCTCTCATTAAGTGACCTTCGTAGTCAGCAACGAAGACGCGACTGCGCAACGTAGCCACTCAAGATCAAACACATCGCACCTGAACAGCGCACTCAGTGCTTTCATCTCGTTCTGTCTGCAGCAATATTATGATCTGCAGCCAAAATTCTGCCTTCACTTGCACTCCATCCGTTTGCTCCAATAACCCACCTTCCACATCCTCACACACCACCGCCCACCCAACTAACTCAACGCCCATAGTCAACAAGATGCCGCACGACCTCCCCCATCCATCTCTCACACCACTAGCGCAATCTGGTGCTGTCACTACCATCAACGGTCTCACCTCGCCTGACAGTCCCTTTACACCGAACTGTTTCGCTGCGCTCGATGTCCTCACGCCCAAAGATCGGACGCATTTAGAAGAGCTATTGGCTTAAGAACTGCGCTGTGTTTCCGCAGGCCATCTTCCCGACATTATATTGATCGATATCCTGAAGCAAACAGAGAAAACAAAGCTGAGAAACGTACCGCGCGACATTGAACTTGCTTGGTTTCTACGCAATCGCACAGTTATAGACACGCACAATGGTAAAGCGAAGAAAGGCGACTCGGTACAAAGTGAACATGCTGCAAGGGCAGTCTGGTGTTACCGCCTCGATCCCGTGCGGCAGTTCCAGTGCTACCACGATACTGTACGCTGGAATCTCGCAATCCTCATCGCGCTCTTGAAGTCACACACCCTCAACAAGCACGCAGGATCTGAGTACAATACTAGAGAAGACGGAGCGCAGCGCAACTGCGGGAAGGATAGAAGGCACGCGAACGAGCCGAGCCTCTTGCCTGCGACGGTGCGGTTCATGACGGCGTATCTAGCGGCGGTACTGGAGCACTACTTGTCGCCCACGGCGTTTGACAGACGCAAGGAGTTCATCCGGCTCTGGAGAAATGGGAGGATGGATCTGTTCACGATCCACAAGTCGTGGGCGAAGAAAGCACTGCAGAAAGGAACGAAGCGCCTGGGCAAAGACTGGGAACGCGAGTTGAGCTTCGTTCGTCGCCATCTCGGCTCCTCCATCTACTCCGCCAGCGTGGAGAAATTCAGCGGCACCATTATCCCCGGGCGCGGCTCATCCCTGTCCCTCATCGCCAAAGGTTTCATCGCCAAAGGTGGAGGACAAGGCAGTGTGAACCACAGCAAAGTGGAGGGCCTGAGCACGGGGCTCGCAGGGAACGAGCTGCTAGATGCATTAAGGGCATCTTGTCCGGTGCCTGCAGGGCAAGACTAAGAACACACCCAATCGGGTGATGAAGAGGGTACGATGGTGTGCGACTTGCGGACCGCCATCACCTTCGTCCAGAACGTGAGGCTGCAGGACATGCTACCCGAGCTGATGCGGCTCTTCCCTTGACGGAGTCGAGAACGGGGACCGAGCGAAGTGCAGTAGTAGCAAAGCTGAAGGGTCTGGAGGCTTAATGGCTCGCCAACGAATGTCTGACAGCTGAGTCTAATCTCGGTAGTCGCCAGTCACGGTCTGGAAGCAAGGCGCACGTGGAAAGCGGGTGTTGCGAGTCAGGACTTGTTGTGACTGCGAGTCTGGATCGGAGTCGAGCGCTACCGACATGATAACTGACCACGGCGTTCGTGGGTGGGTCGTGCAAGGTCTGAAGAGTCACGAGAGGAACGGGTGCCAAGAGGAACGTTGAGGTGGTGAAACGAATCCGTTCGTTCTAAGAGACTGCTTCTCTGGGGTACCGCGAATCTAATGCAACGCCGGGGTATCTAGCGAATGTCCAATACCGTCTCTGGACTCCTTGCGCCGCAATATTACATAAATGGAAATATGAAGAAACAATATACAAGACGATGTTTGCAATCATCGCCGTCGCGTTGCACGACTCTGCAACGCATGATCAGGCTACATCGACTCTGCTCTCGTAGTAACGCGTGCCAGCTCGTCCCTCCACTCAGCCACATCAATGCGCTTGCTAACATCCTTGACCAGCACTCTCGCGAACCACTTGTGCAGGTCGAGTCCAAGGGCTTTGGAGAGGTCTTTCATTTTGCGCACGTTCTCAATGCCGATGTCGTCGTAAGCCAAGCACTGTAGCGGCTGGCCAGACTTGATCATCTCACGCTGCTGAAACTTGTTGTGTCTGAAACCGTCGAAAGGCGACGCGCCAATAATGAGAAAGAGGAGAGTGATGGCGAGCGACCAGAGATCAGTGGCAGCGGAGGCCTCTGGGGCGTCTGTGCTGCGTAGGAGAGAGGGATCGAGGTAGTCCCAGGTCCCAGCACCAAGTGGCGAGGCATTGTGTACTTCGATTTCCGGAGCGATGAGGATGGTCGATGAGAAGTCGGAATATACGGTTTCTGGAACTGAGGTGGGGTCCATTGGGGTCTCCGTGGTGAGAATGTTCGATGGTTTGATATCGGCATGAACACAATTCTTGTCTTGCATCCACATGAGACTATGGATGAGGGAAATTCCTATGCGAGGAAAGACGGCTGCGAGTTTCGCTGCGCGAAGGTCATCCGACAAGTTGTTGAGATTGTTCTTAATCCAGTCCTCCAGGGTGCCATCCATGGCTTTCAAGACCAGTGCTTCGTTGCGCAGGTCCTGGCCGAAGAACTGTACGATGTGATCGTCCGAATCCGGAAATTGTGATAAGTATGATAAGATCTTTGCTTCCTCCCTTAAAACTCTGCGCGAGCTGGTGGAAGCGGGAGCCTTGATCGCATACAGTGATGGTGTTGCGGGGAAGGCATACAAACCGATGGCCGAATCATTCGACTTGATTAGAGTGACAGGGAGCGACTTAGCAGCAGAGGGCAGCATTGAGTGAGACCGATCGACGGGCTTCGGTATGCTTGGAACCGCCAGGTATACATCACTCCACACGCCTGAGCCAATAGGTCGCTTCTTGTCCTCCTTGTCAACGAGTATCACGTATTCCAGAATCTCGTGATCGAAGAGTTGAGGCGGCACAGGGTGGGAGTGTATCGATGGCGAGCGGGGAACAAAAGCTGTAGACACCGCCGATGCCTGACGGGCGAGACTGGTCTGTGTGCCACAGTCATTGGATGTGGATCCGGACTTGAACTGTGCCGGAGATGTTGGTGTTGCTGGAGGCGTTATCGCACAGCTGGGGGCGTCTTTATTATGTCTGCCCATCCTGGCTGACAGGCGCGTCGGTGACCCCGGTGGTGTCGTAAATGGTTGTGAGCTCACTGGTGTTGATTCCTTCCTTGACGACACGGTAAATGATTTTTGCGTGCAACGACTTAGATCCAGATGATTGTGCAGTGTGGCCTCTCCGGCCGATGTAGTGTTTGCTGTTTTCAAAGCTGGCAGTCGCCCTTCAGAAGGGACAGTAAGGTTGTAGAAGATGGTCATGCTGTAAATGTGTCCTCGTGATGGAGGTCGAGTTTGAGAAGGAGCTCCGCGGTCACTGCGTGAAGGTGTGTGAAAGGGTAACCTTGACTATGAAACGCAATGCCGAAAGTCAAACGGTTTGAGCGTTCTGAAAAAGAAGTCGAAACTTTGACAAGATCCTTTAAAAATAATTTCAAGGCCAGAACCGTCAGATGGTGGTCTGTGAACCTTTTGTCTCGACATCAACCAAGGGACGGTTCAGGGTCAAGAAACAAAGTTACAAATATTGGTACAATGAATCCAGGGTCGTTGGTCGCATGGGCGACTCAGTCGCAAAGACACATTCTTCGGTTGGTAGAAGCGGCGCGTGCGGATTGCCCGCGAAGGAAAGGTGATGCGTGCAGCCTCGACTGATCCGGACGGCCAGCGACTGTTTAAAGCACTGACGGCTGTGTTCCGTCAAAGCCCGCCAATATCGCGCGGGTGACACATGGGTACAGGGCTGCGCGCTTGAAATTAGGCTGCGGTTGGTATCTGCATATTTGGAGCGGAAAGGACGCAAGCCTGCATCCAGAACCCTTTCACTCGAGTTTCCTGGTCGGGCTGTCGCGCTGGTGCCGGCATGCAACAAAAGCGGATCCTTAACCTCGGGTCCCCAATCATTGCCAACGTTCGTATCAACGTGCGTGACTTGATTGGCTTCTGCTACGTTTGGAATCACCCTGACAGCTGCATCTGATTCGACGTGTGCAACACGCTTTTACGCATGCCACTGTCTGTACAAAAAGACCCCTCTGACAAAGCTTCGGCATAACTCGACCGTGGTCTGTGTAATCGATGCTTTGTGACGTAGTTTATCAGCCGTTGCAAGAAGTTGAGTCCAGCTGATGTTTGAGAGTGGAGCTATCGAAATCGATAGAGCTGTCGCCGATACCCATCGTGCCGGAGCCTAAAAGAGGCGTGTTGAGGACTGTGGCTCGCGTTATCGTGCACTCCGATCCTCAGAAGGATATCAGCAAATCTGACTCCCACTGAAGATAAGGAGGTGACTCTTCTCGCTGCTCTTGCGAAAATCTGCATGCACATTCTGTCATGCATTCGTCTCCAGCACTCCGGTCAGATCTTTTCCCACCCGTCAAGTAAGTTAGCCGGCAGCTCCGAATGGCTTGGCATACTTCGCAAACGCTGCATCTTGACGTCTTCACGCTCGGACTTTCGACGCGCCAACCGGGAGCTTGGAAGCTTGCAGTAAGGTCGCGCGATGCCCAGGTAATGTTGTTGCAGGTCTGGTCTGGGGAAGTTAGAGTTTCCGCATGGTGGCGGAGCCCAGTACGGTCGGCAGCTGTTGCTAGAAGATCTAGGTCAGGTGGAAACAGGGCTGGCCGCCTAGATGGAGGCGATAGTGTCGAAGATGCAGCGTTGTGACAAGACACAATGTTTTGACATCAAAGTGCTGTATATTGGGAGGAAGGAGCAGCGAGCTAGGCTCCTGACCACGAGCGCTACTCCACCGCTATTGTCAGCTAACAAGTGGCACGATGCACAAGTAATGCAGTCAGGATTGGTGAATTCAATTGTGGGTAGCTTAGCGTTTGACTGTAGTTTCCATGCCTCGCCTGAGCTAGGACTTCTGCATGCTATTCTCCACTCGCTATCGCTCTCTAGAGCTGACTGTGCTGCGCACGCCTGGTATAAACCAATGGCTGACCGTCCCGTATACGCCGTTTGACAAAGGATGAGTACTTCGCAACAAAACACTAGGGAAATAGGAAAGGACAAGATAAGAAATACCGGGCTCTGCAACCCTCTGTGAAGTGAAGATCGAGCCAGTTTCTTCCAATTGGCAAGAAAGGGCTGTCAAAAAAACGCCTTCGTTCGTGACCATATTCCAATGCTCAAAGACATGTCGTGGAATTATGTATTTGTTACAGGATATGTGCACACGCGATATGCTTCCCATTAATATTTCAAATCTGTTTTTGCACAGAGGAGCGACCATCACCATGACCATACATGTCTATGATCTTACCCACTTGCTCCTCGTGCTCCTGGCGTCAATGGTTGTCATAACCAGCTCCTCGTTGCCATGGGCTAGAGTTGTTTGCCGCCCGGTGTTGCACGTCGCTTCGCAGGCTGCCCTCTCGCCCCTGTGAAGGTGCTGGGCTAGCGTTGCTGCGGTCGTAGAACGACGGTGGGGCGTGCTGTGCGTGCGTCGTGCTGGCTGGACTGCGGGGAGGGACGGCGGCGTAGTGCTCGTTGAAGCCACCCTCCTTAGCAGCGATCTGGCGCTGCTCCTCCGAAGAGTAATCGTCGTCGTCATCGATGCGGCTGCGGGAACCGTGGGTACCCTTGCCCTCACCACGTGCGGTAGCGCCTAGCGCATCAAGCTCAGTGGTGAGCTGGGTCTGCGACTTGATGAAGGAACCACGGTCGTCGCGCATCGGCTGGTAGCGGGTGTCGGGGTTCTTAGTGAAGACGGCGAATCCAGAAGAAACAAGGAGCATTAGGAGCAGGATCAGCGCGAAGGCGGCGTTGAAGACGAAGAAGATGACTCCCATGACTCCGGTGACGATGCCGGGCTGCTTGAACACCTCGGTGAACATCAACAAGAAGATGGCGCTGAGGAAGTTGACAGCAGCGATGGCAATATTGAACCCGTTAGTCTTCTTGTCCATCCATGGGCGGAGGACGGAGACACCAATGAGGAGAGCAGCCTCAATGATGACAAGTGCGACAGCCTGAACAGTACCAGCGGATTGAGAGAGACCAACAAACATAGCCTTAATGAAGAGGTAGGCGAGCCACGGGATGATGAACCAGTAGGCGGCGGCCTTGAACTGAACGTACAGGAAACCCCACTTGTTGAGAGCGACAGGGTCCGAGTAGAGGATGTAGGCCGGGTTTTTGTGCATGGCGATCGAACGCTGTGCGATGCGGACGACCTTGGAGGAGGCCCATGCTAGCACACCGACCATGGTAATCATGGTAAGGATCGACAGAACAACCTCTCCGGCGGAGTCGCGCCGGGTAAGCTCCCACAATCCAAGCATCATCATCTGGGGGAAGCCGATGAGAACGACGCGGAACAGAATGCCCTTGAGCACGGTGCGCCATCCGTTACGGAAATCGATGAACTTGTCTCCCTTCATCCTGCCAGCCTTGGTGAGACCCTCGCAAACGAACTTGAAGGCGACCACACCGATGACGGTGAGCAGAATGAAGATCATGAAGAATGTGTAGCCGGTGAAGAAGATGTTGGTGGTCTCGATGCGGGCCTTGAAGCCAACACGCTCGATGCCGTGGAGAACAATGCGCTCACCGCCAGCCTGAGCTTCTGTAGCAGCAGCGTTACTGCGATTTATAAGACGCGCAACGGCGCGGGTGGTGAACTGGACTGTGTCGACTGCGCGCTTCATCCTCAGCTTCTTCTGTACCTCAACGGAAATGTACGCCAACTGAGACAGGTACGTGGTCGGTGTGCCGCCAGTGGCGCGCTGGTACCAGGTGGCCAGCTTCTGGAGGAATGTAACCCTGATGATACCCATGGACCACTGGAAGTTCTGTGTCCAGGCTGCGACGATAGGAGGCAAGGGGACAGCGGTCATGCCGATGAAGGCCTGGGCCTGCATGTAGCCGAAGAGCGACATGGCGTTAGCGGCAACGTGAGCGGCGGTGTTCGAATGTCCCAATCCAGAGGTAACGGCAGAGGCCACGAGACCGAGACCAGCGATCACAGCAGTTACCCAAGCAACAGCCTTTTGCTCGACAGAGTGTCCGTTGGAAAGCTCAGCTTCGACGCATGCAAGCTGGACATGGGTTGTCTGGTCCTTGATCTTGATGCGTACAACGGCGTCCAAGTCAGGTACGGTGTATGCTATTCCTGGAATTGAGCCCATGATGTCCTTGCTAATTTCCAAGTTCGACTTGATCGTAAGGGGACCGGCGTTCATGGGACACATGCCAGAAAGGTCCTCGTTTCCGCAGGGATCGAGGACCTGGTTCAAGGCGCTGTAGCCATAGACGAGGAGCTCGAGGTCAGCCTCGACTTTTCCTGCGATGTTTGAGATTCCTTCGATGTTGAAGGCCAGACTCCTATTGTTCGGCGTGAATACAACATTGAACAGTGTTGCCGAGAAAGAAGAGTTGCTCATGCACGGGTTGAGCGACTTCGATTCGATGCGGCGCTCGTCGGCGGCGACAAAAGGTAGAGCGGTCGCTGCCAGCGCAAGCAGCGACTTCGAGAGGGACAGACGCATGTTGGGCGCTGTTCGGTAGGGACTAGGTTAGGTGCAGGCGACTCTCCAGGAGAGCGAACGTCAGAATGTCGACCAATCCAGCGGCGGCGGTTCCAGGGCTGACGTCGAGGTGACCTGGCCCGGTGCGCGTATATGTATAATCGAGTAAATGTGAAGGCGGGTGCGGTGAACGAGTGTTGTGGGTCGGTGGTGGTGGTGCAGTGGTGTCGAAGTTGGAAGGCGCACCTGGGAAACCGGGCAGCGGGCGGATGATGGTGGCAGGGGGCGAGGCTAAGGCGTTGAGCGGGAAACGAGTGGCAGGCGATCGGCGGCCTCTTTGACAGACCCTCGATACACCAGGATGATATATTACCGTGGTCGGCACAGATCCTCTCTGCAAGTTTGAAGTGCCTGAGGGAGGAGGAGAGTCGAGACAGAGACAGCAGTAAGATCCCAGTGGGGGCGCCAGGAGTGTCTATGCAGCGGCACCTTCAGGGGCGCTGCGACAGTGGTCGAGTGGGATGATTGGATCCGTCCCAGGAAGTGCGCGGCTTCCGGCCCAGCGCCCAGCTCGAGGGGGATTCTCTAGCCAGCCGCCGATCCTGCGGTCTTGTTTTCACTGCGCTCGGCGTGCCGCTGCTGCTTGCGCAAACTGTTGACGGCGTTCTATGCCCAAGAATGCAAGCTGATGTGCAGAGCGCTGCTAGAAACAGGCTGATCTTTGAGGTTCTGACATGCTGAAAACGGTGAGGCCAGGGGAGGTGCCCCGGAACACGAAGCTCCGCCACACTCAATACGAAGCAATTCAGCGCTCCCAGTCCTCCAGGGATCCCAATCATTTCGAGCCCTGTAATTCACGAATCACGGCACTCTTTGCGACCGTTGCTGTGCTGATTGTTGGCGGTCTCGCCCAGTGCGTGCCTGTTCCAACAACCTGCGGAGTCCGGCCTTTCGCTGCGAACACGCCCGCGTTGACCAGCCCAAATCTCACTTGGTGCGCACGACTACACCACCAAGTTCAACTCGTCGCCATTACAGCTGTCCAGCGCACTGTAACTGTGTTGTCCAGTTTTCGCCTGTCATACACGGCTTGCGAATGCTTGTCCGTTCTGCTGTGCGTTCTGAAGCGCTTGGAGTCTGAGAGCTATCTCGTATCGGTGTCCCCTCCGTGGGCCTAATGCTCGACCTTCGACTGCGAAGACGCAAACGGCGCACCCCCACTCAAAGTCGACCTTGTACCGATCGATCTTACTTACGAGATGAGTGATATTGCTAGACTGGTTGAATCGACGTCTCATTGACATTGAGATCTTCGTTAGCGCTCTTAGGTCCCAAGCCCAGCGACATCACAAACGTATGCGTCGTCATCCATTATTGCGCGCATTCCAAATGGGGGAGCTGGCTGCACCCTCGCCAGCCACTTGATCGTGTCGCAAGCAAAGGTCAACGAGGCTGCAGCAGTGCTTTCGTAGTCACCAACTCTATGCGCAGAAGAGTATTTTGATGCAACACCAAACAAGGGCATGTTGATTATGTTCTCCAATATACGTCACATGACATTCACACTCGCAGGTCTGCTCGACGCGCGCGACTCATCTCCCTCAACGAACGCAAGACAGCCACCCGGCAATTTGAAACACAATTTTGCGCTAAATAGCCGCCATCCCGCAATCCTGAGGGCAACCAGCACTTGTATCAGATCCACTTTGCACAGCCTCCGATCTCCACATGCCAAACCCTCTCAATCACCGATGACGACTTGTGCCCTGACGATCATCATCTGCAGTGTTGCGGAAACGCTCTCGCGAGCTCTATCAACATACAAAGCAGATAGCTGCGTAGCTGGACATGGCGAGAAAGAGTACGCTGTTGCGCTGCGATCCACCTCTCCTTGGTTGCTTAGATCAACTCGCTTATAGTTTGTTTGACAGCCTCTGCCAGACTGTCAAATCCGGGTCTGCCCAAGTCCCTCAGTAATGCTTCAGCCTCACTTCTAGGCTCGATCAAAGCAAGATTGTGATCCAAGCCCGGGATGTAATCGGGAAACCTGCGATCAGGACACATATCTTTGAAGATGGCAAGGACGTCATTCACGGTACAGGTTCCTCCAAATGCAAAGATACGCCGGCTTTCCGCTTTTGGATGAATCAAGCCGGCAACATGGAGTCGCGCGATGTCTTGAACGCTTGTGAAATAGACTTAACAAATCAGTGTCTGGACAAATACACACGTATAGAGTTGACGTACAGCGGTGGAGGACATCCAAGAGTCCAGGCTCCCGTTTGAAGAAGTTTACTAGAAACCCTGAAAATGACGGGTATCCTTGATGCTGCACAGAAATCGGTCGTCCCAAGATACCAGGCGGAATGACTATCTTGTGTGAGTATGTATTATGACTGCAATCACAACTCTTCTTACCTGAATTGACCACGAATCTTGGCTTGTTTTGCTGGACCCAACCCCACAGGGCTTTCTCAGTTTCCGCCTTAGCCGCTGCGTACACAGTGAGACCCTTCTCCATTTGGGTCTGTGAATCCGGAAGTGATTTTGCCAACTCGATCGCAGTTTCGTTATATTCATCAGCTGCCACGGGCCTTAGATCTTCGAATTCCTCATTCTGTCGAACAGCTAAAGAAGTTGATGTGAATACAAAACGAAGCACACTGGGCTCTTTAGCCGCAGCTTCTAAAGCATTTAAAGTGCCAGAAATGTTAGCCTTGGAAACCGCGTGTAGGTCATTCTGCATTGTCACATGCGCAGCGACGTGAGCTACTCCGGCAACACCTGGATTAAATTAGCTATGTGCAGATTATGTATGAACGAAGAACAAGAATCGAACCTTTTATGGCGTTATCAAAAGCAGATGCTTCGGCCATGTCCTTGACAACCACGAGCTCGAACTTCCCGTCTCCGTATCTTTCTGTGAACAGCTCTATAAGCCAAGTGTGCCTATGTATGTCCCTAACGGTCCCGCGGACCTTATAGCCATGGTTGAGTAGGTCATTGGCTATATGAGAGCCTACAAAGCCATTGACTCCAGTGACAAGGATGGTGGAGCCTGAAGGAATGACAGCATCGTTTAACAGCGCCATGCTATATAGAATTGAATAGATTGTTGTTTGATCGGGGAAAGAGAGTTGCGTTTGATGTGTCTTTATAGATAGCCCGTGACTGCTACTTCTGCTACCAGCTGTTGTCCATGTTTGGTGGGTACCAAAAATATTGCGCGGAGTGGGCTAAACTAATTTTTTCCAACTTAGTCTTGCAAATCGTCCACACTCATCAAGGCCGATGACGAGCCCATGGAGTTCTGCATTGATAAAAGGTGCCGATAACCGCACCATTGATCTATCGTCGGCGACTCGGCCTTTTACATGGACGACCGTGACGTAATCACAGTCGGACTTGATTGTTGTGTCCAAACCCGAATGTCCGAGAAGCCTTTTATAAACAATTATAAATCAACATCTGCGCTCACTTCCAAAATCCATTCAAGTCAAATCAACACAGCCTTATTCTCTACATTAGCTCCGAACCATGCCTCCTCTTCACGTACAAATCGACCGTTCCACCACCTTTGGTGCTCAACTCTCACACGAACCTACAACAGGACCTGTCGTCCTCATGAACATCATATCGATTCCACCGGGCACAGACTGGGCTGCATTCCTCGAAACTTGGCGCCAAAGCGCTGAAGTTCTGAAAAAGGCTCCTGGCTACATCTCGACACAACTCCATCGCGCCATCGGTGATGGAAGTTTCATCATCAACTACGCTGTTTGGGAGAGCAACGAAACTTTGAAGAATGGCTTGAATCTTCCTGAGTTCAGGAAAGTGTGCGAGGACTTCCCTGAAGGGACTGAATTCCGGGCAAGCGTATCGGAGAAACTGGCTATTCCTGGTGTTTGCGTCGGAACGCCGTTAGCTTAGATACCTCAAATAAAAACATCAAGCTGTGTAATATCACAAAAGAAAACAGAAGAAGACCTCTCCACATCTTGGATAAGAGACATAGCTGTTAAACAATCAGCTATTGTGATATATTCTACTGTTTCATTCATCCTCTGCTCACGATTTTTCTCTGGCATGACGTGTTTGTGTTGGGGAGTCGAGTGTGGACATTCGTCGAGGCTGTTACTGGCCAGGTTGGCAACCTGGTTCTGTAGGAGTTCGTCGTAGGTGGATTGACGATTGGCTGGAAAGATCCTGGGGTGGTGGGCATATCGAATTTTTGTATTATGTTGCAATTCTCTCGCACTCGGTCAGTGTGCGGTCGAGGTTTATCACTGTGCTTATAGCTGCTATATGGCAACTGTGCGGCAGATTACATGTAGTTGAGACTTCGAACTGAAGCAAGCAAGAGGTACTAGCGTTACCAAGCACCAGTCGTGGAGCCATCTTGATGTATGATGTTCTACCTTCTCCTCAATCCTTCTGAACTACCTCAAACCCCCACGGCCTTGATGGGCCCCTCCCGTCAGCACCTATCTACTCCCAGTTGTGCAAAATGAAACTAAAGCTTCTCGGCACCAAATACGACACGTACACGTGCAGCAAACCCTCACCCGGATCCCGCGACATAAGCCGCACCGACGCCAACCGTCGCCATCAAACTCGTCTGGCGTCTTGTTCCAACTACTCTACGACCGCGTTTACGTCGACCAGGCAATTATGGTATATCACAATGCACGCACGGAAGCGCGCGCATTACAAGCGAATACCTGCTGTTGTATGCTTTTGCTAATTTCCTCTTTCGAATGAGCAACATGTAAGAAAACGTGACTATGGCAACAGGACATCGATCTTGGTAGTCACCCAGGAAGTCCATCAGGCCCAGAGGTTCGTTCCAATCAATATTGAGTATCTCTAATGCTTTTCTCGTCTAGTTTGATCCTGTAGGAGCCAGTCTGATTTTCCTCCATTCATTCCGTCATCGTGCACCCCACCAGTATTTTTCTCTTCTCTATCCGAGGTACGTATTGTTAAACGATCGGTGTCCAGTATCAGTCGCTCCCTCCCCAGTAAACTTTCGCCCTGACGTGCGCAGGGCTACAAGACTCAAGTTGGGATCCTTCTTCAGGTTGTACCCGAGCTTGCCTTCCTCAACCACCCTGGCGGCTTCTTCTTACACCATACCCGCAACAACAACAACGATATTCACCTCAGGTAACATCTCTGGCAAAGGCGTCAGGTAATCAACGATCGACCTACCGCTGTTCACCACCGAGTCCACAAGGGTGATCGTCTTCTTGCCCTCGAAATGGTTCTTGTCAATGTCTTCGAACTCCTTCAGATGCATGAAAGCCGCCTGATTCAGAGCTGCTCTTCAATGTCCAGCTTTTTGAACGCAGCCAAGCCAAAGTTTTTGTCGACCAAAGCCGACCCATCAACAAAGTCAAAATGCGTTGCAAGCGTACTCGCGAGCTGTTCGAGGACACGGCTCTTTCCGGCACCAGAGACTCCGTATAGACCGACGATCAGAGGCCGGTCCTGTTCGGAAGCGGTCGCTCCTGTATCTCCAGGGGTGCTCCAGCCTGCACTTGACTCAATGGGCTCGGCATCAGTAGGGACGATCACTTCGATCGATATCTTTGTTTGTTCGGACGGCGGATTTGTGGACACATCAGTGAGAATATGGGTACCAGCCTCCTTTCTCTTATTTCTTCGCCTGGCGTTCTTGGATCGTCTCTTCTCCTTGTCTCCGGCTTTCTGTGGGGCGATCGCTTGACCTTCTCTCTCAGACAAGTCATGACCAGTCTCGCTTTCCTCAAGCTCTTGAGTTTGTAAGTCAGTAGAGAGCACTGATAAGTCAAATTCCACGCCGTCGCTAGAGACGATACCTTTGCCTCGAAAGACGTCGTCGGCCAATTGTGCGATGTGGTCCATAATTGACACAGTTCAAACGACAGAATGACGGAGGCTCACGACACCAGACATCTTGAACGATAATATACGCCGCACATTTTCGCCTGCTGTTTTCTGCTTACAGAACCACAAGGCTGTCGCATGGTGACAGCAAAACCAGCAAACCTCCATGTGCCACTCGATCTGCAAGTATCCTCGTTAGTTGGGCATCAGCACGCCAGCAAAATCAAAATTCCACTGCGAATCATCAAAGTTTTACAACGAATCGTGCGATCGTATGAACAGCAGGCAGACCACAACACACTGCTGAGGTGAATGATTGCGCGAGACCTCTTAGTAGTGTCAATGGCAGCTCAACTATTAAAAGTTTGCTTTACCTGGTACGCCCCAGTACGCGTTCATGCGTCATAGGACTAAGAAGCTCTGCCACAATGTTCAGGTCTGTGCAATCTCAGCTCGCAGGCGTCGTCCTAGACCGCGCCATCAGGCGTAAATGCGGTAAGGCGCATCGCCCCGCATACAGGAAGACACGCAATGCGGCCCATGAAAAAGATGCCGACTCGGGCGCAAACAGCCGCTAGCTTGGAATCGCCCGCTATGTTTGGTACCGCTTGTGGCCGTTCTCCGCAGATTTGGTTGAGGATCTGGCGACGCACAGACTGACCATGGATACCGGTACCGGTAAAGTCCTTTCCCACAGCCAGGCTAAGCCTCAAGAAACATCTCAGCCACCGACTCCCTTGCGCGTCCATTGCGTCGATATACACGACTCAAATGAGAATTACAGTCATTGCGTTGCGGTCATTGCGTCGCGTTCGTGCAGTCATGAGATCTGGACTTCCTGCTTCACCGAAATTGCAGGTGGACGCATACGTCCACTGCAGGTGTGCCGGTATAAGACAGCTGGCGGTCCAACCTACCATCAGCCCAATTGAACCAGTCAATCGCTTTAATTCGCTTCTTTAGACACTCGACCTCACGATGTCACTCTCAACTCTCTGCACTGTCTCGAACGTGCAGGCAGCTCTCCCTATCGATGGCGCCCTCCTCGGTCTCAACTTGCTTTCTGACACAGTCACTGCGGCCCCTGTCTACAATGCATCAGTCGGAGCAGGCATGGGCGCATCCACTGGCGGCGCGACCTACAACTACTGCAATGTCACAGTCAGCTACTCTCATACTGGCAAGAACGACAGTATTGCGCTCAAGTACGCTTTCCCCGAGCCTTCTAACTTTAAGAACCGCTTCTACCTCAGCGGTGGAGGTGGATTCTCGCTGTCTTCCGACGCTACCGGTGGCCTGACCAACGGCGCTGCTTCCGGAGCTACTTCGGCTGGCTACGATGCCTTTGACTACAGCTACGATGAGAAGGTCCTCTATGGCAACGGGTCCATCAACTGGGACTCTACTTATGCCTTTGCGTACACTGCTCTCGGAGGTATGTATTATCTCACATCTTGCATCACACATACTGACGTGCTGCAGAATTGACCAAGATTGGCAAGCCTCTTACACAGTCCTTCTACGGACTCAACAGCACCAAGATCTACACCTACTTCGAGGGCTGCTCTGATGGAGGCCGCGAGGGTATGTCTCAGGTCCAGCGCTGGGGTGAAGAGTACGATGGAGTTGTTGCAGGTGCCCCTGCCTTCCGCTTTGCCCAGCAGCAGGTTCATCACGTCTACCCTGCCACCATTGAGCAAGTCATGGGCTACTTCCCGCCTCCTTGCGCTCTCGACAAGATCGTCAACGCCACTATCGCCGCCTGTGATCCCTTGGATGGTCGCACTGATGGTGTCATCTCCCGTACCGATCTCTGCCAGCTCAACTTTAACCTCAGCTCTTTGATCGGCGAGTCTTACTACTGTGCTGCTGAGTCCAGCAGCTCGCTCGGGTTTGGCTTCAGCAAGCGTCAGAGTGGTGGCGCTTCCGGGAGCCAGTCTTCCACTAAGCCCGCACAGAACGGTACTATCACCGCCGATGACATTGCTGTTGCCCAGGCTGTCTACGATGGTCTTCACTCATCTGATGGCAAGCGTGCCTACCTCTCATGGCAGATTGGTTCTGACCTCGGTGACGCTGATCCAACCTACGATAACACCACCAGCTCCTGGAAGTTGAACATCCCCTCCACTGGTGGCATGTACGTCACTAAATTCATCGAGCTCCTCGACCTCGACAACCTTGAGAACCTCGATGGCGTAACGTACGACACCCTTGTCGAGTAAGTATACCCACCAACTCCTTGATCTAAACACCCAACTAACATCACACAGCTGGATGAACACCGGCATGATCCGCTACCTCGACTCGCTCCAGACCACCATCCCCGAACTGACTCCCTTCCAATCCTCGGGGGCGAAGCTCCTGCACTACCATGGCGAATCCGACCCTTCGATCCCCTCCGCTTCATCCGTGCACTACTGGCAGTCCGTCCGCTCGGTCATGTACCCCAACATGACCGACGCTGAAGCCCTCGAGGCCATGAACGAATGGTACCAGTTCTACCTGATCCCCGGCGCTGCGCACTGCGGTAGCAACAGCCTCCAGCCCGGTCCCTATCCTCAGGACAACATGGCGACGATCATCGATTGGGTCGAGAATGGCATCAAGCCCAGCAGTCTGAACGCCACTGTCTCGTCTGGGGACTACTCTGGTGAGGTTCAGCAATTGTGCCAGTGGCCCACTCGCCCGCTCTGGTCTGGCAACAGCTCCACCTTCGACTGCGTCAACGACGAGGCTTCGATTGAGAGCTGGACCTACACTTTTGATGCGTTTAAGCTCCAGCCTGTCTGGTAGATATGCTTGAGAAGTTGTTAGTGACATCCCGATGTCAACGGGTACGAATTGACTGCGCATGAGATGGGGAGTTTAAGCTTAGCGTGCATGTTGTTAATTTCTTTACAGTTCTGTTGTATGTTGTATTATAACTTTCTGGGAGGAGCAGCACCACTTTACAGAATACAGTGCTTTGGCTCAATGTTTGCATCTGCCTACATAGATCGATGAATCATGATAACGTCGAACAAGTCAAAATACCTTGCAAGTAAAGATGTATGATCGTGCACGCAGGAGAAAGTTGCAATACAATATTTATGATCATATCTGTTAATCTATTGGCATAAGACGCTCAACTATACGCCCTCTAATGCTACGCTAAACCAAACTTATTGAATGCTTTCCTCGCCAGCCCACACTCTACTGGGGTTTGAGAACACCACGGTACCTCATCTTGCCATCCCTCAATACGGACATAGCATCAGTGATACCATCCTCAGTCATTGGGAACTCCATAACGATGGGCTTGATGTCGTGCAGAGCAGCGAACTCAAGCATGTGCCGGTGAACCGATCGCGCAGCAACGACGAGACCCTGAACAGTAAGACCGTTACCAACAAGACCCATGTGAGGGATCTTGAAGTCGCCAGAGTCGACCGTGAGAGGGAAGATCTTTCCTGTGGGTGCCATGATGGGAAGCATAAGCTTCCAGTCGGGCGAGACGGAAGAAGTGACGAGGAGAGCGTCGACCTTGCGGCTGATGTCGATCTTATCCTTGCCCTTCATGGCGATGAACTCCTTGGCTCCCAGCTTGATGGCCTCCTCCTTCTTGCCTTCGGTTCCGGAGAAGACGACGACGTCGCAGCCCATGCGGGCAGCAAACTGGATGGCCAAGTGGCCAAGACCGCCGACACCCATGACACCGACGCGGTCGGTGGGCTTGATGCCGTATGTGTGCAGGGCGTTGAATACGGTTGCTCCACCGCACATTAGGGGAGCGGCGTCAGAATCGCTGAGACCCTCGGGGATCTTGAACAGGAACGCCTCCCTCCACACAGCGTGAGAAGCGAAAGAACCCTGGTCGCGGTCGGCATAACCATACATCTGGCGCTTAGAGCAGTACGTCTCGCGGCCAGAAAGACAGTAATCGCAGTTACCGCAGCAGTCGTGCTGGTATCCCCATCCGACGCGGTCGCCCTTCTTCAGGTCGTTGACGTTGGGTCCTGTCTCCTCAACGACACCGGCACCCTCGTGCCCGAGGACCATGTCGGCAGACTTGAAGTGCTCATCTGTACCGCAGAGGCCAGAGGCAGTGACCCTGACGAGGACCTGGTCATTCTGGAGGTCGCCCTTCGTGGTCTCGCTCTTAACGATCTTGCCCTCCTTGGAGCCCTTATAAACGGTGAATGTAGGCATGATGTAATGTGATGCCTTTTCAGGTGACAAAAACGGTAAAACTTTTAGTGTATATAGTCGAGTGGTGTTGGGAATGAGATAAGGTCTGGAGAAGTCGAGCGGAGGCTGCTATATATGAGAGTCAACGCACGTATCTGTAATCGAAAAGTTCTTCGTTGGACAAAGCAAAGCTCCACCACAAACATGACGTCGCACCGTTCAGGGTCGCGGAGTTAGCCACTGCGTATATCCAGATCTTTACAGATCTGGATGCATCCGCCGCCGCTAATAGCCACCTTCGCACGAGCTGGTCTAGTCGCCGAGGCTGTGGTGTTTGAGTTGTTAGGCGCGTGGCGGCGTGGTAGACTGCAGTCCAGTATACTACGATGCAGACATTTCATCAGTGATCAGAGTTGACGGTTGGGGCTTCCACCAACAATCACTCCAATATGTAAATGCTCGTCATGAGTCCTGAAGCACAATCTGGAGCGCCGGAGACAGTCGGCCAATCAAACTTGGATACGGGGAGTCGCGGACATGAGTTTCGAGATAGTTCTAGCCCTCGATGTGTCATTGAATCGAGGCTTGCGATTCAGGTGGTGCATTGCCCTTATCGATGAGGCTGGCACACCTAACCGTGGTGTTGTCGCTGTTGTGTGATTTCGTTGTGCTTGCGACGAACCAATCATGAATGATGTAATCGAATACGAGTCTCCCGAACTCTGCCGCGACCCGAATTTATCGGTCCTTCCTCACCAGGAGCCTCATGGCCTGGAAACGGTCGCAGAGTTTTCTTTCAGCACAGGCCTCTAGGTACTCCATTTGACATGCGGGATGGTCGATCTGGTTAGTCTGCGGAAGGACTTCAGCCTTATCTCTTGATCATTTTGTCATCACCGCCGCGTGTGGAGGATGGACGTATCTTAAACCCGTACTGTCTCCGAGGAAGGGTGCACGATATCATCTGAAACACCGAGGTTATACCACCACAACAGCCACGAGCAAGAAGTCACGTTGCCGATATATTCCACCTCTATCGGCCATTCTCTTCTAGACTGCCTAAATGGACAGAAGAACTCAGCCGATTAACGCCAAATCTGCTTCTCATCCGATGCATCTGCTATTGATGAGATGTTCTGGTATCCAGCATTTACTTCAGACCTAGTTACGACGGTACTAAAAATTACAAAATTTGTACAGTCATACGGCCCTGACAAACATCTGAATAGTGAGCACTGTTGAACTTCCCACCGTGGTCGTATTTTGTAACCACGTGGCTTCGATCCCCATGATATCCTATTGTAGCAGGTACTGCCCGGTGGGCAAGTGCGCTTACCTCAGAGCTGAGAGCTCCTGTAACATAACATTACATCACAACACGACAACAGATAGCAATACACTCGTTAATCACAGTCCCCGACCGACACTGCTCACGCAGTTACATATCTGGACTCAATATCGCAAGGATGCCCAAATGGAATGCCCATCAACTTACCTTTGCTGGAGGACCTGGGACGAGCGCAGTTCCAATCACCTGGATGCCGAAGCAGTTTTGACAGAATCCTGCAGATTTTGCGACTGATGCATGCACTGTGGACACCGGGCGGTTTCAGGATGCGCAGTGTCCTGCTTGCCGGTGATGCAGTGGCCTGACCTACAGCAGACCCAGGACTGGGGCTCTGCCACTATCAGTACAGCAGTTGGAACTGTAAAGAAAGTTTGTACAGTAGGATTCGTTCTGCTCTGAAGATAAACTGTTCTTTGGGTTGTACGTGTGAGCCTGGCTTGTTGTCAATTCCCCTGCCTAGAGCCGTCATATCAGCTTGCGGACTACAATACTACCACTAAACTACCATAGGTGGGTGATACAATTCATATATCGTCCGCTGGCGATGCCGCTTGTCACTTCACGTGGTACCGTCAGGTTTAGCGACACCGGCCCGTTGCAACCACGTGGACTATCTTACGTATCCTAAACTCGACTTCTTCTAAATTCCCAGATCGTTCTACGGTTATTACTTCCCCTCAATATGACGCTCTCGACCCCTAGAGAGCGCTATCTTCGGCTCTGGTCTAGCGAATACAGTCAGCGAAACCGCTCGAACGCCACGTGCTTGAGCTTCCATCATAGCGACTGTCCTGCAGAGCAACCTTCTCCTATCAGTTTTCCGAGCTAGGGAGGTTGATGAATTCTCTGTTCTTTTATCAAAGACTTCATGAAATTGTTTGACATGCCGGATCCGCGTTGATAGATATTCAAGGACCTATTTGCTTTTATTCGAACACTGGAGGTAGTCAACGTATCGTGATCAAGTAAAAGCCCAGAGAGAATACTACACAATGATGGAAACCCCGGTAGGGTTCTCTGGAGCCCGAAAGTACACATGGTAAGAAGCCACCCTGAAGCTATCGTACCATCGACGAAGTGTATGAATTTTTGTGAGAAACATACAACTTATCTCTCCGTCTGACCCTCCTTCGGACATACACTCACTCTCACAAACACCACTCTGACACTTTGTCAGAAGTCAAGATTAAAAAAAAACACCAAATGTCATCACAACGTCTCGCAAGACCAACTCTGAAGGCCTCCTCTGGAGCATGGGACCTCCCGCAAAGAGAAAACTCGTCAAAATCGCCGACCTCATCGGCGGTATGGAGGACCTCCTCGACTATTATTTCTTCAACCATCAGCTCTGCCAGAACGCCACAGAAAACGCTAAGGAGCGCAGATGTCTCGCAACTTTACCTTCGCTGCCCGAGTTTAGTTCAGTCAAAGACATGGCTGCCGCTGCCTGCAAGAGTGGCTTGGAAGAGCTGTTGTATGAGGAACTTGTGGATAAGAAGACGCTTGTGGTCACTGTCAACGCTCTACTTGGTGCTGTCCTCGAAGATGTGGAGAACGAGGGAGAAATGCTCGAAGCGGCTGCTTGTCTTGGAGTCGACCCTGTCCAGCAAATTGTGAGGATTGGCGAGGGGGATTTGCTTGGGGTTGAGGAGTTTTGGTTCGTGCAGCGTGCGGCTTCGGTACCAATTGTTGAGAGTCTGATCTGAGGGGGGAAATGGGGGAGGCTATCACGTTGAGTGCAGTCAACAAGGACGGAGATCGATCATCGATTTGCGTGTTGTGTGTGTATTATATATTACGTGCCCTCGATGTCACCTCTAATGTCAAGTTGCACGGGTACTGTATCCCGCTATTGTGCAAGGTCATATCGACGTGGAGATAATGCAAACGCGCTGCGGAGAGTGTCAAGTAGTGGAGGCGAGAACTCGCGTTGTGCGAATGCGGGATCTTCGGGAAGGAACCGAGAGCCGCAACAGAGGAGGCAGATCATTTTCGCAGCAGTTAGCGCGATCTTCCGATAGTTCGCAAAGATGGAGTGCATGGCCCAATCAATGTGCATGGGTCGAGATGACTGCTCCGGACATAATTTTTGGGGTGAATGCTGACGCGCGTTGATCGTGATTGACGTCTTCACAGGATGACGTAGCTCACAGAAACCAAACTTCAGCTTCTCAACGTTCTGCCTAGACATTTTACCTTTCAACCCAAACTATCCGCATTGCTTGTGTACATCTTTCTTGGATAACCACCGATCAAGATCCGCTCGCAGAATCTCCACATCTTTCCGCGCCAATATCCTACCAGAATGTGTGACTGCGTGCCGCTTCCCATCGTTTGCTTCCAGTGTGGAACGTACGGATGTCCGTTCCCTCATGTTGCAGACATGTGCTGACCCGTCCAAGCGACCAAAATCCCTGCCATTGTAAAGTCATTGGCCCTACGATTGGATTTGTGATCACAGTGTGCATGGCCGTAAGTCGACATCTCATAGATAGGTAATAGGGCTACAGCTAACAGAGAACGCAGATCGTCTGCTGGCCGGCATCCCTGCTCTGCTGCTGTTGTTCAACAGATGCAGGCAAGAAGTAAGCGTTCTTCTATATTATCCGGGACATGTACTGATCGTATTAGGGTTCTTGCTTTACCAGTGGACACAGGCAACGCTGTCAGCAATGCTATACCGATATGACAGCCTCTTCTTGCGACAGGCGTGAGGCGCATACCCGCTATGCCTTTTCTGCGGTCCTCGGTTTCTGGCTCAATAGGTGTTGCATGGTCTTGTATTCTTTGTAAATATCTTGGCTTCGGCTCCCTTTCGCCATCCCCAAAGCCACGGGCGGCTTCTCCTGGAATATTTCAACGACCTATGACGATACATCAACGTCGGCTATAGTGACAGTGCAGCAATCTCTGGTATTGCACCAGGCTTGGAGGGCCGCTCGGCGACCTGCAGCGGCTGCAAGTAACACCTAATACATTCTCACATCAACTTCAGCGTCGGTTCTAGTTTCGCTTTCAGCTAACAGCCAACAAGCGCGCAGCGGTCTGGCTAGTGCACACTAATATCTCCACTTGCCCTATCTCTTCACTTGTTTCACCTCAGTCACGTGGAAACGTGTTCACGCTCGTGGGCGTTTGCACGCACTATCGCCCTCTTTTCAAGACACTCTAACTCTGTCTAGAGGTACCGCAGGGTCGGCGAGCAAGCCTGCGCGCTGTCTACATATTCACGCTCAACTTCTTGTCCTGGAACGTACGGTACCCATTACGAACATCTGGATATCCGCTTGATCTTTTGGTCCTCGGTTCTTTAAGAGCGCAATCATTTCCGCTTGCGCTCTTCTCTTTCTGCCACGGTAGGTGAAAGCGTCCATTGTCTAGACAGAAGACCCACGTCACCGTTTGCATGGCTGCCTTTATGGCAGACGCGACGACGCGCTCCACCCCAAACAACCACTATTTTGCACGCGATGTCAACTCATCCTCCTTCAGCTTCACACACCAACAGAGTACCAGATATCTCTCCACCTCTCGATCCTATCTATACGAAGTTCTTGATACGTAACGACAGCTCGCACGCATCTGAGTACGCAGAATCACAACTGCCAGGACTACAAGCAGTTGGCGGGGGGTTCAACATGGCGCAAGGGCCCGTCGCTGCACCGCAAGAGCACCACATAGCGTACAACGATCAGGATGCGTATCTCGATGTCGATACTTACTCATGGCAAGAATGTCTCCAGACCATTGAGGACCATGAATGGTCGTCCTTACATTCGACTGCTGGAAAGTCTGTCTCGATTGACGACGCGTGAGTGACACAATATACTCAACTCCAATGACTGACATCGGCAGGGACTGTATGAACGAATCCATGAGGACAGACCCGGCATCAGTGGATAACTTCGCTGCCTCTGCACCTTCAATACCCAAAGAATCTCGCACCTTTGAGAAGCCAGCCCTCCTCGTCGACGGCGCGGAGTGTTGTGAGCGAAACCATCCGAGAGGAGGTCACCTGCCAAGCCCCGCTGCCTCCGAGCTCGAAGTGACGAGATCGGTGACGATGGTATCGACCGCAAAGGCGACGCCGACAGAACCGGATATAGCCGGTAATACCACAGGTACAGCACAATCACAGCTGCAAGACACAACAATAGGGGATCCTGGCCCTACTCCAGATGTAAGGGCTGCGACTATCACTGTTGAATTCGCCGACGAAGTATCACGCGACTTGGCTCCTCCGGAAGACCAAGATGCACGACCTCCGCCTCATGTGTCAAACGGTGCGGACATGGACCAATGCATTGAAGCTACTCCAGAGGGCACCGCAGGCACAGTCGTCATAGTTTATCCCCCAACACCAGCTCTGAGTGTTTCAGGACTGCATCATCCGGTTGATGAGATCAGTTGCAAGCCAGTCTTAACTACAGATTGTGAAAATACTGAGGTTGTCGAAGAAGCAGCGTCCAGGACTATTGCCGACCCGCCGCACTCGCAAGGGCGACCTCATTGCCGCCCGCCAACTGCTATCGACGAGCACGAAGACGAGGAGTTGCATCTCGCATTGCCTGCGCGCGTACCCACAACGCCATCATTGCGTGCTATGGATGGGCAGGTCATTCGGCGCCCACCGCAAGACTGGCACAAAGCATACATTGCGAAGGAAGGCGTTGTCGATTTACAGCTGCCCGGACACGGTGGGCGATGCTCTGCAACAGAGGAGGCGGTTATCACGGATTCATTCATGACATCGAGCACACAACCAGTACCAGCCCTGATACCTGATGGTCCTAGCACACCACCAGCCAGCCCTGATTCTGGGTCGCAAGACGTTGGCCTTGCTTCCGTCACAGTATCACTCGCTTCGTGTTCGTTGGCAAACAAATCACCCTCACAGCAGCGCAAGCGCCCTTTTGCCGGCGCAACACCAGGAACAGGCACAGGTGAAGAGTCTCTGGCAAAGAGACAGAAACTCTGCGCAGATGAGCCTGCGGCTGATCAGGTCGACTGTGAAGAGGAGCTCGTTGCTGCAGAGATCGACCACCGCGAGACAGCCGAGCAGGAACCCGGGGAAGTTCCGGTGGATGATTTGAACCCATTGCAGGACGATCAGACATCGGTCTGTGATGGTGATGATGGTGATGATGGTGGTGATGATGGTGGTGATGATGATGGTGGTGATGATGGTGATGATGATGGTGATGATGATGATGATGATGCCAGACCCGACGTCGACGCCGCGACATCGATCACAGCTACGGAGGACCTTGAAGATCCCCGCTCGACGACAAGCCTCGACGACGCTGCTCAAGTCCCTGTCGCGGCGGACGCTTTTGATGCGGTTGCCAGCGGCCCTTCGGACACGTCTACTAAGGACGCCATTCCATCTCCGGAAGACCATGGGAGGCAATCGGACTCAGCTACCGCCGTCGAGCAGTTCGCGGGACCATATACCCAAGCTCGTGGCGTGGAGATGGAAGAACGCGTCACCACGGCGTCGACATCGCCCACTCCTGCACCTTCTGTTCCACCACCCGGCTTTTCTGCCGAACATGGTCGTGCCGGGATCGCGTTCAAGCCTCTGAAGCCACCGATGGATCCCCTTGCGCCTACGCAGAACGAAGCAAACGACGAAGAGGACGAAGACAGCAGCCTAGAAGAGCAGATGGTCGACACGGAACACGAAGAAGAAGCCAAAGACGCACAAGACTCAAAAGCGCTAAGCTCGCTCGAGTCCACACCAGAACCCGCGTATCAAGACCGCAGTGTGGACAGAGCACTCGATCCCATGTCAGCCCCGACGCTGAGCAATCCAACCGCCGCTGAACCCGCTACCACAGCTCTCCGCCACGAAGCAGAATTCCACTACGAGCGCCGCGCCACGCGCTCCAAGGCAAGGACTCCCGACCCCGGCCGCGCGCCCGCGGAGCGCAATCTCACGCCCGCGCCAGAGCTGGTGACAAAGCAGGACGACGCGCCCACAGCCCACACGGCGATTGCAAGTGTAGTGCAGCTCAAGAGACAGACGCGCAGCGCGACGGTTGCACCCAAAGCCGCCGGGAAGAGCGCAGCGAAGAATACAGCGAATGTGGCGAAGAATGTGGCGAAGAATGTGGCGAGGAATATGGCGAAGAATGTGGCGAAGAACATGGCGAAGAACCCAGCAAAAGTGCTGGGCAAGCGCAAAACGCGCCGGGCTCCGGCGGTGGAGGACGAGCTGGCGCGGGCGGAGGTGCAGGCGCAGGCGGAGGGTTGTGTTGCGAAGAGGTTGAGGAGTAGGGGTGGGGGGTGAGTTTGTTGCGGGTGTATTTGTGGGGGGAGATGGGATTGGAGAAGGAAAGGGGGTTGTAAAATGTAGGTGGGGTTTTGACTAGCGTCCTGGCTGGCGTCCTGGCTGGCGTCCTGGCTGGCGTTCTGGCTGGCGTTCTGACTGGCGTTGGATGCCTGCATGTAACAAACGCAGAGACGGCGGGGGGTAGGAGAGAGCATTGGACGGGATTTGTGGGTGCAAAGGACAAGCTTGAATACAACGAACGCGTCGAGCAAGTGCACTCGCGCACGCAAAACACATATATCCTCGCCATGGCATCACATGTTGCTCCCCCTTCTCGCACCGCCCTGCTCCCTCTCCCGCTGCGTCAAAAGACGGCATATCCACGCCGTAGCCGTCTGCACCATGGCAGGTGGAAACGCATGCCCCACGCCCTCAAACTGCACATCCTCCAGCCGCAGGTCCAGACTCGGATCGTCGCGCAGCACGCGCTTGAGCGTGTCCAGGAACGGACGGCCCGCGGCGTACGGCACCAGCTTGTCGGCGGCGCCGCCGAGATTCAGAATCGCCTTGCCGCGCAACCGCTCCCGCGCGAGCCGCGCGAAGCGGTCCAGCGCTACGGGTGTCAAGGGCGCATCTGGCCCCGTGGGATTGAAGACGCCCGGCGTCAGCAGGCCCGCGGGGTCGTACTGCGCGACGGCGCGCTGCAGCGCGGGGGGGAAGTCGCACGAGCCCAGAAAGGACGCGCCGGGCGGCGCGGTGGCGGTGAATGTGGTGCGCTTGGACAGGCGGGCGCGGTCGGTCATGAGGCGCGTGTAGTCCGGACAGCCTATGCCGACGACGCCGGCGGTGATGCGCGGATCGGCGAGCAGACAGTGCCATGTTGCGTGGCCGCCGAGGCTGATGCCGAGGGCCATGTGGGCTGTGATGCGCGGCGAGGTGGGGTCGCGGAAAATGTACGACGGCAGGTGGTCGATGAGCTGCGAGGTGTCGGTCGCGGTGCCGTGGTAGCAGCCGAACATGTCCTGGGCGTGGGTGTCGTTGCCCTGGCGCCAGGCCTCGTTGTGCAGCTTGTCGACGAGGCGGGTGCCGTGGTTGCGCTGGTCAAAGGCGGCGGCGATGAGGCCGGTCTTTTTGGGGTTGGTCGCGTTCCATCCGCTGATTATCTGGGCGGCGACTGGGGCCATGGTTTCTTTGGTCTGCAGACGCGGGTTGAGCAGCCACAGACACGTGACCGAGTCGGCGGTCGGGGGGACCTCTGCGAGGCCGTGGATGGTCACGTGGATGCCGGCGATGGTGAGGGTTTGTTGTGAGACGGTGCAGCCCGAGGAGGCGCCCTCGAGCGGGTTGTTGGTAGCCGCCATGGCGTAGGGGGTGTGTTGTCGGTGTTTTCGGTGTTGTCAGTGTTGTCAGTGTTGTCGGTGTTGTCGGTGTTGTCGGTGGTGTCAATATTGTCGGTGGTGTCAATATTGTCGGTGGTGTCGGTGGTGTCAATATTGTCGGTGGTGTCAGTGTTGTCAGTGTCGTCAATATTCTCAGTGTTGTCAGTGTCGTCAATATTGTCAGTGTTGTCAGTGTCGTCAATATTGTCAGTGTCGTCAATATTGTCAGTGTCGTCAATATTGTCAGGGCTGTCAGGGCTAGCTGGAGGTCAATCGCAAGCAGAGCGGTCAGTGATGTCAAGATGGAGTCCACGGAGACGGTCGCGAATTAATACAGCGGGGCAGCATGTCCGGCCGAGGTTGGTGGAATGGTCGCCGCGGGAGAGACATGTTATGATGGAGAGCTGCGCATCAGACGGACGTTGCACGGGTGTGAATGCGTAGCAGCTCAACCCGACTCAACAGTCAGACATACTTGGCGCAGCAACTGTGCACGTGTAGACGAGTTGCATTGTCAGGACGGGTGGCGAGCAGACAAGGGTCAGAATGCAAGGCGGTGGGGCCCGTTCCTCCCATAGATCAGGGGTTCACGTCGGCGCTCCTAGCGTGTTTCCTCGACGACACTTTTGGTGTGGGAGATTGCTGGCGAGCACGTCTTGACTGAACTGGCCAGCGGCTGCTGCGTGTGTACCGAATTGACGACGCCAGTCAGGAGTATAGATCTTGCACGCTTGCACTTTTGCACTCTTGCACGCTTGCACCTCGGATCCTCTGCCTTGCTTTCCATCCACCCATCCGTGACAGACGCCATGTCCGCGTCATAGCGAGCCAGGGAACCGCGGACCACACCACGCCCGCGAGCAACGACACCCCTCAGCAGATCGCCTCCATCATGGCGGCCCCTTCGGACAAGCCGCCCGCGACGTTCCTCGACTACCGCCCCGAATCCAAGGCTCCCGCCAACGGCAGCACCAGCGAGTCCCGACGACTGCGCTCGCCGCTGTCCGCCCACGAGCCCAGCGAGTTCCCCTTCCTCATCCCGCCCGCGCGCACCCTCGGCAGCACGGCCGCCGACAAAGTCGACACCATCGACCACGCCGCGCCGCACCCGCCCAAGCCGGCGTCGCACGCGTCCAACGGCTCCACGGGCTCCTACTACCCGCCCTTTGCCCCGGCGTCGCGCATCCCCACCGCCGAGGGCGACGCGCCCGACCCCAACGCGCCCAAGGAGCGCAAGAGCGTGCAGTTCGCCCGCTCGGCCACGGGCGGCTCCGACGTGCCCGCGGCGAGCTTGCGCCAGCAGTCGTGGGAGGCCGACGACGGCAGCAAGGCGCGGACCCGGACCAAGGAGGACTCGTCGCTGATGGGCAAGCTGCGCGCCCTGGCCGCGCCCATGCAGGGCCACAGCCGCAGCTACAGCGCGAGCCCGGCCGGACCGGCCTCGCCGCCGTCGCAGTCCCCCCACGGCCCGCTGACGCCGGCCAACGAGCGCGACGAGGCGCGCTTCGACGCCAGCCACGACAGCGAGGCCGACGCAGACGCCGAGTCGAGCGCGGGCGAGGGCGTCTCGCGGCCCGTCCACCGGCGCAAGAGGAGCCGCCGCTGGTTCGACGGCGGCGACGGCGGCGATGGCGGCGACGGCGGCGCCCAGACGGCGCCGACCACGCCGCGGCAGACTAGCTACTTCTCGCGCGACTCGCCCACAATCACGCCCACGTCGTCCAGCCGTCCCGCCTTCATGCGGCGCGGCACCATGACCGACATCCCCGAGCACGACCGCCAGGGCTACTCGGAAGACGAGGGCCGCTCGCGTCTGGGCAGCAAGGAGAGCGCCTGGACCCGCGGCCTGCACAGCGCACGCGGGCTGTCGTACGGCGGCCTGCGCAGACACGACCCGGGCGCCGACGAGGGCGATGCGTCCGGCGAGCGCCGCCCGGCCTGGCGCATGCGCAGCGAGCGCACGTCGAGCCTGAGCGCGCAGAAGTGGAAGTCGATCAAGAACAGTCTGAAGCTGCTCGGCAACCGCGCAAGGGCAGAGCGCCAGGTCGACCACGCAAAGTCGGCCGAGCTGATGGCCGAGCTGCTGGCTGGTGCGCCCGCTGCCCTCTTCCTGGCCAGCATGTTCCAGCGCGACGAGCACGGCCACAAGCGCATCCCCGTCCTGCTCGAACAGCTCAAGGTCAGCATCACCGACGCGGACAAGTCCCGCGACAAGGAAGGCGACAGACACACGCCCCTGCGCATCGAGCTCGAGTACGGCAGCGGCCTCACCCGCATGAAGTGGGTCGTCCACCGCACAGTGGCCGACTTTGCCAACCTGCATCTCAAGTTCAAGGTGCAGGAGAAGCAGGACTCGTTCCGCAGTCGTGTCTCCACCCTCGACAAGGACGACGCGCGTGGCAGGCTGCCCCGCTTCCCGAGAAGTGTCGTGCCATACCTCCGAGGCATCAGAGGCTACGGCGCCTTGGACGAGGAAGAAGAGGAGGACGAGGAAGCGGCAGCGGGGGGTGCTGCGACCGACGGCGATGCGAGCGCCACCGACCGCCCGTCAAGAGGCAAACGCCGCAAGTCGTCCTTTACCCTGCACCGCAGAAAGTCGAGCATAGGCAGCCCGGATCCGATTACAGGCGCCGCTGGTCAGCTTGTAGCACGCCAGGGCAGCTTTGCCGGTGCTGTCGGTCAGCCGCTGAGCTCGAAGCAAAACCACCACGAGCGACAGCGGAAGAAGCTCGAAGTGTACGTCAAGGGCCTCATCCAGTATCTCATCTTCCGTCCGGACAGCAACCGACTCTGCAAGTTCCTAGAGCTGTCTGCGCTGGGCGTGCGCCTGGCTGCTGAGGGAGGCTACCACGGAAAAGAGGGCCACTTGATGATCAAGTCGTCCAACGGCGTCGATGCGCGCAAGCGGTGGACCCCGATGCCCATGATGACGCGACACTGGCCAAAGTGGTTCCTGGTCAGACACAGCTACATTGTCTGCGTCGACTCGCCAGAGGAGATGAACGTTTACGATGTCTTCCTCGTGGACAAGGAGTTCAGCCTAGAGTCCAAGACAGCCGGCAAGAACAAGGACAAGAAGGCTCGACAGGTCGCAAGCGAAGCGAAAGCATCAGCGACGGGTCACCATCAGCTGAAGCTCAAGAACTCGGAGCGTAAGATGAAGCTCTTGGCAAGGAACGACAAGATGCTGCAACAGTTTGAGGATTCCATCACCTTCATGATGGACAGCACACTGTGGTCCAAGCCCCAGCGATTCGACAGCTTTGCCCCCGTGCGGAAGAAGATTTACGCGCAATGGCTCGTCGACGGTCGGGACTACATGTGGAACGTCTCCCGTGCCATCAGCATGGCCCGCGACGTCATCTACATCCACGACTGGTGGCTCAGTCCCGAGCTGTATCTGCGCCGCCCCGCTGCTATCAGCCAGAAGTGGAGGCTCGACAGACTGCTTCAGCGCAAAGCACAGGAAGGTGTGAAGATCTTCGTCATCATGTACCGCAACATTGGTGCTGCCATCCCCATCGACTCGGAGTACTCCAAGTTCTCGCTGCTCGACCTGCACCCCAATGTCTTTGTCCAGCGGTCGCCGAACCAGATTCGCCAGAACACGTTCTTCTGGTCGCATCACGAGAAAATCTGCGTCATCGACCACACAATCGCCTTCTGCGGCGGCGTCGATCTCTGCTTCGGCCGATGGGATACACCGCAGCACGTCGTCGTCGACGACAAGCTCACGGGCTTCGAGCTGGACAACAACGCCCCCAAGGACGCGGACCACTGTCAGCTGTGGCCAGGGAAGGACTACTCGAACCCCCGAGTGCAGGACTTTTTCGCCCTCGACAAACCCTACGAGGAGATGTACGACCGCAGCAAAGTGCCGAGGATGCCGTGGCACGATATCGGCATGCAGATTGTCGGCCAGCCCGCTCGCGACTTGACCCGTCACTTTGTGCAGCGATGGAACTACCTTCTCCGCCAACGCAAGCCGTCTCGGCCGACTCCGTTCTTGCTCCCGCCGCCCGACTTCAATCCCGCCGACATCGAAGCGCTTGGTCTGGAGGGCACCTGTGAGGTGCAGATCCTGCGCTCTGCCTGTGCTTGGTCTCTTGGAACGCCAAACAGGGTCGAGCACAGCATCATGAATGCCTACGTCCAGATGATTGCGACCTCTGAGCACTTTGTCTACATCGAGAACCAGTTCTACATTAGCAGCAGCGAGGTCTTGGGCACCAAGATTGAGAACAAGATCAGCGACGCCCTGGTCGACCGCATCAAGCGTGCACACGCAAACGACCAAGACTGGCGGGCCTGCATCATCCTCCCGCTCATGCCTGGCTACCAGAACACCGTGGATGAGCAAGATGGCAGCAGCGTCCGTCTCATCATGTCATGCCAGTACCACAGCATCTGCCGCGGAGAGACATCAATCTTCGGTCGTCTCCGCGCCGCCAACATTGAACCAGAGGATTACATTCAGTTCTACGCTCTGAGGTCCTGGGGCGAGATTGGTCCCAAAAAGATGATTGTCACAGAGCAGCTCTACATTCACGCCAAGATCATGGTGGTCGACGACCGAGTTGCTATCATCGGGTCTGCAAACATCAACGAGCGATCCATGCTGGGCTCTCGAGACTCGGAGATTGCCGCCATCGTGCGAGACACCGAAGTGCTCGACTCGTACATGGCCGGCCAGCCCTACAAGGTCGGCAAGTTCCCTCACACCCTACGCATGCGATTGATGCGCGAGCACTTGGGCGTCGACGTCGATCACATCTCCGAGGAGGAGTGGGCGAGTCAGATGTCTGATGCCGATAGTACTGCCTTCCAGACCGAGTCGTCAGGCCCTGGGTCCCCAACCGCTGACCGCGCTACCGAGCAGAAGCTTTCCGAGAACCACGCCCGCGCGCAGGAGGAGCTGCTTGAGCGCGCCGAGAGGCTGCACAGCTTCAACCATGACTTTGACTGGGCACAGGACAAGAACCCCCACCTTCAGAGCAGCAAGAAGCCATCGTCTGACCCGCGCGTAACTCGCAACGAGGCGCATGAGAAGGACGTTCGTGGAGATGGCGCTGACCACTATCGCGAGGTAGAGGCGCGCGAGCCAAGTCTTACTCGCGGCCGCGATACTTTTCTCGACCCCCATGGCCACGAGAAGCTGCTCAACCCTGAAGTTGCGCCCGAAGGCCTCGCTAACAAGGACAATGTAAAGAGGCATTCGACCGTTCGGGGTCGAGGCCGCAGCAATACCGTCGGCACCAAAGCCAGCGCCAGCAGTGGCGGACCTCCCGAGGGATACGCCGGCCTCCCGCCCCCAAAGCTGCCTCGTATGGACACACAGAAACTCGGTCTGACACAGTTGAGCCAACTCCCCGCGCTCCCCGTCATGGACGACACCGACATCGGCGGCCCCCCCCTGCAACGAACCTTCAGCGGCGCTTCCTCGAACGTCATCAACCCCATGCTCGCAGAGATGCGTCGCCCCATTGTTACCGAGGACTGTATGCGCGACCCCATCAACGACTCGTTCTTCCTGGACACCTGGCACCAAGTCGCCGAGAACAACACCAAGCTCTTCCGCCAGGTGTTCCGCTGCCAGCCCGACAATGAGGTCAAGACGTGGAAGGAGTACCAGGAATACACGGCCTTTGCGGCGCGCTTCCAGCAGATGCAGGGCGGCGGCAAGACAACGAACCAGCGCGCTCCAGATGCCCCCGGCAAGACAGGCCCCCCCGGCGCCGGCGTGACAGAGAAGATGGGCAACATGGGCAAGCATGTCAGCGTGCTGAGCGAGAAGCTCAGCGAGAAGGTGACGCACCCGTCGGACTCGCCGAGCAAAAACGGCACGGTGGAGCAGTGGGCGCACGAGCAGGAGAAGCGCGTCAAAGCCGGTCTGAAGCTCGACACCCACAGCCCGAACACGCAGCACGCCGAATTCGACGAGAAACGCCCCCTCTCCGCACGCCCCGCAGACGACTCAATCGTCTCCCCCATCAACCCCACCCTGCCAGACCGCACCTACACCTTCCCCGCCGCCCCGCCCGTGCCAGACTCGCCCCCCTCCCACCCCATCCACGCAGACGCGCCCCGCCACCGCAACGTAACCATCTCAGAGCCCACGCGCGACCACGCCTCGACGCCCACGGCCTCGCACCGCAACACAATGGGCAGCCGGCGCTCGCGGCGCCGCGCGACGACAAAGTCGAGCACCCGCGCGTTCCACGCCAGCGATGCGGAGAGCATGCTTGGCCGCGACGATGCGAAGACGCTCATGGATCTCGTCCAGGGCCATTTGGTTCTGTGGCCGTACGAGTGGCTTGAGAAAGAGGAGATGGGCGGTGGGTGGTTGTATAATGTTGATCAGATTGCGCCGTTGGAGATTTATAATTAGGGTGCTTTTTGTGCTTGTGCTAGAGAAAAAAAGGGGGGAATGCAATAATAAGGGATGGTGAGGTGCTGTGCTTGGGTACTGGGGGAGGATCAGTAGCGAGAGGGAGGGCTTCTGGGTTCGTGGTAGGATGCTGTGGGAAGCTTGTATCGCATTGCATTGCATTGTATCGCATTGCATTGCATGGCATTGGCGTCATGGTATTTTCTTGGCATGAATCGAGTGCATCAGCGTCGCTATCCTTTGCGTGCAAAACCACTCATGGTACCAAGTACATACACACCAACCATGCTCCTCTTCCCTCTTCGCGACAGAAACACAGCCTGACTTGCTCACGCACCCGTCTCCCGCCCAACACCCCGTTCCCAGCACAACTACACCACCGCCGTCTCCACCCGCAACCCACCCGGGCCTCTCGTTAAATTCCCCATCCTCTGTCCGTCGCGGGACGCGCAGGGATTCCTCTGTTCCGCACCGGCTCGATGTGAAGATCTCGATGCGCAGAAATCCCTACACAGAAGCCCTGCTGCAAGAACACTAGGTGTCAGGGAGGAGTTGCATCGAGCAGGGACTGAGCGACGTACTCGGCCTCGGTAGATTGGCTGTAGGCTGTCCAACAGCTGATCCCTTCCTTCCGCCGTCTACCAGTTGCGATCGCTCATCATGATCGCGAGGTAGGCGGTGGCATATGCGATGAGCAGCGTTGCCGTGGGCGTGGCCAGTAGGAAGGCAAAGACCACCCACATGGTGAGAAACCTCGACCCGAAAGCTAGCTGTGGACTGAGGACTGGGACTTTCTTCGCCTACAGATAACGTCGACACAAGCTTTATGTCCATTGTTTTGAGCATTTTGCGGTGCTGGGTGCCGCATCGGGCAAGTCATCACACGACCAGTTCGCGTGCTCGGTGGTGCGTAAGCCCCGCCATATGCTCGACGCAAGGGTGATCTGCGTCTGGCGTGGTTGGTGCGGGAGTTTTCATGCAGTCAAGGATGAGTGTCTTGTGCTCTGTTGCTTATTTTGAATGTCGGTGATGCGGTGAAGTGAGCCTGGCGATGTGCCGGAGGTGACCGTGCTGGAGGTGCTGGTGATGACGTGCACGGGACTGGAAAATGACCTGCAGGCTTTGATTAACGGTTTGGAGGAGTCAGTCGGTTGAAAATATCGTATCGTGTGCGATGCTGCCGCTCTGAGGTACTGGCGTCGTTGTGCGATGCTGCCTGCTGTTGTCGTACAGCCGTAGTACCGTGCTCCGAGTACGGACGCGAGCTATCATGCACGCCGCGGCTGCCGAAGGTAAGCGGTCTTTCTGAATCTCGACGTATGATTGATGACATGCCGAATGCAATATGCGTCAAGTGCGAAAATTGTGGAGATGATGCTGCAATGAATTGCTCCAAGCCATACTCCCCTCTACGTCTCGTTCCGCCATATATCCCCAAACCCCAATGTGTACATGCCGCACATGCGCAAACAGTCCCTGAAATGCCCAGCACTATCCAAACATGCGTTAAAAAGGTGTCCTCTGATAATCCATTCGGACAAAGAAGGTTTGTTTATTGCACGTCGCTATACATTCTCCGTGGCGCGGGAGGCATTCCACCGTTGAGCGGTGGTCCTCTCGATTGAGGCCTCGAATTTGAGCCGTTTGACGCTGGTGGCGCAGGTCGCATGGGAAGGGACATTTGGCCGCCTTGACTCGACTGGCTGTTCGACTGGCTGTGGTGGCTGATACTGCTCGATGTGCGTTGGGGGTATGCTGGGCGTGGCGGCGCCGGACCGTCCTGCCTGACATCAGCAGAGCCTCTTCTCGGCGAGAACTCCTGGTGCCTGACGTCCGCAGATCCTCGCCTTGGTGCCGGCTCCTGGTTCTGCAGCTTCTCGCGGATGTTACCGGAGGGTACGGATGGGGCGAGATGCGACTTTCGCTTGTTGTGTTCGAGCATGCTTGTCGCCCATGCTTCAAGATCGACCGGTGTGCGCTTCGCGGCTTGGAGGAATGCGTCGTGGTCCTATGAACTGTTAGCAGGAAAGCAGAAGAGATGAAGGCATAACGTACGTAAAGCTCCTTAGGTGTTGGACGCTCCTTGGGATCCTTCAGCAGGCACTTGGCAACCATGTCTTCGAGGATGGAGGGGAACGCATCGCTCTTGGGCAGCTTCGGCGCAGGCTCAAGAACAATCTGCTGGAGAAGGTCAAGAATACCCTGAGGACCTCCAGCCTCGTCATCGTCTGCGCTCCCAGAGAAAGGAAACTTGCCAATAGCCAGCTCCATAATGGACAGGCCAACACTCCACACGTCCGACTTGACGGTGTAGGGAGAACCCTGAATACGCTCGGGAGCCATGTATGTGCCTGTTCCCACGAATGTCTCGGCGATGGATCCGTCAAGCTCACTGGAGACACCAAAGTCACAGAGCTTGATCTGGCCCTTGGAATTTACAAGGATGTTCGAAGGCTTCAAGTCGCGGTGCATGATGCGGTGGGCGCTGTAGAGGTAGCTGAGACCGCCGAGCACAGCTTCTGCGATCTTTCCGAGGACATCGACGCGTACGGGACCAAATTGGCGAGATACCCAATCCAAAGCACTGTCTCATGTCAGTCCCTTCCTTTCTTTTGTTATTGTGGGGCAGCTGCTTACCCCACATCCATGTACTCCATGCACATGATAACGTCCCCAGAGTCGTTCTGGAATGCGCCGTAGAAATCAACAATGTAGGGCGAGTTGCACTCGTGCATAATGCGCAGCTCACGCACGATGCGTTTCCGTACTTCGTTCTTCGCTTCGACATGTATGACCTGTAGCCGTCAGCGCCCCTCCCTGCTTGTTATTGTCCCACTCGACCGTCCAACGCACCTTCCTCGCCATGATCACTTTGGTAGCTGCGTGCTGGACCTTGCTGACTGTGCCGCCGTTTCCTGAGCCTAATTCCCGCAGAACAATCAAGTCTTCTGCCTTTAAGTCCAGCTGGAACTCTACGCCGATTTCGAGGGTCTCCTCCCTAGCATTGCCTAGGCCGCCTGGTGCCTGTGCATCGCTCTCCGAGGGCACCGGCTTTGGTGGGGGCGCGCTCAGTGCAAGACCCTTCTTGTTCTTCCTCTTCATCGTCTTGGGGGCGAATGGGTCGGCCATGGTGGGCTACGTTCAGCGCTTTCCACGCTGTGCAGGAGAGAATAGGGGGGTCGGGGGGCCGGTGACGATATGTAGTTTCAGGCGCAAGAGAGCGTGGCAGTATGTGGTTTCGAGTTGCCGCCCAAGGATGGGTCGACTGATGGGTCGCCAATCACGGCAGTGTCCCAATGGAGGACAGCGTCTATTGGATTGCCGATTGCAGCGTGCTGTAGCGAGGACCGCGAGCCTGATTGGGGGGCGATCGCAGTGTGATACAGGGAGTGTGTGTCTGGCCGATGACTGTGTGGGAGTTCAGGAGAATGTGAAGGCGTGTTAGTTGTCGAGTAGCGGGGCCGAGTGTTCGTGCATGCGGCACCGAAAACGATCCTGCAAGGCTGCGGGTGGGCGGCGCGACAGTACCAGGTTAGCTTGCTGGCGGGCTTGGAGCTACGCCAAGCGAGTACCAATGCGAGAAAGGCGTCGAGCAGAGGGTGCGTCTCTGATATATAGGCACGATCGACTGCGTGTTTCAGTTCGGACACCATGCTTCACCCGTCGTTCTAGCGTTCTACGCAGACCTCAGGGCGAGAAGACTTGTGAAATTCAAGGCCGCTGCAGACATCGCGAACGGAAACGAATTCTAGACTATAGCACACGAATCGCATACACAACGCGTATCTGGCGTTTGCAATTCATGTGATTGCGAAAGAGCACCGAGGCTCTCCAGGGTCTAGTGTAAGAGTGGTAGAAGTGCTCCATCTCACGTGACACGGAATTGCGTAGCAGCGATCGCAGGCTTAGTCACCTAGCGGGAGACGCGCTGGCGGCCCCTTCTGCTTTGAAGACGCGCTGGTCACCCCTTCTGCCTTGTCCGCGCCCTTCACCTCGACCCTCTTTATTCCCTTTTCGCTCGAATCGCCGGCCCCATTTCGCGCATCTGTCGTTCGAACGACTCGAAACCGCCTCATCGACGAACATAGACTTTTTTTGCGCATCTCCTTCATATCATTGTACATAATGTCTACGAGGGACCTTTTCGACACAATCGCCGACGTAGGCAGCGACGAGGAGGAAGATGAAGACTTCGACGGTGGGGGCGGTGACGTACGGCCCAAGAAATCAAATGGCGCCAACGGAATCGAGGACTCCAGTGAAGAAGAAGATGAGGACGATGAAGAACAGCTGGCAAAGGCAAGCATCAGCGCATCATAGGCTGTTGGATAGCTACTGACTGCTGCACAGGAAGGCGCTGGCTTCATCGCCGACGAAGACGAGGACGAGGATGAGGTCGAAGCACGGAAAGAACGCCGTCGCAGGAAGAAGCGCAAGAACCGCGAAGCCGAAGAAGATCTTGACGAAGACGACCTCGACCTGATTGGTATCGAGCGACCTGAGCGGGAAGATGACACAGCGGTATGACAAGGCCTACGACTCGCCGCCAGAGTCGCTTCAACCGTTCGCCTGCTAACAAAGAGCAGCCCAAGTACAAGCGCCTCAAGCGTGGTCATAAAGAAAAGCGCAAATCCCGCGGCATCGATGACATCTTCTCAGATGAAGAAGCTGTCGACGACATTGACGAGCCTCGAAGGATCGGTGGAGAGTTTGACGATTTCATCGAAGAAGACCAGTTCGAGGACGAGATTGAAGACGACCGCGACGTCACACAACCGGGAATCAACCTCATCACGCAAGGCCTGCAGGCCGCTGGACTGGACGAGGGTGCCGAAGAAGACTACAGAGCAGCTTTCGGCGATGGCACCGACTACGACTGGGCCTTGGACATGCAGGAAGCGGAAGAAGAGGAACAGGCTGGTGAAGGCCGCGAGCTCCAGCTCAAGGACGTTTTTGAGCCTTCCCAGCTGCAGGAGCGCATGCTGACGGATGAGGATAACATCATTCGCGAGACAGATGTCCCCGAGCGTCTGCAACTGGCACGCAAACCGTTCAAGGAGCTCGAGCTGACACCTGAGGCCATGCAACAGCGGTTGGAAGAGGAGGCACTGTGGATCTCAAAGCTGCTCTGGCCGAAGAAGGGCCTCCCGAACTACTTTCAGACACCTTTCCAGAATGCTGTGCGCAAGGTCCTCGAGTTTATAAATGTCGAGGACTACGAAGTGCCTTTCATCTTCAACCACCGCAAGGACTACCTCATCCACGCACCTGGCGACAACGACGATCAAGATGACTTCGGTGCGCCGCCTCCCGATGCTCGGCCAGAGCGTCTCCTCAACCAGAGCGACTTGTGGGAGGTCTTCGATCTTGATTTGAAGTTCAGGGCCTTCGCCGAGAAGCGAGACTCTCTGCGCCAAATCTACGACAACGTGAGAGCTGTGCAACCGGAGATCGTTGACGGCGAACTTGAGGACCTGATGGACAAGGCCGTCACCATTGAAGAGATCCAGGAGTTGCAGGATTATCTGCACTACCAGTACTCGGCGGAGATCAACGAGATACGAAACGAGTCCAACGGAACCCAAAAGCGTGCCAACAACGCGCGCAACTTTTTTGACAAGCTCCGAAGCGGAAAAGCGCACCTGTTCGTCAAGGCCATCGGTATCAGCGCAGAGGACTTTGCCAAGAAGGCCGAAGGGTCAAGTAGAGGGCCTCAGGTCATCGAAGATCCCCCATACAGGGTGATGGAGCTTGCTGATCAGATGGCCGAGCCTCCCGAGAGTGCACACTCGCTGCTCAAATCAGCTAAGTTGCTCTTCATCCAGGACTTGCAACAAAGTTCCCGGCTCCGCAGGTTCTTGCGAGGAAGCTTCTATCAAAACGCTCTGATCGACTGCATCAGGACAGACAAGGGTATGCGCAAGATCAACGAAGATCACCCGTACTACGAGTTCAAGTATTTGCGCGGACAGACCTTCCTCGATCTGAACGGCAGACCTGATCTGTTCTTGAAGATGCTGAAAGCAGAGCAGGAAGGTCTCGTACATGTCCGCATATCAATGGGTAACTACGAGAGCTTCAGATCGAGGCTGCATGACAAAATCGTCTCCGACAACGTCAGCGAAGTGTCCGAGACGTGGAACCACCTTCGAAAGGAACTGCTCGACTCGGCCTTGGAGAAACTACAGACCATAATCGCCAACGGTGTTAAGGAGACTCTGCGAGCTCGGTGCGAGGACGAACTTGCCAGCCGAGCCAGGGAGAACTACTACAACAAGTTGGATCAAGCGCCATTCAAGCTTAAGAACGCCGTTCTTGGTTCAGTTCCCAACGTATTGTGTCTTTCGAATGGAAAGGGTGAACGCGGCACTGCAACTCTCTGGGCATATATCGAGAATGACGGTCGAGTGATGGAGCACGGCAAGCTTGTGGACATGAGGCTTGGCAACCAGGAGCGTGGCATCCCCGACGGTGCAGACATTGTCAAGCTTGTTGATGCCATTCAACGTAGGCGCCCAGATGTGATCGGTGTCAGCGGTTGGTCTGTTGAGACTCGAAGGCTCTACAAGGACGTTCAGGACATCATCGCCCAACACGGTCTCACCGGCCCCAGCTACGAAGACGAACAGACTGGCCAGGACAGGAGTGACCCTCTGGAAGTAGTCCTAGTCAACGACGAGGTCGCCCGCCTCTATCACAACAGTGGCCGTGCTGCTGCTGAGTTCCCCAAGCTTGCACCGCTCACCAGATACTGCGTTGCCCTCGGAAGGTACCTGCAGAATCCACTTGCCGAGTATGCTTCGCTTGGCAAGGACATTGTCTCGATACCATTTGTCAAGGACCAGACACTCATTCCTCAGGATAAGCTCATGGACCGCCTCGAGACCGCCATGGTAGACATGGTAAACCTTGTCGGTATCGATCTCCCTGAAACGTACGACGAGAAGTACCTGTCGAAGCTTCTGCCGTATGTCTGTGGTCTAGGGCCTCGAAAGGCGGACAGGATGATCAAGGCCATCCAGGCGAACGGAGACGAGATCCTTGCACGCTTCGATTTGATTGGTGTATCAGAGACAAGTGGTCGAGACCTCAAGGCAGCTATGGGCCCCAAGGTCTTCCAGAATTGTGCCAGTTTCCTGTACATCCCATACGACTCCACAGAAGAAGCCTCTGACTACCTGGACTACACTCGCGTCCATCCCGAGGATTACGATCTCGCCCGGAAGATGGTCGCTGATGCACTCAACATGGACGAGGAAGACGTCAAAGCTGAAGTCGACGATGGTGGTCCTAGTGCGGTCATCCGGAAGATGGTTAGGGAAGACACAACGGATCTAGTCAACGATTTGGCCCTCGAGGACTATGCGGCAGAGATCGAGAAGAACTTCGGTCAAAGGAAACGCGCCACCCTCGAGACTATCCGCGCTGAATTGGAGAATCCCTATGAGGAAATCAGGCAGATCTTTGCCCTGATGACCGGTGAGGAAGTCTTCACTATGCTCACTGGTGAAACCAAGGAGTCTTTGTACGAGGGTATGGTTGTCCCAGTACAAATCAAGCGCACCTTCCCAGATCACATCGAGGTCAGGCTCGAGAACGGCATCGAAGGCGGTGTATCCGAGTCCGAATTTCCCGAGGGCATTGGCAACGGTGGACAAGAGCCCCGTCACGTCTACCAGACACATCAGACTGTCCGCGCACGTATCGTATACCTGAGCCGCAAGGGCCTCACTGCACAGCTTTCGTTACGAGAAGACCTCATCCGACAGCCGGTACCGAAGGCCTTTGACCGTATTGCTGGCGAGTGGGACGATGCACAAGAGCGCGCTGACAAGCAAGCTGCCGAGAAGGAGAAGGAAGTGGCATCTGGTCGACCCAATCGAGTCATCAATCATCCCCTGTTTTTCAGTATGAACGCCGCTGCAGCTGAAGAGTACCTGGGTAGCAAAGAGCCTGGAGAGTTGGTCATTCGTCCGTCATCGAAGGGTTTCGATCATCTGGTCGTCACATGGAAGGTCTCCAACAGCGCCTACCAGCATCTCGACGTGCTCGAGCTGGGCAAGGAGAGCGAATACTCTCTCGGCAAACAGCTCAGGGTGGGCAAGGCAACATACACCGATCTCGACGAGTTAATCGTGAACCACGTCGAGGCAATGGCACGCAAGGTGGCCGAGCTGACACGAGACGAGCGTTTCCAGTCAGGCACGAAGGAAGATACAGGTAAATCTCATCTCTCTCACATATTTCTCAACACAATGCTGATAAGACCGCAGAACTTTGGCTCGAGAATTACTGCAAAGCCAACCCCAGCCGCTCCATGTACGCCTTCTGCAGCATGCCTAAGCACCCCGGCTACTTCTGGATCTGCTTCCAGATGGGCGAGAACAAGCCCAAGGGCGCGTGGGTCATCAAGGTCGTCCCTAACGCGTTCGAGTTGCAGAAGAACGCCTACCCGGATATGGTGGCGCTGAAGAATGGGTTTAAGTTGTTGATTCAGAGCGGTGCGGGTGCGCGTGGTGTGGCTAGGCGGTAGGACGCTGATGGTCGCAGGCTTGAGAGAGTAGACTCGGGGCTGAAGCTGCGATTGTAATCATATTTCATCACATTTGTTTGCGCAGGGGTTGAACGAGAGGAGGGGGTGAAGGAAGATACTCACATCATTGGCATCCGGCGCAATTTGTAGCTTTGCTCCTCGTTTCGAGCATCAAAATCTTCACATTAGCCTGGATACCTCAAATCGAAAAGTTCAAATATGGCAGATCACAATATCGACTTCAGTTGGTATTGATGTTGTTGCTATCTCTTCGGGCAAGCAACGTGTCTTCTCGTTCGTATCGGTCTTCACGTCGAATTTACGGCTCCACAGCCAGCCTTGCTTCTATACTCACACGCTGCCATCAACATTGACTCAAACATTAATTGAGGACAAGTCGCGGAGAGAATGTCTTGGGCAGTAGATCGACAGACGTCAAAAGTCGAAGACGAGGCCTACTGCCTCATGAATGTCTTCGGCGTCAGCATGCCCTTGATCTAAAGCCAAGGCAAGCAAGCATCTCTCCAGCCGCAAGAAGATATTATGAGGCGTTCGGATGACGTCTCTGTGTTTGTATTTCTCTCCAGTCGACCGTCAGCTCCCGCTGGTCCAAGTACGTTGCGTGTAGCCACCCAAAGTGGCGACATCACCGTGACCGAAGCGACCGGTCTGGATATGGTCACCAAAACAGATGAGGAGTTCGGTCTGGTACGGTTGGGCTCTATGCGTCATCTTCAGTCTGCTTTTGTGGGACAGCAAGAAACGCGTTTTGTTCAATGTTTCATCGGATGATCAAACGACACAATCTACCTACAGAGCCCAGGCTGCCGAATCTGCAGATAGGGCCATCGGATAAAAGTTGGAGCAGCTTTATGGAAGGTCACAGTCAAGGAGCTGTAAAAACCCCACGGAGTTGAGCTGAGCTTATCGAAGGTCAGGCACTACATTAGGCAGCGCGTTGCGCTGACTTCCTCACATAGCGTGCATGTCGTACATACCGTAGTATCGGGGCGTCAAGCATTGGGCAATTTCTGTATTTTCACTGATCCTTCTGTTGCTACAAAGACGGATTGGCCAGTACGAGCGCAACTGCCCTTTCTTAAGGTCGCATCAGCCCGTTTCCGCACCATATCCGCTCATCGTCTCTCCATCGCCAATACGACTTCGACTCAGTAGGTCTCTAACACGCTTCCTGACGCAGTCTCTTCCCGCTTTCTCTCAAAATCTTGCTCGCAAATGGATGATTTAGGGCGCGCTCTGCTTCACTACATCTAATTGCACGCCACCACGATGGAGACCAGTCGCTTCAGTGTCAGCGTCGGCGCTTCTGACCTTGTTGACTACCTCCACGCCTTCGAGTTCTTGAGGCGAAACAGGAAAAGGCATCAGTCATAGCCGAAAAGCTGCATCTCTAGCCTACCCCGCGTCGTGCTCTGTGAGTTAAGAGCCGGGTGTCGTTCGTAGGGCGATACGTCTTCTGCACTGGGATCCCAGCCTTTGAAAAACACCAGTCATACTCAGATTAAAGAGATCGGCATCATTCCAAATTCTCGAACAAAACGTTCTGCAAGACTTACGCCGTCTGGCTTGAGCCAGCCATACTGCCAGCATGCCCACGAATTTGTACAGATTGGTCGACATCGCTTGCACTTGCCTGTCGTAATAGCTGCATCTGCTTGAGTAAGGCTCGCTTGTGACGAATAAGCGATATTCCGCTAATCGCATTTAGCACTCCTGTCGCTTAAAGGAAGAAGAAGCTCATGGTGGTGGGGTGGTGAGATGAGGGCTCACAGGTACAGCAAATGCTGTCCACAGGAAAAGCAAGACGCGAAAATTGAGAAGTCTCATCGTGCTGTGTGGGGAGGTTGAGAAGGAATGGGGGATAGGCGTTGTGAAAAACAGGTTTTTGAGAGGTTGATTACGGTTGTTTTGCAGCAGCTACTAGACAACTTTTAAGCATATCCAACGCTGCCCTTTCAAGTCCAGGCTATAGTCGTGGAAAGTGTCAACAGCTAGCCTACATAACCATGTAAACAAATGTTTTTTATTACCAACTACCTTTGCTTGAGGATGCTCAACAGTCGATGGTCTCGGTTGGGCTTGAAGAGGGTACTTGCTTGGCTTGCTCGGCTCTGTACGCGAGCTGAGATGGAGACAGGAGTGGACCGAGGGTTCCAGGCTAAGATATGCAGTTTTTCTGCAATGAGGTAGGACATGTTGTTGTTCGGTTTTTGTCAAGACATGAAAATCTCATTTCCACTTTTGTGGGCCTCCTTCCATTTGGTGGGGCGCCTCTTTCGCCCCGCTGCCGTCTCTTCCCTGCCTGACGGAGTGCGAACTGCGAGGATGAACGGAAGATCGCCAGGTACCCCTTGTAGATGGAGCTAATTTGGGTGCGGCCATTCATTGCGACACCATGCAGGGTCCCGCGCTACAACAACATCGGCATCGTCAAGTCGATTCTTCCTCTCATTGCAATCATGCACACGATGTGGCTCGATCAACGACTCGAGTGGCTGTGGGGCCCCCCTTATAGCCAAGGCTACAAATCTTCCCGTGTTCCGGGCCGTGCTCAGGCACTCAGACTCGCGATGGCGCTGTCGCGGGTGTTCTAGCGTCCCGCTCAGCGTCTCACAGCCAACAAAGGAATTGCGTGCAGCGCTCTGTCTACAATGGGGAAACGTTTCAATGTTTGTGGGGTGAGAAGCTTCAAGCGTGCAGTTTGCGCAACTTTGATTCGCGGCACGGTCTCCAAACTGTATTGATTTTCGATGTGATGCAAGGCTGACTGCGTCGCACGTGGATGGCGTTTCTCAGCCCTAAGGCTAGACGCTTATTAGTTTTCTTAACTATGGCGCGCGTCCTCCGCACATGCAAGTTTCACGATTCTTCTTCACGCTTCTGTCGCAATGGCGAGCGTCTCTGCTGTAGGCATCGCCGGCGATGTGCTTCAGCGAAACGACAGTGTTGCGGACGTCACCAAGGACAAGCACATCCAGATCTCGATTACCCCTATTGAAGACGATGAGATCAGCACAACGGGAAAGCATAGTGTCGACAGCCTAACCTCGGAACGGTCGCAGCAAAGCATCGAGGGACAAGTCGCCAGACTTCGGGAGGAAATTGCTGTTGCAAACAATGTTTTGGAGCTATGCATCCGTGAGGCTGTCACGGCCGGCACTACTCTCGAGAAGAAGAAGTTGCAGGAGAGGACAAATGCTGCTTACACAGCCTGGGCAGCAAAAGAGCTGGTACTGAACGATCTGTTGGTATGTGTCGAAGTTTGGATTTCCCAGCTCTTCTGCTCACGCATCACAGAACTCGATGCAGTACTCAGATGACAGCTCGACGTACAGCTCTTCAACAACAAGCACCCGGCAGCTGAGTGTTCAGCCTTACCCAACTAATAAGATGCACGTGCGCAAGAGCTCGCAAGTCCTTTCGGACGAATCGGCATCAGCGACAGCTTTTATGAAGCAAATCGGGTGGGTGAGCCCAGCATCACTCGTTCAGTATTTAAACAGTGGTATAGACGTGAATGGTTTGGGTCAATTTCCTGGCTACCCGCAACATCCAATCACCCCATTGATGGCCATCATCCGTTCCCCATTCGTTACCGAGTCCACGGAGATCATTGAGCTCCTCCTCGAACAGGATGCGGATCCTTGCATCCGCGACAACCAAGGCCTTTCCTCATTTGCACATGCCATCTACGCCCGCCGGAAAGATGTCATCAGACTGTTCATCCAAACTCTTCTCTCGTATGAGCGCTCCGGTTTTCCTACAGGTAGCGCATCTATGAATTTAGACACGACCTGGACGGGCGTGAAGCATCTTCGCTGGGAAGCCGCAGAAGCCATCATCAGCTACGATATGCCCACACTCACCACCCTCCTCAGCGACTCGTCAGCCCACAACACCATCCTTCACACCGCCTGCCTCCCACTTGCCATTCTCTTCAACAACATGCCCGCCGTGCAAGCGCTGCTAGCGTACGGCATGAACTCCTTCCAGCTCTTCCGCCGCTCGCCCGCACACCCCAGTCGGCCGTTTACATCGCCCGTGAGCTTAGCAATTTACACAGAAAACCTCACAATCCTGCAGACACTGCTCTTTCAAGACTTCGAAACAAGCGAAAGACGCGGCCGGATATGGTACGCCCAACTCTTTGCCTCGATGCCATCGACCTACTCCAACACCGGAATTATCGACTTCATCCTCGACAACGTGCCGTTGGTGGAAGCCTTCGATCGCGCAATTCGCTGCGAAGACCGGGTATGGATTCATCGTATCGTCATCCGGACTGTCTCGTTACTCCTCACGCCCAGTGATGATCGGACCGGGGCGCGCAATATGGCTGCAGAAGCATTTGCGACTCTGTTCGATCGCGCGTGGAATCTGAAGTTGTGCGAGAGGAGGGAACTTGCTACAGAGATCGTCGACATGGTCGAGCAGGGCGCTGAGAGAGACTTCACATTTGTCGCCTGCGGAGGGACATTAGGTATTAGTCCAAAGATGGTGGACAGGCTGTTGATTGCTGCGAAGGGGCAGGAGTAAAAGGATGTTGCAAAGGGATTTAGGGCGTAAAGGCGTGCTATGTGCTGGGATTTGGATCTGGGGAATGGAGTTCGGCGCTGATGCAAAGGCGAAAGCATCCTGAATGTTTGGTATCGATGTATTTAATCTAGAATAAGGCTCATCTAGCCCACAGCCGATTTTTAATCGTAGACAACGAAGCCCAATATTCCCGCGTCACGCAAAACCCTTCTCAAAGCGAATTGGATCAAGGACAGGTGATAGCTGTGTTATAGGTAGCGAGCAGAAAGGCGTGCGGTAAGAAAGCAGGTGGCTAGAAGCAACATCGCACTCTTGTGACAGCGACAGAATTTGTCATGGCTAAAAGACACTCAGTTAAGTGATCCTGATTGATGGAGTGATGTTAGCTGATTAACCTCTTCATACCTCCACAAGTGATAAAGGAGTGTGCTCAAACCCCACAAAGAAAAGCCCAACACCAACTCGCTATGCAAAAGAATCCTCACCGTCACTTATCAGACCACCCACTATCTTTCCTCTCTTCCCTAGCCCCGAGACTCATGTGCCGCTTACTGAGGGTTGCACTTGATAGTGAAAGCTGAGGCATCAACCTCAACCGCTCTGCCCTCGATACCGTCCAAGTCGAGGAAGGTCTTCTGGTTGTTGACGTTGCCAACAAATGTGCCATCAGCCTTGTTGACGACGCAGTTGATGTTGGTGCCGCCAGGAGCAACGTTCTGCAGGCTAGTGGCCATGATGACACCGCCCTTAACGAGCACGGTGTTGGCGAACACGTTGATGAAGGTGTTTGCAATGCCGTTGGCGGGGACGGAACGGATGGCATTGGCGCCGCTGATGTCGTTGGCGAGCTGAATGGTGAAGAGGGGGGTGGGGGGAGCGGCACCGGGGTAGGCCAGGGCGGAGCTGGCGAGGGCGAGGGTGGATGCGATGATTGAGGCCTTCATTTTGATTATATGGTGGTTGTTGGTGGTTTGGTGGGCGTGTGAGTGCTGTAAGGAGATCTGAAGATTGAAGTGTTGAAGATTGAAGTAATGCTTTAGCTGTTGCTTGCTGGGTGATGGGGTCTTGTTCAGCGTTGGAGATTCCGATCTTTATACCTGGGGGTCTTCGAAGCTATTGCTAGGAATAGCCCCAATCTACGCCAACAAAGCATCGCGAGATATCGTATTGCTCTGCCTCAATGCTACGCTGAGCGGCGGTGGCTTTGGGGATGCGAGACATGTGTTGCACAGCCATAACTAGAAATCTGCTCGTGATGTTGGTTCTGACATCCAAATTGGGTTTGCGGCTCTTCGCCACCGGATGCGAGTGGACTGAGCTATCATTACGCGGTCAAAATGACGGCCGAACAAGCGGGTGGTGGCTGCGAAGTCCAGCTGAGCGATTGGTAAGAACAGTAAGAACAGTAAGCTTGCCAAATTCTGGCTAGTGCTCCAGCTTACATTTGCCATCAGCTACCGTTGGCTCAGCTGTGGCTTACGGCTGATAGGCTCAGCAAGCGAGCTTGAATTTCCTATTTTTGGCGGCTTACAGTTGGTCTCTCAAGCTCGACCGAATGACATTGATTGTGTAGGGCTGAGATTAGGGTGACTCGCCAATGAAGGACGCTCTGGTTCACTAGCGGGAGGTGGGGTGGGGTTGAGAAGAGCGTGGAAGACGATTATAGTGTGCGGCTACGGGAGCTACTGATGCGATGTGTCATATTTGGCGTCGATACATGCTTTCTCGTCGGTATGGGGCTGATCTTACACCGTACACTGTTGGAGATGTTTGAGAACACGATCTGTTGTGCTATCCTCTCTCGTAACGCGAAGGCATGCTAGGTGCGAAGGTCGGCATCTGATGTTTCGATGAGAGCAACATCGCCAGAAACACGAGACGGCTAAAGATTTGGATACGTGGATACGAACGAAGGTCGAGACGGGCCAGAATCTCCACTTCTAGCCATCACGCGAACAACATTGTACGGTTCGTGCTTATTCCAATCCGAACTGTACCGTCAGACTGCGGTCTATCATACCTGGGACCCTTTTGCGCTTATCTTGTATATCCACCTCTTCCACTACCTTTCTGATATATCTCGTGACATAGCACAGCAGGACTCTCCGCTTTCCTCTTGTTCAGGCCAGCCGGCATGCTCTGGACAGTATCCATACTCAGTGACTGCGGCCACAAGCTCTCAACATAAACGTCGACGATTTTCTTTGCCTTGTCATACTCATGCCTAGGTTCTTCGCTCCGAATTTGGTTCAAATGGGCATCCATGTGGTCATATAATACAATAGCCTTGTAACGCCATTGTAGCATTGAGTAAGCTTGATACCCTTCCGTATAGTTGCAAAACGCTTCATCTCGCCTTCGTTTTGCCATTGTAGCTAAATAGCATGTGTGACCTTACCTGGGCTGGAGGCAGTGAGTCCAATTTGTCCCGCAATGCTGCGCAATTTCGGTGGTCTGTTGAAAATTTTGGTCTTGATTGGTGAGATTAGGGAAGGGAAACTTCTGAGTCGCAGGTTCATTCCGCCAAAGCTCATCCGCGACAGTATGATAGACTGGGTTTGCACAGGCCAGTAGTCACAGCTGACGGCGTCATTGGAACAAATTCTGCAACAAATTTTATATTTGTCTTGAGCTGAGGCAAATTCGTAGCGATAATCAATTTCGAGATCGCTGGTGTGCTCTCGTCACTTAGACCTTGTTGCGGCTGTTGCTTGGCAGCAATACAGGTTTTGATCTTGTCATAATGATCACCAGGAGAGTTTTCGATAATAGTCGAGACCTCTGGAAAGTGAGTGTCCGGATTCTTCCAACGTTCAAAATTCAGGTCGTCCGTTATCACCGTAAAGCTGACAGATTGAACATATGGGGGAACGACCTGCTGTTTGACGGTTTCCCAACTCGGCAACCGGTATCCTTGGTGGCACTTCCTGAAGTCGGCTGTTCCAGCGCCAAAGTATCCATCTTACGGTTACTGGATCGGGAACTCCATGCTCCCTTGCAGCGTGCGTCTACACGCATCAGCCACGTTCTATGCAACCCCATATCACTTCGCCTAATTTAAGCAATGGATGCTGGTATACCTTGCAAGAAGGATGATTTACTTGCCAAAAAGCAAGGTACCAAAGTTTGTTGCCAAAAAGGATGAATGTATGTAAAGACACGCCGTACCAACATCGCAACCGGCAACCCACGTCCCGACCGCCTCTTAACCATCCGAGTGTTCGAGAGCAGACTGTTTGAGAAACCATGTTTGGACCAGACTTCGATTAAAGCACGATGCATACATACTCCCTACCTCGCTAGATTGTGATCCAAATATGTCAAAAGGTCCGGGAAAATGTGTTGCAATGCTCTTAATACCACATTCGCTGAACGAACATACGCCTTCAAACGAGTCGGTGCTCATGTTGAATCCGATCTCACAAATGGATATGCTATCGCGCCACTCTCCCACATCCTCCCTGCTTCAGACTCCACATACCTACTCCCACGCTCTCTAAGCTCGTCTCTCCAGTGCTCTTCCTCAACGCGCAGCCTACTCGTCATGCTCTCTCCGTCGTGAAATAACACGCTTTTGATGCCAGAAGACTGCTCCGCGAACAATCGTTCAGCGTGCAAGACCCGCGGAGCTCGAAGTCCCCTCTCCTCGTCTGCAAACCCATCAAACACGTCCTTCCACCCACTCCCCGCGTCACCAAGGAGCACATGCCTCAACCTCACCTCCTTCAAGCACACCTTACTCGGCTCCAAAAAGTCCATCAGATCTCGACTGTGCTCGACTCTCAGGAACTCCAGCGTGACGCACTCCAGTTTTGCAAACCGACAAAGCCGCACCAACTCGCCGAACAAATCCGACTCGAAGCAGCTGTAGAAGCTGAGGTCCAAAACGCGCACGCTGAAGCATTTTGCGAGGAAGCGGATGCTAAACGGCGCGCGGGTGCGCTCGAGTTCGAACCCAGTGTCTGGGGAGCGCCAGTCGCGGAGTTTCAGCTGCAAAACCTTGAGCTTCTCAAAGACCGCATCGAAAGCTCTCAAGCTCGGGGCGAGTGACTCCAAGCGCCCAACGCTGACGGCACCAAAACCATTTCCCTTGGCCATCTCGATGCGTTTCACAGTAGCATTAGATGCGGCGAGAGCAGCCATGGTGGACACAAACGGCCTGCTCATCTCATGTTGACTACTCTCACAATATCTCTGCGCAAACTTACTATATCTCATACCCATCCCCTCATACCCGAATACCACACTCTCCAGCCTCTTCACTTTCTCGAACACCTTTCTGAGGCAAACAACGTCGAAGCGGGATTCGTTGAACCACCTCGCCTCAGTCTCCGCCTGCTGCTGCAACGACTCACAAGCCCCATCCAGTGTAGTGATAAGCTTGGGCCCGTCTTCGTCATCAAAAAGTGGGTCGAAGTGTCCCGCGTCTGAGGACCGGCGGCGCATTTTCCATAGCGAAAGGGAGTGGTGGGGCGTGGCGTCGATGATGAGATGCTGCAGAGCGAGACCGAGTTCAAGGTGTGTTGAGATATCGGCTAAGCGCTGAAGAGAGGGTTTGGTCCATGACAGAATTATGGATGTAAAGAAGCGCGATCTGAAGATCGGGGCTGTGGAAGAAAGGTGGCGGTGGGAAGTAAGGCGGAAGGATTGGAAACTGGTAAGGTCGAGATACGACGCGATCTGTTCGATCAGCTCTGCTGGGAGAGAGGCGATGGAGACATGTGTTTGGGTGGTGGCCATGTCTTATTTTAGCGGTCTTGATGTTCTGTTTTGAGGGCTTGGTTGTTGTTGTTGCACGTGGGTTGGACATTGCGGGGAAGCCGAGCCGATGTCTACTTTGCCACCGCGTAGCTGACGCTACCGCACATCATGCTTCTCGGGAGAATCACATCAAAGGAAACGAGAGGAAAGTCGCAAGTGGTGTTGGTTGTCAGGGAGCGATTTGCTTGTTTTCCATTCACTTTGTTCGACATCTTCAAGCCAAAATGTCGAATACCAAAATATTGTACAGTCTGTTGAGAAATTGAGAGTGATCTAGTCGCTGTCACTGTCGTTGTTGCCTTCAGACGCTTCGCTCTCAGAACTAGAGTCACTTCCACTTGCGCTGTCACTGTCCGAGTCTGAGTCGGCATCGTCATCAGATTTAGAGTCAGACTCGTCACTCGAGCTGTCGTCGCTGCTGCTATCCGAGCTACTCTCATCGCTCGAGATGTCGGTCCTACGCTTCCTCTTACGAGCACGATCCTGAGGCACAAGATTCTGCATCATGGGATTGATGCTCGTAGTTGGCTTAGGGGCTGGCAAAATTGCTGCTGTGTGACCAAGAGCTGACAGCAGAGCTTCGGCACGGCTACGGCGCATGCGACGAACGTATGCATCGCCGTTGGGGTGGTTGGCAAAGTTTGCAACGTCACCCTCAGTCTTCCTGCGCTTCTTCTCCTTCGTGACGCGCTCCTGCAGCGCGGCCTCCTTGACGGCTTTGTGAGCATCTGCGTCCATACCTGCCGGTGCTTTGGCGTCTTCTGCGTCAAGCTCCTTGAGGATCGCTAGCGTTTTCTCTTTCAGTCGTTCAATGACACCTGCACCCTGCAGACCCTTGATGTACTCCAGCAACGCTCCAGAATGCTCGTCTGGGATACGGAAGATGTTCAAGGCGTTGTCTACTACGTCGTTCTGTTTCGCTTTGTTGAACTTCCAATTGCCGCGGTCGTTGTAGTACTGCGTGAGGTAGGAGATGTAGACAGAAGGATCCTTCTTCTTGCCCTTCGCCGCAGCAGGTTGCTTCTTACTGTCTTTCGTTGCCTCCGCTGATTGTGTGACCGGATCTGTAGCAACTTGCTCTTCTTTAGCTGCCGCACTCGCTGCAAACGCTGCTGCTTCCTTCTCTTTCGCTATGGCCTTGCTTTTCTTGACCTTCTTCTCAGGCTTCGTTGCCTCCTTTGGCTTGTCGAGAGTCGCTGGTGCTGAAGTGAAGCTAGGCTGTGCAATAGCTTCTTGGTCTTCGCCCTTCTGCTCTGCCGCCCACTTTTTGAACCACGTTTGCCCACTATCTCCGTCCACTCGTTTTGTGTCTGGGGTAAAGGCGACAGACTTTCGCCGATCGGTTGTAGATGGTGATCCTGAAGAATCTTTGCTGCGGTCTCTGAGTATGGGCTGATGCTTGGTTGGTGTTGAGAACGAGGGCGCTGGAGAATGGTTGATCTCAGTAGAGGCAAGTAAAGTCGCTCTTGTTCTCACTGGTACAGACTCAGCAGGTGAAGGTCCAGTCTCTTCTCGCACGTTCTGCTGAGCCAGCTTTTTGCGGTCCCTGGGAGTGAGCTTAGGCTTCTTCTTCTTTCCTTGCCGGTAATTCGGATCTCCTGACTTGGCAGCTGTGTTGGAGGAGGGCTCCTCTGTGGTGCTGTCTGGCATAGTATAATCGTCTTGCGAACCAATAGGCGCCTCGGTGGGAGCACCTTCTTGGACGTCGGTCTTCTCAGCTACCGTCCTGCTCTTCTTGGTTGATGTCGATTCGCTCTCTTCTGCGGCCTCGTGTTGGTGTTTCCGTTTGCCAAGCTTTGACGATTTGCCATTTTGGGCAGGCTCAGGGGAAGGCTCTGAGGGTGCCTGAGTCTCTTTTACTGCTTCGGGAAGTGCTACAGGCGGAGTTTCGCCCCCATGAGATGTTGTGAGTTCAGGTACGGCGACTCCGGGTTGGGCCTCACTCTGCAGCGCAAGTCCAAGTCTTCGCCAGGCAGGAATCCTCGTTGACATGATCAGAAGTGGAATATGGGATCGTCTTATTACAATTATGCGGAGGCTCGATCCGTCGCTCTTCTCCGAATCAGCTCGATCAGTGTATATGTCAGGATTCGAGTGTCGAATGAGATGCAAGGAACAGAGATTTTGGAGCTGGAATTTTGGTGGCCCGTGCGCCTTCCATACCGATCCCCGAGCTCCATTCCATAGGCGGCCAACGGAAGGCGCGTCCAGCAGCTTGACGCCCACCACATCTCGCTTGCCATCACGACCAACGCCGCCAAAGCCTACAATCGCCTCCAAGAGCTGCACGCGAAATTGAAACATCCAAATACACACATCAACTCGCCGCCATCATGTCTGGTACGTCGCCATCGCCCCTCCGAGCTCGTGTTTGTCTACTACATATGCTGACAGCTCCCCTCGTCATACAGGAAGCGCAGGCTACGACCGACACATCACCATCTTCTCTGACCAGGGTCGCCTCTACCAAGTCGGTACGGACCCCGCCATGCTGCATCCCAGCACCGACTGCCCCGCTGGCAGCTTGGTTGCCCTCTCCCACGTACCCCCGCTAACAGAGCGGTCATGCAGAATATGCGTTCAAGGCAATCACGGCGGCGAACATCACATCATTGGGAGTGAGGGGCAAGGACTGCGCAGTAGTCATCTCGCAGAAGAAGGTTCCTGTACGTTGTAATATTGACTCTGAGAGGCGGTGACGCAGCGCTGACGCCTTGATGTAGGACAAGCTCATTGAGCCGTCTTCGGTCTCCCACATCTTCAGGCTCTCGCCGTCGGTCGGCTGTGTCATGACAGGTTCCATCGCCGATGCGCGAGCCTCCGTCAGCAGAGCGCGAGGTGAAGCTGCCGAGTTCCGCTACAAGTACGGCTACGAGATGCCCTGCGACGTCCTGGCCAAGAGAATAGCCAACATCAGCCAGGTCTACACACAGCGCGTGAGCATGAATAGAAGATATCAGACAACGGAACAGCAGTGCTAATCCCGGCCAGGCTTACATGCGACCACTTGGTGTTGCTACAACGCTCATCTCGTTAGACTCGGAGTTCGGCCCTCAATTGTACAAGTGCGACCCAGCAGGATACTATGTCGGGTACAAGGCGACTGCATCAGGGCCCAAGACACAAGAGGCGCTCAACTTCCTCGAGAAGAAGCTGAAGAACAAGGAGCACGCAGAGGGCAACTGGGAGGAGGTGGTCGAGCTAGCAATCACGGCCTTGAGCACGGTCCTGTCCGTCGATTTCAAGAAGGGAGAGCTCGAGGTCGGCATCGTGGGAGGACCCAGGCTCGATGGCCAAGAGGGTACCGATGCCGCTTTCAGGGCGCTCACCGAGGAAGAGATTGATGAACGTTTGCAGTCAATTGCCGACAAGGATTGAGGGCCACTGGGTGTCATTTCCTCAGGGCTGCCTCAGGGCTGAAAGATGGTGGGTCGCTGAGGTAGCCGCACACACGAGAACCATGACGAGCTCCCGATAGCATTGAACGACCTCTCAGACACAAGAAGTGCTACACAAGCACCAACAATATAAGACTAAGACTCACCTACTTGCATAAGCGCAACAGTGAACTGGAAACTGGACCCGACTTGAAGAGCTTGGGACCTCAGCCCTGGGCTCCACATGGTTTGTATGGTCCTCCGCCCTATACCTCGATGACAGCATTCTCCCTAGACTCCAGCTGCCATGCGCTGCAATATTTCAGGAACGGCCTATCGACGTCATCTGACTGGCCGGAGTCGCCAGCACAGCCGTTCTGTGGCTGACACCGCTCGCTGTGTTCTTCGCCCTAAGAGCGTTGTGGAGATGCTCAGATTGGCCCTACCCGGCGCGATCTTCAGGTTCACTCAGCGAAGACCACGCGAATCCCGCACCGCTAATTATACACCTAGGCCAATCAGCGGTGGTGCTGCGGCTGAAGTACACAGCTTGATCGCATGCCATTCCGGATGAGGCCGTGGGGCTGGGCCTAAAGCGACCTAGTTTTTTTAGTGGCTTTGAACACCGCTGCTGAATGCCCAACGCATGTCCACTCCAGCTGCGATGGTATTCGGGCCTGCGAAATAGGAATGCTGCTCGTACGGTTCCTGCATGGTAGTCTTCTTATGCAGCCTCAGTTTCAGTGCTACTCTTCCACCCCGTCGGAGCCCCATTAGCACCTTCGCAATGCTGAGTGGTCCAGCTATACCAGCTGGACGCTACTCAGGGATCCAGATGTGGACAGTCGGCAAGACGTAGCGGCGGGAGCAGCCCTCACTACTATCAAGCCTTGTAGTGTCAGTGTACCATGTGTCCCATTAACGCCCAGTCTCAACCTCCGTTATATAACGGTCGTCACGCCTCTGCTGATCCTCATCATAGCAGGGTAGCCCTGATTCAACGGCTCAGTCTCCTCTGATCGGCACTCAACACTATCAAGGTCAAACTCTTTGTTCACACGGCCTTCCACTTTTGCTGCCACCATGTCTGACGGACGTATGTACTACTAAATCCTAGCGTTTTAGGTTCAGTCTACAGTTTTTACCATATTTGATCAAATTAAAATCATGTACTGACCATGCCCTCACAGTCAATGATGCCCGAGCGATGCGGATAGCAGAGATTATGACAGACTTCCGCAACCTGCAGCACTACCTGAGCCAATTGCGCGTTACACCGACCGCGGAGGAATACTACCTTGAAGGATACTCACTGCTTCGAGCCTGCGCGACCGAAGCCCAGACCACCCTCCAAACACCCTTCTCTGCCAGTACAGGGGCATCTTCGGGGAACCCGGAGAGCGAGAAGCAGCAATTGAAGACGTGAGTGCGATTTTCTGATAGCGTTTGCTCCTTCAGTCTCGATTAAGGAGCGCTTGGCCGTTATGGGGAGATGACATCAGCGGTCAGAATGCACCTTCCTCGGATGAAAAGGCTGACGTCAGAGCACAGAATCATCACAGACGCCGCAGTACGACGATTCCAGTGCCAACGAGCGTACCTGAGAGCGCATGCTGGCCTGAGATGGATGAACTCGCGTTACAGCATTCTGCGAGGCCAGAAACCCAACGCAAGTCACCTCGCAGCGCTACAGCAGGTGGATGGCACGCTGCGCAATGTATGTCAAGAGCCCCTGCATTACATTGCCCCTCGTCTACTACTTCTCTTTACTACCCCTATAGCAGCTACTGACACAACATAAAGGAGCTCCTCGCCATCACAGACACCTACGTCGAAAGCTCACTCCGCAACCAGGACGCAGCCCAGGGCAAGTGGCTCAACGAAGATCCATCACTCTCACAAATCCAGCAGGCGCTCATGCGCCGATGAGCACTACGATTCATCGATTCAGCGCCCCTCCACCAATCTGCACCACTGCGTTTGGGCAATCAGCCTCACGGCGCCACGCATCTCCTACTCGATACCCATCTCATACTACGTTATGCGTCATCGAAACAGCATCGCTTTCTAGCAACGGCTACTGAGTACGCCGTGAGACGAAACTGGACATCCTTCAACTTAATCAGTTTACCCCAGACAGCGATGCCTTGAGGTGGGACGCCTCGATATTGGTTCACTCTGGGTGCGCGTCTCTCGGGCTCTCCCGCCCTCCCCCTCTTCACTTTTTTTTGTGCTGGTCACACTCTTGAAAAGCATTCACACTTTTCCCCTGGCTCTTGATAACGCTACCAAGCGGTCAGTTTTAGCGTTGGCGTTGGTCTGCTTTTACTCGACTACTCCCTAGCCTACATTTGGTCGCTTGGCCCGCTTTTTGAGGCAAGGCGAGGCGATGGAAGCGGGAACTTCGTATATGGCATGACACCGGGAGATAGTGACAGCATGGTAGTCTTGCACTGTGTTAAGCCTTTTTCACTTCGCTTGTCTATTGTTTTATTCTCTTGCAAATTCTACCTTGCTGTCAGGCTCATATGTAGCCATCCTCATCAAACCTTACCTTATATCGCTATTACCGAACCATAGTATCAACGTCACTCACTACTCAATTCGATTCATTACCACTGCCTGACCACAACTGCAAGCTCGACGCACGGCTACTGGGTGACGCAAATATCGGTCTTGCGATCCTATGCTTTCGCAACAGACGAGCGACGTTGTGCGCCCTGTGGATCCGGCGGGGCCTAGCGCGCAACAGCCTAGAGGGTCAGCTGGGATTGCAAGCGCGTCGAATCCAAATCCGCGGACGCAACCATGGCACCCAGAGGAGCGGTTGCGACCATCCGGCACGTGGAACTCACGAGGAAACGGCCTGAAGCCGTCGTCAGCGGCCGGCAGCACTGACGTGTCGCACCCGCGATCGAAATTGCGGCTGAATCGAGACCAGTGCGGCATCGAACTAGCAGGGCTGAGTCCATAGCTCACAACTTTGACATGCGTCAACTCTAACGTTGACCGCAACACTCGTCAGGATAGATTTGTGATTGAAATCGCAGTGCCTCATGCAATCGACCTCATCGCCCATTCACATTCCCGCAGGACAACACGCGCTTTGGCATCGCCTTATCGTCAAAAGCCATCGCACACCCCGCAGCACTAAACTTCCCCCTTGAAGTGCACTATGGCCTCGGTGAAAGGCTTATGCTGTCCGCTTTACCCCTCGCGGCGCTAGTGGGCTCTCGGGGATGCCGATCGGTAGTGTACCATCCAACGACTCGCGATGATGTGATTAATCATGAGTTAGGAGGCTGGTGGTGAGGGGGAGGCCACGAGTCGCATTGAGCACCGCTATCCAGAATGTCAATCTATCTTTTAGCGTCGATGACCCCTCATCTCAATTTATCCTGGACATGTGAATCGGGTAATTTGCGCGGAGAAGGCGCCTTGTGGTGTCCCCGATTTGGACATGTGAGTATGCTGCCAAGCTGGAAACTGCATGCCTCATTGAGTGCGACGAACATGCAATCAGGCCGATGTATTGAGCCCGGAGTGTAGTGTTGTGACACTGCCGTGTGCAACGCATTCCGCTGCTCCAGGTATGTGGTATTCTTGTTCATCGATTCCTTTCGTATCGTCAGACATGCGCATGCGCATTGGAGTTTGATATCTTCGATCGAGTCGTCTCAGTCTCCATTACGAACTACCTGACCGATTTTGGAACTCGATAAAGAAACTTGATTGCACCTTGTTTCGGCCTTCGATAGCCCTTAATGTAGACCACCAGCTTTCTTCACCCAAATCTCCTCGCCATTATTCCACCCCTCCCTCGTCCTCGACTAGAAACTTGTGTACCCCACCACAGCACTCAACTCTCCAACCCCCTACCACATTGCACAACCCTCCTCCCCGACACAGAGTAGCAAATCCCTCACATACCTCGGAATATCCTCGGCCACCCTCGCTCTCTTTCTATCTCGTCAAACCCTCAGCTCAGCGACACAGACATTACCGGCTCATCGCTGAGATCCATCAGATCACCCACTGATGCCGTATCACTCCCGGTCTCCCAGTCAGACGACGCCGTGTCGGCTTCCACAGGTGCAAGTGCGAATGGAGATGACGTGAGAGGCGCTGCGGATGTGGGGGAAACAAAACACTGGGCCTGGGTATCGGGATCTCGGGGTGCTGTGGCTGCAGCGAATTCAGACGTAGATGGTGGCGAAGACGATGAGGCTGCCGCTGAAGTTTCCGCTGAGACTGCCGCTGACAATCAGAGGCGGCGCGCCTGGGTATCGGGATTGAAGTGTGGTGTGGGTGCGGCTGCGTACCACGCTGCACTCAACGACGGTGTAGCATCGCCCTGGAGAGTCGGATAGATTGTGGAATCGTCCGTCCTTGTCGCCGTCACTGCAGCGCTGGTTGGAGACGTGCGATCGCGTGCCAGTCGCCGTGGCCTCGCCATGTCGGGCATCTCGTCCTCTCCCAAAGCGATCAAGCTAGCGTCTGAAGCCGCATAGGTCAAAGCCTCGGTGCCTCTCAGGTATTCGAGCCTTTGTCTCAGGGGGTAAGGGTCTTCCCCCTCCCTTTGCAGGTCAGATGGGTCATAGCTGGTTCGTGTGATAAAGTCTTCGGCCGTGGTTGCTGGCGAGGGCAGATGTGCCAGTCGTGTCCAGGCATCGGAATCTGGTGTCACGAATGATGAATTGAGCGTAGTGGCCTGCGCTTGCATGGCGCGCCGCTGCATGTCCCGCGGGTACTGTGCGATATCCCATCCGCCACGAGAAGGAGGAACGTGGAACTGTCTGTCTGGCGACGTGCGGTAAAGCGAGTCGACTATGCCGAGTTCGTCGATTGGTGATGAGGGTGGATGCCGGCCCTGACGTGTTGAGTTGCGCAGGGTGTTGGTTTCGCTGGGTTGTGCTATTCCGTGTGAGAAAATTGAGCCTATCCGCTGCAGATACATTTCTTCGTAGACGGTAGGAGGAAGCCACCAGGAATCATGGGTGATGTTTGACTCTTGCGGAGACGATGTCGAAGTATCGTTGTACTCTGACGGGAATGTATACCAAGTACTGGGGTTCATGTGGTCTGGAAGTCTCCTTCCTGTGTGCTGGTACCCGTCTCTGGATTCAGCATCGACTTCATTCCTCACTCTTTCCATTTCTTGCCTACTCTGAGCTACTGCCATCATCAACCTCTCGCGCGCTGCATGGAAATCTTCTGCAGACTCACGGAGATGGTGGTATTGCGGTCTCGGTGAACCTGCCACCCACTCTGTGCGACACATGGGGCAGCCTTTTGCAGTATGGAGATCGGTGGCCAACCACTGCTCGAGGCACTGCTCGCCAAAGGCGTGCGAGCATGCCGGGATACCGGTGATGCGTACGCGCTGTTCAAATGAGTCGCGAAATTCCTCGTGACAGATAGAGCATTCCTCGGCGTGATCGGATGGAGTGTCGACTTTGGTGTGGTCCCGGAGAAACATCTCCGAAGCTGAGCTGAGCTGTGGAGCGAATCCTGACGCCATGCTGTGTGTTTTCTCTTCGTGGTAGGCTGCTACATGTATGGTGGACGTGGGGGAAACGCCCGGCTTAAGTGCAAAGCCAGGTGCGATGCTTGTTGAGGGAAAAGGAAAGTGTCTACACTTAAATATGATTAAAGAAGTATATTTGAAAACAATTGCGGATCTCATCCCTGACCCGGATGCTGAGGAACCTGGACCGTGGTATAATCCCGAACCCTAGACTCCACCAAAAAGACCAACTCGGAAAACGACGAGAATTATAGGCATGGTGTATGATCTACCTGATATTGATGTTGGATACTTTCTGATCAGACTGCGTGAAGTCAGTCCAGTTGCACGACTTGACAAATTGTGATGGAAGTGGTAGCGAGTTCAATATTAGACATTAGTTTCTGTGCAGGACTGCAAGCGCGTCAATGAATATATTTGCGTAAGCCCTGGGGCCGGTATTGCATTCTGTACAATCTAAGAGCAGCCGGAAATAACTTTTGTAAAATAAACCAACAAGTGCAGTGCACTCGGAAGATGCCACAAACTGTGACATAGATTCGAGCAGAGGCTACCAGCTCATCGTACGCGGTTACCTACCACCAAGTCACGAAGACTCGAGATGCTCATGATACGCGACAGTCCACGCGGAGACCTTGTGGCCGTGGCTCGGCCCCTCCGACCTACTTCCCGCTCGGGCATGGAAGCTGCGAGTACGGGCTGGGATGGAGTCCCAACTGGCTGAGTGCCGTAAGCAAATCCATGCGTGCTACGCGCCCGGAGCAGACGCGAGGTCCGAAACCTGGGATAGAGGATCGGGGCATGCTCAGCTGCATAGCCATGGATCTGAGCTGGGGATGGAGTATCCTGATCGGTGTGATCCCCGACTGTAGCTCCAAACGCTGCCATCCTGGTACAGGTACGTGGTGGGGGATTACCTTCCGCCTCTGCGATATCGGGCAGTGATATGACACTAGCATTATGCGGTCCAGATGCTTGTGTGTTCGTATTCCATGAGCGATCGTGACGAAGCGTGCGGAGGTGATTCCTTAGACCTCTTGCGTTGACCTCCTGTCTGGTTTGACTTGAAGGCTGGGAAAGCATCGCATTGCGTTGATAACCAAGGTGGTAAGAGACTTCGGTACGTGAGTCTGTCGCGGGTATTGGGAACGCGTTTGCGTGATCGATTGAACTGGGCCGTCTTACGACAGCTGCAAAGTCTCGGCGATGGTCCGTGGCGGGTGGTGTCACCGTGGGTGAAGCGTTGATTTGCCGTTCAGGCAATCGAAGGTCCGGCAACGACACTGTGCTGCTCTGGAAAGTAGCGTTGTAAATTGGGTACGGATGCTGATCGCTATTTGATTCAGCCACGGCAGAATCCTGTCGATGAGTGGTCGCAGTTTCCGTGGTATTGTGCGCTAGGATGCGTGTTCGGCGACGAAGGACAGGGCCAGGAGAGACGTCAGATGCTGTGATGTTTCTTTCGAGAAACGCATGTATACGTCCTTCCACTTGTTGCAGACGGACTCTGAGGTCCTGTTCGAGACGCACAGTATCCCTGCGCTCCAGACCCTCGAGAGCCTCAATGTTGTTGGCCAGTAACTCAACTGCCCGTTCCATTTCCGCATCGGCCAGTGGCGGGAGCCGGTGGCGGGCTCTCGATTCAAAACCGTCACGGACGAAGGATCCTAGCTGTGTAGGCGGAGACAGCACTTGTGAAGTGTTTGTGTCTCTGGGTGTAGACGGGTTCGTCGATCTGCGACTGTACCATTTCCTCCTGCACACTGGACATGTATTCCTGCTAGGATTGGCGCTGTCGAGGTATGCTTCAAGACACCGTCGTCCGAAGACGTGTTCGCATTCTCTGTTGCTGGTGATACCCACTGGTCCGTGTGCGTTGTCGTCGTATCGGTCGAAGCAGATGCAGCACTCGCTGCCATTCGAGAGGGTGCCGCGTTCGGGTATGATGTAGATAGCCCTGAAGGTTCTTAGGCTTGGGTACCTTCGAGGCATCGTGTGTCACAGCTATCGGTTTCCCAACGTTGAGTGAGCCTCAGTCATAGATAGCAGACTTAGGACTGGGCACAGCCTACTCTTACAGGAAAGGCAGGTCGTCGTGATACTGGTGGTCATAACAACAGAGCGTCCCAGCAGAGCGACTGCTAAGTCACTGCAATGTCGTCGTCGTATCCAATTATCATGGTGCACTAATGCATCACCGCCTGCGATCCATTGTCCCTCTCAAGACCCTTTGGGGGGTCATTACGAGCAGATGTAGTCATCGACATCTGCCGTTGAGCTTGCTGTCTACGAGGTTCGATCTCTCCTGTTCGCACTGAACACCCAAGGCGTATTTGACCCAGCCTTGTCAACAATCAAGTCAATTTCGACCGCACAATTCACGCGCTTACCCAGCGACATAAGAATTAAACCTATGCAGGCAACTGCTAGGCTTGAACAGACAGTTAGTCAAGTCAATCTGAGGTCGCTGGGCCCCACTCAATTGATTGTTGACAACTGTGATTTGACCGGCTTAGCGGACATAGGTGCTGATGAGAGATTTTCTTGAAGCATTGCGCTACTACATTCAGGCACCGGGTCACAATGCATGCGGTGCGTTGCATCACAACACCCATATTTTTCGCAGCGTTGATCTAAACTTAGTCGTGGACCCAATATTGCCGTGTGCTGCAGTACCGGTATCGTGTTCCATGGTTCTTCGGAGGAGACAAAATTAGAATATGGTAGCTGCGCGCGTGCATAGCTTCAAGCCTCAAGTAGTCTATCGTCCCTTTACGCGCCGGAGGTCTCAAACGCGGGGATCGCAAAGGTCGATGGATGTTGAGGAAGCGATTCACGCCGGTCACGATGCGTGTGCGGATGCTGTCGAGCGTGTTGCTATTGCCTGCGCACGCCCAGACAAAGCGCTCACTAGCGCGGCTTATGTCACCATGCGCTGTATTGGGCCGCCCTGTTCTTATTCCCAACATCACATATCAACGCACCCAAATATCCCTGAACCGTGTAAGCGACAATCTCCAAAGACCAAGAGTTGCACTGGAAAAGTTCGATTAGCTCCTACAGGCTCTACGCTGCATGGTATATGGTGTGGATTGTACCATCCCCAGACAGGCTCCCGGTGGGATTTGCGGCTCTTTAAAGGAAGCTACGCACGAAGCTGCCGATTGGTAACAAGAGATCCGAAAAGAACAGAAGTCAGCAGCCATGCGCGTTGTCATGGCTCCCCCAACGCCGGTACTGTGGTGACAGGCAAATACGCTCGAGCAGAAATTCGTTACGACATGTCCGTCCGCTGAGCCTCGGCGAGTATCACCGTTGCTCGAAAGCTCCAGGAATGTATATTAGATGCGGCTCCAGAGAGTCAGGCCAGCTGCTCTGTGGTCCATTCCCGGACTACAGATCCGATGGCGACCAAGGAGCGATTCAATGACTGCGTCGTATCCTCTGGGTGATGGGAATGGGCGCGTTGACGAAGACATCGTGCTCGCCGGATATGCGCGATTGCTTCTCTTCGTACTCGCGGGACGACATCTTCAGGTCCTCGATTTGCGCCTACAGAGTCAGTATAACGCACTCACATCTGCGTTGCAGCACTTGCCTTTGTCAGAGGCGGTCCGATTGTTGAGATGAGGAAGCCATCTCGTCCCTGGTGCATGGTCAACTCCTGGTCATTGTGGCTTTCCATGCTCGAAGATGCCATACTTGGAAGGTGTATGGTCTGACGATCGCGTCAGGACCACAGTGATATCTTATTTCGTTCTGAATCACCGCTCGAGAGATGCCATATCCGGGGATGAAGTACGAGTTCGATGTCGCCATGATGAATGCTCGACAGGGAACGATGCTGACGAGACAGATGATTTTCGAGACAGATGATTTTCGAGACAGATGATATTCGAGACAGAGATGATGTTCGAGACAGAGATGATGTTCGAGACAGAGATGATGTTCGAGACAGAGATGATGTTCGAGACAAAGATGATGTTCGAGACAGGAGATGATATTTGAGCTAGGTCTACTCTGTGTTCAGACGCTGTTGTAGCGATAATGAGCTCGGGCTTCGCAGGATTTATACATCCTGGCAGCTCTGTCTTCAGTCACACAGGCATTGCTGAAAGAGGCAAGTCCACTGACAAGAGAGATAGGCTGAGCATGTCCAAGAGGGTTACCGAGCATGCCCCTGTGTTGGGCTTGTATGCGCTGATGCCGCTCGCCTCATTCCCGCCCTATCGGCCCAATGCCGATCGTTGGGCGGCAGTCGTCTCAACCAATCCTACACATCGCCCTGTTTCCTGTCTTCGCCTCAGCACGCCTCGTCCACTGAGAAGGCGCCTCAAGACCAGACGCGCTGTCGTACAATCACCAGTTCGGCATAGGGCTTCGACGCAGCAGCAGAACTGCCACGTTTTCACCCACCATATTAGAAGCAAATACTAGGCGTATAAGGTCGATCTCTTCGCCACCGCATTATGAAGCGAGCTCTCTAATGGACCTCGTTCGCATGCAGTGTGTTGTTGCGTAGACGAGACTACACTTGCTTTTAGCTGTGGGGTCAACGCTCTTGGCGATCCCCCCCCCCCCCCCCCCCCCCCCCCCCCCTCCGAGAACCACAAATGTCGATCATGACCACAAAGACGAATGCACCGCAACGGTTGGGCATTGTACACCGCGGTGTCACAACTGGCAGGTCGCCGGTGTCTCGCATGGGCTCCTTCCGGCTCACCGCCCCCGCTGTCGAATGATTGGAACCTGTCAGGTTCACGAGGTGTTGAACCATGGCAGGGTCATCCTGTCCTGAGCACGCTGGAAGTTCGGACTACTGGGCAGCTGTGCATTTTCCCTGATACAATGCAACATAGACAACGCACACTTGCAAGCATGGTCGATAATCGGTCGGACCAAAGCAAATGCTCCAGACGGCTTTCGACAGCTTGCTTTTGTTTGCCTGAAGGGCACACTCCGGTGACATCTACAACAGTCGACGAGCAGGTCTCCTGAGGTGGCCCTACTGTGTGCAAGCTCAACCACGTGGAGTGGCGTCGAGTGTGGGCAGGCGCAGAAGCAACAAGCGGCCGACAATAGTGAAGCCGCCGGCACCGAAATTGACGGGCCTCCACAACTCACCGAGACCCACTCGCAATACGTTTCAGACTTTGCGTCGCAGCGCGGCTCGACACATCCGGGGCATCCCTCAGACCCTTCGCATCTCGTTGCATGCCCGATGACGTGCCGGAGACGAACACAACGCAGAGCCTCCGTCCGCCACGGACCAACAGTCCGAGACAACGCAGCCCGGCGACCGCATGCAGCTGCCGGCACAAGGGCGGAGTGAGGCCGCGGTGTGCATTGGCAGAACCGCCGCGGTCAGGCCCTGTTGCGCAAGCTCTCGGTCGGGCCCTGTTGCGCAAGCTCTCGGTCAGGCCCTGTTGCGCAAGCTCTCGGTCAGGCCCTGTTGCGCAAGCTCTCGGTCGGGCCCTGTTGCGCAAGCTCTCGGTCAGACCCTGCTGCGCAAGCTCTCGGTCAGACCCTGTTGCGCAAGCCCTCGGTCAGACCCTGTTGCGCAAGCTCTCGGGAGCACACGAACGTCTGTCCAATGCCCAGGGCCGAGCTACGGCAAGGGAGGCAGAGACCGGGATATCCCGACATGCGGAAGCACGATTGACGACACAATCATTGGGTCTACCCCGCACGATGCCCTTTGAATCTACACGGCAATGCCAGAGTGGCCACCAGCCTATGGCTCTCTGGGGCCAACGACAGGAGTAGGTACTCGGCTGGGAAGGCGATTGATCAGACATACATCGAGTCTGCCCACAAAAAGGTCGTCGCCTCGCGAGGAAGTGGTGGCTTGGGAGCGCGCGACTCCACGCCTCACTCCCCACGTCCTTCAATGCAGGGCCCTCGTGGTTGCAGGGGCCTTCGGAGCGTGCGCATACCTAGAGAACGCTGGCGTTATCGATACCGCCTCACGTCCAGCCGTCGACGTGGCGCGGTGTGGCAGAAGGACCACTATCGAGCATGGCGTTCGGGGTTGAGAAGGAATGGACAAGGATTGGAGCAGGATTGGAGAAGGATTGGAAAAGGACTGGAAAAGTACTGGAAAAGGACTGGAAAAGGACTGGAAAAGGATTGGAAAAGGATTGGAAAAGGATTGGAAAAGGATTGGAAAAGGAATGGAAAAGAACTGGAGATAGGGAGAGGTGTAGACTAGATTAGAGATGAGGGGTTTTACGTTTGCTTTCTTTCCGTGGTGTATTTTTCCGTGGTGTATTGTGAGGACTCCAATGCTGCATCTACCGCTTCACCTGCGACAGCTTCGTCTCTCTTCTTCTCTACTCTGCTCTTCGCCTCTCGAAGATGGCGTCGAGTGCTTGGATCCTGTGCTTCCACCCGTGATACTGTTGATCATGTTGATCATGTTGATCATGTTGATGGCATGGCCGTGGCTATGGGGGCTCGGCAGCTGGACGGGCGGCATCAGCACTTGATAGCGGCCGTTCCAGTGCGCGCGGCCGCTCCAGTGCGCACGGCCGCTCCAGTGCGCACGGCCGCTCCAGCGCGCGCGGCCTGCGAGTTCAGTCGTCGTCCTGGATGACCAGGCCGAGTTCGTCTGCGTTCGGGACGAGCGCCGTGTCAGGATCCTGCTCGTCGTGGCCGTCGGCGGCGCCAAAGACACTTGTCGCGTTCGGTACCAGTTTCCTCTTCGTCGTCTGCACGCCATCCTCGGCGCCCTCCTTGCCGTCGCCGCCCTTTTTGCCCTTCTTGCGCGCGAGCGCCTTGGCGCGCTTCGCCCTATTCCTCTCCGTCTTCTCAGCGTCCCTCTTCTCCTGCGCAGCGCGGCGGGCCAAAAAGTCGGTCGCGGCGGCTTCGCGCTGCACCTCGTCGTCCATGGCGCGCAGGCGCTCGTACTCGCGGCGGCGGCTGGCTTTGTAGACGTGGAACTCGCCGCTGCCGGCGCCCGCGCTGGAGCCCTGCACGTTCGCGACGAGCTCGGGCGGCGCGGAGAGGGATGTGGGCGTCAAGCTGGCGATGCTCATGGCTTTGTCGGGCTTGGCGAAGAGCGCTTCCACGTCGTGTGCCAGTGCGGCGCGCGGTGTCAGGGCCCGGCGTTTGGTCGGCCGCTGGGAGCGCGGGTCGGCGGACGTGGGGATTGATTCGGGGATGGGCTCGGACATTGCGAGGTGCTGTGAGGTGTTGTGAGGTGTTGTGAGGCTTTGTGAGGTGTTGCGAGGTGTTGTGGGGCGTTGTGGGGCGTTGCGAGGTGTTGTGGGGCGCTGCGAGGTGTTGTGAGGCGTTGCAAGGCGTTGTGAGGCGTTGCAAGGCGTTGTGAGGCGTTGCAAGGCGTTGTGGGGCGTTGCGAGGTGCTGTGAGGTGCCGTGAGGGTGTGCGCGCCTGTGATACTAGTCCGGTGAGGGTGGAGCCTGGAGACGGCCGAGATTGGTGTGCTACCGGGCTGTTCGGGGAGTTGGGCACTGTCGGCGACTGCAGGGGCGCGCAAAAGTGCTTCGAAGCGCGTGCGGGAGTGTGGCGTCCGAGTGTGTTGTTGGGTGCAGGCTGAGACGACGGGTCGTTGCTGACTTTACAAAAGCGCTCCGACCCCCGCCAGACCTCCGCCAGACCTCCGCCAGACCTCCGCCAGACCTCCGCCAGACCACATCACAGCGCCGACCATGGGGAAGCCGCGCGTAGGTCGAGCCGTGTCCGCGTGGAAAGACCGGCGGCCAGGCTGACGTCCGCCGCAGATGATCATCTTGATCCGCCATGCGCAGTCCGAGGGCAACAAGAACCGCGACATCCACCAGTTCATCCCCGACCACCGTGTCAAGCTGACGCAACATGGCTGGACTCAGGTGCGTCGGTCGCCTCCTCAGCACGCATCGCACGGCGGCTAACCGCGCGCCCAGGCCGAGGAAGCAGGCCGCCAGCTGCGCTCCCTGCTGCGACCCGACGACACGCTGCAGTTCTACACATCGCCGTACCGTCGGACGCGCGAGACGACCGAGGGGATCCTGCGAACGCTGACGTCCGACGACCCGACCCCGTCGCCGTTCCCGCGCAACAAAATCACCGTCTTCGAGGAGCCGCGGCTGCGCGAGCAGGACTTTGGCAACTTCCAGCCGTGCTCGGCCGAGATGGAGAGGATGTGGCAGGAGCGCGCCGACTACGGCCACTTCTTCTACCGCATCCCGGACGGCGAGAGCGCGGCCGACGCGTACGACCGCGTCAGCGGCTTCAACGAGAGCCTGTGGCGGCAATTCGGCGACGAGGACTTTCCCAGCGTGTGTGTGCTGGTCACGCACGGCCTCATGTCGCGCGTCTTCCTGATGAAGTGGTGCGTTGACGCCGGTCCCAGCCGGAAGCCTCGAAACGAAGAGACGGTGCGCACAGCGCTGACGTGCACAGGTACCACTGGTCCGTCGAGTACTTTGAAGACCTGCGCAACGTCAACCACTGCGAGTTCATCGTCATGAAGCAGAGCGACGCCAACAAGAAGTTCGTCCTGCAGAACGAGCTGCGGACCTGGTCCGAGCTGAAGCGTCGCGCCGCCGCCGCAGGAGGCGGCGAGCCAAAGTCGACGACGCCCAGCAGAACACACTCGCACTCGGCCCTCGCCGCGGCCGCCGCCTCGCCAGTCATACCCGTGCGGCGCTGGGGCGGCTGCGTCAACGGCTGCGACCACGACAAGGTCAACTGGCCGACACGGCCCATGAGGCGGAGCACAATGGAGTACCTCGGACAGCCATCCCTCTCCGAGCCCGTGACCACAGCCAGCCCGCCCATGGAGGAGCAAGAAGACGTCGCCGCGGCCGCGGCCGCGGCCGCCCCCCCCGCCATCGAAGAACCCGCCCCCTCCAAGCTGGGCCGCAAGCACACCGCAAAGCTGCCCATGACCCCCGCCTCGCCCAACGACGCCTCCAACGACGCCACGAGCGACGAGGAGCCGCGCAACCCGGCCGTCCCCCGCGCGAGCGCCGTCCTGAGGCACCTGCAGCCGCCGCATCGCGCGCCCGGCGAGGGCGCCAGCGACGACAGCGACTACTTCCCCGGCATGCAGCGCCTGGGCCCGGCCGTCGGCGGCAAGGGCAAGCTGCGCGCGAGCAGCCGCCAGCGCCAGGCGAGCAAAGAGCGCAAGCTGGCCCGCAAGCAGACGGAGCAGAGCTGGAAGGCAGAGAGCGGCATGGGCAGCGGGCGGCGCGCCGACACGCTCGGCGACGGCGACGAGGATCCGTCGGGTAACGCGCAGGCGCAGAGTGCAGACGCCGGCGACGGCGACGGCGACGGCGACGGCGAACCGATACTCCGCGAGGCCCTGAAGGGCGACATGCAGGTCGAGCACCACGCCGCAGAGCCAGCGCAGGCCGAGGACAAGATGGCGCCGAGCGACGTGGAGCGGTTGGAGGAGAAGGAAGGCACGGTGCGGGAACAGGTCTATTGAGATACCAATCATGATTCCCTCCATGAATCTTCACATGCGGGCGAAGCCGACCCACAAGCGTCTTGTTGCGCAGTGAACAAGACGAACCGACGGCGCAATGAACAAGACGAACCGACGGCGCGTGGGATGGGTTCGTCTGCTTGGTAACGAGCTTGGGTTCAGCGTACACATGCCCGATACCAGTAGCGTTCGACCATGTCGGAGAACATGTCGGAGAACACGTCGGAGAACATGTCAGAGAACATGTCAGAGAACATGTCGGAGAGCATGTCGGAGAACACGCCGGGGAACATGCCGGGGGTGTTGGAGCTGTGAGATGCAAATAGGGCAGAAACTACGGCGCGTCGCCCGTCTCCTCCAGTTCCACGTCTGCACCAGGTGGTCGCGTGCGGCCTCGCAGGGCTCATGCATGACGTCAGCTCACTTCTCCGCAACCTCTCCTTGTCCACAAAACACCAGCTCTCAACCCCACAGCTTCGGCTTGTAGAACAGTCCCTCCGAGCTCCCTACAGTCACCGCGACTGTGACTTTGCCCGTTGGTACTTTGCCGCAGAGTCGTCACGTCTCATCCGGGCCCTTCCCCGCATTTAACCAGCACACCCAACACCTCGGTATCGCGCTAGTCCAGGGGCGTAAACAGCACCAGACCGCAACACGCGCCCCTCGAACCGACACGGCAAAAGTCAACAGCGGCGTCGAGCCGCAAATCCAATCGTTCTTCTCTTCCCGCTCGAACAAGATGGACGACTGGCAAGACCACGCGCTCAGCACGCGGCACATGCACAACCGCAACAGCCGGCGGGGATCTGGGAGAGGCAAGAAGGGCGCCGCATTCGACGTGCGCAAGGCCTTTGGCGAATACAAAGTCAAGTGCGCGGCGTGGGAACGCGCACTGGGCGAGCTCGAGGTCGATGGCCGCAACGACGACGAAGCGGGTCTGGAGCTGCTCCGGCTCACCGAGGACGGACAGGGCGTGCTGGGCGAACTGGTCCTGCCCGGGGTGCTGCGAGCGAGTGTCGTGCTGGCTGCGAGTCGCAAGACGCTTGCCGTTACCACGCGGCAGCTGAGCGGCGAGGACGAGGATTCGGACGAGGGCGATGAGGAAGGGGGTTCGGACGACCAAGACGACGGCGAAGACGACGGCGAAGAAGCGCCGAATCGCTTCGCCACGTTCGAGAAGAACAGCTTCCGCAGCCCCAAGTTCTGGCTCGCGTGGAACGGCACCCTCACCCTCGCCAAAGAAGACACACCGCCGCCCTCTCCCGCTCTCGCCCGCAAAGGCAGCCAGCTGCCGTCCGACTCGCCGCCCCCAAGCCCGACGCTGCACCGCACGGGGTCCTCATTCCCGCCGCCCAAGCCAGCGTCAGCAAGCACGCAGCAGTGCGCCGCCGAAGGCCTGGGTTACGTGACGTTTACCGGCAACGACTGCCGCAAGTTCAAGGGCACGCTGAGCTGCAGGGAGCTGGGGTGGAAGGACGTGGCGGTGGCGGGGTTCAAGGCCGTGTCGAGGAGCGAGAGCGATCGCCAGGTGTTGTGGGCCGGGCGGGATGCGGAGACGGGGTGGGTGGAGCGCGAGGATGGGGATGGGGATAGAGGGGCGCGCGTGGACGCGCGGAGGAGGGTGATTTTTGACTGAGGTGGATCTGCCGAGCAGGACGAGGATAAGACGGAGTGGAACATGGTCCAGCAGTGAAGATTCATGGAGGGATTCGTGATTGGTATCTCAGTACCATCCATCGGCACGTCGAGATGTATCACTGTGCTATTCGATAGTCGTGCATCTCTCGGGTCGGGATACGCGCCGTTCAATGCAGCCTTGGGCAGTGACATTCAAGGACGTTGGTGTCGGCAAGTCAGCGCGAGGCACAAAGTCTTGTTGAGAAGACAACCAGCAGCTCACACCTGATTGTTTGACCAGTTCTCGTCATGCACTGGCCCTCACTCCACCTCCCTCACTCACCTGTTCTCCTCCCTCCTTCACCTGTTCTCCTCCCTCCTTCACTTGTTCTCCTCCCTCCTTCACCTGTTCTCCTCCCTCCCTCACTTGTTCTCCTCCCTCCCTCACTTGTTCTCCTCCCTCCCTCACTTGTTCTCCTCCCTCCCTCACTTGTTCTCCTCGGTCTCATCAGGCAAAACACTCCACCACTCAAACTCCGTCTTCCGATCGCCCTCAGCCCGCCTTCCAGTCGCCGAGTACAAAGCTCCGTCGAACCTACTACACATCAGCAGCCATCTACACCTCCCCTCCGCAGACACCACTCACGGCCTCGGCGCCACCGCATCGTCAAGCTTCGCCTGCCACTGCTTTCTTTGTCTTTCCTTCTTCTGCTTCCGGAACCCGCGCTGTTGTTCTGCAGACTGCACTTCTGCTTCGAGTCTGCTTCGCTCTTCTCGCGATGCTGTATCGCGCTCCTGCGTGAGGCGCTGGAGTTCGGCATCTGGCATCTCGTAGCCGCCGTCTGAGCGGTCTGAGGCTGGCGCTGTGGTGGCTTTAGAAGGTGGGGGTTTCGTTGCTGAAGCCATCTTGGATATTTGACCTGCTGTCTGCAACATGGGAGTCACTCTTGCGACGACTGCAAGCCATGTGGCAGTTTGCTGCGAGCAATTGCTCTGGGCCCACTCCACGCTATCATGCGGTCTGCTTTGGAAAAAACCAAACATCAGCCTCTGCTGCGACGAAAGATCGCAGTGACTTTGAGCTTTCTCTGTGTCGATTCAGATTGGTCACATAATGTGTATCGCTGCTGTCCTGATAGATACCACCCCATCATTCTCTGATTGAAGCCGTACCTGTAATAAGCTTGCGATGTAATCTCTCGAGCCAAAATACAGAGGAATTCCAGCTTGATGTGTGACCACCACCGTGTCTTGTCCCCAATCCTCCAGCAAACTATAATCCACCTATCGCTCGATCGGCGCTGCGTTGCCTTCCCTCATCCGCTCGTCTCTGCCAATCAGTCACAACACCACCTCAGCACATCGCACACTCATCGCCATCATCGCCATCATCGCCATCATCGCCACGCCCACGTCCTGCCTATAAGGCTCTGAGTATATCCCATATCGCCGCCAAGATACCTCGTGCCCTACTTCTCGTCAGTCCATTGTGGCGGCTGGTTTGAGGTTGTCGGAGCTCGGACTGGGCTTGATATGACGGCTGGTCTTCTAGCTGCTGTTCCTCGTGGTCGGTGACAGCATTGTTGTCTGTTTGGCGCCCTCCGTTCTGCAAACTGTTTGGCTTGTTCTCGGACTTGTCTTTTGATAGACAGGGACAGCCGCCACTGTCGCGCAAAGAGCCGTATGTTGAAGTGTACGTCAGCGTGAGGTCCTCTATGGCCGTCTGCACTGTTTCGGGAAAAGTGTCGAAGTAATTCATGCGTTGTGTCAGGGTTTGTATGTCGCTCGAGATCGTCTGAAGTAGAGTGGAAATAAGGACATCTGTCAAATGTGAGCCAGTGGCTCCAGAAGAGAGACCGGCTAAGGATGAAGCTCCATAGCTGCTTGTTTGGCTCATACAGGAACCTGTGTCGATCTTGTCTACAATTTCATCGATCTTGCTCTCGAGTCTGGTCATGTCTTCGTGAGCGAGGTCTGCACGAGATTCTAGGTTGTTCAGGCGGTGGCCAAATGCGTCTAGGAACGCGAATGCTCGCCTACCAGCTCGAAATGAACTCTCTGCGAACGGTGACTTTCTTGGCTGACTGGAAGCTCTCAATTCCCGTGGATGCCTTGGTACAGAAGGCACACTGCCTGTTAAATCATCGTTGTTTGACCCTGCAAATGAATGATCGCACGGCGTCGACAGCGGTATCGTGGCAGACTGAGAACGACCTTTTGGATGAGTCTGCACTGGAGGCGAGGCTAGTTCCAGTATCGTAGAAGGCTGCTCGTATTGCCATGAATCAGATGGGACAATTTCCTGGTCCGAAACTGATGCCAGAGCTGTGGGCACATATGGAAAACTGCGTGGATCCAAGCCCGTATCACGCTGTGATGGCGAGCCAGCTAGAGAGTGTATATCCTCAGCGTTACTGGCATTGGCGTTGGATGCACGGTTTTCATCGTAATCGGGTTTGAGATCGGCAGAGTCCTTGTTGTGACGAGACATGATGGGCAGGTACGAAGATGGTGCTGGGTCGGGTTGGTTGCTTTATTGTACCCTGTCGACTAGCTTGCTGCAGAGACTTGCGGATGCTGTGAGAAGCAATGGAACTTCATAGACTCATTTTAAATTTCTGTCAGCTGGAAATTATCCATGCACTGCCCAAAGAGAGGATATTTTCGTAGTGCATACGTATCAGTGTACAGAGTGAAAAATGTCCTTTGCTCCGACAAGTATTGATCCAATAAAGCTGGACAGAGTTCATCTTTCGTGTGCTTTCGAGACCAACGGATATTGTAAACAGCCACTAATACAATCGAGAACTAAGACTGTCGCCGATCGCAACCTGGGCCAAGAGGCACCCAAAAATATTCAAATTTCAACGACACTTCCAAGTTCTCTTTGCTATGCTGCTGCGATATTCTCCCAAATTACTATTCAATACGCCACACGAACGTCTCCCAAAGTCACGTCAACAGTCAAATACCGGCTGGATCAGCGTCACTATTGAACCAGAAAATGCTTGCCTTCTGCAGGGCCTTGCAAATCTTGAGAAATGCTTCAACTTTTGATCGCAAATTGTGCAACACACTCCTCAGACTACCTCTACTATGCTACGCAACAACTTAGCACTAGTTCGTCACACTTCCGCTTGCCGTCCTCCCCTCTGTCGTATGGTGGAGTCTCCTCGTCTACCTAGCGAACTATGAGTCGTGGAACACGATCGAGCAACATACGGCTCACATCCAAGATCCGATAAACCAAGTCTACGTACTGCGGCCTGCAATTTGCGGTTAGGTTTTCACAGTTCGATTCTACAACGAACGCCCTATCGAGGCGAGGTGCGTAGCATCGACGATTCTGAGGCTGTGAGTGCCTTTTCAGCTGATCAGCATTGAAGATGAGAAACTGCAGAGCCTGAATTTTGCCTCATTTCGGTGTACTCTGTGATCGGCCAGATGTATACTTTCAAGCTGAAAGTAATTGTTCCGAAAGCTACTGATGTCTTGCATGGCTGGTGGTTGGAAGTTGGCAGAAAATAGAGGCGATTTTCCTGTGCAGGGGTTTTTCCCGGCCTAAGGGACGGACATTAGGGTGTTTCACTTTGTCTATGTATGGCGGCTTCGAGAAGCATGCGCCACAGTCTAATTTCTTTTGGTCAAGCGCAGATGAACATTATGGCAAATAGTAATTTGACATATTACAGTTAGCTTAGACAACTGTATTACTTGTATACTGTCTAAACTAACTAAACATAGAAATAAAGAAGCAAGCACTAAAGTTGAAGCCTATCTAGATTTAATCTACATAGATATAGGAGGTCCTATAAGGCCTAAAGCATTAAGAGGCTTTAAGTACTACATTACTTTTAGAGACAGCTATACAAAATATCTAGTAGTAAAACTACTTAGATCTAGAAGTAATATAGTAGAGATTATTAGGACTACTATTGCTGAGCTAGAATTAGAGGCTAAAGACAATAGCTCTAATAGTTCAAATAGTAAGAATACTAGTAAATCTTTTAGCAACAATTAGGTCAAAACTTTGCAGTTAGATAACGTACTCCACGGGCGAGTCGCCCACACGGTTTGAGATTCTAGCAATTTTACTAGTTAATTTTTAGTTTTTTACCTTAAATATCTTTACCTATAGTAGTTAATAAATTTTAAAAACTTTACTATAGAGCTGCACCTGTATAAATTATAAGAATCTAGAATTACTAAGCTCTAGCTAATAAGACTAAAGAGCTATCAAAGAAAATCTAAATTACAGGGATTATTTTAGCGTACTTTTCTATAACTTCTTTCCTACTCTAGCTAGAGCTTAGTAATCTAGAACATTAAGAGTTCTTATATATAGAAGTATTGTATTAATTTTATAGATGATTTTATTGAGCAATTATAGAGTTATTAAGGCCTAGATTGTTGATTTTCTCTAGTAAAATCGCTAGAATCTCAAACCGTGTGGGCGACTCGCCCGTGGAGTACGTTAATAAGTTTAAGTCTAAAAAATTATATTTATACCTAACTAGCAAAGGTATTGTTGCTAGATACTCTGCTCCTTATACTCCTGAGCAAAATGGTGCAGCAGAGATAATAAATAGAGTACTCTTTAACAAGGTTAGAGATCTGTTGATTACTAGTAATCTGTAACGACTATCCACGAACACGACACGTGGCGTAGCGCTCATAGCAGCTAGAGGCAAAGCTAGCTGGCTAGCACTATTATTGTCTATATATATTATACTACGCAACGAACACTTGCTTAAGTCTTCTTGTGCTTACCTTTTGGTATAGGCAGAGAAGTCACGTAGTATTGATTTCGAGGGCAGGGCGCCTACTCTGTTACATAATCTACCAAAGCTGATCTGGGGTGAAGCATTACTAGCTGCTACGTACTTCTGTAATAGAACACCCAGTAGCTCTATAGAGTTTAAGACCCCTTACTTTATGAAATACAAAGTACTTGTAACGACGCAGGCAAGATGAGAGATATCTGGAATAGGTGTGAATCCGCTACGAGGCATATGGGAGTGCTAGGATGATAAGAACACTAGGATATATTCTTGTCAGATGCTCGTACTGTGAGCCAGAGTATGTGCTTAACGAGATCTTAGGTGGTATAATGATATATTGATGATCGTGGCGATGGTGTCTCTGCCGTGGCGTCGTGCTGGTTGCTACAGGATTGAAGTGGGGGGGAATTAGCGCTGTTCGCGGCCGCCGGTGTGCGGGCCAATCAGGAGTTGCCAGGTCTCGCTTAATCGACCTGGCAACTGCTGATTGGCTGCACGACAGGTCCCTGCTCGATTGCGCAGATCCGACCTCTCGCCGCTCGCTCTTATCTGACAATTCTCTACACCTATAGGTCTTGTAAGAAATGATACAGAAAAACTACTCTACAATGCTACAGTTCCTTGCTCCTTGTATATGAGGGTTTGGTGGCAGATTGGTGCGAGCTCATGCCATGCGACAAGGGCCATGGTCAAGAGTCGCTGGAACCGTATCCTAGTGGTATCGGGTCACTGTTCGTAGCGCGTTGTTACATAATCTAGGTGTCTATTCTGCTTGTGCAGGTCGCCCAGCGCGTTAATTGCTTAGGGTTGTTTAAGAGACGTTGTAAAGAGCTGCAGCACGTTGCTAGGAGAGATTCGCGTCTTGTTTTATAGCTTAAATTGCAAGGTGTACTCTAGCTTCCTTTAAATGTCCTAAATCGCGTTGTTGTTGTAGCATTGTGGTGTAGATAGAGATGTTGGTGGGGTCTTGGCGGAGTGACTGGCATACCCATGTGACCGGCATACCCGTGAAGTACGTTAACCTTCTAAGCAGATAGATTTGAAGAGCTCCTATGCGCGGAGCTGAAATTCGCGACCAACGCAAGTTCTTGTGTTTCTAAGCGGCGGGGTGTTCGACCTGCTGGGAGGGAGGTTATGGTGATCTTACCAACATGCTGCGTTTTATTTTGAATGCTCCTACCCGATTCAGAAGTGTGACCGCTGTGGAGATCCGTATCTTACTCAGCACAACTCGAATGCTCGTGATTGTGCTGTCTGTCACGGGACTCAAGCAGTCTTGGGGGTCCCGCCGTAAGTTGAGCTCAATAGAGAGCTATAGATATGAAGCTTGAGTGTTTGACGTGCAGGGCTTTTGTGCTGCATTTTTAACGGGCGACTGGTGGCATATGGGGCCTTCCGTATCTTGACCATATGGTCATCAGATCGATATTGGATTCAGATGGCAGGTGCGTAAGCGAGAAAGGATTGAGGAAGATTTGGCGAAGTTGGAAGGAGGCAAGGGTGTGGAAGATGAGGTTTGATATTGGCATAGCGTCGGGATCGCTGATGCGCTGATATCTATTGTCAGACATAGAAAGGGTATCATACAAATTCAGCCGAGTGCAAGTAAGAATATCTGTATCGCACAATCTGCTCAAGGGGTAATGCGCCAATCCATCGCGTCACCGCTAGTTGAGCTTCTTGTTGCCGACCTTGACAGTCTTGCCCTGGTTGCGCTGGTACTGAAGGAAGCCAAAGATGGCGACAGCGAGAACACCGAGCATGAGGACGTTGCCTGTCTAGCATTAGCGTTGGATCATCGTGAGTATGTGAATGTCGTGACGGCTTACCGAGCACGAAGCCAACGATACCTCCAGCAAGGTCGAAAAGTCCCCGGAAAAAGTTCATCAACAGCTCGAAGATCTCGGAGACGAATTTGAGCGCGAAAGAGGCCGTCGTCTGGACGAGTTCACCGGCTGTGGTAAAGAATGACCAGACCAGCTCCACCAAGGAGGTAAAGACGTCGGAGAGTGACTTGACGATGGAAGTCATTGTGGTAGTGAACCGTAGGTAGATTAGAGCAGGTTGACTGCAGTTTTGAGCTGAGATGTCAAGTGAATCAGTCGCGGGCTGCGTGCTAATGTAAGTGTTGCGTGGTGAAAGTGCTAGCGCTGTTGTTATGTATTCGCAAACGGCGAAGGTAGGCGCAGCTTTATGTGAAGGGAAATGACGCTGCAACTACGTGCGATGCAAATAGGTGTTACGAATCGCGTAGGATTCTTGTTTCTACGAGTACCTTGTCGTCGATCATGGACACGTTTGAACGACCTGAGGCGTGTCTGGAGGTGGCTGGTTGGCTGTAAGGATGAATGCTGCACTTTGCTGATTGGCGCAATGACGTAGCACACGGCACACAGGTCTTGTTCAACAACGAGAAGCGAGATTGAACCAAAACTTCCCATCGTTCAGGAAGCAAAATCGTTGTCCACCGATCTTGTGTCTGTCACAGTGAGGAAAAGAGCGTGATGATGTGCCTTCTGTAGGGCTGGCTTAGTCATGGCTGTGGCTTGGCGTTTGTGGCTGAGAAAAGCAGGTTGCTACGTCATTTTCATTAATTTACATTCCACAACATCAACTAACAGCCATGTCTTCTTTTGACAAGCTTTTCGCAAAGGGCAAAGCCAAGGTGAAGGAGCTTCAGGCTCAGCATCTTGGAGGGCAGTCGCAGCATCAGCAAGGCTACCCGAGCCAACAGCCGCAACAAGGCTATCCGCAACAGCCGCAGCAGGGCTTTAACCCGCAACAACAGTACTCACAGTCGCAATATTCAGGAGCTCAGTATCCACCGCAAGGACAATACGGGCAGCCTCAACAGCAGTATCAGCAGCCTCCGCAGCAATGGGGGCCGCCACCACCTCAGCAGCAGGGCTTCGCACCGCCTATCCCACAGAATAAGCCGCATTCACCGGCGCCGCCAATCCCCCAGAACCGTCCAACCTCAGCGCAGCCTCCGCCTCCCCAGAACATACCACCTCCATACAGTGAGCGGGTGTACTGGAAGCCTTCATTCGATGCCGCTACGCCGGTATCGCAGAACTTTAGGCATGAGCTTGGTGATCATGGCTGGGGCAACGACGAGAAGCAGAACTACACTGACTCACCTGCGAATTCCTTCCACCATGACAACCGTCTTGTCGTGCGCGGACTGGTCCAGAATGGCACCTATACTTCTGCGCGCTTGACGTCTCACCAGACATTGTCCAGACCGCGAGGCTACATTGAAGCCACCACCCTCCCACCGAGCGCACCAGGCATCTGGCCTGCCTACTGGATGCTGCCATGCGAGCCTTTCAATTGGCCTGGCGACGGCGAGGTCGACATTATGGAGAACTGGAATGACGAGAAGACAAACCACTCGTGTCTACACTGGGGACATTACAACGGCGATGACGCGCAGAAGCACAGAGTAGTACAGACACCGCTGCCAGACCTCACGACGAGACCACACACGTACGGCTTTGCCTGGCTTGAAGAGGAAGGCATACCAGAATGGCGCGGAAGACTCATCTGGTACATCGATGGCAGGCCAGTCATGAAAGGCAACATCCCTGCGGGTTCGCGACGGATGGAGGACTACAGAATTTTGATAAATATTGCAATGGGTGGAACTTGCAACAAGGGCAAGCTGCCGAATGATGGTTACTACGACCTTGTCGTCAGCGACTTGAAGATGTGCGAGGAGCCGGTCGGTGGATGGCAAGCTTTCGAACAAGCGTGGAGTGCCACACCAGAGGGTAAAGTTATGTAGACCCCCGGTCGTGCCAAGCATGACCGGTGCGTTGCCGTCAATTGAAAATGTTTCCCTGCCGATGAAAGCCGAGAGGCCTTGCAAGTCACATCTTTTTCGCGTGCTGTATATGGCCACACAGGAGCTATTCAAGACGTACTGTTGTCTAGATTGCGTAGCGATCACGCCGTGGGAGCAAACGACATGGGTTGAGGTATGTCGAGATCCGCGTTGTTTGGCCCCGAGATACAGACTGGCCTTTGGCAGAGCGTAGTGGATCACAGACCGAAAGAGGTCTCATGGCCCACAGGACAAGAAACGCGGCCTGAAGCTTGGACATGACGACCTGACGCTGTCATCATTTATCTAGTCTTACCATAATGTCTACGCACGCCGAGCAGTCCCTGCTGCTGGCATGGCATTTGGTCCCTTGTGCCGCATACTGGCGCGCTGCATGTCCGAAGAGAGACACGGGGTTCCGACCACGGAGTGTTTGCCATAATCTCTCTCTCAATGATGGCCCTCACTTGGAATGTCCTCGGGCAAGAGATTCGGTCGCTCGAGTCGGGAGGGTTCGAACAGGAGGTAAGAGAAGAGCTGGATTACCTGTTATCGTTGCCAAAGTCGCAGTCTCGGTTATGGAACTAGCCAATGTGAATAACATGGCGATCAAGGACAGAGATTAACGCGGTCACAAAGACTGAGCGGTGGTATGCTCTGACATTTGGTTTCAACGCTCTGGTATTGAGCTCATATTATCGCGGAGACTTGCCCGATCGGCGATTACTGTCATGCTCTGACTGTGGCCGGTCCGCAAGACTCCGACCGCTGAAGGTTTCCCGTCAGGTCCTTCGAAAGCCAAAGACGGAGCGATCATCGCCATACAAGTGAATCTGCCGCTAAGTTTTGAGACTCTGGTGGGGTATCACCGAAGGGCAAAGACAGTGACTAGTATTCTTCATTGGCTTGTCGCAAATTCCCTTTTCGCATCAGCGTAGATCTGATCCATCGTGAACGCCGTTTATGATACATGTAAGCATGGAGTCTCAGTGTATGCTCGGTATAAGTCTTCAGCTGTTCTCGAGCAAGTAATAGCACGAGACGTCTTGGCTTGACACAAGGCTCAGGATCTGCAACAGACTCAGTTGGTCGCAAGAATGGTGGTCCCACTATACCTGGCAAGATCGCCTTCCCGGTACCATGCGCATACCGCTCGCTGTTCAAGAAGCCCGATGGCCATACGAATGGGAGACAGAGCTTGAGGCTGCCTGGTCGATGATCGATCGTCCAAGTGTTGGCTCTCTCGCAGCGTTCATCATGTCGCCTATCCTCTCCGCAGGTAGTATCTTCTAGGCATGGGAGGCGTGTTACGAGTCTCACCTCCTGTCACTGTCTCGGCTGATGTGATCGAGGAAGGACCGCGCGTACTCAATGAAGCTTTTGAGCACGTGCTGAAAAGTCATATGGCGAAACTAGAAGTGATCTTGCCGTCTATGGACTGAACTATATTATCTCAAACATCTTGAATATAGTATTCTCCCACGCTCTAGATATTTTCCATGGCATGATGGGAACTTCTTCGCAGTTACAAACGAGAAGAGTTTTTGGACGAGCCGCATCACTACTTAGTAGTGTAAATAGGTACGGTACTCCATATACGCGTAATCATTGAGCAACACGTCAACAGAACGTCAGCGTGTCTTTTAATCAGTCGTCCATTGACTGCATCCAAAATGCTACGAGAAATGGTGCCCGAGGTGATTGGAGAGTTGCGACAGGGAAATGCCCCGAAGTCGCAAAGGGAAGGATTCCGCGTTATCGCTTGCAATCACGTCATTGCATGATTGGTCAGCGTAATCGAAACAACATCCTCTTCCGCGGCGTTGATGTTCAATGGCCATCAACAACATCGATAGCAAAGCGAGATGGCTTCACATCGCGATATAGAGAATGGCTCAACGCTAGGCGAACGCGAGCCTCTGCTCGCTTCTCCACGAGACGCAGGAGGCGCATCCGCGCCACCCGAGGATGACACGGTGGCGGAACCTCAATCGGAAGCTTCGAAACGAAGGGAGTATGGATGGAGAGGTTTCTGCATAGTAGTGGCTATCTTGGTTGTTGCAGTCTTCGTAAAGGGTTGGATCGAATCTGATGATGTCGACGTGAGTGCTCCTTCCAAGACATAGGCCTACCAGCCGTTTTACTGATAAAATATCATAGTTCGATCTCAAGGGAGCCTTGAAACGAGCTTTGGGAGGGGGCTTGAGTGGTGCAGCTGCCATGGTGTTGCAGGTCTTGCTATTGATGCCTATCCGGACCATCATGAACTATCAGTACCGCCACGGTACATCATTGACTACTGCAACGAAAACGCTCTACCAAGACGGCGGATACGGCAGGTACTACGCGGGTATGGGAGCAGCACTGTTTCAAGGTATGTATGAGTAATTCTGCGCTGCGTCTGTCCAAGCTTATCAACGTTCAGGTCCCATCGCACGATTTGGAGACACAGCAGCCAACGCCGGTATACTGGCGCTCTTGCAATCGAATGGATACTTGGCCGGCCTACCATCACCCATCAAGACTATATTTGCGTCTTTGTGTGCCGCTGGCTTCAGAATGATTCTTACACCGATCGATACCCTGAAGACTACCCTTCAAGCCGAAGGGTCCCGTGGAACAACCCTGCTTCGTCAGCGCATCAAGGCCAATGGCATTGGAAGCCTCTGGTGGGGCGCGTTTGCGACAGCTGCTGCAACATTTGTTGGTCATTATCCTTGGTTTGCTACATACAACTTCCTTTCTGATACCATTACGGAGCCACCAAGGAGCAACATCGTCCCGTGGCTTCTGAGGGCCGCGTTCATCGGCTTCTGTGCTTCGATCGTGTCAGACACAATTTCGAACTCTTTGCGCGTAGTCAAGACGTATCGACAGGTGCACGAAGCGCAAGTGTCATACACTGAAGCTGCGAGGCGCATCATCCGTCAGGACGGAAGACGAGGCCTTTTTGGGCGTGGACTGAAGACGAGGATCATCGCCAATGGCCTGCAAGGCATTCTTTTCTCCATTTTGTGGAAATTGTTCCTCAAGATCTGGGAAGATAAGACAGGTGACAGCAAACACGCGCATTAAGCCAGTGTAACTCGTTTCCGAGCGTTAAAGCGACATCACACAGCAGCATAGGCCTTGTTCGGTGTCACAAACAGGCGAGTAGTTGTTGCAGATATGAAGGACATCCCTCCAAGACTAGACTTCCCGGAGGTCCCGCCTCGTGGTTGGTTGGTATTGATCAACGTCGGTAGGGCGGTCTATATAAAGGTAAAACTAGTACAGAGCCGCCACAAAACCTCCTAGGGGGCACAAGGATGCGTCTAGTAGCAGGCTTGTAGTGCTTCAACGCTGCTAGGAAAGATATTTTGTGCTTAATTAGCTACCTTGATAGGCATTTAGTTGTATCCCCTGCGTCTAGGTGCCGAGGGGACAGTAGTTTTCTATAGCATAGGCTATTAAGTCAGCAGAGTAATATCCCCAGAGTGTTTCCCAGTTCCCGCAGGCCCTAGAAGATGTGTAGATGAGTGTTGTGTAGGGGCAAGAGGGGAGAGAGGAGAGAACGGGGGGGGGAGGTTTCGTGTCGCAGGGAAGCGCGTCGGAGGCCCCCTGTCCGAGGGAAATCACTGGAAGGATCGCGTTCTGCAAGAATCGTTAAAGCTCAATCTAATACCGGTCCTGTTCAGCTCATTCAGGACCACAGTCACAATCAATTGACGAGCATCTGCAAACATGTGGTGGGGGGCGTCTACTCTGGTACTGCTTGCAAGTAGTTTACTCCCCTCAGCTATTGTGTCACCTTTACAGGCCATTATCTCGCCGAACGTGTTCCCAAATACTGACAAATAGCCTCTCGCCACTGTCGGCAAAGCACTCCAGCAACGGCTCCCCGACGCTGACCTACAAGCCATCATAGCTCGGATATCACGAGCCAATATTGAGGCGATGTCCAATAACTTGTTTCTCTCGGCATCAGGCATACACAGTCCAGCAAGACTGACCCCAACCGTGGTATTGGAGCAGCGCGTTCTGGCTCACCGAGCAGTTCGAAGCCGCCGCTGCAACCAGTAACGGCTCGATGAGCGTTCCATAAAATAGCTTCATCAAGTATACTGGCGATAACGAGCGCATTCTCTTCTCTGTCAAGATCACAGCAGTGGTTGCAACTCTGATAGGAAACAAATATCCAGAACGACGGTACGCTGTTGTTGGACACTATGACTCGCGGAACAGCAATCCTGTGGACTGCGAGGGCGCTGCACCCGGAGCCGTCGACGAGTAAGTGCGAGAAGTGCGCTTTCTACAATCACAAATAATTATTCACCAACATGGCCAAGTGCATCTGGTGTAGCGGTATCCCTGAGACTAGCTCGAATCTTCGCAGTTTACAAGCCGAAAGCCTCTATCGCGTTTACTGCTTTCCTTTTACGGGCGAAGAGCAAGGCCTCTTGGGTGCCGAGAACCTCGGCCAGACCTACAAGAACAGTCCGACCAGCGTCGCCGCCATGATAAACCTTGATATGATCGGCAATTTGAAAGCCGAAGGTGGCATGACTGATTCCTACAAAATTCGTCTGTTCTGTCTGGGCACACCGTTGACCGAGAACTCCACAAAAGTCACCTCGCCTCGGTATTAGCGGCGAAAATCACAGCCCCTCCAGCAATTTGGGACGCCACATCTATAAAGTAGCATCCATCGCATTTACTCAGATGACTGTCTGTCTCATCTACCGCCTTGATCGCTACAGCCAGGGCGGCGATCATTGAAAGTTCCTTGAAGCTGGTTTTAATGGTGTTTGGTTTGTACAGGCGAACGAGGACTATACGCAACAGAACCAGGACATTCACATTCAGTATGGTAAGCAGTACGGTGATCTTGTCGAGTTTCTGGACTTCGAATACAATACACGCGCGGCAAAGGTCGTAGAAAGCACGATGTACAGACTGGCAAACGCTCCTGGAGAACCAACAAAAACGTGGTATCAATGTCACAGCGAGTGAAAACTACATCCAGGTCCGTTGGACGAATCCAAAGGGCCTGAAGCCTGATTGTTATGAGATCGTCTACAAGGAGACCATCGAGCCACATTGGACGACCGTGATCGAGGTCGGTGATATGAACTGGTATAATCTAACAAGTGCAACAATCCACAAAGACAACGAGGTCTTTGAAGTAATAAGGGTAGGAAACGGCAGATACAGAAGTCCTACCGTGCCTCCATTCCCGTTTGTGCGGTCAAGGAATTACTAATATCCTGAGGTCTCTTCAAGCGCCGTAGGACTAGCCACATAAGCTTTCCTCGACATAGTTCAATATTTGCGCGACCGAAAGCTCAGTTTTCGGTTAGCTTTCCACTCGACAGCAGAGGCTGCTAGCCTTAGACATCGCTGATGACACACTGGGAAATCGTGAGACGACCGTGCATAATTGCTGCAAAGACAATGATCATTACTGATTCTGCTGGCCGCAACTCGCAGTCTACGGTTGCGGGTGCATTCGAAATACCATTATACAGGCTAACAAAGCCATATTACCAGTATGTGGAGCACTTTAGAAGTGCGGTGTGTTCAACGCCATCGCCATCAGCAGACCTGAAATCATACCGGCGCTTGGCAGGGTAATGATCCAAGAAGAGAATATGAAAGCAACCTGCTTCCAGTTTACAGCTCGAACATCGAAGTTGCAAAGCGCGACACCGATTGTCGCACCAGTCAGACATTGTGTGGTCGAGACTGGCAATGCGAGTCTCGAAGCGAGAAGCACAGTGATGGCAGCGCCAAGTTCCATCGAAAAGCCTCGTGTGGGCGACACTTGCGTGATCTTGTTGCCGAGCGAGCGCATGACGTGGTATCCATAAACTGTGACAATCTGATCAGCGAAGGTTTGGATCATGTCAAAGGCAAATACGTACACCAGAATCCCAAACCAAGAAGCAGGCCAGCAACGATCAGGATCCAGATCGGGGTATCAGCACGGGCTATAACCTCTCCGGTTGTGTACGTGTTGTAACTCGCTACCCAGGGTCCGACCGCATTCGCAACTGTGGCGAAGTCAGTAATCATGACAAATCTCAAGAACGGATTACATACCGTCGTTGGAGCCGTGAGCGATACTCATCATCATCGCGGATGCAACTTGTGCATAAGTCCACAGGTGCTCCACGCGGTTGTCATAGACAATGGCACGAGCATGTACAGCTCCAAGGTCTAGGTCAAGAGGTCAGTGATTTGTTTCGAGTATTAATGAAGCAGACTTACTCTTATGCGTAACGACATCACGGCTGACACCTTGTAAAAGTAGATACTTCGTCCAGTTTGCGATCTTCTGAGGCGAGTAAAACGGTAGATCACGAACAGGGTGCAACCAGCGCTCCTCTGGCTCAGGCTTCGTGGGGATGACATGGGCGACAATATCTCCACGAGGGTTGGGCACGGAAAGAGCACGTGGAGCGGCGTCTTGAGAGGAGTTGTTCGCGTCGACCGATGTTGACAATCCCTTATCATCTGCGTCCGGAGATTTGTTGTGAATAGTTTCTTCCGGAGCAGACTCTTTGGCCGATGCCTTCTCCAAGTCCTTGCTCGGGGTCTCTACAGAGGATTTGGCGTAGTAGTCTGTGACGACCTCGGTACCCTTTCCAGGCCAGAAGATCGGGGGGTCGTCGCGGAAGAGAAGAGGTCCGAGAGGGATGTGCCATGGTCGCATTCGAGCATCGTTCATGATCAGGCGGCGATGGAAATAAGGAATGAAAAAGGCGTAAGAGAAAACCAAGATGCCAACGAAAACCCCGAGAATGATGCCTATACTCTTGCCAGGACCCATATCCTCAAACGACTCTCCGCCAGGAATCTCGTCGATGATAAACAGTGTCAGGACCCCAGCTGTAAAGGCGAGGTACCACGGAATGAGTCGCATGCCCCACTTCATAGGGTTTGCCCTATCCAATACAGCAAATTTGATGGTCAAGAACAAAGCAGCTGCAATTCCGGCGGAAACGAGAGGAGCAATTGCCCAGGAGGCTGCGATCTGGCTGAGACTACCAGTAGACCAGGCCCACTTGAGCGGCGTCTGGGCTGCAATACCAGCGCCAGCAAGCGCACCGACAACTGTTTGTGTAGTGCTGTACCACGTCAGATAACATTCATCCGCTGCCTAAAGTAGGACCTACCTGACAGGCATGCCGTAAAAGGTAGCAATAGTGAGGAATGTTGCACTGCCAACTTCGGCGCATCCCATGACTAGCATGAAGGTTGGAGGTACCGGCTGAAACTTAGTGAGGCCGAAGACACCGCTCTTGATGGTTGATGTGACTCGGGCACCTAAGGCAACGGCACCGAGGAATTCAGTGACACAGGCAAGAAGACCAGCTTGCCACATTTTCAGCGTCCGTGCGGCCACGGAGGTGGCATAAGAGTTGGCGACATCATTGGCACCGTTTGAGGCTGATGAAAAGACAAAGGCGATTGTGGTGATCGCAAGGATCCAGTTGTATTTCGCCAAAGCTGGAGCCATGGTAGAGGGAGAGACCGCTGTAAAGGCTGTGGTTCAGAGCCGCTGTACTGGCTGCACTGGGCTTTTAAAGAACCTCGAGTGAAGCTGCACTTGGCAGCGGCTCCAGACGCAAGACTTTTGGTCGTGAAAAGTGGGAACTGTGTTCGTAGGAGTAGGTATCTGCGGCATATGTAGGTGCCCTGCATTTGCCATCTCCACATTGGTCTCGTAGCCCAGTAGCCTCTATGGAGAGCCCCCACGCACTCCAGAACTCATCTTTACTGCTCAAAAGCACCCAATTGCTCCTCAGAGATGCCTTGAAGGAAGTCTTGGCAGAGCAGAAGAGCGTCATTTGAGGCGTAAAGTGATGTCAAAAATCGTAGCATGGCGTCCGCTTTCATGGATTTGCTAACAGCGCAACGGCTTTGTCGTCTTACTGTGTCGCGTGCGAGTGGGGCACAACGTTGAACCTTCAACGAAGGAGGAGTCGAGATTGAAGAACGTGGACAGAACGGCCACGATCAAAGTCTGAAAGTGATTCCGCTTATCCGTCAGCCAAGCGCTTGGCATCGGAGCGGGACTCGCCTGCAAGGATTTCCTTTTACAGTGTGTTGTCATGTGGGTGATCCTTTGAGGCGAAAATGTTATCTTGATTAAAGATTTTCGTTAAGTTAGCGTCCTCTGTTCAAGCGCATTATCAAATCAAATGCTAGCCGGGACACTCACCGAACCCTTGCTGCGCCTTGACTGTTCAGAGCTAGCACATTCTACTTATAACCAACAACTGTACTCGAACACCCTAGACTCGTTCATATTACTACGCTTATGCTTCCTCATGGAAACGCTGTCTTTGACGAAATTGGCAAGGTCAAAATCTTCCATACTAAAGTCGTCAGCACCTATGCCGACTCTTATTATATTGCAAGCGCGCGACGTACTGATCTATTGCTAAATCCGGACGTTTTTATAGTAACATCAGAGATGTTGAATTTCGAGGCACTGCAGTTCGCCAGACCGGTGCCATCTTGAGTGCAGCACTCATTGACGACGATCAAGGGATCATCACTCGTAGAGAAGAATGGCCTGCAGCCTAGTTTCACCAACGCTGCCGCTCAGAGGCTTTTGATGCTGCTCTTCCTCCCCATTCTTGATTCGGGCGGCGAGCTGATTGCCGTAAACTGTTACGCAACAACATGTTTTCGAAAATCTCGAAGCAATCAAAATACTGTCCAATCATTAATGATGTTGTGTGCTCTTCTAGTGTGACCACGTGGCTCAGATCACATGATATTCTATTGTAGCAGGCATTGCCCGGTGGACAAGTTTGTTGCGGTGCAAGTCGGTCCGACAGGCCTCGATCGTCACCTCCGTTGACTACCTTGGACTAGCACGTCTCAGGGCATGTATATATGGTCGCCTCCTAGCTAGCAAGCAACTCAGCGCAGTTTTCCATCGATATACAGCGGCTACGTTTGCCGCAACAAAGTTCACTTACCTGAGAGCTGAGAGCTTGAACAACAGAACACAACACAACACGACAACAGATAGCAATACACTCGTTGATCACAGTCTCCGACCGACACTGCTCACGCAGTTACATCTAGTGTAGTTGCTCTGACCCTTGACGAGAAGTCAGACCACATCTGACCATTCCTATTGAACGTTCCACAGTTGCCATTTTCAACGTGTAATTGCTTGTCACTGAGTACGAAGGCAGTTGCCTGGTTCTGAAAAGCTGCATGTGGGTAGCTGTTCTGATCGCTGCCAGACTCGACGGATACAGAGTTTCCAAGCCAGGAATCAAAGCCTTTGTCCTAAGCTAGCGTACCATAGATCTTGACCTTTATATTGTTAAGGCTTCTTACTTTCACGGATTGATTGACATTGTAGGTGATGTTCTAGAAGAAGATTCTGGGTCTTCCTTGCATCGTGCTAAGGCAGCCACACCAGCAAGAGAGTCGCCTGTGCCATTGTTATTGGCAGGTAAGCTGCAGCGCTTGGTGGGAGCACGCTTACAGAAGGTAGCTGCAGGGTCATGCCCATTAAATTCGTCGCTGTAAAGAGTGAGATACGACAATGCTGAGGGAGCCGTAGCAGTGAACAGGATAGACATACAGAGTTCCGCAGATCAGCTTACGAAATTACTGATTATCAGATTTATGTGATACTATTCATTTTCTCCTTACAGCTTTCTCAAATGAGTTTCATGCATCGACGTCGCCGCAGTTTTCTTCTGGCTCTTTCATCTAGCTGATCGTGCTTCAATCAATCATAATTCATGGGTGAGTGCTCCAATTTCTTCAAATAGATGCCAGATCTCGCGTCATCATACTGTAAGCCACTGTATTCGCACGCCCTTGGACTCAACCTTGAATAACCAAACTACTGAACAACCTAGGCCTGAACTCTATATGCTCGATTGACCATACTAGTTGCGCGTATTGAAGGCAGTATAACAGACTACAATTACATGGCGCATGCAACCCTGAACCGGCAGGCTTTGCCTAAGAAGCGGCGCGCCACATAAATACCCAGCAGCATGGTTGATCCGACGATGATACAAGTTTTTGCAAGCAATGTCACGATTGCAGCAGGTGTCAGTGGGAAGAGCGGTATCATCTCTTCCGGCGTTGGGGGTGCTGGCGGTGAATAGTGATCATCGCGCTACTACCAATGTAAGCATATGGGCAACTCTTTACGCAAGTTCATGCTGAAAACCCTCAAATACAGATGACATGGGCTTCAGAGATGCGCCATGTAGTTCTGCTGACAAAATTAGAGACATCTGGATGATACGTCGCTGCAGTTAGATGAAAGTGAAGCAAAGCGGCAGACGTGAACAAGTCTATCTTTAACAATTCAGAAAATTCGGTGGGCGATAGAGTAACCGCAACACGGTACCAGATGGCAGCACCAGTGGAATTCAAAGGAAGTCCGAACCGTCTGTGGGTATTCATGTGTTGGTATTGCCGGTGTTGCCATCGCGCTTCTCCTGTAAGCAGTACTGCAATGTTCGATAGCAGAAGCCACTTGAACAAGGAAGTGTTAAAAGGCTTGATTTGCTAGATAAGTAGTTTGGAAAACACCTGAAAGTAAGCTAACTTGCACATCATCTAAATCCTGCCCGCGTCTCCAGCATGGCGGATCGGTTTCAAAACACACACCTTGGACATCGCCATAGTATCCTCGCTCACGTGAATGGGGTACCACGGTCTCTCAGCCGCTCAAACTCTTGCGTCTCGACTGATGTGTGCAGAACTTTCCCAAGTGCGCCCGTCGACGCGATACCTACCCAAATGTGCAGTGTAGCGAATGAGTCGAGACCAGTTGCAATCAGAAAGTGCTGGAGTTCCTCAAAAGAATTGTGCTGTCCATCCATAGTTGCTTGCAGTCACGCTTGAACCTGATCTGAATGCGTGAGTTAAGACGTGATTTTGAGTATCTGCGCTGCGGGTGTTTCGCAGAGTGGAACTCCAGCACCAGCGAAGATATGATGTTGTCTATGACATGACCAGCCAGCGTAGTGTTGTACCAACATGTATCCAGCAAAAGGTTAAAGCCCTCTGTCAGAGTGATATCGAAGGGAAGTTGAGAGTCGGAAGGATCGGGCAACTCGAATCGAAGAAACAAGGTCGACTACTAAGCCTGCAGCTCGAGTGATTCTTCCTGGCGCGTCCGGTGCGCTGGTCCGCAGGTTCGGATAGAAAGCAGCCAACACCAATGTCGGTCTCAAACCATCCGTCTCAGGCCACAAGCCGAATTTTCGAGTCATTGCAGAAAGAAGAACACACACCGTGGCGAGGCCCATGCACTGAATCAAGTCTACCGAACGACTCGGCATGAATTCGGACCTCCCTATGTGTCCGAAATTGTACACCGCATCCGTGTGGACGAGCAGATCCTTCCGCGGTTCCTACACGAGTTCTTTCTGAGTGATTATACAGAGAGAACGTTTGCATTGAAGCCAAAGAAAGTCGAGATCGAGCTCAACTACCCACTGGGCGTCTCTCTCCCGCGTACCAACGTCCTACCTCTCTTGAGTCTCAGTCTTGGAAACGAAGACACGCAGTGCACATTTCTCAATAAATTCGGTCAACTACCAGAAGTGGATGCGCTATTTCGGGACCATGCTGTCGCGAGGAGTAACTCAATTCTTGAGGATCTTTTAGAGATCCTACTATGCCAGCACCATAACCTGTGTAAATCTAATTTCTCGCGACGATGCGACCCATGCCTTCATGAACGATGTAAGAAGGAAGAGAACCATGGCGCCACGGAGCATGCATGGGAATCTGAAAGTGCTCGGAGGCTCAGACGAGGGAGCCCGGGATGTGAGAGTGGGCGTGTGGAACTCGCAGGCAAGGATGGATTTATTTGTCTCGAAGTCTGCGACTTGACTTCCAAAGGAGGTGGTAGAGATGAATCTCAGGGCCTTCGAAACCCAGTCCCGCTTAGTGGAAGACTAGACAATGGAACACGGAGTTATAGTATGTATTTTTATCGCATCGATAACTGATGACCCGCACGTTGACGTAGGCTTCGTTTACCTCCCTCCGAGCCTCTATCAACTCTAAACTACGGATATGCTACTGAAGTCAGGCCATAACTGGGCGCTAATAGGTCGATATCCATGAGGCAGGCCTGGTGCGGCACTCCCTTCGACTGAAGCTTTGCTGTCCACGCGAGCTCGAGGCCCCGCCTTCATTTGTGTGTCTTGGCCTCTACGGTCAAGCCTCTCAGAAGGCTGACATCGGCGTGAGTTTCGCATGTACGTAGTTCCTCTGTCTTTTGTTTCTTTTCATTCACCAATACTTGACAGGCGCACTGTGGTGACCAGTAGGTGGCAGCATGGTGTTGACAAGCTGACCTGTCTTTGTGTCGAGCGAGTATCCTGGAGGGATTGACATCGCTCTCGGAAGCGGACTCCCGTTACTCGACATCTGCGACGCATTCGAGTTGCTATGTGGCCTCAAGTGTTGACTGTTGTATTCCCCTGATCCACTACCCCGCATCTGTTCACCCGAGTATCGTTGTTGATGTGATGATGTTGGTCTCGGGGGCTGATGGAATTGGTTTGCTGGTGGTTCCCACTGTGAACGGCCAGTGGCCTGCTCGATGTAGTAGTAGCGTTGGCTTCCTTGGTCCCAGTGTTGTGACCAGCCGTTGGGCGGTGAGTATGGTGGATGACCGTAGTTCTGGGGTGGTGGGGGGTGTTGAGGCGGGATAGATGCTGAGTTGTGACTTTGAGGGTGGTAGTTGTTTCCGTATGCCATGCCGTCGCTCTGGTCCTCTTGTCTCTTTCCCTTCATCATATATATCGCATTCTCGACGTGCCCAATGGCATCTCGGAAGGAGTTGAGTGACATGTCAGGATGCTAGGATGTATCCGTGACGATGCTGTGTTGCTCCTGTGCGTTTTGGATTTGATGGAATATGGAGGATGTGGGTGTACTTGGTATAGAGATTGCAGATCATGGAAAGCTGGGCGGCTCTCCACCTTTATACGATTCACGGATCAAACGGGAATCTGTATACTACGTACGCGTCACTTGAATAAAGCTGAACGGATGACCGGCACGAGCTTATTCTATTAAGCTTTGCAGCACAGGTGGCGCATGACCATCGCGGAACGTGGCGCAGTGACTGGTGGAGCGGAAAGATCGGGCGGAAAACTCGGATGCGTGGCTGTTTTTCTCGACCGAGTCTGGCCGAATCTCCTCCGCTGCCGTTGCACTGCCCTTGGCCTCTCCACCGAATCGCCAACGCACCCTTGGGGCTTATCATTCGTGCGGTCTGCGTCAAAGGGCTTGGCTGATAGCTCAAAGGCCTTGCACTGCCACAATTCCGCTGTGGAGATGAAGCTGCAGGCCACCGTTCGGCGTCCCGGTTGATGTGGAGCCGCCCCCACGTGCCCGCGGCAGCCCGGAGGCCATCATATATCTGTTGTTCGTGTCGCACCGATCAAGACAGCATCGTTGACTCTTTCTTCATCTCCAACGTCAGATTTGGCCTTCTTATTCCTGTCTCTTTTGTACATATATGCGACAGCGGCGGTGACCAAACCTTGGAATGCAAATGCGCATGTCGAATAGATGAATCCTTTTCTAAACTTCGGCGCATCGGTCTGAGGGTACGTGAGAAGTGGCACAAACGCATTGAAGGCGTATCCAATAGAGTTCATGACGCCAATGACGATGGTCCGCTCTTCAGCATCTGCACCGCAAATCTCGTTGGCCCAGGACATGCTCAGTGGGCCGTATGGCACTGACGCACGCTGCAGAAAGAATGAGAACCACTTCAGGCCAGACGGAATATTCCAAATTGCCAGGCAGAGTGCGGCAAATCCACCGAGCAATGTACTAATTGACATGATACGAGCACGGTGTCGAATAGCGTCCGAGATGATGGCTAATGAAATAGTCAAGACTAGCTGAATGGCGGAGCTCGCTGTAGGTATGATGTTCTTCGAAAATTAGCGAACGACCATATGATACAGCCTTCTACTTACGATCTTTGATACGGAGAGTCCCTTGGACTTCAACCAAAGTGAGAATGGATTGACGCTTCCAGAGGGACTGATGTTGATGAAGACAACGTAGAGGATTGTCAAGAGGTAGACATGCCAGCGGCCTACGTTGGTCAGCCTATTGAGGGTACTCTGAGACGACCACTTACTAAAGATTCTCCGGAAGGTGGCCAACGTGAGCTTCTTCCGAGGAGCACGACCAACACTTTCCATTCGTTTCTTTGCTAGAGCGCGATCCTAATCATCGTCAGCACGCAACTTTATCGCTAGGCCCTTCGTCCTTACATTTTCGGTCAAATAGAACGCGCGGGTGTTCTCTGGAAGGTCAGGCAACAAGAAGAATCCAGCTAGACAGATCGGTGCGCTAATAATCCCGTCCATGATCTGTAAAATTGTCAGCCAGGGTCAAATAATTACACCAAGATGATGCATCAAGATACGTACGAAGAGCCATTGCCACCCTGCAAAGCCGTGAACACCGTTAAGACCCTTGTAGACAGCGGCTTGTAAATAACCAGAAAACATCGCAGCTACAGCGGATGATGCATGGAAGACGCAAGCTCTCTTACCGAGTTCGCTGGGCTTGTACCAAGCTCCAAGGACAGTGTGCGCAGCTGGGTAGAAGATTGACTCCGCAAGTCCGACGAAGAAGCGGATGATGATGACATGATTGCTGGTCTTAGCTGCCGCAAGCGTGAAAGTCAACATTGTCCACACCAATTCACAGCTGGGTACCCAGATGGATGGACGGACTTTCGTGAGAATGATCTGACTAGGGATCTGACCAATGACATAGCCAATGGTCCAAGCTGTGTCAATCAAATTGATCTGGTTTCCATTCATTGCCAGATCTTCCTTCATTCCACTCACGAAGGCATTGCTGATGTTGGTCTGGTCCAGATTTTTGATGAAATAGCCCAGAGATAGCGTGGTGATCAGGTAGACATCGAGTTTGGACACGAAGACACGCTCTTCGTGGGTTCGATCCGGTTCGTAATCCCAGATATAGGCATACCATGGTACCTTGTGTGGCCTCAGGTCGTGTGAAGCTGATGCATCCAACTGGCTGGAAGCCGTATCATTTTTGGACAACACTTCTGATTCGACCTTCTTGCCTGTCGCAAGGTCGAAAGTCATCTTTGCTGGTCGATCTGATGGGAACTGGGACGGTCGCAAACAACTTACATTTGTACTCTCTAGATAGTTGTGCTATAAAAGTTCGCGCGAAAACTTCGGAATGGTAAAATACAGGCTTCAAATTGCGCAAGCATTCGACCCTCCACAGTCCTGTACGAAACAACTACCTTTGCCTCTCATGAAGGGTCGCGTAGGCGATGGTCACCCACACTGGTGCGACACTAGGTACAATGTGGCCAGGAGCTTTGACATATCGCGGTGAGCTTGCATCTATCAGTGGCCGTTGTCGGGGGCGTTCATGCATCTGAGAGGTGCGATGCAGTTGACGACATCCCTCCTGCGGATGAGGTGCGCGCAGGGCTGTCGCCCAAGCCTATCAGAGCCCTGGCATCGCGAATGTCAGACGCCGTAAATGCCGTAGATGCCGGTCGAAACATATGGGCACCAGGCGACCTTGTCATGAGGTTTTCGTATTCCGATGACTTTAATTATGATGTTGCCATAAGAGTGTTGTAGGTTCATTGCGCGCTTTACGGCGCGTTCAACACTAGTCAAAAAAAGGTAAGCGGCCGCCACATCTATCCCTTCAGCCTTCGCCTACATGACATTTCCATCAATTTGCACGTTTTCCGCGTACTAGAAGACGTTTCTTGACTCGTGTGTCGACGAAACGATACTCATTGAGCCTTGCGCATTCTCCTTCGTTTTCAGCTTTTGCTACGTAAACGCAGCCAAGGGGCACATCAGACTGCTACTGAGCCTCGTATAAGTTGGGGTCCTGGACATGGCATAATCCTTCCCATTGACCTCATATCGCTCCTAATCTGCAGCATATCTTTTTACACTTTGTCAGAACACATGCAGTATGTGATTCATTCGTGAGGTCGCGCCTCCTTCACCTGAGCTGTGATGTCATATGAACGCGTCCATGTGTCAAATTCAGCTTTGCATGCGTCTCCTTTCGCCTAGGTCCGCAGCGCTATACGATAAGTACTCTGACTACAAACGTGCAGTCGTTTCGTACGCATTCGCCGCCTGTCGCTCGCAACAATGTTGTGACTGCATGCACCTTGATCGGCCTTGACCTCAGCTGACACACTACAGGAAGCGTGAGCTAACCCCGTCTTTCAGCGACACAGGTGAAGGCCACACAGCAAATATCTGCAGGAGCCAGAATCGGAATGGCATTCGCATGCAGCTCAGCGCCCCCATGTCATTAATCCCTCCCTCCCATAATGTTGCAGCCAAAATAGAGGCAAAATGTACATACATTTGCACCCCTGAATTGGCTGGTAAATAGGCATGATATCTGCTGCGACACATAAGTCTGTCAAGAGGGAAAGGTCCTCCTCAGTAACGTTCTTTCCACCGCCGATTATCTCGCATACATTCACAATTGTAGATATAGTGTCTCTGCTAAATACTGGAGGCTACAGTCTTGGCATCTTCGATCTACCGCCCGGTCCGTAGCCCGTCATCAGACAGCTGTCTTGACGGACAGGACACAGAAGCCATGCACAAGATTTATTGCTATCTGATCAACGACCCTTCGATCGAACACCTCCATACGCATGTTTTTCTCGATATTTTCAACCTAACACGCATCGCTCATGTCTGTCGCAAGCTCCTAGACGGATGTTTGGCTTTTCTCCTCAGCAATTTCGTGTTCAAAGTAGACTTGAAATGGCTACCACGATTTATCGCTACCTTCAGCAAGCTGCCATGCATCCTGAAGGTCTTTCTGACCATATCTTACAATCCAAGCGCCACGGAATTGCCCGTCGACTTACTGCCCGTTCTCGAGCTCTGAATCCTCCAGGTCGAATCAGGATCGACATACTAATCGGTGCAGCGCTTAGCCTGAGTTCCTTCGCCAATCTAAGGCCAAGCAAGTTGCATCTTATCATAGTTCGTGGGGGATGCATCAACAGGCCATTAGAAAACGCTGGCAGGCTTCTACAAACCACTATGGATTGTTCATACTCTGCTCGTTTTCAGGAGACTGTCGAGAGGGTACTGTTTCGCTACAGCTTTACGCCCGAGATCGTGGTCAAGTTGCGTTGCCGGTTTACCATTCGACATCTGTTAGATGTTGTGTCTGATCAAAGTTTGCGGCAATGGCTCATCCAACAAGGTCTTCCAGCTCTACCATTTCTCAAATTATTACAGAGTCATCAGAAGGAGTATTGAAAGCTTCAGGATCAAATCCAGTCAAACGGAGACCCTCTCGCGGTCATATGCAACTGCACCCTTTGGACGGGCCAGATGGCAGTAACTCACGACAAGCATTTCTGACTGCTAAGTTGTCAGAAATCATCTTGTCCCGAACCTCGAGTGGACCTGGACCCCTAACCGGCCCCAATATCTCCTCCGGGGCGCACTAGCATCGTGATGTCACTTATGGGAGGTAGTACAGTGTTCTTCAGCGCAAAATCTTGAAAGGACCATCGACCTTGTTGCGTCATACTTACATGAGCGCACTTACGCAAACGATACCTCATTTCTAATATCCGTAAAGCCGTTACATGGGTGCGAATGTGCTATTCCAGGAGCAATTCGTGCAGCTGTGGCCTCCACGAGAGCAAAATACGAGACAGCAAGCATATGCTCCTCTCCCCTAAACTTGGCGGTATACCATTTCAATTTGGGCAGAAGGAAATTAAATAGAGTGGAGGGTCCCTCAACGTATTATACGCAGCATCAGACTTTTTTTACATACAGAAGAAGCGAAGGTAACGCTATATGTGGCTAATTACCTTTTGTGCGAACAAGGGGCGGGCTTGGCTAGGTTTGCTATGCTGGATCTCTTTGTTATCAAGTTCAAGTAACGTGAAACGATCATCAGCCGCACGCAGGCTTGTATGATATGGTATCCGCCTCAGATTAATACTGCCTTTGGTGGAGGTGCTGGAGCGATTCTTCTGCATGATATCACTTCATACTTCCTCGTAACGTACTTTCTGGTAACTATGTGTGCGTGCTGCAACAAGATCCAGACGTTCTGGCCCAAACAAGCATCCTTCACAGCGTCAGTGACATTACGCCGTGCTTGCTGGGTCGCTTCGACGACGGCATGAAGGTCTGACGTCCACATCCGCGAGCGAAAGAGCCATCGTCAGCGGCTGCTGGGCCACGTCCACCTCTCTCGTCCCCACTAACCTCTCACTCAAGATACTCGTGATACCTGTGCGGTTTCCACGTATTGATGGGATGCTGACGCCATGTCAGGATGTTCTCAGCGAACCCGGATCCTCAGCATGAGCCTTTTCCGCTCTTCAACATGCTCTTACACGAGAGACAGTGCTGCATGCGCATGGTACGTAGGCTGCATCAACCCCATGGCTGCTTACAACATGCATATCCTTCTGTACGCGTACGAGAGTACGAAGTACCAGAGGGTAGGCGAGTGCTAGCACGGACCACGCGCTAAATCGCGCTAGCGACGCGCCTGCCGTGCTGTCGCCCCTCCTTTCCGTCCGGTGACCATCCGGCTTGCGTGCTTTGGTTACTTTGATCACGGCATTTGTGACGGCGTTCATCAAACACCTTGAGAACCCTCTGCAACTTCGGCACCGCAAAAATGCATCCCCGCCGAAGACTCGAGGTCCCACCTGTGAAAGCTGCTTGCTTAGCATGGTACGCTCCGACCCTGAACACGTGCAAGAAATCAGCAGTTCGGACTGTGTGTGCAGCACGATACTAAGGAACATCCAGTCGCGCTTCGAAGGCTCGCTGCAATGGACAAAACCCATGCAATCGGGTAAGTAAAAGATTGCGTTCATCACACCGGGCAATTTATTAAACTTTGGACATTCTGATCTCTCAACTCACATGATAGCTCTGCTGACGCTTGAGACAGTGTAGCGTCAACGGGAAAGTGTGCAAATTTATCCCCAGTCAGAGGGGAAGGGTTGTACGAGCACCAGTGACACCGCCATCGACGCATAAATCGTCAGAATCACCTGCGAGCATAGAGGGTCCGGAGGGCGATGGCCCGTACAAAAGACCCAGGCTTTCGTCTGGCCCGCGAGGACCATTGCACCAGCGAAGCGGAGATGGCTCGACTAATATCCGAATTCATACCAATGGTCAAGCACTGTACGTCTAAGCGCTGATATCTGGACTTGATCTATTCGAGCTGATGTTCGACAGTATTGATGCATACTATCTATTGATTCATCCTTGCTATCCCGTCTTACCTCCACCAGTCGCCACTATCGCAGACAAGGAGCAGGCCCAATCGGTACAAGAGCCCGAGTTCACTCGGTCACCGCTTGCTCATGCTATTGCTGCTCTTGTTGCCCTCGTGCCAAAAGGAACTTGTCGGGATCGTATAGCCCGACATGACTATGCGGAGCATTGTTCTGACTTAGCCCTGAGAGCCATTGACTGGGATATGGACGCACCCGAGCCGTTACTGCGAAATAGATTCCATCACGACGTGCCTGTGCACCTAGAAAGTACGATTGCAAATTTTCTAGTTGCTGTCTACGAATACAACTACCGTGGGAGCATGATGAGAGCGCGCACAAGGATGGCATCTGTGATCACTATGGCCATGGACCTGGGTTTGCACGGTATCAATATCGACACAACGGCGGACTCTGAATGCAAACGGAGGGCTTGGTCCATGATTGTCAGTGGGGTCGATCGTCCTTTGATGCCATGCAAGCTGACGCGGTACTCCAGCTCTTCTTCGCAAACAAGCTGTCGATTATCCATCATTTGGTAAACACTACGCCATCTCTTCGACCGAGTTCAAGCACTGACGAAACACTAAGCCGCCTCTCATGACGATTGGAGATCCCAGATTTAAGACACCTCCGCCAACCCTAAGTATTGTTCCAGAAGTCAGTGTCACTACATGCGACATCGACGGCTGATGCTAATCTACGCAGCCTTGGGAAGCCATATTGGGAGCACAAGACATACTTCTCATATCGCAAGCAAGACCCCCATCGCCCAAGGAGCTCGAGGCACTTGATGCAACTGTATCAACGTACATACAAAATCTCGATCGACCGCCTACCGGCCGCGAGCCCATCGACGCTGAAGGTTTGGCAGCTCACAACTGGTGGGCTGTCGGTCGCATTGTTGTGCACAGGTGGGAAGATCCTCTGGATACATTAGTGTTAGATAGCTAATGACTGCAGTGCCCGAATCAGGCTACATCGTCCATCAGCGTTTGCTGACATCCCAGCATTTGTGAACAAGCACTGCGATATGACTGCCCTACAAGATGCGAAACATTTCCCGATCCCTACTACTAATTGTCATGAGCTTCCTTCGCCAGAGTCGTTGGCAGATAGTCCTAAGACCAATGAATGGCCAGATGCCGAGGCTACTGGTCCCTTCAGCGCCCGAGGCTCCGCCGACATATGCCTCAAGTCTGCATTCATCGTCTTGCGCATGTTCCGTTATCTGACGGAAGTCCTTGTGGACCGACATTTACAAATGCCCGGCACGTATGGCGCGAGCGAGGACGAGAGGAGAGCGATCAAAGCCTCGGTACCGATCACAATGCCACTCATGGCCTGTAGTGCGATGCAAGCATGCTACGTTATGATAATGACGCTTTACAAGGTCAAGTTCACGCTGATAGCCGATCAGACTTCTGAAGACTCGACTTTGAAATCCGACTTGAGCTTTCAGGACACCGAGCGATTGGTTGAGGAGCTGAGGCACGGCGTAAGAGACAGCCTGCACATGCTTCAGAAGTACGGAACTGAGTTCGCGCATGTCGGACCTATGTATGAAGAGCTCAAGATGGTTCATCAGGTTGCCTTTCTCGACGTCTGATCAATGGTTCAACTCATGCTCTAGGCGCGGCCTCGGCATTCAGATTATTTGAGACGCCAAAGCGGGGCAAAGCCGAACCCAACTCCCAGCGACAAAAGATGCTACCCAAATCGGGTTAGAAACCGCGAGTTACCTAAACTTCTATAACCGTCTGCGGCTTGTTCTTCAAATCAACCACCTTGAATCAGAATTCTCACGCAAAGCCACCCCCAGTGATGGACAAGCCTACCTTGTCGCAAGTTGTTCTTGGTCTCCTCGAGCCCTGGCAATTTATGCTTGTCGCTTGCTCTTACATACCTTCGACAATCTCCCACCTCTATACCACGTCCAGTCTTACTTCGCTTTTATCTTGGAACGCCTTTCAGGGCGCCTGGTTCAGCAGATTTTGGTCTTGGGCGGGGCCGCGCATTCGTGAAGGCAATGGGCCTCGAATCACTGCTCTGCTTGAAGGAAGGGTGACCGGCGCTCAAGTTGTTGATGAGGTGGTAGGTGAGCCGATAAGCGGGGTTGTCCTTGATATTGGCCCTGGCCTAGGGTACTGGGTCGACCTGTACGCCAGGACAGATGTACCCCTTGTCAGCGAAGATGACTCTGTCAGAAGAAGATATGGCAAAGGCAAAGGCATCACGAAGGTCTATGGAGTCGAGCCAAATGCGCAATCACACCCTGGACTTCGCTCGCGCGCCAACGCAGCAGGACTTGAATACGTGTACGAGATCCTACCTGTTGGTATTGAAGATATTGCCAAAAAGACGGCGGTGAAGAAGGGCAGTGTGGATGCTATTGTCTCGCTGCTCTGTCTTTGCAGCATACCCGAGCCAGAGAAGAACATCAAAGAGCTGCACAGCTATTTGAAGCCTGGAGGCAGATGGTACCTCTATGAGCACGTTGCGGTCAAAGGCTACTGGACAATACAGCTCTACCAACGTGAGTCTCCTCGATGTTGTAGAGTAGACTTGATGCTGATCTTGAATACTAGGTTTCGTCAACTCGTTCTGGCCTCATGCGCTTGGCGGTTGCCAATTATGCAGAGACACCGAGAAGTTGCTGCGCGAAGCTGGGTCATGGTCGAAGATCGATATCGCACAGCCACCTATTGAGCCCTGGCACGCAGTCGTACCCCATATCTTTGGTACATTGACAAAGTGAGCGACGACCAGCACTAGCGGAGGGCCTTGTCTCTTAGTATCGACACATGGACCCTTAGGCTGAAGTGGATCCCTTCATCAGGAGGATGATTCGGGCGATGGGAGCTGTATAAATACAGGTATCGCGGCATTCGACCACGATGTTCCTTTACTCAGAGTCTACAAATCGCAGAAATGAAACACTTACGAAGCTCGGAGACACCTCGTAGGCCCAAGTCCTCCCGAGCTTTTCCCGTGCAGCTTTCCAGTGCCGCAGAGGAACAGAATCTCTCCATCCAGCATAGTGCAGCCTGAAACTCCTGATAGGGAAGTGCACATCCGAGATTCTTCCCTGGCCCATCCACCCTCTCAATCTCGCGAATGACGTTATAGATTTCCAGTTAGAGCACAGTCATACCTTTCAGCCCCATCCGAATGCTAATGAGCCATTCCTCGACCAATGCTTCGGACATGTCGTGACGGCGAATGTTGGTATTTGTCTCATATTATGTCTTGCATACATATATAAGCTATTTATCGCAGCAGATATAATGCCTATTTACCAGCTAATTAGGGGGTGCTAATGTATGTACATTTTGCCTCCTTTTTGGCTGTTACACTATTAGATTCCGAAAACAGCCGCCAGGAAGTGTGTAATTGACTTTTCCGCAATTCGTTGGATATGATGAGTGTGACACCGTTCCAAGTGAAGAGCCGCTTTGTCCTAGTCCCTGCCGTCATAAGTAGTCTCTAGCTTTACGACCTGTAACTTCACACCTGACTAACACGCGAGAGCAGCCGAAGTGATGGTAGTATCTCCACCTTGCATCAGTGCGGTCAATGCTAAAGATTCGAAGTGATGCTGCAACTCGTGGTATCGAGGAGACAGGAGCGTGCGAGAAATAATGCTGTGCTTGATCGAACCCTAATGGTTGTTGCGGCAGACGTAGCTGCTGTATAGTCGATGGAAATTGCGCTGAGTTGCTTGCTAGCTAGGAGGCGACCATATATACATGCCCTGAGACGTGCTAGTCCAAGGTAGTCAACAGAGGTGACGATCAAGGCCTGTCGGACCGACTTGCACCGCAACAATGGTGAATCAGGAGCAACGGTATGTTGATCGCTCTGACCGCCACAAGAAAGCACTCGTGTCCGCGCAGACATCGTCGTCTCACCAACTCGTGTGTGCGACTCGAACCGTCTTTGTTTGGCTGTACCTGCATCGATTAGCCTAGCCATTGTACTTTCTCAAAAAGTCGTCGGGTACCCGCAGAGACAAATGATGTATATTTTTAACGCGCGTGCCGGTATGAGCGCTCCTGTTGGGCAGTGACTAGCGACAGTAAATCAGAGTCCAGGAAATCAGGCTGCGGATATGTGAGCTAAAGCCACAGCTACCCTGATGTAGCATAAACCAGTGGCGACGTTCGCGGTCGCTGGCGAAAGTTGACAGTCAGATGACTCCCTTCAGCTCGATTGAGTTCCATCCCGCATCTCCTTCCCCATTGCACGACATTTTCTGCTATTTCCAGTGGTATGCCCACGCGACTCTGGGGGTCATCTTGAGGCCTGCTCCAGACGCCCATCCAGCCCTCCCAGTCGTCTGCGCCGAGCTCAAAGACGATCTCTACGCCTTTTGTATCGTCGCATTCGACCTCCAGCATAGTCATCGATATTTCAACGTAGTTATAGAATGCTTCCATATCAATTATATTGTAGAGATCCGACAGGATGTCACGAATGTCTGGGGGTGGGATGAACTCGCCGGGCTCAAAACCATCGTCCTCAAGGATGTCGTAAGCACCAACATGAAGGTCTTTGAATTCGCGCAGAAGTCGAAGCAGAGGCTTGATATCAAGGATCGAGGCATTCGCCGAAAAGTCGATGATGACAGAGCCGGCAATCTGATCGTCGCTAGTGCCAGACACCTGGAGAAAGGCATCGATGTATTCGTACAGCTCATGTGGCAACACATTGTCCAGGTTGGCGGCCCTATAGATCGGCAGGAACTCCGAACGAATGTTTCGACACACCTGCGTCAAGCCGTAAGCTGGATTCCAGAGATTCGGATTCCAGATGTGATCAGCAGGCCTCGGTTGTCTCCAGACTGGCTTCCGCAGGACTCTGAACAGGCTGTCCTCTACGATATGACTGTATATCCGATTCCTTAGTTCTTTGAGCAGCGTCAGCTTGAGTGTAGGTGGAAGCTGGCTGCCTGGCTAGACATACCGCCGGGCATGGCGAGAAACAGCGACCCCGCCTCGGTTAGACGCATACTCGTATTCCTCTTTCTCTCGTCTATAGCCTTATGAAACGTTCGATTGCAGGTCTTTTACTGTGTATGCAGGTTATGTTAGGGATGAGGTCGTGATGTTGAAGTGCAGCGATGAGGTGTCCATTCGCATGGGAAGAAGGCAGCAGGGCCTAGCGACGGAGATGATTCGGATCTAAGATCACCATCGCGAATCACAGTGCAATACTTCCATTTTCGCGCTCAACAAGCAGTATTTTCTAAAAGATTTGAAAGTGTATGCCCATTCCATCATACAGGCGTGCTTCCTTTAGGAGTGTCCTTGATACATTGCCTCATGCTTCAACCCCTGCTTAATCTCGATCGCAGATGTGCTCAGAGCAAAGTCGATGATGAGTTTGCCGATCATGCCTTCGTACTGAGTTCGGGTTCCATTCGGTGTGAGAAAGTTTTTTATGTAGCCACCAGCCTACTCCGGCTGTATGCAGATATATGTTCAAGCTTTCTACAGGCAGCAGGGACTCTGTACGAATGTCGTGGCAGACTTGGGTAAATCTAAGACACGGAGGGCGGTTCCGAGATGTGTCCTCCGCGTCTGTCACAGTGCTATACCAGTGACAGAGAATCATTCATTTCTGTGCGGCAAAATCATATATGCGGTGGCCAGTGTTCTGCTTTTGGCCATAAACCTATTCGCCTTCCTCTTGACATAATTTGTAATTCTTATGTTGTGCCCCAACGCAATATTTGTTGGTCTTGCATCTTGATGATAGGCATCACGCAATGCGCGTAATCGTGTCCCATCCAATGATCTTCCCAGTACACTTGACCGATCAAAAGCTGTAATCTGGAATTATCCTCGCTCAAGTCCGTCAAGGGGTCAAGATTGTAGAGGATGCCGTGAATATTGTAGCCGAAGACAGCAATGTTGCCAATCATGAACGAAGTTCTTGATGTATTCTGAAAAGTCGTGAATGCCGACTGCTGAGACAGTGCGCGTGCTGTAGATGGGCAAGAACTCGGCGCGAATCTCATGACACGCTTGGGTGAGACCTGTATAATGTCGATTGTGTCGCGTAGCGCCTTGGATGTAGCTGCAGCGTCCGTCTTCCTTCATTGTCTGCCTCGTATTGCTCCATCAGTTGGTCGAGGCTGTCTTCGGCGGCAAAGATGCAGATTTGGTTGCGGATCTCTTAGTTCAATGTCAGCTTCTTGTTCCTTGATTGGCAAGTAATGAAACTACCTCCAGATAATGTCAGCAAATAGGCCCCAGTGAGTGCGTAGCGTACGGTGATGTATCCGCCATGCTGGAATGATGTGAGCGTAAAGAGGTAGCGGGAAGGTACCCAAGACGGTTTGGTGGGGGTTTCTAGTGTGGCGGCACAAGTGAGAAAAGGTGAAGAGGCGGTCGCTGCTTAAGAATCTCCGGGCTCTGAATTGCGCATGAACCTGTTCAAGTGGGGCAGTGAAACCAGCAATCATGTGCAGGAAACAAGGCAAGTCCAGCAGCGTGAGTTCAACATCATCTTCACACTCTTCTCTGAGAGAGTCTCCACTACCGCATGTAATTCTGGCTAGATGGCAACAGCACGTAGATCAACAAGTGGAGAAGCACCTGCGCTATAGATGCATGCAAGATGGCTGCGCAACCCGGCATCCCAGAACAAGACTGTTAGAAAAAATGTTTTGCTCCTCATCTTCTCGAGTTCTGTGTATAACTCTAAAGTCTCGCTCCTCGCCTCCTTTCGTATCACTCTTGGCAAGCGCTTCCACACCAAAGAAGCCAAACATCAAATACTGCCGCTAGAAACTCTGAGTACGCCAGCTGTATCCGTCCATATCTTTGCTAGATCAAGCAGGGCCTTCTCAACGGTACGGTCTGAGGAGGTTCCATCACCACACCAATGATCCATCCATTCTTCCCAGTGACCCTTCCGCATCTGCAAGACAAGTCCTATGACCCCTTCATCATTCTCACTCAACCTGATCTTCTGCACAGTACTCTCTATCCTGTTGAAGATCGTCGGGCTGCGACTCGACTGCAGCAGCTTGGCGACCCAGTTGTCTAGGTAGTAGTTTCTATACAGGTTGATCCGGACGTTGAAGCCTTTTGCCAACCCAGATAGCTGCACCAGCAAAAGCAAATCGAGGTCGATGCTGCGTTCGCAGCCAGCGAGGTACGCGGTAACGTCGCCAACAACAGCCCTGTCTTCGATGTGACCAACTCGTAGAACGTCTTGCAGATAGCTTTCAAACTCGTCTAATCGAATGTGTACTTTCGTTCGCTGATTGTACTGAGGCAAAAACTCGGTGCGCAATTTGCGGCACACCTGTGTGAGGCCTTTGAATTGGCAGACCCGGTGCTTCTTCGACCATTCGGCGTCGTGCTTGCTGTGTCGACGGCGCAGGAAGACCCTGCTTTCTTCGTTTGCGAGGGCGTAGATTCTGTTGCGGATCTCTGCGGATGATATCAGTGGGGATTTGATCGTGGACTGCAATCTGACGTACCTCCAGGCACCTTGGGCAGCGAGCGAACTGGCGCTTCGACTCTAGCGTGGGTTTTTGTGTGTTGAATTTGTCTGACCATGACGCTCACCGATGAGTCGATTACGGTTAGTGTGGTGAATTGAGATTGGTGCGTGGTTTGAAGCGGCGAGAGGCTAGGCACTGGCTTTTTTATCAGCGAGCGCAGTGCCAGATATCAGGCAACCCACGTGAAAGAAGTGAAAATCGACCCATCGTGTCCTTTACTCGAATCGCAATCTGATTGGAACAAGAATCATTGCATCAGACTGTCGTAGCGTATCTACCGTAAGCCCAGGCGTATACGTGAAGCGACGTACAACGTGTAGACTGCGCTACTGCTGACCTATTTAAAACGAGAAAGACAAAGATCGACTCCTCATTCTCCATCAAGATCCTCTTCGGTATCTGTCTCGGGGTGGTGCTCAAGCTCCTCCTCAAGCCCCTCGTCGGGCTCCTCGCTAAAATCCTTACACAGCTCATCTTTAACTTCAGGCCCAGTATCCTTTTCGAAGTCAGGGTTGATGACTTCTCCACAACCTCCTCAAGCTCCTCCTCAAGCTCAACTTCCGACTGCGGCCCAGTCTCAGAAACTGGCTCCTGTCCTTACTCGTCTTCGGTTTTGCCCTCATTGCCCTCTGATACGATCTCCTTGCATCCATTCTTGCAGCTTTCCTCGAAGAGCTCCACTTCAGATGCTTCATCAAACCCTTTAAAGTGCTCATGAAACAGGCACACCATAGCTGTCCATCGATGCCTCTCATGACTTGTATCAACACTAAATCAGACTCACAACTTCCCAAGCCGCGTATCCTTCGATGGTGGGTATAGAGCATCACATCAGCGATTGGGCTTATGGTAATTGCATCGAGCATCGAGGTGCGCTGAACGTTCGTTGGACTCAGGTAGAGCGTCGATGAGACCACCAGCGTGGTAGAGTCTGAGGTTCTCTACGACCATTTTGATATGCAGACTTTTTGCTGCGTTGTAGAGTTGCATCAAAAGCAGCAGATCCAACTTTAGGCTAAATTCCGACGAATGAATGAGGATAGTCAATTTGCCAATGCCGTCATTGTCTTTGGGCGAGTGGGTTTGGAAGATCTTTCCGAGGGGAGCATATCACGGGAGCGGAACCCTCTCAGCGTGAGGACATAACAAATTTGAACTCTTTGATCTGTTAGCAACTCCTCACGGATCTTACGGCACACTTGAGTGAGGCCTGTATACTGGCGGCGTTGGTGACCAGAGCCCAGTCATGTTTGGCGTATCTGTGTCCGTCTCGCCTGAGGAGGACGTATTTTTCCTCGTTTCCGCGTGTGAACTCGTCAATGATGTTCCGGAGTTCTGTCACATCGTCGTCAGGCGGATCAGCGGCTTCGAGCCTTTGTACCTCCAGGTAGGTCCAAGGAACGAGAAGGCGGAGGTATTGCAATGAGGGGGAAATCCGAGGTCACAGTGGGCGCGAGAGTCCTCAGCTTCTTACAGGGAGGCTCAGCTATGATATTGAGGTGCATTGCGGGCTAGGTCGAAATGTTTTCGTGGTGGTTTCGGGTTCGGCGGCGCTAGGTACGTTACTGCGACTTCCCCACCAACAAGACTGTAGGTGAACGCACCTTGACGGCGAAGTCGAGCAGGTGAAGCCACAGCAACAATCAGACACGGCCTTGGTGGCCGACGTAGAGGTACATGTTTGGCTTCGTTGTGCTGCGAAAATGAGATGCGGAGAAGTAGATTGGTGTCAAAGAAGAACAAGCATTAGGCCATTGTGCTACGAACCTTGAAACTGCAGCGACAAGTCAGTGAAGACGTGTAAGATAGTATCGTTGCATATTGCAGAAAAGAAAGGTGCGGGACTAGTGCTTATAGCAGCGAAGAGCCCGCGTGTGTGAATGAATTGAAAGCAGGCGCAAGTTAATGACACCATGGCGACTCGCGGCACTCAATGAAGGAAGGGGGTACCAATGGATTCTCGTGAAGTTTTAGATTTTTACGATTAGTCCTTCGCGCTGTAACGTAGAGTTCTTAATAGGCGTGTCCATCGAAGCCCTTTTGGCGAGATGGCGCTTCAGTGCGTTTGCGCGGCAGGCGGGAAACTTCTTGCATGATCCTGCGCCGAATTCTCATGAAAAAGCTCTTCCAGGCCGTGAGCTTTCGAAACCTCATACGGCAAGTAGAGAGAGAGGATGTGTAACGGTTGAGAGGAGAAGCAGATCACGTGTTGTTGGCGGTGGTCTGGTGCTGCTTCCTCATGTTGTTGAGCACCCCTTACCTCAGCTGCATCACAAACACGTCATCAAAATAGACCCCGCAGCGAGCCTTGGAGAGCAAATATACAAGCAGAACAAGAACACAGCACAACAAAATACACTCGTTTATACATTTGCCCTTCATACCGCAACAGGATGCCTCCAGTATCGCACCAAGAGAAGCAAGCCAATTCTTTCCACGCTTCGGGATAATCTCTACTCCCGCCGTGTAGAACTCACTCTCAACCTCAAAGTAATAACGGTCCATCCACTTATTCCATGAGCTTTGCTTGACATGAAAGTAGACAATCAGCGCCCCACTACGGCTGGTCTCTAGCACAATCTTGGGTACCTACTGCAGCCGCTATTGGACGATGAAAAATCACAGCGTCTTTGTCGAGCTGGAGCAATTTGTCGATCAGTTCAGTACTGGACATGTTCCATGACACATGCAGTATTCTGAGCTGAAAGTGGCTAGTCGAGGCAGAGAGGCGCATCAGTCGCTTCAACTTTGGGTTCTTGTTTGGCAGGGCTTCAGACTGGGTCTCGAGCAACATGGCGCAGATGTGGCAACATCTGCACCATACGTGTCCTTGGAAGAATCGAGTCGAAGAATCGAGTCGCGGTAGCTCATCAGGTCGGCTAGCGAGACGGTGACGCGAGTCTGAGCGCGTCACTATGGGAAGAATTCCTTGCGAAGCTGGCGGCACACCTGCGTCAAATCCATGTATTGGCGACGCACATGCTCTTTGCTCTAGGACTTAGTTAGCCGGTCAGGTTGCTTGCAGAGGGTCACGCAGCCCTCCTCGTGTGCAAGGTCGTAGATCTCGTTGCGCAATTCTACACCACGGTCAGTAAACTTCTCAGTGACTATGTAAAGTCGCTATATCTCCAGAGAGCTTGAATGTTGCGGTGAAATCCATTCCTATAGGCCTAGGTCGTTACCTCTGTTGACTATCTTGGACTAGCACGTCTCAGGGTATGTATATATGGTCGCCTTCTAGCTAGCAAGCAACTCAGCGCAGTTTTCCATCGATACATACAGCGGCTACGTCTGCTGCGACATTGAAGAACCCAGTCACCGGGGCGGGAGTCGGCAGAGATATCTTGAACCTCTTTTGCGGCGGTTCGGCTATGATGTTGAGTCGAGGTGCAAGTGTATTGAGCATTTGTTATCGTAGTGACTGTGCGGTGCTGCGATCACACCTGTGTCCCCTCGAATCTTGGCACACTCCATCAGGCATACAGGTGAAAACGCCACTCAAGCAATTCGGGCAACTTCAGTAAGCCATTGCAGGGACGTATTACTGCATTGAGGAGCATAAAGATCTCAGGATGGCATCTGGTAACAGAACAAGCAGGGCGGGAGTCGACAGTCCTTGAAGGCTGCATTATTCAACGGGAAGCTCTTCTTATTTAGATCCAAAGTCGAAGTGCAAACGGGTATTCCGTGTTGCCCTATCTGATTTGCGGTGAATTTTGATGGTTGAGTGTTGACGCACAGCCGCAGCCAGGAAGGTAAGCGAGGCGCCACGGCAGTGATATGGCGGAGATGCTCATTTAGCGCACGGTGGCATGCGTGCGAAGGAAGAGCCAGCGGCATGATGCTAACTTTTGCTATTGATATGTGTATGATGCAAACGACTACCGCTATGCGTCAAGATCGTTTAAACGGACAAAGGCTCCAGAACACCCGCTATGCACGTCTCCGAACCTTCACTGACCCACCCACGCTCTCCCCTCCCACCGTCGACCTATAACGCGTCCCACCCATCCTCAAACATGGTTTTCTTGATCTTAACCTCGTCCGTCGTCAGCCCCAGCGGGCGGATAACCTGCATAGCGCCCGTACCCAGCTTAACGCTCTGACCCATGATGATGCATTCCGACACGCCATCGATACTATCGATCTTGCCCCTCGCCGCAGCTTCAAACAGATGATCAGGCGTCTTCTCGAAACTGGCAAGCTGCAGCACCGAGTCCCTCGTCTTCTGGAGGCCGAAACGCGTGATACCATAGACGTCTCCCTTGAAAGTCATAACATCGGCAAGTAGCTGCATGTGACGAGGGTCGATATCCATGTTGCCCATGACGGAGCTGATTTCGCGTACGATAGTGGAGCGCGCGGCCTCGATACCGAGAACATCGCGGACCTCCATAACATGGTTGGACTTGGTGGTGTACGGCTCGATTCCCGGCGTGGTCATGCAGTCCTTGAACCCGTAGCCTTCGACGAGAAGCTGGCATTCATAGACGCCGTTCTTGTTGGGAGCGGTGTCCTTTTTGATGATGGCGCGTTGGCAGTCCGCATACCCCTTGATGACAACATCGGGGATCAGCGCTTTGACGTGCTGCACGCGCTCGAAGAATTCCTTCTGGTTGCGGGCATTCTTCGTGGGGCGCTTTTTGGTGGCGTTGGGGTCGGGGACTTCGACGCGGATCAGGCTCGACGAAATGCGGACGCTGGTGCCTGATTTGCCCCATTTGAGGGGTTTGTGCTTGTTGATTGCGTGGATGATGTCGTGCGGTTGGATGTCGACGAAGAGTGCGTTCACCGTGTCCCAGTCGATGCGCATGGCGATGTAGGCGCCGCTGGGATGCCAGACGTCTTCGACGTATGAGATGATGTCGCGTAAGAAGGTCTTTTCGACACGGGCCTTGACGATACGCGCGGCGGACTCAGAGAGCTTGTTGGAAAGTTCGCAAGTAATGACGGGCGTGGAGATGGTGGATGAAGCGTTGATGATTTCCTTGATACGGGGAACACCCTGGGTGATGGACATACCAGCAACACCAGCGAAATGGAAAGTCTTCAGTGTCATCTGAGTACCGGGCTCACCGATGGACTGGGCACCGATAGCACCGACGGCGTGACCAGGTTGGACTCGTGAGCGGTGATACTTGGTGAGACAGAGGTCGATGAACGTGTCTAGGGCGCTCTGAGAAATCTTTGCGATACCGTCAGCGAGACTATACTTCTCTGCAACCTCGTTGGAGAGCTTTTCAAGGCTCTGAGACGGTTCCGCAACGCCCAGGTATAGCAGTGTAGTCTCGAGCTTGGAGGCCTTCTTGCCCACGTAGTCCTCCACAGTGTCCAGGAAATCACGCATAGACTCCTTCTGATCGATGCCAGAGTCGCTGTTGTCTTTGAAGGCTAGCCTTGTCACGCCGTCAAGCTTGTATCGCGGGTACTTGTTGCGCTCCGTGTTCATCCTTGCATGAACATGCTCGCGAATCTCCTTCGGCACAAGAGTAGGCTCATCGTTGTTCCAGGTCGATGTCACGGCGTGGGAGAATGTGCGGTCGAAGTTGACAGGCTTCGCCTTGCCCTCCATGTCGACGGGATCCAGATTGTCATCTCCGTATTGGAACTGTACGACGGTTCCTGACGAGTTCCGGACTGTATCGTCGTATGATGCGGACAGATCTTCCAGTGACTTCATCAATCGTCTACTCATGTAACCAGTTTCGGCCGTCTTGACCGCGGTATCGACGAGACCTTCACGACCACTCATAGCGTGGAAGATGAACTCGGATGGCGTCAGACCTGAGAAGAAACTGTTGCTGACGAAACCCTTAGCAGCAGGCTGACGCGCTGCCTTCGGGAAGTGAGGCAATGTCCGGTGGTGGAAGCCGTCTGCGACACGCGCACCGCCAATCATTTGTTGACCGACGGAAGCAACCATCTGGGAGACGTTGAGGTTGGAACCCTTCGAACCACACTTGGCCATGAGAAGCGGAGAGTTCCATCTGCTGAGCTCTTCGAAACAGATTTCACCAGCAGCTTGGCGAACATTCGACAAGATACCACCAATCCTATTCTCCATGGTCTTCTCTTCATCGCAACCAGGATCACGCTGCAACTTGCCTTCTTGGAAGTCGCTGATGATCTTGTCGCACTGCCTGTAGGCTTCGACGACTAATGCTTGCTTCTTCTGCATCAGCTTCTCTCCTGGAGTGACATCGCTGATACCAAGGGAGAAGCCATTATTGGTAAGCCAACGGGCAGATAGCTTTGACAATCGGTTCATACCCTGCACCGCATGTTGAGGTCCAAAGTCACGCATCATGACGTAGAAGACCGAGTCCTTCTTTCCGTCACCTACAGTCGCCTTGTCCATGCAACCGCACATTACTTCCGAATTGCGAATGACCAAGTACGAATCGTTGTCGCTGAGGTCGTGCGGCACACCAGCCTTTGGCTTGAACATCTTGTTCGCAGCTTCAAGATTAACAAGGACTCTCGACTCTTTGTTAGGCCTCATTAGGATATTGAAGACCTGTTTTCCAGTCCAGAGCGCTTGCGGCTTCCAGATAGCCGGAGGCGGAATCTCGATGGGCAAGGTCTTGCCTGTGTCAGGGTCGTACGCTCCGTCTCCGTTGAACATGTAGTTTACGATCTGGCAAAATGTCCGTCGGTCGTAGAAGTTGCTTTTGTTGCTGAGTAAGAACGCAGCTGTGATAAAATCCTGGATGGCGGCGATGATAGGTGTTCCGTTCTTTGGTGTGGCAATGTTGTACTTGACGCCCATCAGCTCAGTGGCTTCTGTGCGCGCTTCTTCGGTCTGTGGAACATGCAAGTTCATCTCGTCACCATCGAAATCGGCGTTGTAGGGATTGCAGACACACTCGTTGAGACGGAATGTTCTCCATGGTCGTACTTTCGCCCTGTGACTGAGGATACTAAGCTTGTGAAGGGACGGTTGACGGTTGAACAATACGATGTCGCCGTCTTCGATATGTCGCTCCACGATGTCGCCGATTCTAAGATTCTCGGCAGGTCTCTTTAAGCGTTCACCTTTCCGATCGTGCTTTGTGAGTGCGGCCAGGGAGATCTTCGAGCGCTCACGAGTCGGCTGTCGTTCTGCATCATCTTTCAGAATGTAGTTCGCGCCAGGGTACTTGTTGGCACCATTGAGTACGAGCTTCTTCAGCTTCTCGATGTTGTACCTGGTCACCTTCTCGGGGTATGTCAAGTTCTTCGCCACACGTTCTGGCACGGCAACTTCTTCGATACTCAGATTGGGATCTGGACCGATGACAGTACGGCCTGAGAAATCAACACGCTTTCCGGACAAGTTCTGGCGGAATCGTCCACCCTTGCCCTTTAATCTCTGTGAAAAACCACGCATGGTCTTCTGCAAACCCTGCTGTTTTAGACCGGGCGCATCACTGTTGATGTACATGGCAATCTGCAGCTGCAGGAAATCCCACTGCTCCATGAGGATTTGCAAGGGAAATCCTCGCGCAAGCCCAGCCCTGATGATACTGCTGATCTGGCAGATGTCTCCGATCTTGTTTGTCACGTCATCCTCTGTGGCTCCACCTTCCTGCATGACTGAAGGTCGCAGCGCCACGGGTGGCACAGGCATGTACTCCCAGATCAACATCTCCGGCCGCGCGTCTTCCGGTATCATAGCTAGCAGCTCACAGTCTTCTGGCGAGATCTTTTTGAACAGATTGAGGGCGCGCAGGGGGTGCATATCGTCGGCGGCTTTCTTCAGGTGCTTGTCGAGCTCGGGGTTGGCCGACTTTGCTGTGTCAAAAGACTGATCGAACTCGATCTTGCCGGCTGGAGCCTTCTTCGTCTTCGCGGTCGATCGGTTGTACGCGTCATAGCGGTTGTGGATGATCTTCAGTGGGTGGCCCGGAACCTTCCTGACGGTACCCTGCAGCGCATTGCAGTATGGGCATGTCTTCTTCTTGCGGCAGTCGTCCAGGATCCTCTTCGAGACAGCACTCCGCCGCAGGGTGTCCATGTCCGGCCGGCGCATGCTGCGCAAGTACCTCCGCCTCTCGACTTCGTCCAGCAGCACCCGCGAACAGTCCTTGCATATACAGTTGAGCACCTCGATGATGTGCTTCAAGTACCCAACATGGAACGCCGGCAGCGCAAGCTTGATGTGGCCAAAGTGGCCGTTGCACTTGTCGAGGCCCTCGCCGCATGTTCCGCATTTCCCCGTCTTGCTCGAGATTCCCATGTGGATGTCCATGGGCCCGTTGGCCGTGAGGGTGCGCGTGTTGTCGGCGGCGGGGGTGAGGTCGTAGACATTGCGGTCCGAGACTTCGAGGACGGCCTGGTTGACGATGTCCTGGTTGGAGCTGAAAGCTGTTACTATGCATCCTGCGGCGTACGCATGCGTGGTCAGCCCTACTATATGCCGAACTGGATGTGCTTGATGCGCGCGGGGATCTTGTCCACCACCTGCTGCTTAACAGCGTAGTTGTGCGCGGCGTCGGCCATGGCGGCGGGTGGAATTTCGTCGCTTCGGGTTTCTGTCGTCTTCTGCTACCGGCGGCCTTCGTCGATATCGCGCATGGTCGTGTCGGCGTGAGTCATGTTACGAGGCGCAACTCTTGTTCAAGGCGAACTTCAGTCGCGAAGACAAAAACTTGGGTGGGGCACCCGCGCAAGAGGCGCCATCCCTGTCTAGCGCGGCAGCTGATAAGCCCGATATGGACAGCTACCCCAGAGGCAACAACCACGACATTCACTCCTGGCCCCGCCCCAAGGAGAAGGCCAAGCTGTCTCACCTTCGTCTCCAGATTGCTTGACTTCCGTCCCTGGATCACTGAACCACCCGAACTTCACTTCGTCACCACTTCGACACCACCCCCTCCTGGCCCAAAGTCCAAGCTGCAACGCCCCGCTTATAGCTCGGCCCCGCCCAGGTACTCACTGTTGCCGTACCTCTCTTTGAGCAACAACCCAACACGAACAGATCTCCTGATCTTACTGTACAGAGTGCTGCCACAATTTCCCCCCACACCACCATCACGATGGTTAGCGGTAAGCACTGCCAAAAACTCAAGGTTGTCTCATCATCGCTCACGTGCTGATCATCTCTAGCCTTCCACATAGTCCTCAGGCAGGAGGAGGGCTACGACGCACACCAGACTCGCGAATTTGACCTAGAGCTCAACTCCGAATTCGCTATCGGCCGTGCCTCCAAGAATATCTCCAAAGGCTATCTGCTACCTGCGAAAAACAACGTGTACATCGACAGCCCTGTGGTTTCTCGTGAGCATGCTATCTTGACCGCAAACGTGATCTCTGGCACCCCGCAGGTCTACATCACTGACGCCAAATCTATGCACGGTACCCATGTCAACGGCACCCCACTTGTGCCTCACACTCCCAAGCGGTTGTTCAACGGCGACAGGCTACAGTTCGGTGTGAACGTGAATCGTAATGAGAGTAAGTTGAGCTACAATACATCGATGCACCAAGTCGCTGACCATGTCCAGGTTACTTCGTTGCTTTTCAATACACATTCAACGCCGAGCTCTCTAACGCCGAGCCCTTCTCACGCGGCTTCACTGTTCCCGAGGCCGAGTCTGAGGAAGAGGACGTCCTCGCCCAGTCAGGCCGCGGTAGCCAACTCGACCCGCTCATTCTCGATGACTCCGATGCCGCTTCAGAGAACGACGAGTACGACGAGCACGAAGAGGAGGCAGGGCTTTCTGAGGACAACGTCGACGTGACTTTGGCACCGCTAGACGATGAGGTTCTCGAGATCGACACCTCGTCTTTGGTCGAGGAAGAAGATGTCGCTGACAGCAATGCTTACGACTTCGATGACAGCGATGCTGCAAGTGTTGACATTGCTCCCGAATACAATCCAGAGTCACCGCTTGTTCAAGCAGCCCAGTACGTCGACGAAGTTGTGCAAGTCCAGGCGACGCCAGTCGAGCGAGATCAGCCGTCGCTCGACTACTCGGCAGCTATGGAGGGAGCTCATGTGCTTGCCTTCGACTGTCCTCGATTCCAAACAACTTCTCCTCCAGCATGGCAAGGTGTCGACAACCACGCCACTTTCCCAAGGAGCATGTACGATAGCACCATCGGACCTCCACTCCCCCCACGACCTTCTCAGAAGCGACAGAGGGTCTGGGATAAACCTTCGCATGAGGAACAAGCTTGCAAGTTGGGCGCGCCCTCAGACATGCCCTTTTGGGCTCCTCTTGGTGGTTCCGCTCATGGGATCTGCGCTCAACCATTTGAGTTCGTGCCCGCCCTTCAGCGAGCTGCAGATTGCGTCCAGACGCCACCTCACACAGTGTCTTCCGAAATCGCCGCTGCAGCCTCTGCACTAGCGACATGTTCAACGCGCATAATCGGCTTCTCTAACCCCGAGATCGTTGATGAGCAGCCACCAACGCCGACTTCGATTAACAGCCGCAAGCGCAGCGCGAACAGTGCATTCAATGAAGAGACTGAGGTGAGTGTTGAGAAAAAGACTACAGAACTTGAAGTGGAGGGCGCTGTCCCAGAAGCCGCCGTTCCCACCGTCGAGCAGGTCGCGCCTCAGCCACAACGCCCTATTGCTCAGCCTAAGAGCGTCCTCAGGAGAGCTCTCAACGCAGCGAAGATCATGGTACCTGCCACTACACTTGGCGCTGTCTTTACCGTCTTTGCCCTCACCGCTCTGCCGGAGTCTTTCTTCATAGTCGCCTAAACAGACATGCTGTCTTCCACTCGACAATTATATCACTCTTCTTTTCACTTCCTGGGTTTCGGCATTTCGGTATACAGTAGGAGGAGCAGGAATCTCATAACCCTCGATGGAAACTTCAGTCATTTACAGGATTATCGGCGTTGACAGTGCGCACACACCCTGGTTTGGATCGGCTCGGTATCTCACATGGCGTTCAACGGGTGGCTCATACAGATAGCTGATGGTACGCCGCGCTTGCTTGCATATTTACGATTCACGATAGCTGGTAATGACATATATAACCTCCACTCATCAACCCCACTGTCTTGCAAACATGCCACTGCCTTGATGGTGTTCGACTTGGACACCGCAGTCAATTCCCATCTCCTCGTGCATTTACAACATAACGTGCTGAGTTCACGTCTCCAAACTCGTCGCAACACTGGAGCATGTCCATCAGCCGCTAATAGAACAGAAAGAAGAGAATTACGTACTACAAGGACCAAAGCAACGTAAAATTATCGTGCTGTCCCAAGCTAGCAGCGCACCCGCGATGCCGAGCTGTCGTCCAGTAGAACAGGCAGAGAGCAGAGGTCAGTGAATAAGTCGAAGGGCAAATGACCCTGGGCTAACGCGGCTCTGGTTCACGCTTGGTTCTTGCTTAAAATAGTGAGGTCGAGGTGATTGTGTTGTTGCTTGGTCGGTAGTGATGAATTCATGGATGGATGATGGTGTGGAAGGATTTAATGTCGCATACCCATCAGTAGATCTTGCTCGTCGCTCAAATCCCTCCTGTGAGTTCTATGCACAACCGACGGCGAAATCAACAACTTTCAAATGCGATTTGCTCTGCGCATACGTCCTACGTAAGCATAGAGTCAACCAACACACCATCATCGCAGCTGACCCGCAGCTCGCACAGCGTACCAACCGGTCCAACCCCCCTTCCTCCTTTAGAGACCAAGCCGTATATCCACCCCTCTATCACAAGTTTCGTTCATCCAGTAGATTCCTAATCCTCAACCCCATCCTCAGCCCCTCCATCGTGCCATCCGCGAACTCGAACCCGACACCCACCACCGCCCTAATCGCCCAGAACGAAAAGCACTTCCTCATCCACGCCATCTGCGGCGACACAAACCCAACTTCGGGGTTGTCTGACCCCCACGACGCTGCGCCGCCAATAAGACACACCCAGAGGAAGACTCCGCGCATGGAACCCCAGCAGCCAATGGCGTCTGTGTGATCGACCGCACTGAGGAGTGCATGGAGTACCGTCGTGTTGCCCATGGTGGGATCTTGGTGTGATATGTTTGCTGCGGACGTGAAGGTGGTGTGATGGATGATGGCGTGCGTGTATATGAGTGCGGCCAGACGGGTGCTTTCGTGGATCCAGTCTATGTCCTGCGCTGATGGAGAGCGGTGGAGATGAGAGTAGATCTCGTGGTACTGAGGAGTTGGGACGAAGTTAGTGACGCCCTGATGCTGGTGTGTGAAGGCTTGCGTGAGATTGGACATGTCGATAATGATCTCCAGCGTTTGTGTCGAGCAGCTGTTACCGAGAGAAGTAAATTCTCCATGCAGCGCGTATAGAGGCGACGCGCATGGGTAAGACTGCCGCGTGTGTCGAAGGGTCAGATTACTTGTGGGATGTGGAGCCAGCTCGGGTAGTCGCTTGAGCATAGCCAAGGTCGTCAGATGCCTGCGTATGTCAGCACCGCCCCAATTAGTCTTGCTCATTGTTCAACAACAGTCTTTCCAAGAGCTCTTGATGGAAGTCTGGTCTTGTATCTGACTTGATGTGAAATCTCGCATGTCGTCTACTTGGGGAAGACTTACAATACGACATAGGTCGCAAGATGATATGTTAGCTGGCTCAAACCACCTCTCTTGTGGATGAGGCCTTGGAGTCCCCGGTAGTGAACGCTGAACGCCGTCTCGTCGCCTCCAACTTCGCTCAACAGCAAGTGCAATATGCTCAAGATTGTGGCATCGTTTGACTCGAGTTGACCTGCGATCGTGCTGAGGGCATGTGTCTTGATTCGCACAGTTGTACCGCTATCCTGCCAGAGACCGTCTGCGAGATCTTGATAGACGCTCGAGACGCTGACATGGCTGAGGAATGACATCTGGTCGGCGCAGATGGCTCGCATCCATTGCCTGTCTACCTCTGGATCAGCAAATTGTAGTCCACGCGACTTGAAGATATACCTTGGCAGAAAAGGGTAGAGCTGTCGATATACCGTGACCTCAGACTGCTAACAGGATCACTGGACGAGCTATATAGACCTGGAAAGGGGAACGCCGGAGCATCTTCGAAGGTCAGAGGAGCACTTCGAGAGTACGTCCCTTGTGTCGATGATATTATGTGATGGATCAAGCTTCGTAATCCGGATGGCGTGAGTGTGTAAGGTATGGGTTCGGGTGGTAAAGGCCCACTCCAGGTCCCACTTCGAGGTTTCGACTGAGCGGGCGCAAGGTAGTCTAATTCGCTAGCAGATGCATCCGAGCCGGTCAGGGCAGGACTTTCAGTGCTTGATGCGGATGCTGAGGCGCTTCTGTATAGGTCTGTATCATGGCGCTCACTGGAGGCTGTTTCTCGCTCAGTTCGGTGCTTGTACATGACATGGGACCGAACATGTCGCATCGTCTTGCCAGCTCTGAAATGATCTGGATGGTTGGCCACGACAAATCGAAGAGCTGGTCCAGGTTCGAGTGGAGGCTGTCGCCTCCGCCCAAGTCTTCTCCTTGATGACGAAGGCTCGTTCGGTGACGCCATAGTGAGGAGTATTTAAGGGTCAAAATGACACAAGAGACTCGTTCCAGTCGTACAAAGAATCTTCGACGATAGTCAAAGAGTGATGGAGATGCCACGATCAAAGCCTTAAAACTTTTCGAATGATTCGCGCATATACTGCCCTTGAACTGCTGTTAGATGGTGAACTTCAACAACTCGATGAGCCGACTTCGGCAATAGTCGAATGGCAGATCCTTGCCTGGTGCAGTGAAAGCGTGTCAACTTCCTGAGCCCTTGGAGATGAGTGAAAATGCTTTACTCTGCAAGCAGATGCGTGCACAATAAATGGCGACAGAAGTGATGATTTTGAAGGCGCCGATTTGAGAGTGAGATAATTTTGATTCGTTACGGAAGACTTCATAGAGATCAGCCACGCTGAAAGGTTGTTGTCGTAGGCATTGTCCGTCCTCCATAGCCCCATGACTCCGACACGTAGACAACCGCAGGGATCATCCGTCAATTGTCTCTAACAGCGCAGTAGATAGCGGGTAGGCCGGTTGCACCCTCAAGCCACATGCTCAGTGGGGACTTGAAATTCGGTTTGAGGATTCTAGGGCAGGCCGCTGGCGGTCTGCAAGCTCAAGAATGGCATTGCGCCACAGGTCATCCACCAACAGTAACGTATGCTGTCATAGCTGAAAGACCCATATGAGCTACCACAATGGATTAGTATGCGGGAGCTTGTTCCTGACATGTACCGAACAATGCTGGTGGAGGGTAGCCTCAAGCTTGCTTGGCGTGGCTGACGTTTCCTGCCAACGTTTGTAAGATCGAGACGCGATTGTAGTCATACAGGTGAGCGTTATGACACGCTGACCTCATCTTAACGGTGTCGAAGAGTTTTAATCCCGGACAGCTTTAGGTAGAGTTCTGAAACCGTTGCATACGTACTCGGATAGTCAGTTGGAGCTTGAGCCTCGAGGTTGAGCGACAGACTGACAATCTCGTACTGCAGTGGCCACTTGGAGATTCGTGGGTGCGGCCGCCTGGAATTGCTCAGGTCTGCAAAGCTATGTTCGGGCAAGATGACATAATCCTCGAAAAGATATTTTAGGTTGTCCCATTTGCCGTTTCGGTGGCCAATGCCCGTTGTACGCGTGTTAGTGGATGTAAGCACACCGCGTTTCGAAGCTGAGCGCGACTGCTGGGATATGACTCGGTTCGCTTGATGCTTCTTGGAATCGTGGAAAATTCTTTACATTGTACGAATGCACCGCAGCTCTGCGGTGAGATCGGCGGTACGATGCAGTGTCGGAAACGCAAGCTTGAATTGTGACCATAAAATGAGCCATGTCCCGCGTCTGCCGCCCATTTGTAGTATGTATCAGGATCGTTTTCAGCCGAGCCTTCATAATCGCCAGGCATGACTCTTTGCAGATATCAATTTGCATGGTGACCTCGGATGCCTCAAAGTCCTATTCTTCACAGCCTTTAGCATAGCTAGGCGAGCAGCCTAGTAACCCGGTCTTTCGGAGCTGAAGCCGGTAGTGAGTGGTATCAATCCTCGGTACTTGACTCGCTCAGCGAAGTGGCTTCTCAAAGCTTCGTGTAGTCATGGATGAATAGACAGCAAATCGTAAGCTGACTCCGACTCCCAAGGAACTAAAAAAGTGTCCAGTGCGTTGTGTCGTCTCGCTGTGGTCCACAGCATTCATCGTTCCCTTTCATCAGTGAAAACAAAATCTCAAAGGCCGTGCACAGGTAGACAGCATCTGTAATGATGTGAAGCTGATGTTGACGTGTCGAGCGGTGGGGCTGACCCTTGCCAGCGCACAGACGTAAACATCTGACGTCACTTTGAGCAGGAGTTTTCAGTGCATTCGAAATCACAGCAAGAGCGAGCATTGTTATTTGTTTATTTCATTCGTGTGTAGTTGGATTATAGGTAACAAATCAGCTCACTAAGCCCATTCTCTGCTCAGAAGCAAGGCGCCACTATTTCGCCACGGGCAACCATCGTTTAGTGACAGTAGGAAGAGTAGGAATACATGCGAAAAACGCCGAGAAGCAGGAGCGACCAACACGCTCCTTCGCTACTGAGATCTGCACTCCTCCACTCATGGTCCAAGGTCATCTCGTGCATCATACTAAGCTGGAGTCCTTGAGAGGGGATCGACGTCGTCTACCTCGTGCTTGCTGGGGTCGTTCCGCCTCATGATGCCTTCAACAGGACCGAGTAGTCGCTGGAAACCATTCTTGCCGAGCATTGCAACCTTGACCTCAGTCTCGCTGATCACAGATGCGGCACGAGGCGCGTCGTTTAGCAGAGCGAGCTCACCGAAGTAGTCGCCCTTTTGGTATGTCTTAACGGGCGCGTTGTTGCCGCGAATATAGACCTGCGCTTGACCAGATTCGAGGATGTAAAATGACTCGCCAATGTCGCCCTCTCTGATGATCTCCGTGCCAGGCGGGTACTTCTTCGTCTCAAGCGCATCCGCAATCTTGGAACGCTCATACTGATTGAGTGTGGAGAGGAGTGGAACTTCCTCGAGGAACCCTTCGTACATGCGTCGTCGCTGGAAAGCACTGTCCATAAGGATGCGACGGAAGGTAACGCGGTCGAGCGCCCACAGTGTCGATGGCTCGGCAGAGATGACAGTAGCAGCACGGGGGGCGTTGTACATGAGCGCGAGCTCGCCGAAGGACCCACCAGGGCCAACAGAGCCTACCTTCGCACCCAGTCCGTCGACGCCAGCCTCCAGCTTGCCAGACTTGTTGACATGGATATCGAAAGACCCCTTCTCCACGACGTAGAAGTAGTCGCCAACATCGCCCTGTGTAATGACCTTGATGCCCTTGGTCGGTATTGGCTTCTCGTGCAACGCGCCCAGTACCTGTGCGGACTGCTCATCGTCGAGGTGCGAGAAGAGGAAGTTGCCAGAGACAGCCGACCTCAGACGTGACACCTGCTCCTCTGTCTTGGGGTGGAAGGGGGCCGTGAAGTTGTCGTTGTCTGCTGATGTGGGGTTGAGCGATTCGGCGGACACGGACACGCGTCGGTTGGCGTTGTAGTTGCTGGGCGCGCTGCTGCCTGCAATTGGTGGCATCTGCGTGACCTGGTTTCTGGAGGACCCTCCAAAGCCGCCGAAGTTGCCAAAGTTGCCAAAGGGGCTCTCGCCCTGGTCGCCGCCACGGACCATGTTCGACTCGGCCTGTGCGAACGAGGACGCGGTGGGGGAGGCCATCATGTCGCCCTCCTCTTCTTCCTCGAGGCGCTGCATTGGGCTCTTCGCGAAGCTACCGGAGCTGGGAGACGTGCCGAAAGGATTGTTGCCGGGGAAGCTGTGCTCGGCACGGCCTTGCTGGCTGGAATGCTGCTGCGACAGTAGGAACTCGGCGCGCTGCGACTCGAGGCGGCGGTTGAAGAAGCTCGCACAGAACTGCAGGATGTCGTTGGGCTTGTGCTTGAGGATCTCGCGGTCGAGGGCGGCTATCTCATTTGAGTAGTCTGGAGGGAGGGACATTGGGAGGTGGGTGGTGAGGGGTCGAGCGCAGCTCTTTGACGTCGGATTCGCGAGGTGCAGGGATGGGCGGCGTTAAGCTGCGAGGCCTGGAACGCAGCGAAAGTGCGCAGATGGAGGGGAGGCAAGGCACGAGGGGCAAGTCGTGAAGGATGCAATTGCACGATGGGCGTTAGTCAGTGGTGGTGAGACGTGTGGAGCGTGCAGCCGCAATGACGCCTAGGACAATCTGGGGCAGAAGAGGGGAGAGGCTGCAGCAAGAGCGATCATCAGGTGCGGGCAGGCACTGGAGCTTAAGGCAAGCTTTCTGGGGCTGATCAATCTTCCAGAAGGGCTCTAGAAATCGAAGCGCTGCCCGGCCGGCTTCTGCGCAGCTGTAGCCATCCGCCGAGACAGCTAGGGACGCTGGCAGTCATGGTTCACGCGCATTGGATGCTACCACGTCACACGATGCAGCTGTGGCAGGCCGAGCATCAGCCTGCAGTGTTCCTCGCGATGCACCAAGACAAAGCTCTGGGAGCTGTCGCAGACTGAGCTCAAAACCAAGAGCTGCCGCTGAGCTGCGCCTACGAGGTAGCTCCCGCGTCACCAGGACTGCGCGCTGCCCCATGCGCCTAGGCGGCGAGCTGCAGCGGAGCCATGCAGAGGAGCTCCAGGAGAGGATTTTTGTTCACGACATGTTCGCCTTGATGTGAACCTTGACGGAACTATCTGCAGCTATGACACAACAAGATGCTTCTGGCAGTACGTTCCATCTGTCTAGAACTGACGGCTGGGTGACCGCATCTTGATGGAATGCACCAATCAATAGCCCCTCGCACACGATAAGGAAGCAAAGCACGCTGCACGCCACCTACGGGCTCATGGGTGACGGACATATCTGAAGCGCAGCAGCAGGAAACATAGCTAGAGGTTGATGAGAGGGCAGCTCTCACACGTGAGTTGACAGAGCTGAAGGGGCACTTTGGAACCGTGATAGCCGTCCCACGATAGCTCTAATGTCACCGGGCCCAAGTACCTCTCATCAGCGACCGAACACTTCCTTGACGAGACCTACGCCTCGTGCGGGCGGTGGGGGCGGCACGATGTGATGGAACGCGCTCGAAATCCTCGTCAGTGGTCTGAAAGCCTGCTACGGTGTGAAGTTTTGGCGAGTCTACAGTTGGCGGTGTGCTACACAGTGGTGGCAGGCCCGAATGTTGGGACACCCGCCGCAGGAGAAACACGATGGCTTCCGCTGTTGAGCAGGCCGCGCTGTTTGGAAGGGCAGTGTGGCGATTGCTTCAAGCCACGCTGTTTCACAAAGTCTGCTGGTTGCCCAACACGCTGGATCTTCTTCGTGGAGAATGCTTCTGCTGTAAGGCGTGACAGCGATTCGGCCATAGATGTGCGTCATCGCGCTCGTGAGACGCACGAGCTTCTCCTTCCGAGCTGGCGGGGCTGGCTCCCACCTGTCAAAGCGACGTCGTGGGCGAATGAACAGCAAGTAAACACGGCAATGAACGCTGGGTAGTCAGAGTGGAGCTGCAATTGAACAAGGCCCACCAGCGGAGGATTGCCAAATTCCGTCATCGCACATGCTGCTGCTGCTTTCCGCGAGCGACGCGGTGACTCGCTCGCCAAGCGTGAGCTAGAGCTGTCTGTCATGCAGCGTGGAGGTCGCCGCAGAGCTGAAGCCTCATCGATTCTACATCTCCATATATCACCCGTCTTTGAAACTGCGCGGCTACTCGTTTCGTCTAGCAGAGCCTTTAATCTTGTCGCCGTAGCCTGTTGCAACTTGCAAGTCACACTAGCTCACGGAAGCGCCGCACGAGCACAGCCACTTGGTTCTTAGCCTCCTCAGTCCTGTTCCTGCTTTCCCCAACCCCCTCGCTGCTTGCGCTCAAGACAAGGTCCCACCCACCGCGCAACCTCGCACCCCAATCGCACGCCTATCCTTACGCCGCCATGGGCAAATACACATTCACATGGTAAGCTGGTCGCTTTTTCTGCGTGCGCGCATTGTACTCACACGCCATGCAGGGAACACGACGCCGACGACGTTTACGTGACCGGCACCTTCGATGACTGGAAGAAAACGGTCCAGCTAGAAAAGGAGGGCAGCGTCTTCAAGAAGACCGTCGAGCTTCCCCAGACCAAGACACAATTCAAGGTACGCTCGCGCTGCGACACGCGCCTGTCGCTCAGCTCGGCTGCAGGCAGCCCTCCAGTTTGAACGCATTCTAATCCATGTGCGCAGTATGTCGTCAACGGCAACTGGTGTATCAACGAGAGTGCACCCAAAGAGGACGACGGCAATGGCATTGTCAACAACATCCTGCTGCCTGCGGACATCGTAGAGGAGCCAGCGCACACACTCTCCTCCGCCGCGCCGCAGTCGTCCACAGCAGCGCTCGCCGGCGCCGTTCCCAAGGAGAAGGATCTTGAGAAGAGCAAATCTAATGACTCCATCCCCGGCGCGTTCCCCATGACGCCCACACCCAGCACCGAGCAGCGCCAGTTCATCAACCCCATTCCTGCTACTGCAGGTCTGGGCAACCCAATCAAGCTTGCGCCTGAGGAGCACGTCCCTGCTGCAAGCACATTGACCGGCAACACGGTAAACTCCACAGTCAACCTCAAGGGCGAGCCTGAGGAGGATGAGAATGCTACGGTCAGCGCTGCGCCTATTCCCGCAACTGCTGGCGCTGGCAACCCTATCCACCTTGCCCCCGGCGAGAAGGTCCCCCACCCTAGCACTTTGACCTCCAACACCATCAGCAGCACCGCCAAGACTGACGAAGCCTCGTACCACAAGTCGGACTCGCAGGCGCCTCAACTTCCTCCTGTCGCCATCACCCCCCAGGCCGAAAGGTCAGGCGGCATGTTCAACCTGCCGGTCCAGACTGGTTCCCTAGTCCCAGAGTCTAGCCTGCCAATGGGTGTGGATGCGAAGATTGAGAAGGACACTGGTGTCCACATCCAGTCTGCTGCTCCTTTGAGCTCCACCGCTGCTCTTGCTGGCCAGGTCCCCAAGGAGCCCAGGGGCGTACCCGAGGTTGTGACCGAGAGTCAGAAGGAGGCTGGCTTCGCTCCTGAGGCCGCTGCCAACTCCGAGGCTGTCCTTGACAAGAAGGAGGTTGAGCAGGAGCTCAAAGAGACTGTTCCTGTCAAGACCGATGCCGAGAACGACCACGCCCCTACCATCGAGGCCGACAAGTCTATTAGTATCGGCGAGAGCGTTGGCGCAGCCGCCGGCGGTGTTGCCGCTGCTGCGACCGTAGGTGCCGGCCTGTTCGCTGGCGCGATTTACGCCGCCAAGGAAAAGACCGCAGAGGCTGTCGGTCTCGACAAGGACGCCACTATCGGCCAGACCGCTTCTGCTGTTGGAGCCACTGCCGTCGATTCTGTTGGTCTTGACAGCTCCAAGACTGCGACAGACAATGTCTACCTCGCAAAGGACAAGACCTTTGACGCTGTTGGCCTTGATAAGAATGCTACTGCGACCGACAACGCTTATCTTGCGAAGGATAAGACACTCGATGCCGCCGGCCTCGACAAGAACGCCACCGCGACCGAAAACGCCATCCTTGCTAAAGACAAGACCGCTCAGGCGACCGGTTTGGACAAGGCCGCCGACAACGCGTATGCTGCCAAGGACAAGGCTGTTGCAGCCGTTGGTCTGGACAACTCCGCTTCGGCAACCGAGAACGCGCAGCTCGCGAAGGACAAGACTTTTGGCGCTGCTGGTCTCAACGGCTCGACCATTGGCTCCAGCGCTGCAGGTGACGTTCCCGTTGTCGTCGCCGAGAGCCAGAAGGAGGCCCATGCCAGTCCCGAGGCCGCCGCGAACCCTGAGGCTGTCAGCGAGAAATCGAAGCTTGAGCAGGAACTTCTGAGCTCAGTGCCCAAGTCGCAAGACCACGGCGAGCCTGCGCCTTCGGTCGCTATCCCCGCCCTTGTCTCCGACAGCCAGCGCGAGGCCCACGTAAGCCCCGAGGCTGCTGCGAACCCCCTCGCTGTTCACGACAAGAAGGAGTTCGAGTCTGAGCTGCTCAAGTCTGTTTCCAAGACTGACGAGTCTGGTGAGCATGCTCCCGTGATTGCTGCCGCTGCCGCCGTAACAGGGGCCGCAGCTCTGGTAGGAGGCGCTGCCTACGCCGCCACATCTGGCCACAAGACCGAGCTTCCGGATCGTTCTGTTCCTTCAGTCGTTGCTGAGAGCCAGAAGGAGGCCCATGCTGCTCCTGAGGCTGCTGCTAACGCCGAGGCTGTTGCTGAGAAGAAGGAACTTGAGTCTGAGCTATTGAGCCAGGTCAAGAAGACCAACGAGTGTGGCGAGCCTGCTCCTACTCTTTCGGCTGCTACCGCCACTACTGCTCCTGGCGCCAGCACATCTGCTCCCAAGCTGTCTGAGAACTCCTACCCGCTTTCGACCGACTACAAGCCGGCTACGCAGGAGGAGATCAACCGCGCTCTTTCTAGCACCACCGATACACCCTCCACAACTGCTACCGGTGGTCTGAACGCCCCTGCTTCCCAACCTGCTCAGACAGAGGCTACCAAGGCTGCTACCATGCCCGCCACGGTCGTTACTGCTGTTGCATCTACCACGTCGACTGAGCCTACCACCTCTTCCAAGGCTGTCGAGCCCGCTGTCTCCAGCACAACCGACACAACATCCGCATCGAAGAACGAAGGCCTTAACGCTCCTGCTGCTTCCGCTGCTCAGACTGATGCCACTAAGGCGGCTGCTGAGCTGGCCAAGGACGACAAGGAGGGTATCTTCAAGACTACCACACTCGAGCAGAAGCAGCCAACCGTCACCACTGGCACTGAGACTGGCACAACCGGCACTACCAGCCAGGGCCTGACCGCGCCCGAGACACCTCAGAAGGACCGTAAGGACTCCGACGTCTCCCCGAAGGGTACCCCAGGCAGCCAGAGCCTTGCATCCAATTCTGCCACCACCGACAAGAAGAGCAAGAGGCGATCGTTCTTCGGCAAGCTCAAGGACAAGTTCTCCAGCAAGAACTAAGCTGGCTGTGATTCTTCTCGTACATTGAAGGTCTTTGCAAGTGACCTTGGTGCTCGTTGATATACCCGAGGGTTCGGATGCCGTGCGGCTCTGCCTTTCTCTGTCTATTGTTCGTCATACGGAGTTGGCTCTGTTTGGTCTATACCATTTCTGCTTCTCTGTTTGACATGTTCTGCTCCAATTTGTACTCGAGCTTTGGTTTCGCCTGTGTATGCGCGTTCACGATGCATTTAGGCTGCATGTGGAGGGGAGCTACGATGGGGATTTCCAGTACTTAATTCGCTAATGTAGATGCATTAGATCTGTTTTACAATGATTGTCTTGCGTTCTAGATATCTGTTCAGTCGTTTCTACTTCGTGACCAACTTTTGGTGTTGCTATGGAAATTCGCTCCACTACATGCTGGGCCAACCCTGTCGGTTAGTCTTCCTCATAACACGACAGTGCCCAACTTCATCACACATCGACTCACTCACAACATCAGGGATTTATACATCAAAGTGTATCGCAACCTCAACACCTTACTTCATGATCCCATGATGTCGACCCCAGACGCGCACACAATGCCAGCATCCCAACAATGCGCACTCACACTCTGCCAACCATTTCACTGCATAGTACGGCGACCAGGCTTTCACGAGTACCCCTCTCGCAATACATCTCTCGTCTCTCAAGCCCAACAAAGAAAGATCCTTTCAACCGCACATCGAGTCCAACCAAAGCCAAGCTACTCAGAACACCGATGTGCGAAGCGACACAGCGCGACCGCATGGCACGCCCGCCGACGATGTCTCAGCAGGCTAGGCCTCGTCGGCCATACCACATCGCACATAGCCAGGAAAACGCAGTTCGGGACGTTCCAGGTGGTGCCCGTTCTGTACCGGAGGCACCTCGCAAGCCTCATGGTCAGGATCGGGAGCGCAGAGCAGACGTAATGAAGATGCTGCCTCGCCAGCTGAAGCCTCGCCGGCCGTTGCAAAAGTCTGATCGTAGCCCTGAAGCGCCCCATTGTGAGCTGCGAGCTGCTGGGCCAATGCCATCCAAGTATTCGGAGAGGACTGTCGACTTATTCACCATGATCGATGAGCACATGGCGTGGAATATGTCTGCCTCGGACGCAGAGTCGCCGCGCCCCAACAGCTCGGGTACGATGTTTGTTGACTTCGGCGCAGATGGTGAGGTGGAGGTCTCGTACCGCAACGGCATGAACAAGAAGCTGCCCTGCGTCCCGTCAACGACCCCTGCACCGTCCCAACCCGCGTCTCCACGACACACGGTGGATATCAAGCAAGCCCCCAAGACCGCAGGATCGAATCAGCAACACGCCGAGGCGCATTTGAAGCCACAACCACACCACCACTTTCACCCCTCGCGCCACGACTCAGTCATCCACCCCGGCGCCTCGCACACCATCGATATCACCCAGCCCCCTCCTTTCCCTCCTCCAAGCCGCTCACTCCCATCTCTACCTTATCGAGTCCCTCTGCATCCGCAGAGCCGAATGCCCCAAGTCCATGCTACCTCACGCTCCGTCTCGACAGCAAAGACGCACCGCTCTGCACCTGCGCCATCAGCAGCACCAACGACGACGTATCGCACTGCCCGCGATATCGAGACCCGCGGTGCGCGCGATGCGGTGTACACCACCACCAAGCCCGAGGGCATGACGGTATCGTACAAGTCCGGTGGTCTGACGACATCTTTCCGCGTCAACTCCGCGGTGCACTCGCACCCCGAGGCACAGAAGCAGCAGTACCCGAACGGTTCCCCTCCACAGCGCTTCTACAACCCTTCCATGCATTCTTCTTTGACACACGTGTCGCTGAAGATGGACACGAACAAGCCGCTTCCACCGCTGCCCCCATCATCCCGGGACTCCGACGATTGTGCCACGCGCTCTCGGCAGCTGAGTGCGCTGGAGAAAGAGAAGAAGCGGTATAAGATTGCGCGGTTTGTGAAGACGGTGTTGCGCAAGATGGCGGGTTTGGCGGACAAGTTTGATGAGCATCAGCATCGGTATCAACGCAGGTAATTTGTTAGTTGCGTTTTTTTAATGATCCATTTCGAGGTGTAGTAGTGCGAGAGGTAACAAATAGCCGTAAGCGTGTCTCGTCTACCCATAGTGGAGATGGGCTCGCAGGCATGAGATAAATGGCGGTTTCGTCGAGAGTGGTGATCCGCTGATATCGAAGCTGGACTTGCTGATGAATGTGTTGCTCGACAGTTCAAGAGAATTAAGAATGTGATATGCAGTCTCCAAGTTGTTCCTGGATTGCTCCTTCGGTTCTGTGACGTAGACTACCAGCGTATGCCTTCCTCTCCATATACACAACATGGGCATCGCGCCCAAGACCCAGATGTCGCGCGGTCTCGCCTCATCTTCTGCCATATTCTTTTCGTTTGTGTTAAAATTGCGATATTCACAGACACTATACCTTGACAGTACTTTAGAGCCTCCAGTTCCTTCATCATCAACACTGTTCGCCTGTCATGCTGTCTCCCATCGCTCACTTCAGCTCATTTGGATACATACCAAGCAGATAAGCGCAGTTGTTCAGGCCACCTTTCGCCATCTTGTGCTTCGTGAAGCTCCCCTGTAACTGCCTAGCTTCAGTAGCGCTCATCTGGTTGGCGTCTCGAAGGTACCGGACGAGGCAGTTGACGTATCGACGCTCAGCCCGTGCTCGAGCCGCGGTGACTTGAAGTAAGTCAAAAGTCACGCCAGTGCATCGTGACGGAAGGTTCTGAATGTTATGCTCCTGTGCATATGCGCGCTCAAGGTTCGTCCGCGCTGACCGCAGTTCGGCTGCTTGTGCCCGCAGCGCAGGAAGCACATTATCCGTCTTGGGCTTGTTTGCCCCTACTCTGCGCGTCTGTCGCGACGATGTGACATTGGACCTGAACTGATTCGGTACGAGACGCGTGTATCGGTTTCTGTGGACGTGACGTGGCGCCGGGCGTTGTACTGGCACCTCATCCATGATCAAGTCGACAATGTCAACACCTGGGACGTTTCAGTGAATCTCCTTGAAAATTACATCCATTTGCACTTACCTGTCGGGTCGCGCCGCTCATGTTCCAACCGCTCTTTGCCTCGCTCGTAAATATCGTCGATGTCTATGCGCCGAAAGCCTTTGCGAACAAGCGCTGCCCTCAACTCCTTCATGAGGACATCGAGAACATCTGAGGAAGGTCAGTAGAGACACAAGGTTTTCTTGCCCAAAGAGTGATCAAGCCGACGGCAGTACTCACCGATCCCCTCATCATTCGCCTTCGCCATTCTGTATCTTACCCGCGCGTGGCGGCGGGAGGTATGCAGCGACGATGGTTGTGCACCAGCCTCGCCAGCGAGCTTTGGCAGATGTCCAAGCACCACGTGCTCTGGCAAATAGCGGTGCGGTAGGTACTCCTCCTGGAGCTGGTACTCGTACCACTTGTAGGCATCTGAAGGGTTGCCCCAAACAGCGTAGCAGATCAGCCGACGCAAGCCTGAGTTCACCGGCTGACCCCGCGCAAGTGCCTGAATACCTCCACGGACCGCTAAGTCGATGCGGTCGATGATGTCCCATCTGTATTCGAACCCTTGGAAAAAGTCGCCGAGCTCAGGGTCGACCTTCGTGCGCAGTGGCCTGTAGGGATAATTGGCTGGAAGACTGAAGTACTCCGACTTTATGACGCCGTCGACATACCTGCCAGATGTTAGCTTTGAAATTCCCAAGGACCTGCACAGCCTACCTAGCCGGCCGAGTATACCCTCGCAAGAAGTATCTGTATGCGTCTAGCGGAGATGACGAGTTGAGCTCCGTAATGGTCTCACGACCCTCAGAGCAATCGGCGATCTCTGGGTGGCTGCGGAAGAACCGATCAATCTCGACCAGGAATCCTCTCGAGATCGACCGGCCAGCTAAGTATGATAGAAGCTCGTCATCTGCGGTGTCGGCGAAGGAGCGCGGCTGAGTGACTGCTGTTAGCGAAAGTGATTCGACCAACACCGGCCTTCCACATGCCTCAAACCGGCGGCTGTGTGGTGTACTCGTCACCCATGTTACTTCCTGTCCGCTATCATTGAAATCGAAAGTCTCCACGCTTCGACCAGCATGGCTTGCGCATGGGACAGGAGGGGGCACCTCGTAGCAGTCACTGTCACCGTCGTCCTCGACGATGACCGGAGACAGACGAATACGTCGATCGCGCGTTGAAGGATTCTTGGCTGGTGCGTTTATCCACTCGCCTCCTACCCACCAACCCCGAGCCTCCCTCGCTGTAAGTAAAGCTGAGCCTTGTGGGCGAGGAAGCGGGGTGTCAGGTTGGTCGTAGGCGTAGGGACGATGTCGCCGACCAGCGTTCCCGGTCATGGTGCCGCTGCGAGACCTACTTTTGGTATTGCTGGTGCTGGCTCACGTTATATATCCGTCACTGGAGCGTAGGACTGGGAATGAAAGACAAGCGGGCCCAGAACGAAGCGAGAAACGCGACTGCACGGCGGAGATCGAGCACAGGGTGGTGAGGGGAAAGATCTCAAGCGCGTCGAGGTGAGAGTGAACCGTAGCTTGGCTCACAACGAATAGGAAGGCATGCGCCCACGACGCGCCGAGCAGCGAACACGCAGTAGCTGCACGCCAATGAATGAAGATTTCGGAGCCGGGTAGAATAATGGAACAGATGAAGACCGCAGAGTGAAGCCATTAGCTGCAATGGAAGCTTCTGGTAACGCATGAGACAAGCAACAGCAGAGAACAAGAAACGCATTCACGGACATGTACATTTTAATGGACCGAGTCTGGATATACGAACCGAACCTTGACGCCACCCAATACGCTGCATGGTCAAATGAAATATGCTACAACTGCGACGGATGCTGAGCTCAGAACACACTGATGTAGTTACCGATGCGCTCTTTCTGGTTCTGCGCAATACACTCGGCTATCCAGGTGATGTTGCGGATTTCCTATCGATGTGTCAGCATGTCTCGTTGAACATGGTGATGGGTCAAACATACCTGTTCGCGCAGCTTCACCCACGCGTAGACGACAGCGTGTGTGAATTGGTGTGTAAATGCCAATTTGGAGATCTCCATCTCTTTCTGGTAGAAAAGGTCTTCCAAGCTCTTAGACTCGCCGCCTGTACCGCCTGCCATGTTGCCAACAGCGCCACCACCACCCTGGCTGAGCCCTGTTTGGTCGAAGAAGCTCTTGTACTCTGCAACGCTCTCCACAGCAATGCGCACACCTTCAACGTCATCTGCTCGTGAGAGCATCATAGTTCCCTCAGGGTGCAGCTTACCAAAGGCAGGATACAGCTTCTTCCTGTCTGCCTTGGAGAGCTCGGTGCCGAACGAGTTCAGCGAGATGTTGATGCTCCTGCGATCAGCCTCGAACTCGAGAACCTCTGACATGACGTCAGATGTCGGTGTTCCGGCGATCTCGGGGTCGGTGTTGACCCAGTTGTGGAAGTCCTCGAGGTAGTTCTTGTACAGAGTGTTGCGGATGATCTCGATGTTCAACTCGTCGAGGTCCTGGTGGCTGAGCGAGCCCTTGAAGTAGGGCGCAAGCGGTGTCTCGATCAGAACAGAGTTGTAAAGCTCCTCGATATTGGTGGCCACACACAACACCGGCATTGTCTCGAACCAGCCAAGAGGGTGGCATCTCTCCAACAGCTCACGCGTGTCCCTCTCGTGCAGCGTACCAGTGATCAACAGCGCAACATTGTCGATCATGTATCCGTAGGTCAGATATTCCATGAACTTCGACAGAGAGCCGGTGGCGTTGGCCTGAACGTAACGGAACTCGGCAACGAGCTTGTCGGTGGTTTTGGCGGCGAGCGCAGACGTCGAAGGATTTGGAGGTAGAGAGGCGAGAAAGTCCCCGTACGCAGGTGAGAGTTGCAGCTTGACATCTGGGGGATGGCGTCAGATAGATCGAATGCGTGCGCCGCCGCGAGAAAGCCTACCGTCGATGGTCTCGCACTGTGTCAAGTTGCTGTAGTTCTGGCTGGTGAGCAGCGCATTGCGGTAGCCGCGCACCACGCCCTCGATGTAGCTATTCACTCAGTCAGACAACTCTCCAAAAAGCTACACAAGCCATGCATACCCGTATTTGACGTTGTAGAATAAGCCCTCCATGATGCTATGGTGGAGTCTTGCTGCAGACGCTCAGTTGCCGTCATGGTGTTGCTCGCGGCCTGAGCGCTGGTCAGCCCGACGTTCAGCCGTGTGCAAGGCTTGGCCCCGATTGATTGGGTTCTGCCGGCCGCGCCCACTTGCGCGAACGCCAATAAATGCTTGGCCGAACGCGCCTTCCTCCTCGACCTCACACTCAAAAGTTCTGGCTCTCACATTTGTTTGCGCAAGCACCACCACCACCCCCGCGAAAGCCATTATACCCCACACAACACTTGCGCGCTTTCAATTCGAAGCAACTACGCGACAAGTCAACACTGCATTGTAAGTTACTCCCCGCTGCTGCCTGACGCGCCTGCTGACTTTCACTGCAGCGCAATGACGACACGACGCACGCGTCGCGCCGCCGCGGCCGCTGAGGTCACAGAGGAGGTCATCACGATTGAGACGCGCAGCAAGCGCACCCGCGCTGCTCCCCGAAAGGCTGCCACGACCACCGCGACAACTTCCACCAAGACCAAGAGCACCACTAGAGCGAAGCGCGCGTCAACACCAACAGGCGAGACCACCCCTAATGCGCGCGCCAACGCGCAACCCACGACGCGCCAGAAAACGGTTGCGACCACTCCCGCGCCCGCAACCAACAGCAAGCGCCGGCTGCGCTCCACCAACACCGAAGCAGCTTCACCTCTGCGCGCGCTCGATGAGCAGCCCGCAAAGAGACAGCGCACTACCTCGAGAAAGGCACCTTCGCGCTCCGCACCTGCCAAGTCCGTGTCGAGTCAAGATGACGACGATGACGAGGAGACACCCATGTTCTTCACCAAGAGTAAGTCAGGTCTCCTGAAGACCTCACTGATCAATGCTGATTTCTCGACCTCAGAGTTTGATTCCTTCGATGTCCAAGAGCCAGAGCCAGAGCCAAGCGCAGAGTTCATGACCGGCGACGAGTCCGCAATGGCTCTCCTCAGGCTTGTCCAGGAGGCCGCCAGATCACCCCGACCCGTCGAGTCTGTGTCAGAAGTGCAACTTTCACCCTCGGCGCCCAAGTCACTCTCTCCACCTCCTGCGACCATCCATCAAAGTACCTCAACTCCCTCCAGGAGCATCTTCGCAAGCTTCACTACGCCATTCACAGCTCTTAAAAACTTGTTCGGTACTCCCGCAGCAGCCTCCCCGTCGCCATCACCGACACCCTCACGACTGCCCCCAGCCGGCTCGATGACGGAGGCGCTCTCTATCCCGCCGACTCCGGTTGGTGAGCGCGCCAAGCGCACGAGCAAGAAGGCTAATAGGAGGCCCAACCGCTTCGTCAAGACTCTGCTCCAAGGTGTCGAGCAGCACGAAATCGACCAAGCCGCAGCATGGGCGGAGAGGATCGCTGCAGATCTCCAGAAAGACTCGGCTGCCGGCGACAAACGCAAGCGCCTCGAGACGCCAGTGTTGTTTCGCGACCTCGAGCATTTTCCGGCCAGCAAGCCCTGGCAGTCTGGGTTCCGCCTTCCAGAAGATGTTCTCGATCTGGATGACGATGATGTCGTTCCCGCCTGGGCTGTGTACATCTCTATGGTCGAAGAGGAGCACCGACAGACCAAGAGATCCAAAACAGCGCATGTTACGCCTATTGACGACGAAATGCCGGCTTCGCTGAACGAGCTTTTCGGTAGTTCGACTACGTCCGAGATGGACTTCCACCCACGCCGCGCAATCGAACCCTCACCGATGTTCGACACGCCTCTCAATCACAAAGAAGGTGGCAACATCTTCACCGAGCTGCACGGCCATGATGCAGTGGCCAGCGATCGCGAGACCCTCCAGCGTGAGCTCAAGGCTCGAGGCAGTCAGGCTCAGAACCAGGTCAAGACATGCCAGGCAAAAACAGCTCAAAGCCTTACCAAAGCGCACGACCCCGCGCATGGCTCTTTCAGCGTTCCAGATTCGGACTCGGAGGATGAGGACGATGAGGTAGCCAGTGTGCCGCCCGTCTGGACACAAGCTCCGCCACCGGCACCTACGCCAGCCCATGTGTCACTGCCAAACACTTCACAGCAGGAAGTGGAGCGTCAACGCCAGAAGTTGATGAAGCATACACCGCACAAGCCAAGCCGTCTACAGCAAGTGTCATATCCATCACCAAGCGTCATGTCTGACGCGGGTGCATCCCCCATGAAGCTATTTGACGATGAGATACCTTCGATTGAGCCACTTGTATTTGGCGACGCCGAGCTCGACGCGGCAATTGCTGCGCTCTCGAAGTCGGAAGGCCTGGAGGCCAAACTTTCGGCGATGCATTGGTCTATGCCAGTCATGAGCTACGACTCGGACGAGGAAGAAGTCTCGCCAATTTGAGGCGATTTACGAGTTTGACGAATTGACGAAAAGATACCCCGGTCGTTTTGCACTGTTTTGTTAGCGTTGGGTAAAGGAGGCGTTTTTGAATATCCTGAAGGGTTTGAACAATTTGAGGATTTTGAGGGTCTGGAATTGGAAAGTTTGGAATTGAAAAGTTTGGAACTGGAAGGTTTAGGATTGGAAAGTTTGGAAGAGTTGGGAGGGTTGGAAGGCTCTGAAGGCTTCGAAGGACTTTAATGTTCTCTTGGTTTGTGGGATGGCTTGCTCTCATGTACTGTAGTTTCCAAGCTCTACCACGTTTTACCAGGTTGGAGAACCCGTCGGTCGAGCTTGTCCGCAAGGACTCGCTCCTGAGGGTGAGCTCGCCTGGTGAAGGGTTGGCCACTGCTAGCGAACTAAGTTCACAAGATGCTGTAGCCACCAGAGTGTACCGTGAGAATGGATCGAACTGGTTGCTGAGTACAAATACATCGCAGGATCGTGCTAGGGAGCGGCATATTGGTGTGATGTGATTGGAGGCTGCTTGTGGCGGTGCGTGTTGGTGGGATGTGATTGGAGTTGGTGGGATGTGATTGGAATTGGCGTGATATGGTTGGAATTGGCGTGATGTGATTGGAGTTGGCGTGATGTGATTGGAGTTGGCGTGATGTGATTGGAGGCTGCACGAGCGGCGTCATGGAAAAAAAGACGGGCGTGACTCGGCGATGCGACTCCAATCCATGCGGCGCTTCACCCCGCCGGGCCACGCGAGCGCCTTTCCCGAATTCCAGCAGTCGCTGCACCGCCTGTTCTGCTCGCGCGGCAGCTTCCACAGCCTGTCGCGGGTCCCTCAGCGCAAGCAGCGCGCACAGCGAGCGCCAGCCGGCCGGACAGCCATGGCCGCGGGCTACGAGCAGTGGTCGCCGCAGCAGCTGATTGCGCGCATACAAGAGCTGGAGGGCCGGCTTGGGACGCGGTTGGACGAAGCCACAGCGTCCAAAGAAGCCACAGCGACGGCGGCCACAGCTCCCCCGCAAGACGATGGCACGCCGTTCCGCAAGCCGCCCAAGGCGCCGCCGAAAGTGTTCGATGCGGCCAAGTACAGCACGCGACTGGTCGCGCTCAAGTTTGCGTACCTCGGGCAGAAGTACAACGGCTTCGAGCATCACAACAATAATAAGACGCCGCTGCCGACCATCGAGGAGGAGCTGTGGAAGGCCCTCGTCAAGACGCGCCTCATCAGCCCGACGCCGCGCGACGGCAGCAGCACCGACTACGGCAGGGTCGACCGCAAGACGTTCGCCGCCTGGGACCGCGACGGCGCCGACGTCAACTGGGACGGCTGCGAGTACTCCAAGTGCGGCCGGACCGACCGCGGCGTGAGCGCCTTTGGCCAGGTCATCGGCATCCGCGTGCGCAGCAACCGCCCGCTGCCGCGCCCGACACGGCCAGCAGACGCCGACGAGCCTGCGGTAGACGATGCGGCAGACGCCGAGCCCGCCGCGCAGAAGCCCTTCGAGGACCTCGCCGACGAGCTGCCCTACATGCAGCTGCTGAACCGCGTCCTGCCGCCCGACATCCGCGTCTATGCGTGGTGCCCGAATCCGCCGCCCGACTTCAGCGCCCGCTTCTCCTGCAAGGAGCGCCGCTACAAGTACTTCTTCACGAACCCGGCCTTTGCGCCCGTGCCCGGCTCAGCTGGCCTGTACAGCCCCGCGCACCACCCAGACAGCGCGCCGATGCGCGAGGGCTGGCTCGACATCGCCGCCATGCAAGACGGCTGCGACAGACTGGTCGGCCTGCACGACTTCCGCAACTTCTGCAAAATCGACGCCTCCAAGCAGCTCACCAATTTCCAGCGGCGCATCTTCCACGCCTCCATCGACGAGGTGAGCCCGCTCGCCGTGCCTGCCTTCCTGCAGCACGCCGCCGCAGCATCCCCCGCCGCCGCCGCGCCGCCCAAGATGTACTGCTTCACCCTTCACGGCTCCGCCTTCCTGTGGCACCAGGTGCGCTCGCTCGTCGCCATCCTGTTCCTGCTGGGCCAGCGCCTCGAGCCGCCGCACCTCGTCTCCGCGCTGCTCAACGTGGACGAGAACCCCACGCGCCCAAAGTACGAAATGGCCTCGGACGCCCCGCTGGTGCTGTGGGACTGCATCTTCCCGCATGCCTCCGAGGTCGCGAGCGCAGAGTCCGAGGACAGGCGCCACGGGTACGAGGACCGGCTGGCCTGGATCTACGTCGGCGACGAAGGGGGCGTGGAGCCGAAAGCGTCGGCGACGCTGAAGCACGGCGCGAGCTCCATGGGCCGCAGCAAGTGGGGCCGCGGCGGCGTCGTGGACGACGTGTGGGAGCTGTGGCGCGGTTGCAAAATCGACGAGACGCTGAGCGGGCTGCTCATGCAGAGGATCGCGGACCTGGGCGTGAGTACGCTCGATAGGGAAGCGGTGGTGGATCAGCACAGTCTGGGCGTCGCAGCGGGCGCCCCACGCGTCTTTGATGGAGGCAATTTTGGCAGAGCAAAGGGCAACTACGTACCCGTCTTGGCCCGCGAGCGGCAGGAGCCCGTCGAGGTTGTCAATGCGCGGTATGCGGAGAGGAAGGGCTTGCATCCTGACCGGTACAAGAGAGACGATGGAGATGGAGATGCTGTGGATTAGGGCGCCCATTGTGCAGTGCAATTGATCTGCTTGCTGTGCATGCTTGATGCTTCTCTTTTACTACTATCCCCTGCCCTGTCCCTCTCCTACTGTCCCCTGTCCTGTCCCTCTACTACTATCCCCTGCCCTGTCCCTCTCCTACTATCCCCTCCCCCTCCACTAATCCCCCGTATTCAACTCCAGATCAATCTGCACCCCGTTGCTGATTGCATAATCCGCCAGACTCAGACTGTCGTGGAACGGCCGCTCGCCCTGCCGCTTGAGCATGATCTCGTGCACCGGCCGCCCGATCTTGGCCGCCACCATGGCTTTGAGCACGCGCACGGGATCAGAGGGGAGGCAGGGGACTTGCGTCTTGGTGCCCAGCCGGTCGTTGATTGTCACGAGAATCATGGGCTCGGTGGGAGCGGAGGCGGGGGCGGGCTTTGGCTTGGAGGAGGAGGAGGAGGAGAGCTTGGACGGGCCGTCTCTGCGGTCCCTGTCGTCCCTCCGTCGGTCGGGGCGGTCGTCTCGTCGCTCTCGGTCGCTGCGGATGCGGTCGTCCCTCCTGTCTGCCCTCCTGTCGTCCCTCCTGTCGTCCCTCCTGTCGTCCCTCCTATCCCCTCTCCTGTCGCCTCGCCTTCCATCGTCCCTATCATCGCGCCGCCTCGAGTCGCGCTCCGACGCCTCTCTCTTGTCGTCCTTCCACTTCAACCCCGAGTAGCTCTTCGGCTTGCGGCGCGCGGGGCTGCGGCTGCGGCGCGGTGAGCGCGAGCGCTGTCTTGCGTCTGTTTGATCGCGTCTTGCGCCGCGTTCTTCACGCCTCTTGTCTGTTTCTTCACGTCTTTTGTCTGTTTCTTCACGTCTTTTGTCTATTTCTTCACGTGTTTTGTCTGTTTCTCCACGTCTTGCGTCTGTTTCTCCACGTCTTGCGTCTGTTTCTTCGCGTCCTCCGGCGCGGGCTTCTGTGGGCGCCTCGCGGGGCGGCGAGGGCGAGGGCATGGCTGCGCGATACGACTTCGGCTGTGCAGATACGACTTTGGCTGCGCAGGTGCGATGCACAGGTGGAGATGGACCGCTGCACGTTGTTGTGGAATGATGTCAAGCGGTGCCTGCAAAGTTTCAAGTCGAGCTTGAGCTCGGACTTGGACAGGGATTGTCAGGCGCCCCGCTTGTTCCCGCCGCTAACGTCGCGTTGGACAGCGCGTCATCTCCCCGCGCACTGCACAAACACTACCTTACGCGACACAGTCCGACTCCACCC